ATTAAAACTTGACTAACCTGTATTATAATAAAGTTCGGATATAACGCGCGCTGTCATTGGTTGAAAGAGCGTGCTCTATGAGAGTATAGAGCATAGAGCTGAGCTACAGCTGTCACGCCATCTGCCAATTGTACTATGTTCGAGCTTTTCCGGGACTTCTTTTTAGCTTTTTTCCGATAATTGAAAGTGAAATTTCGGAACTGAAGCGAGCCGGCAAGTAGCAACAGAAGAATCAAACAAAGGTTTGTAAACATACCAGGCGCCGTAATTTACGTTATTAAAACGTGAGCAGATACGAAAATCCTCAAAGGAAAAACAAAATAAACATTCCGAGTTTTAAAGATTTTCACGTTCAGTTAGATTGCAAGCTTACGTACGGTAATAAAAATCAAACACAGCTAACACTCGTATAGTATATAAAGTTCAGTGTTCAAAAACAAAACAGAACAAAACAGAAATGATGAAAAATATAACTAAGCTGGCATAATTTTTAAAATTCGTACTAATCATGACGCTGTCTGAGCGAATATGATCATGCTGAAGTTCATCGCGGCTCGCTCATCATGGCGATCTCCGGTCATCACAGTAAAGCAAGCCTCGGAAACTACATCGGCCGCCCTTCGAGTGAAAAAATAAGAGCTTGCTCTGATATCCTTTCCGATACGTTGAGTGGCAATTCACATCAGCCACTGCAGCCGAGTTTTGCGGCGCTGTCATTACGAGCGACCTTCATGTTCCGGTGAATTCGGCTGTCGTTCATTCAAAAAACACTCGCCTTGAACAGTTTGTTTTCTACCTTGTCAAGTGGGAAAAACTCGCGTGTTTTTATGAGCCATAATTCGGCTGAAGTTTACTGAACATTTCACTTCAAGATTCTGTATTAGAGACTTAAATTCGACTTGCCGAATTATTTTAGTTTATAAACTATCGTAGAATGTGAACTTTGATGGTTTTTGAACTTTGATGGTTTGACACTTTTGACAACTTTAGTCTTGTACAGCCAATCAGATTATTTGAACCATTCTAACAAGGATTCTGATTGGCTTATTGTAGCGTGCTTTATAAGAGTATAGAGCATGCTGACGACATTGTTGTTCGCTTTGGAAATAAAGTTTGTTTTGAAAATTAAAAATAATGTCACTCAGGAAGTGGGAAGAAACACTCGACTACGTCTCGTGTTTCTCCCTACTCTTCTTTCGTGCTCTAGCCGCTTCCTGCGTGCTTTATAACAGAACAGAGCACAGTCAAGGCTTCTCTATTTGTTAAATAAAAAACAATATTTACCAACCGCAAATTAACAATTGGTTCATTTATCAGCGTGCGTTCATCGAGATATGAAGAACGCGGGAAGTTTGGAGAGCACGAAAGATGCGTTCTTGAGTGCTCTCCAAACTTCCCAAGCGCTTCATATCTCGATGAACACACAGCTGACGTATGAACCAATTGTTTTATAACATTTCCAACCCGATGGAAATTTTTTTTCTCGAGGGATTTGTTTGCTGACGCCATGAGCGTGCACAATAGGAATATGAAGCACGCTCGCGCAATTGAATTTGATTACACAAATTTACTAGCTATGTTATAAAGTAGCTTCATGACACTCAAGCTACCGGTGAACCTGTTTGTGACTCGATCTCATCACAATTAAAGTTTCACACAGCGGAAACAACGATTTTGGCAAACTTCAACATTCACTGTAGATCGAACGATTTTGCACGATTTGATTCAAATATTTTGTGGCGGCCATAATATGCGTCTTTGTGATTAACTCCGGAAATGCGTCAAATATTGCAAAGCTAAGAACTGGTTATTGTGTAACACTCCAAAGTAACTTTTTGTGTTCCTTTTGATTTACCCCGGAAATGCGTCAAATATTGCAAAGCTAAGAACTGGTTATTGTCTAACACTCCAAAGTACCTTTTGTGTTCTTGTGATTTACCCCGGAAATGCGTCAAACATTGATAAGCTACCCCTGGGGCAAGTATGCTTGGTTACCCTGCTCTAGTTCCTGTAGAAAAGATGAAGTAGTCATATTTTCTATCCGTGACTTGTTTCTTTGTTAATATTTTCGAGGGGGGGGTGGGGAATGGGGTTAGCTCACATTCTTCTTAACTAGGTTCTATGTGGGGCAGCAAGCACAGTTCTGTAAGATAATCGATAAAATCTCCTGCAGATTTGCAGGTTGTGTATTCAATATTTTAAGTTGCATGAGGTAACTCGGCGGTTGACCCGTTTTCGTGCATTTTTTCGTGAGTGATCTTTAGTGTTGTTATCCTTGAGTCACCAGGCGTAACCTATAAAACAACGGACAGGAGATCAATGTTTGTGAGTGCTTATGCAGGACATGCCTACATGTGACCTTATTATGTACAGGTGAAAAGGTATTAAAACATTGGAGATCTTCTGTGTTGCTCTCTCGTCGACTTTCGAATAAGTTTTCTCTTCGCTGTATGCATGCGAATAATTTTGAATAATCTAACCAACACAAAAAATGTCCCTTACAACTAACTTATTTATCTAACTATACTTAGCAAGGTAACTTGATTGAAAGGGCGCACCTTCTTAAAAACTGAATCTACTGTGGACTCGAGCTGAGTGCCCATGTTATATTGCAACTAGGTTTTACATGTAGTACTACCGCTGACAAGTTGCAATTTGTATTCTTACCGTTTACGAATGTTCAACGGTTTTCTTGTTTTATTATTTGTTTGTGTATTTTTACTTCAGCATTTCAGAAGTCTGCTGAAATATCGAAAGATATGTGTTTTCTGTATTCTTCGGAGCGACCGATGGAAACTTCATGGGGAAGCATCACGCCATCGTAATAATATTAGGGCGAAGTTTCAGTCACCAATGATGCAAACAACTGAAAACCAAGAAAGAACTTTCTTTTTTTTGTGGCCTCTGCCTCCTATGGGAGGCGTAGCCATATTTGCTTTCGGGATTAGTAAGTAGGTGAGTGAGTGAGTGTAACGATCGAATATTCCGATCTTGACCCAATTTTGACCCGATGTTTCCCGTTGCTGATGATAAACATCTCAAAATAATTTCACAGTGGCATCCACCGATGCATAAAATAAAATCAAAACTTTTTCTTGCAGACATTTCTTAATAGATATGACCTGCTCATCATGGGGGATTGAGGATTTTTTCTTTGAAAAAATAGCAATTTACTGTTTGAATCAACGACTTATGCCCAAATTGAGCCGCTACATTTACCTTGAGTTATTCAACAGAACTGATAGAACCGTGGAACGGTGGATGAGCGAACGGCGGAATATCGTAAGACGCGGAATGACGGAATATCTTAAAACGCGGAATGCCTTTTTGTATGAAAAAAAAAAGCATACAAGAGTAGAACTGCAATAAAATAAGGAAATTATTGATAATAACCAAGTGAAATTATAATTAGCATAGGTAATCATTGATAGAGCCCAGACCGGATTTGGGAACTATGAGGCTTTCGAGCAAGCCCCTCTAAACTGTTCTTATGCAAGGAATAATCATTGATTATAAAGTGCGTTCGTGGGAACGAAATTTAGGTTCTGGAATTCTTAGATCTAGACTGATGAACCTTCCGGGAAGATGATGGATTTATGAGAGAAGCACATTTAAATAAGCCACAATAGTCGTTAGGGGAGAAGTGGAAAATACTGCGTACAACGATCAGTTGACTCAAGAGTCTCGCGTGGTTGTACGTGTCTGCTATTTTGCCAAGAGGGGCCCAAGCTCCTTATGCAGTCAGTTGGAGATTGGAGGTAACTAAGAATTGCTTTAACCCATCGACACCTGAGTGTAACGCGTGCATGTGCAAAAGTTAAATTTTGGAGAATCCGGGAATAGCAAGCACAGTAAGCAGTAAATTTTATATTTCTTCTTTTCCCAAAAACAAACTCCAGTTAAAGAAGACCATTTTGATAACTATTTTCAACGAAAAAAGCGATAGATGCATATCAAGTTTTTTTCAGAACTCAAGATAAAAGATGAAAATCGCTTAATCTTGTACGTGATTTGTTCCATTTCCTTCGGTTTGTCTAGTTACGTAATAACAGCGTGTGCTGTTTTGATTGACATTTGATTCGGAAAAATACTTCCCACATGCACATGAAGATTGAGGAGAGTCTTAAATATAGGAAATCTTGCTCGTTGGGAGGCCTTTGATTTGAGTCTGTGTTTCTGAGTCATCAAGATCTAGACAATCAAGGTAATTTTGTTCTTTTACACATATAGCATTCTAGAAGGTTCCAGGAGCTTGCAGAATTACTATATTCATCATTATAGTATTATGGAATATTTCAGAAACTCCACATCGTTCAATTAAAATGCTTCTTCATTCACATGGGATTACCAAGCTTCCTGGAACTTTCTAGAAACTCTCTATGTTAAGCTTCTCCCATGAAAAAAACTAAAGGGTTTCTCAATTCATTCAACTTCGATATTGTAAAAATCCTTTTAATGGCCCATTTGTTGATTCTATTTTTGTCTAAGGTAAATTGAAGACGAATTGATATGGCTTCATTAATATACTCGGAGACAGCTGCCCGTCTTTCCAGATACTCGCAAGAATATCAATGGTTATTGAGTTTGAAGCAGTTTCATTTGTATTTTCAACACAGGTGAGTGTGCTGCCTGGAAAATCTCGCAATTTAAAAAATGAGGACATACGAAAGATTGCCATGCATGCAAAACCGAATGAAAGTTGATTGAATGGGGCGAGTTTTCAAATGAAGATATATTAGAACAAGTATATTTGAAATTTGCGTTTAATATGGCGCCATTGAAAAAGCTCGTTAGCACCAATTGAACTAAACAGTTTAATTGTTTTTTCGCCGCCTAATTTTCTGAGACGGGGAGCTCAAGGCAGGAACAAATATACCTTCTGCATTGCTCATTGGCAAATGAGCCTAAAATTTGATGAATGCTAGGGTTTAATTTTCTGAAGCAGGAGCTATAGAAAAAGCTTAAAACTGGGGTGACTCCTCATAGACTTCTAGTTTGTCATGACTGCGACCAACTTTACGTGCTTTTTCTTTTATACTGGATGGGAACAGGGCGAAAAAGAAACATTTGCAAGTGTTGTCTTATGCGTTTTGTGCGCTCTGCTCGCATTGACTGCGATCTCGGGAAATGGTATTGTCATCTTTGTAATATGGAGCACACGGGAGCTACATTCGCCATCTTTGGTTTTGCTGCTGCTCTTGGCCGCGTCAGATTTTCTTGTCGGATTGGTTGGCCAGCCATTCTTCGTTGCTTTCAAGATTGCGGAGAGCCTCAGATATTTCAGCGCGTATTGTAACTTGCGACTGATTCAGTTTTTTTCTGGGTGGATAACTTCTGGTGTGTCTTTTATTACACTTAGTGCCATCTCTGTCGACAGACTACTCGCTTTAATCCTCCATTTGCGTTACAAAAACATCATCACAGTACGACGTGTGATAATAGCAGTGATCGTTGTTTGGCTGGTTTGCTCCATTGTGACCATATTGAAATTTTGGGTGCAAAACTGGATCATTATCGCAGTTTGTACTAATTCATCGGCTGCTGTAGTAATTGCGTTTTGTACTGGTAAAATTTTTCGAATTGCGCGAAGACACGAGCGGCGCATTAAGGAACAGAACGTTGCAATAACACTTAACCCATCCTTGGCGGGGGACTTTAACGTACGTAAATGTAAAAAGTCTGCCATGACAGTAATTTATATTTTCGGCTTGATGTTGATGTTATATATTCCTTTCTTTGCCGTTATGGCTGTGGAAATTATCAAAGGAAAAACAAATTTAGTTAAAGTCGCTTACGAGTGGGCTTCGTTGATCGTTTTCATAAACTCGTCCGTCAATCCCGTTATCTACTGCTGGAGAATGAAACAAATACGAAACGGCATTAAAAGGTTTTTCGGGAGATCAATTTGCCCAAGAATTGCATCATCTTGCTGTATTCAGCTTGTTGGTTCGGCGGCCGGTTCTGAAAGATCTTAAAATTTTCGTAAAATTGAAAGTAGTTTCCCTTTGCTTTCCATTTAACTGAGTAAGAGTTAGAGATTTGTCACGTCGAAAACTGCTTATGGCATTTTGGAAATAGTTTCCTATTGGAGAGTATGGATTTACAGCTTATTTACAGCAATATTTCGCAGTTTCCCTGACTTTTTTCGTACTATACTATGATTAAACAAAAGATGTATGTGCAAAATGAATAAATGAGTGTGTAAATAAATAACTGATAAAAAAAAATATGTGATATTATCGTTGAGATCTGTTTTGCATTGATACACAAAATTACTTTCGGTTTCTTTGCTACCCTCTCAGTTGAGCAACTGGAGCTCATAACAGATCATTCTTTATTATTAATTTTTCTCTACTTTCAGAACATCGATCGTCACAGATATCGTTGGCACATTAGCACATCTGGGAAGTCAAGGAAAAGCCATTACTTCCCCACAATAAAATGGCACAGTTATCTTTTATAGACTAGAGGTCCATTCGGGTTACCAGCAGCATGCCAGAACTCAGGCCCTGTTTGTTCGATGGGCGAATAACTCTATCCAACGGATAAATCGCTATCCAGCGGATAAGTGTTTCACAAAACATACTGTGCTATTTAACGGATAGTGATTTATCCAGTGTATAGCGTTATCCACCCTTCGGGGCCAGGATGAAAATAAAAAACGTTGTTTGTTTACAAGAAGACGCCATTCACTATGATTTCAAACTGTCAGTTCGAAGAACTGAGAAATACAATAAGTATCAGCCTTGATTAGTTTTGTGACTGAATTTTATCGATTCCCCTCATGTGCTATAACATATCACTAATCAGGCCCCGGTTGTTCGAAGGTCGGGAAACGCTATCTGCAGGATAATATCTATCCGGTGGATAACGCTGTACGGTTTGCCATCACTCATCCGCTGGATAGCGATTCATTATCCTCCGGATAGCATTCTGCGCCCTTTATACAACTGGGCCCAGGTCTTTATATATTTGGAAATTTTGTTCTTTGATAGACTTAAAAGAAGCAAGCGGTCTTTGAATTTATTTAATGTTGACATTGCAAAGTTTCAAGTTTTTATCAGGCGGAAAAAAGGGAATAACTACAAAAGACCAACATTCTCAGACATCTGCCGTTATTTGCCCATATACTAATAACAAAAAAACATATTTATCCGTTTTCATGTTGCCTTATCTTTTTCATCTTGCGAAAGCCCCAGAATTCTTTTTGATGTTTAGGAAAGGCTTAATAGGACCTCTGGCAATGAATCAGATATTCAAACAGTCGATTGGAACTGATTAAATTGGACGAAATTTACGGAAAAACATGTCGCTCAAATTTTTATTTGGCATCGACGAAAGCCCGTCTGTGAATATTAATATCTATTGTATTTGCAGGTGCATAGTATACTGAGGCGCCTAATGTGACTTGCATAAGTAGATCTACTTTTTAATTTGTAACATTTCTTTAAGTGGCCAGAAATTTTGATTACCCAAGCATGTAATTTGACTCACAAAAGGCCACTTCAAAAACCTTTCACACTTCGTGCAAAGTGGTACTGAATGGTCAACAAGTCTATATCGGCTGTGAGTAAAACCAACTTGACATGTTTTTCTTTGAATTTAAAGGCAATTTTGACGGGCTAGAAATAACTGGATGTTTCGCATTATATATGTGATTTGTACGCTCTGGTTATATTGACTGCAATATTAGGAGAAGGCATTGTTATGTTAATTACATGGAGCCTCACACGGTGCTCTCTTTCTCTCCAACCGACATCTCGCTGTAATTCTACAATTTTCATTGAATATATTGTAACTCGTGAACGTGCGGTTGGGAATCTCTCTGCGATAGAGGGCCAGACTGCTGACACCTTGAATTCACAAACGGGACTTTGAGCGCTCAATCGCAACTTTATTTAAGTTTTGGGTGCGAAACTGAATCATTATCGGTGTTTTTTGTTCATTAATCGGCAACTAGAACACCTGCGTTTTGCTCAGATAAAGTTTTTCGTATCGCTTGCACGCACGAGCGTCAAATCAACAGACAGAATCATGGAATAAAAAGTAAATTAGAAAGGAGGACAGTAGAGTAGATAAAGGTAAAAGCTGATATCATTTTGAATTCAGTTTGGATTCCCAGATTCATTGCAAAGTTTTGAGGTGCACTTGTGTTGCTCTCATGATACAATACTGAAGTTAATGAGTCAATCGTTAAACCAGTAATCTATGAATAATGATAATAGGACTCACTGAAGTCGAATTTGGTCTGTAATCATACGAACGAATAACAAAATCGGACGGCCGCGTAGTGGGTGTCCGATTTAATAAATACGAGTATAATAACAGACAGAATTGGACGACAAGAAGTCCTTTTATCAATTAATCCGGCTCAACTATGAAAAAATTTGAGAAATCAAACAGGTGATACGTTTTCATGAAACTGAGCAACAGATAACTCGGCAAAATGCACAACAACAGCGCAGGTACTGTCCACTGACATAGGCATGACGTGTCAACTATCCTATGACACTGTCCAATTACAAGCATGACGCGTACATTGTCCTCTTGCTGCTCAAATAGAACTGGTGATAACCGAGCACGTTCGAGAATTTTGTGATTGTTTTGATTTGTTATGGAACTGTTTGCAGCACCTGAAGAAAACCGCCACTGGACCGGACCTCATACCGTCTGGGTGTGGAGAGACCACGCGGAAATTTTTACACGTTTAATGTGCAGGATCTGGAACTTGTCCCTGGGGTTCAGTACTTGGCCCTCATCGTAGGAGAGAGCTCGCATAACCCCCCTCCCCAAGGTTGACGTTCCCAAGGGAAAGACAGACTGCAGAGGAATCAACATCACCCATGTAATTGCACGCGCATTTGAGAAGTCTGTGTATAACATTCACGCGCGGGACACTGTTGAGCAACTATCACTGCCGCATGATTTCCAAATACTGACCCTATTGTACCCTGACCTATACTGACCCTATTTTGCGCTTATATGTCATTTTGATTTCCACGTCAGTTTGAAGACGAGGCCCAAAATTCCAAACCCAGTTCCACATACTGTGTCTGCAAGTTCCACATAGTTTACGTTACCCAGGGCTCTTTCTTTCTTGAATATTTGAGTTTTGCATCAGTCCAGAAGACAAGGGCTAAAAAATGACTTCCACATTACTGTTCGAATGAAATATTTTGCCAATTTCAATTGTGTTCATCTACTTTCCGTCAAGAGTTGAAAAGATGAACACGTGAATACGTATTCCTAGTTCTTTTCCAAACCCTACCCGATTTAACACCGTAATGATCAAAGTCCTTAACCCCTTCCATGTCTCCCCTATCAGTTACTTTTAACGGTTAGGCTGACGGTTCTGACGGACGTGGATAAACGATAGACAGACTCTCTAACGCGTCTAACGTTTACGAGGAAGATAAAAAGACGGCGAACAGATGCTTCTGGCCGTGACTGGTTAATTTGAGAGCGTTGAGACACGTTTAATTTTTACTTACACGGTCACATTGATATCCACGGTAAGTTTTCAAAGCCTTTGAACACGGTAAATTATAAAAAGTTTATTCGAATTCAAACGCAATTAAAACTGTATATTAACACACAGTTTTTGTTGACACTAGCACGCAGACGTTATACTACAGGAAAATGATAATAAAAAAATTGGAAAGTCTCAAGGAGGTGTTATCTCTGACAATTGACTGTTAGGAATAAGCCACTGTGACAGTGGACAGTTTTTTATAGAATGACAGTTTATCGATTGTTATCAATGTTTTATTTTTTTCATAAAAGGATAATAACTGACATTTTGCTAATGTTGAATGGTGACAGGCGAAGTGTATTGTGGTGACAGACTCGTCACATTTCCTATGCGGTCATCGCAACTTGAAGTTCCATTGAAAGAACATTGAAACGTCAAACGTCACTCCACTGGTTATCAAACATTCGCTAAAGAGATCGAATATAAAAAGAGTTGCAGAATATATCGCTACTCGTCTTTGTTACCTCTTCGATCACCAAGGGAGCATTCTCACCTGATTTTATATAAAAAAATAAACATGTGAAAATAAACATGGTACACAAAGAGTAAGTTGATTAAACTCATACAGATCAAAAGTTGAAGTTGGCGACAATCAGTCCAGTGTCGGACGTGCTGTTTATCTTTAGAACGACTAATAAATGTCCAAATGGAACATATAATGAGGCAAACATCAATTAGGCTAAAGCTTAACAAGTTTTTATTTTCCCATTCCGACCAAAAAATTAATCTGTATCAATAATCATATAGTTATTTAAATCATTAATGTAGGTAGGCTAAGCATCTGTAGTCAGACAATCATCAAACTGAATCATGTTTAATTTTAATTAGAATGTACAGTTCCCCAGCTGTACCTGAATTATCACGAAAACTCAGCTTTCTCAAATAGTTTTTTATGGCTCGGCGTACTTGCGAATTTCTCCAGCAGTAAATAAAAGGATTTACCGACGAGTTTATGAATACAATCGTTGTAGCATAATCATAAGCGATTTTTATCGACCACGTATAGCCTTGAATCGCTTCTACTGCACTGACTGCAATAAATGGGAGATAAAACATCAGCATAATACCATAAAGATAGATTACGGTAGTGGCTGATTTTTTACATTTAAAAGCATCAACTGGGTTGTTTTGTGACCTGTTTCGTACGTTTCTCAAGTCAGCTATTTTTTTAATTTGGCCATTTATTTGGCTTTGATGTCTTCGTGCAATTTGATATATCTTCCACGTGCAAAATGTGGATGAAAAAATATTCACAACAACAAAAGAAACCGGAATGATGACCCAGTTTCGAACCCAAAACTTCAAAATAGTGACAATACAGCAAAAAACCCACACTGCTATCATGGCTATCGTAATGCGGCACACTGTGATCGTGCTTTTGTATCGCAAGTGAAGCGTTAAGGCGAGGAGTCGGTCGACAGAAGCTGCACCGAGGATGATAAAGGAAACACTTGAAGTTATCCATCCACAAAAGAACTCAATCATTCGCAAGTTACAATACGCGTTGAATTTTTCGAGACTCTCCGCTACCTTGTAGGCAACGAATGAGGGCTGGCCAACAAATCCCACAAGAAAATCAGACGATGCTAAAAAAAATAACAGAGCGAACGATGGCGAATGAAGTTCTCGTTTCTTCCAGATTACGAACATGACGATTCCATTTCCAAATACTGCAGACAGCGCAAAGATGCTGCTAAGTAGACATGATATGACACTCACTGTGACATCGTGTACTGTCTTTGTCCAATATACTTCCATGAAGAAACATGTTAACTTATCGGTGGAATTCATGGTTGACGAATATGTAATGCCAGTGATCTCAAATGGATCATACTGCTCCCACGACAATATGGCTTCATGGTTTCGAAAGCACAATTTTTTATATTAGTTTCACTTGGGAAGGAATTCACTTTGAGCACTCGATTTAAAAACACGTGATTAGAAACGACAAGTTTAGTTAGATACGTCGTGTAAAACCCTGGAAAAGTATGAAAAGAGCGAGTGAGTAAATAATTAACTTTGACTGTTCTTCTGTGTACACAATTATTTCGCTTGAAAATTAGAATTCCTTTATTCGAAAATCCGAGGGATGGGTAGGAGATGAGGTTTGTGTGGATATTTCGAGTAGTTTTCATTTCCCCTTTTTTAAATGGGACCTGTGGTGATCGTGGTAATTTGAAGAAATTTTGTAAACCTTGTTTTGTCGGAGATCAAATAGAAAACACGTGCACAGATCCAAGTAACTCTTGTCACGGGAAATCACACAAACAGTTCAAGCTTGTCCGCTTGGAGGGAGTGAAGGTAACTAAATAAATAGTTATTAATACGTATATGTACCTAGAAAAGGAAACTGGCTTTTTCTCGGTGAAACTTTATATAAGTTCCGTAGGTCGCCGACTGGCCTTTTTTTTTTGCTTTCTAATACCAGTTTCCAAGTTGTTGGCACAGGTTGTGTTTTTTTGTTATTCTTAGCTGGTTGCAAGTGCAGGTAAACAGAAATCAATAGAGAAAAGAGCTTTGTTCGTAAAAAAGCGCACCTGTTAACTCTGGTCTTCCCAGTGCATGTGGGAGTGAGCTAAATTCGAAATTGTTTTTTTCTATATGTGGCTTGTCACAGTCAAGTAATCACGTTTTGCTACCTTGCTTACGCAGTTGAAATCTCTCAGTGTTTGATTTCCTCGATAAATTCCAATTTCCCCGTACGTAGTTATCTTGAAATATAAGAGAGAATGAAATCACATTCAGATGTTTATCAAGCGTCCTTGATTTATTTGTACTAGAAAACTTTGATCTCAGTAAAATGCACGTTCAGTTTTGATCAAATACGTAGGTGGGGCAAATCCATGCAACAGCTTCATTTGAAGTTACGCGAATGCATTCAAAATCCATGCAGTGCATTCATAAAAATCGCCACCCGACATTGTCTACCAACTTAAATCTGTTTCAACTGTTTGTTTGAATTCGTAAAAGTCCGAATTGTTCCTCCTCGCTTATAGACCAATTAGACTTGCCTCACCATGCGAATACTGCCTCTACATCCCCAATGATTATTAAGCATTTATATCCCGGTGTCAAGTTTACGATTCTTAAACCATTGAGATAAAAAATAAAGGTTACACAATCCATTTCAAAGTGTAAGTGAAGGGTATTTACTTTTCATTTACATCGTCTGCGTACAGACAGGTCACGTGCAGTGGTTGGAAGTCGACGATGAGAGGAAGCCCATAAAACTCATCACTCGAGCAATGACACCATTAGTTCTTGGTATGTAACTCTTTCGTGAAGTTGTATTTATGTGATATTTTCTTTAAGAATTGTTTCGAATTAGGTCAGTTTTAAGTAAGACACGGATAAAATGAAGTGTTGACAACCAAAAGGAAAAAAAAAGTCTGATGCTCTACCGACTGAGCTAACCGTGCTCACAGAAAATTCCAAATTGGATTTGACTTTATTCTACATGCACTGCGCATAGTGGTCGCATTAGTTATCAACAAGGTATAGTTGCGTTGCAATTGCACGGTGAATTTAGCTGAAAGTACGGTCAAATGCTACTCCTCTATAGACTTCCGCTCTCTGGTAACAAGGGCTCCTATACAATTTGATTAAACTTCATAACTGCTCGCATTGCATAGTTACTCAACGGTTTATAGTTGCCATGCTGTTGTGGTATTCATAGCTAGATGAGAAGTAAAATAAAAACAAAGCACACAAAAAAGACTAAAACTATGAATCTGTCATTGTGAGACAATTGTCGTAAAGTATAACCACTGAAAACAGTCACTGGCCTTTCAGTCGCAAATGCCAACGCCCTGACATTATTTGGCTGCGAGGACCTACTCGACCGCAGTAGAATTCGGACAGCAGCTCAACAATTATGCATTTGCCAGATGATCCACATTTCCAGCCTCTTGGATTAGACAATTAGAGAGAAATGGACTCTCATCAACCCTTAGAGACAGCTCGCTGAGTTTTGATGGCCATTTCTATTGCCACACTGCACGCCCTATCAAACGTAGCTGCGACATGGATTAGGGTATATGTGTTAGGAAACCGAAAAATTCGATAGACTGGCGAATGAATCAAAGTTAATAAATTCGTCCAGGGCGCTGGATGACGAATACATCAAACAAAATAACGTTTGCCTGCACTGATTTCTCTTTCCTTCGGGGAAGGAGAAACTAACCGCATGCTCACGGAGTATAGGTTCCCAAATGCTTTGGATACTCGATATTTTTTCAAAACTTTTCTAATGCTCCCAGTTGTGATTTCGCTGTACGTAGAGATTCCCGACTTCTTGTCAGAGGAAGAGTGTGATCACATCATAACACTGGCAAAGGAAAGTGGACTCCAGACAAGTACTTCAGGATATTTCACTTACGACGGAGACTTGGACGAGGAACTAGCCCTAGCTGGTGAGCTGGATTTAGAATTACGGAAAATGACCAAAACAATTTTCAGAGTTTAGATCAATTAATTTTTTTGAGCATTTTAATGAAGCAAAAAAATTTGGAAACGTGGTAAGCCGCAACAGGTGTGCGCAAGTCAGCTCATGACCCTGCTACACGTGAACAATGCAAGGAAATTAAATTGAGCCTTTTTTTGTCGGGATCAGATTCTTTTTTTCTCGTGAGTACTTTAACTGTATTCCAGCTCAACCATGATTATTAAAGAAGTCTAAAATCCATTATGATATTGAGATATATTATGATATTGACCACACTCCACAATAAGCCAGCAGAAAACATCTCTCTGACCTATTTCTTTTAAGACAGTGACTGGACTCTCGCGCCTGAGCAAGCATTTGCTGGAAACTACAGTCTTTGGGATGCAAATGGTGATGGTTCCATTGATGCACAAGAGGTACTGCATTTGGGAAGTCACTTGCGTAATGTAATAAAATTAAAGTGCTCGGAGGTCTCATGATCGTTTACCAAAAAATCAAATTGCTTTTATTGTTGAAGGTGAAGGCATTTGCTGGAAAACACAAACAACTCTATCTGGATGATGAAGAAGTGCAAGAAATGTAAGAACATTTGACTGTAGTTCTTTTCCCTTTGTTAAAAAATAGAGCGTCCCGAGAATTTCGGCTCATTTTTGCAATGTAAGGAATAAACATAAAGGAGCAGTTAAAGAGGAAATTTATGATTTAAGGATGAAGAAGAATAATACAGATAACAAATGACGAACTTGAAAACGCTAGGCTTAATTTTATGACGACATGAACCCATGACCGCATTATTTTCTCAGGATTAGTAGAGTATTCAACTTATAAGTATTACTCTAGTTTCAACAAGCAGTTGTCTATAACAGGTTTACACGGTTCTCAGGAGGTTACCTTGAAACGTGAAGGTAGGAAATGAATGAAGCCAGCTGATGAGAAAATGCAAGAGAAATCTCCTACAGAAACGTATAGGATTGTGCATTATAAAGTTTATCGTACCTTTGACGCTTCTTGACATTTGGAGAGTAAGGATGTTGCAATGGTGACAGCGCATGCTCTCTCGTGCTACCGCCTGATTTCGATTCTCGTAGCCGGGGCATGTTTCCCAAAAGTGCCGGCAACTTTATGGGCCGTTACTTAATCAACGACTTTTTATCTTTTAGGGTTAAACGCCTTCAAATTAATGATGAGCTCAGAGATGGTAGGTAAAATAAATAAAGATACGTGTAGACTTTCCACAGAGACATGATCGGAACAATATAACCCTTGTCAACATAAATTTCTTATCACTCAAAATGTGAAAAGCTACCTCAGGGAAACTATCTGAACCATTTACAAAAAAAGAACGTTTGTTAAATTTCAGGGAGAATAACAGAGCAATTTTTCAACAAGTTGAATATCAACAAGATAATGCGGTACATGAATTTTTTGAAAGACAAAAGCCCACGCCATAGGTTTCGTTTTAGCCAGCAGGCCTGGTTACGGCAGGACAAAACCGCTGACCCTGTTCTGAGACGTCTTCATGAAAGGTATTTTGAAATTTGAGTCAATGACAAAATATTGCCAGGATGTTCGATTGAAATCAAGAGAGATTCTATAAGATTAAGTTTTGTAAGGTTTGGCGCATTAAATATCTATGTATTTTGTGTTAGGGTTATAAGGCTTACCAAACTTCCGAGAAAGATAGTCCAAGGGGGAGAACCAATGCAGGTAAATAACGATTTTGTGCCGATCCAGTTGCTGTTTGCAGGATATTAGATATGCTAATCACATTTAGAAGGAAATTAAACTCCATAAATTTTCATATCGCTTGTAAAATGAAGTTAAAAGATAATTCTTTGAATGATATAAAGCTTTCCCACGCCGGGAATCGAACCCGGGCCTCGGCGGTGAAAGCGCCGAATCCTAACCACTAGACCACGTGAGAACTTACTTACTGTATTCGTTAATAAATCGCTCCTTAAATTTCTAACAGTCTTAAAATAACGAATTTTTAATGATAATATACCAAACGGGTTGTTTGATTTCTTACTTGTTGAGACGAGTGTGCACGACAGCAGTGATTGAAAAGCCATTGAGTTTCCTGCCCGGTAAAATGTAACCACTGCTACACGTGGAACCATTTCGAAGTCTTGTGAATTTTGAGAAAGTTTGCTATTTTTCACTTTTTAGGTTCTTCGTTATGAGAAGTTTGGTCATTATCACGGCCACCTGGATTCTACCATAAAAGACCCCACAGTCCCTTGCTGTCATCAAAACCATCTCAGAGCACCCGACTGCAGAGTCTGTAGGTAAGATTTTCACCCTAGGAGGTTACTCGGGAAATGCATCTGAAAGAATGGCGAAGAATAAATGAAACAAAGAAAAAACATAGTACTTACGAGCTGTGTACGAATGGACAAGAAAGCGAGTGAGCGAACGTTGGGTGAGAAACAGAACGAACGAGTGATTGAGTGAGTGAGACTGAAAAGAGTTGTCAACCAGTCAGTCAGTGAATCAAAGTGTCGGTGTTATGAGTGAATGATCGAGTGTGTATTCGGGTGAGGGAGTGAGGGTTATCATGGTTAAGTTTTGCTTATGGTGGGTCACGAGGTTTTTTAACTACCATGTGATATGACCAAATTTTCCCTTTCAGGTTTATTACTATTTTGTATTATCTTAACAATGTAGAAGAAGGAGGAGAAACAGCTTTCTTGATAGCTGATAACACTACAACCACTCCAGATGTAAGTAACTCAACTTTCCGCATACTCAAATACGCAGCTTATACACTATGGGTAGCTTATTCAACAAGGATATCAACAACTGATCATGATCATAGACAACGCAATTCTTCAAGGAAAAAAAAGAAAATGAAAAGAGAAAAAACCGTAGTTTCCAATTTGACAATATTTTTCTTAATGAACAAAGCAACCTAATGGTCTTTCATAGAACACAAATACAGAGGCAGGTAAGGGATACTGATTCATTTTTTCCTCTAAGATCTCTTTCCTAAATATTAAATATTAAGTCTGAATTTTACTAAACAAAGAGATATATCATATTATTTAATCTTGAAGATCATAATATGCTAATGAATTTTTTTTTTTTGCGCAGAAGTACTGATCTTATGGTGCTAAAGCTCTCGATGCATACTTGACCTTGCTCACTAAAGCGCCGTATATGTAGGCGACCTCTTCGTACGATATTTCTTAGTTTACCCTTGGCTTAAAATACCAGTAACAGCATGTCCCTGAAGACTTTCTGCGGTAAACTGCGGCATCGTCTTGAAAAATTTTTTACCCAAAAAATATGCATAAGAAAGTGAGTCGTGTTTGCACTAAAACACAAGCATAGCATGCACACAGCTAGTAGTGTTGCATGCATCGAGCTTCAAGGGGAATTATTCTTTCCTTTGTTTGATTTGGATTATTTTCAGGATATTGAAAATTCAAAAGCCGCGACAAATGAATTCAATCTCAGCATCAATTGTCATTCAGCGAACCTAGTACTACCTCCAAAGAAGGGCACGGCCATTATGTGGTACAACAATTTCATCGACCCAGACAGTGGTCTGCTCGGAGCAGTGGACCGCTCCACGTATCATGGGGGATGTGACGTCATCAAGGGAGAAAAATGGATCGCTAACAATTGGCTGACAGCGCCAACCAAATACTCAAAACACATCAAGAGCATGTTTGATACAGGATTTGATTAAAACTGGTGAAAACAGAAATTTTAAACTAGTTTAGCTTGTCTTTATAAGCCTATCATCTTTCTTGCTCAGATAACTTTTATTTAGAGACAACCAAAATCCTCCACCCCTCTCCGGCGATGAAGAATGGCCGGTCTCTAAGATAAATACTTAATGTCGATTCTCTTCATTGATACTTACCCATCATTATATTCATGAGCTCAGCAAAGAGAGATGTTGTTTTTATTTTGCTTTCTTTTTCTGTTGTTTTGTTGTTTTAACTTTTACTTTTTTATGTTTTTGTTGTTGTTTTTTTTCTCCTTTGGGTTAAAATATGTGGATTCTAGCTATGAAGGTAAATCGTTCGAACAAAAATTAATAACCAGTTCAGAAGACAATCAAAATGAAAAGTTCCCACGCCGGGAATCGAACCCAGGCCGCGGCGGTGAAAGCGCCGAATCCTAACCACTAGACCACGTGGGACTTCTGATACTTCTGATAGCCATTTTATTAGACCCAAACCTGATCATCAGGACATTGCCTAGGATATCAGGATTAGGATAGGATATCAAACATGCAGCCCTAAGTAAAATACTCCCCGAATAAGAACGTTCGCCATGCCTAAATTATTACATGGTATAGCAAGTTTGGATAAATATCTACAAACAAGACATTAAGTTACAGAGGTAAGTTTATTTTGGTTGTCAAAATATAAGGATACGAGTTTAATCACTTTGGTTCGTGGTTTCCCCATTCAAGCCTTTACAAATTTACATTGTGAGCGGGGCGTGAGTCACTTTACGCGTTTTATACTAGATATTAGGTAGAGGGAAAAATGATTCACTCCCTTATCTTAGGTCGAAGGCTTGTGACGTAACAGACTTTGGCAGCCCTTAAAACAAAACAATCGGGAATCATCAAAGCTTATAAATGACTGATTTCCTCTTTTCCCGTCTGCTGGATTGTAATCAATCTTTGGCGATATGGAGGGGTGTTTCACCGCGGATTTTTTTTCTTAGAACTTTTGCTGCCGCTTTCTCAATCAAACCCAACATCATAGGCACTCTTAAAATGTCTAGAGTTTTTCGTTGGCGCTGTTAGCCAATTATTTGCAATCCACTTTTCTCCTTTAATGACGTCACAACCACCGTGAATCGAATTGACATCCAAGTCCCCAAGAAGTTCACTGTCCGGGTCAATAAAATTGTTGTACCACATGATGGCAGTACCTTTCTTGGGCGGGATAACAAGATTAGCCATTTGACAACTGATACTCAGATTGAATTCGTCTGATTCGGGATTCGGCAGCTCCTGAGTCAAATTTTACAATAAAGTATTAGTCATTACATGTACTAATATTTGATGATATATAAGTAATCTCTTATTTTGAAGTTGTTCGATTTGAGCACATTTGGATTGAGTGTCTTAAGAGAAACAGCCAATCAGAAAAATGCAAGTGACAAAATGAAGAAAATAAGAAATCAAGATAAAAATAGAAGCCTGGGAAAATCTGAGTGACCAAACCGCCATTATTTGGAAATGAAGTTCGAGTCTAAGAAAGAAATTATTCAAATTACAAATTTAAAGTATAACTTACGGTGTGCTTGCAAACGGTCAAAAACACAAAAATCATAAAGATGATAGTGACTAACAATAGAGGTCAATTCCACAAAAAATTGAACTGGACATTTAATTCTTAGGATAGAACTAACCTCTTACCTTAAAAGTTATCGTGGAATTATCCGCCAGAGGAAATGCTGTTTCTCCTCCTTGCTCTACGTCATTGAGGTAATACAAAATAGTGACGAATCTGAGAAACAAATCAAAAAGAGCATATCTGTTTGAATGTATTCAAAATTACCCGAACACGTAAAGAAAATATCTGCAAATTAGGTATGATTAATTTATAGCAAAGCAGCTCAGCTCACCTGCAAAGTCTACACTGAGGCGGCCTTAGATCCACATTTTGATGACAGCAAGGGACGCTGGGATCCATACCAGAGTCAAAATGCGCATGATAGTGACCTGATGTTTGGTAGCGAACGACCTGAGAATGACACAAATCAGATGTCTGATGAGAGGACTTGAAAACGTGACCATTTCCACGGCAGTGAATCTAACTTTAACCAATTATTTTCATACTTTGTGAATAAAGTGGTTCCAAAATAGACGCGAGGCGCTATAATCATAGGTAGTGGTAAACTTGAAATACAATGTAAAGTGGCACGATATAAGATTCTCATGATCTATTTTTTTTTTACCTGCATTGATTCACTACCTTGAAGCAGTTTTCTTGGGAGCTTCGTTAACTTAGCAATTCTGCAACAAATAAGACATTTACATTCTTAATCTTACCCATAAATAATGGACTACTGATTGAGGTTTAATTTAAACCTTTTAATGGACTTACGAGTCCAATTTACGATTTTCTCCTTCAAGTGCCCATATTTACTCACGATCTGCCGTCAAAAAATGTGTTTTTTGAATTTTTTTTATACCGTGTACTAACCTTTCATGAAGGCGTCGTAAAATGTGGTCAGCAGTTTTGTCTTGACGTAACCAAGCCTGGTCGCTGTACCGGAATTTATGTTGGGGACTTGAGGTTCTCAGAAAACTCATATAGGAAAGAAGTTTCTTTATATTTCCGTCAATTAAATAATTGGTGGTTATTTTTTCTAGGAGCAATTAAGGTAAATGCACGTTATAAGTTTCACTTGGAACAATCAAGTAAGGTTTTTAATAATTAAACTTTATCATCAAGTTATTTCCTTCTAGTCCATGACCCGTATAATTTGAGGCTAAGGAAGAAGTGCTATCGACTTAAAACTTTGTTATTGACTGGGTCACTTTCCAATTGGACTTCACGTGCACAGTTCATTCCCAGGTCCAAATCTAATTCACTTACTCTATAATTAGGATTTCGCTTCAAACGATAGTACGTAGTCAGTACTAGATCAAAGGCACAATTCAATTCTTACTTATTTACCTTCGGTATTATCATCGAATGCCAACCCACAGCTTTCTAACCTTGATAAAAAGAAATATTCCACACACTGTGACTCATCGATATCATACCATCCATTTGCTTTGAGTGAGACTGAGAGGAAATTTTAATTCGTCACATGTTAGACCATTTTCATACTCACATTTGAACTATTTCCTCTTGTTTCAAGTGAAGTGATTTATACATCTTTGCAAATTTTCTGATCTGTGAAAAAAAAAGAACTTTTATGGACCAAGTGAGCTATGATTTTAATGAAAACTTAAAACAAAAAAATGAAAATGCTCGTGTGTTCAGATCGCAGAGTCTTATCTTTCCCTTACGCTTCAGGAGAATTTTCGAGTGGGCATCAGGAGTAACGCTCTCTGATTGGTTTACGAAACTGTCCCTGTCCCCTTGGGTTTGGTTCTTCGACACTCAATCTAAACACGCTTTATCATCCAGTGAGGACGATAACTTTTCATATAAATTATATATTTGGCGTAATTTAAAAGGTAATACTTGTGTAATCATGCTACTACACTTACTTTTGTTGACAAGTTCATTTATAATCAATCATATAAATATTCGATATTCATTTAAAGAAATTTCCATAATTTATCTTACCTCCTCTATATCAACAACATTATCTTTGTTTCTATCCCAGACGTTCAAGTCTCGTGCAAAATAATCCTCTTTGTCAAGAGTTGCATTTCTGTCTTGAAAGAAAACTAGCAAAAATTACTATCACATACTATGTAAACGTCCATACATTCATAGAGAGCTTACGTACATATTTCGATAATCCCGCGAAATTTCTCCAATTAATTCTCAGCTTTAAATCATACAGTGGGCGTGGGAGAAAAAGTTCAACCTCCTTTGCTTTTGAATTAAAATTTCATACCAAACTTGCATTCTGATCAGAAGATCAAACCACGTTGTGCACAACGTGAGTAAGCACGTTCCAAAACTTGTCTGGGAAAAGAAATTAACAGAGGATTGTTGCAATTGAGCATACCCACCAACTTGTTTCAAGACCTCGTTCAAGTCTTTCTCATCAAATTTAAGAGCAACCTGACTAGCGCTGAGTCCTGCCTCCTTTGCGAGCGAAATCACGTGCTCGCATTCGTCATCGGTTAGAAAATGAGGAATTTCTAAGGATAAGGAACAGTTTTAGAATTTTTCTGTATTAAATTCTTTTAGTTTTGTATTTATTTCAGTTGTAATGATGTTTATCTTAGTTGAAGGTTAAGTCTAGAGACCCATGTGATGTGCAATATTTATTCGACTTTTTATCAGTATTTATTACACCGCAGTTCAATCCTTTTCAGTTGGTTTTACTTGTTCATGATAGCCATATTACAAAAAATTCTTCAAACATAACCTCACCAAATAATAATGGCCTCATAGCTCTGGTGATCAACCTGTAACTTCTTCCTTCTTCCAACTCTAACCATTGCACGTGACCTGTCTAATAAAATGCAACTACTAATGAGTGTTAGGGATCCCTCGTTACTTATCACGCACCTCGGGGTCGGAAGATTTTGGTTGTGTCACAACAGTTGTATTCTAACGATCCCAGTCATTGGCAGTCAATTTTCCTTCGTTCCCCTCCCCCTCCCCTTACATTCTGTTGAAGACGATTGATCCTACCCCCTGAAAACCATGTGATTCCCCAAAAAATCTTCCGACACCCTCTCCAGGTATTGGAAATGCTTGTGCTCTCTACACAAGAGACAATTTTTTGCTTCTTTTTTAGTATATAGCAGGTGCCAGTCAAAGCAACCAGGTTGTAGGACATCTTTGTTTTCTTAACCGTGTCCGTGATGTTATTGTTTATAACTTATGTTTTCAACTTCAAAATGTTACAGTTTGTTATATATAATTACACATCAAAAATCAAATCAAAGTTAGGTTCTTATAGATTGTGTTATATCAATTGTGTTACGAAGACCACAGCTCTACCATATGAACCTAGCAACACTTTTTATTTGAATAGAAATGAATAAGAAAGTTAGTCTCAACTCAGTGATTGCTAAAATCAGTCCTTGAATGAATACCTTTAAGTTATTTGAAATAATAAAAATATCAGAGAGTAGCTAAAAACTTATTTCTTTTGTTACTTCCTTGTATTATTATATTCAACAGAAATAGTTACCTACTCACCCGTTTACCCTGTAGATGAACAAGTTTAAAACTATTTCTCCCGTCTTTATCACATGACTCGTCGAAAGTAGAATATTGGGTGAGGTCTTGATCTTCCTCAAAACACGGTTCTTTTAACATTTTGTTTTTGACTGTTGTACCCTCCAATTTTGGAAGTTTAAAAAAATTAAATAAAACCATAAAAAATGACGTTCTGGTGAGATTCATAACTAAAATTGTTACTAAGTTTAGCGATCGAAAAAAAGTGAATGTCGATGTTTAACCTCCTGGTGCCATTCTGCAGGTACGAAATCTGTTCGCGTTGGCTGTTTTGATGTGAGTCACATGTGGTTGTTCTGTTTTCGACAGGATACCTTCTTTTTATGTCCATTAAGCTAATTTTTTCCTCGGCTGACAGTGAATGGTTCTCCTAACATTGAATGCGTAAGTTCCGCCCCGATCATAACAGTGGAAAAGTAAACCGTAATAGTTAAGCTGATTCCTCAGAAAAACAGGCTATCGCCGAACAAATTTTTTTCTAACTTTCCTTAAATGTTCCCTACCATTTTCTGTTTCTTTTACCATAAAACAGATGTGTCACTGTGCTTGTTTAAGAGATATGATGGGCCAAAGTTACTCCATTTATGCCTGTGCTGACACTAATCACGCGCGCCATTTAATCGGTTCACGGTGCATTTTGCGGTAGCTGGAAGCAACGGTTTTTATGGTAACAGTTGAAAACTTGATAGGAAGAATGTCTCGAGCGTATCATCGGAATAATTTAATGTATAGTCTGTGGAAAAATCCTGCACTTTTAAACAACATCGACTCAAAACGTTTCTCGAGTCGTTGCTTTCAAAGTCATAATTTGCATCCTCAAGTAACAGGCTTCGTGCACGCTTCTCGATATATCTTTTTTTCCCTTCGATATTTTTTTTCAATTTCTCCAATTTAGAGGGGATAATTTGTTCACCAAAATTATGCAATAAAAATATAGCTCACCGCGCTCGTTCAAGAGCTAAAGACCATCCTACCTCTTTACTTCTGGTCCTTTGATTGAAAAACAGTACCGGACGTGTTCTAGGAATGCGAACTTGCTTATTCGCCTGATCACATGGTTTTTATGCGCAGTAGAGGATGTGCAGTGTAACACTGAGGAATCAATTTAAAAAGATACTCTCTGAGTTACCTCTTAAGTAACATGACATCAATGGAAAACATACCTAACACCCTGGGTCAACGAAAGTCTCACTTGTCGACAGGTTTCTCTCAAATGAAGAAGATATGTTTGGAATGTAGGCTACATGCGCTGGGGGAAACGGAAGGTGCAATGTCTAAGGCCATGGGGCGTTCGAATTCTCGTCCAAATTTCTGCACTTGCCCAAAATTTAGTAACTCTTAAAATTTGTTTATAGACAACTTTGATCTCATCAAAACGACACTTTTTGTATGAATTGGACCCCATGTGGCCCAATTGTTATCACAAAGATGTGTCAGCAAGATCAAAGTATCGTTTTCGAGATCATGGCTTTCTAATCAAAGTAATAAAATTAATAACTAATTCTTCTTTCTATTCAAAATAAACTACAGTAAAAATATCTCTCTCTCCCGCTTTAATTAGCCACAATGCTATTTTGCGGGTAGGGAATAGTGTATCCTAAATCTCATTTAAGTGGTGATAATCTTGATAAGCCTGATAAACTTGGAATGCAAGGAAAACGTACTCGATTTCAACAGCAATTTATCAAAAAACATTTAATGATTCTGACTCGAAAATTACAGTAAGTTTCCTTTAAACCTATCATGGCAAAATGGGGAAAAATTGGTCACTCTTCGTCCACGGAAAGTATCATTGGAACGTAGAATATCAAATTTAAAACAATCAGCTGGAAAAGATGAGCATTTTGATAAAAAAAAATTATTTATTTTCCAGCAGCAATTTTTCTATGAATTCATAAAAAAATGTAATTATTTTCCAGTAGGAATTCTCCTTTGAATTCGTCAAAAATGTTGTCAACTTCCTGAACACGTTCTAAGGGTATCGAAAATCTGAACTTTACATTCTTTCATATCGGACATTATATAAATTCTTCTAATATAAATTTAGAGGATTATATATTTTCATCACCCGAATAGCTGGTGAAGAAGTTCTTTGTATTCAGACAGAGCACATCAGTTCAATCGAGAGTCGTAAAACTCAACTCAACGCAATTAGCTATAGTTTAGAATCTGATTGGTCGAGAAATAGGGGCGAGTTTTCTGCAGGAGTATTCACATAGCGAAGTGAGAAAAACCAAAGAAACCTCGAATTACTTTGGACACTGAATTGAAAATTGCACCATTGCGTGGACCACAGATCTCTACTGATCACGATTTAAAATATTAGTCTAATTAATCATGATCCCTTTTAATTTTTCTTCGATATATACTGGGAATGTGCTGGTAATTCTCATATGGTGCTGGTATCCAGTGATTGGCTATCCACTTGTGTCCTCGTCTGACGTCACAGCCTCCGTGTAGGGAGTAAGGGTCTCTATCCCCAAGCCACTCGCTGTCGGAGTCAAGGTAGTGATTGTACCACATGACAGCTGTGCCTCGTTTTGGTGCTATTACCAAACTGGCGTCTTGACAGTAGTTACTGAGATTATAGGGATCTCCTTGTTGGCCTCGTTTCGCTAATAGGATCTGTTGATTTAAAATTCTAAATATCTTAAACTCGTGGGAGGTGGGGCGACATAAAGTTCAGCGCTGGACTGCATCTGAATCGAGCAGTTTGTGAGCAAACGCAAACTAAGCTTGTTACTAATAAGCAAGTCACTCCACTCTTATGCTGCCCCCCTCCCCTCCAGGAGTGTAAATGCTGCCTCCCTTCCCCTCCCCCCATAACATGTCGGGGAGACCTGACCGCGGATAACCTATTATTCTAGGTGGAGTACTTGTGATGTTTGACGCTTCCGAAGAAGAAACTGATCTTGCAGAAATATGTAACCTCTAGGAGTTAGGTCAATGGTTTTTAAAGATCAAGAACATTAAGGGGATTGGAAATGAGTAGCGTGAAAAATACAAGCCAAAATTTTTCTAAGATACTTAAACATTAACAAAGGTCCATTAAAGTTAAGATCTCACCGATTGGTTCAGAGTTGAATTATCAGCCACTATAAAAGCTGTTTCGCCTCCTTCCTCAACGTCGTTCAAATAGTAAAGAATTGTGACGAACCTGGAATTTAAGAAAAGGAAATGTTTAGCATACTCTTGAGATGAGTTCCTGTGATTCACCAACGAGTAAAGGAAGATTCAAAGACTTCCTCTTTTTACTTTCTTGCTTTTTTCTCTTTAAGGTAATCAACAGGGAATTTTATGATGTTGATAGCGGTTCACTACTGTTTTGTAACGAGCAGATGTAAAAAGAATGAGGCAATCCCACATGGTCTAGTGGTTAGGATTCGGCGCTCTCACCGCCGCGGGCCGGGTTCGATTCCCGGTGTGGGAAAGCTTTTATTTTGATTCTCAACACCACAGCCGGTGTAGGTCTCTTTTTGTCGTCCATTCAGTGTTTTTCTCAATTTTTTGTCCTTGAATCATAATACCTTCTGAGTACTCGAAAAATTATGGGATCACTGACGCAAATGGTACAAAAAAAGGGGTCCGAGCAATCTGTCTCTATCCATTGAAAGTAGCAAAAAAGTTTCTTTATTACGAATGTAAGGGATTTTAAGGGATTAATGTTTAATCCAAGTTTATGTTCCTAACCTGTGTTGTTTTATTTGTCGTACTTTTGTTACAGGGGTTAAAGATCGACCGGGAGAGTCGCACAAAGAAAGAGAATCAAAATAAAAACTTCCCACGCCGGGAATCGAACCCGGGCCGCGGCGGTGAGAGCGCCGAATCCTAACCACTAGACCACGTGGGATTGCAACGACTGGATAAACCATCTAGCTATCACGTCACTCCCTGTATAGCTTTTATCTTATTTACCTGCAGATGCGACATGGCAGAGTTTTGTTTCTCGTCTGGTGACAGCAAATCAATTTGTCGTTACCAGTGCCTGAGGAGTCGTAGTGGGCGTGGTAATGTCCATACTTGTCGTATTTAACCACCTATGACAGGAAAAAACCTGCAACTAATGCAATAGTGTAAAGCCCTTCAAAATCACTGCATTGGGTGGGAAAGATTTATTGGAAATTCTACTGAGCACCCTTTATTTTGTCTCAACTCACCTGAAGTGATTCGGCACCTTCTACTATCTCACGAGGAAGCTGGGTTAACTTTACAACTCTAATATTTGAAACAAAAATTAGTCTTCATTAAAGTAGGTTAAATATGTTCCTGTCAAGTTAAATATGTTCCTGTCAAGTTAACAATACCATTATCTACTAATGAACATTACTTAAGTAGTGTTCCTGTACTGCCAACAAGATTGGCTTGTTAGCTCAGTTGGTAGAGCATTTTCAGAGGTCATGGGTTCTTTAACTGCAGTTCAAATATATGATTTTCATATATTCACAACCGTTTAATACCATTATCGGAACAAGTTTTTACTGAGCACCTACCCATCAACCCTAACCCTAACATCAGTATCCTTATTAAATGAATAAAAAAGGAATGAATAGATAAATAAATAAATTAACTGATTAATAAAAGAAATGAAGTCGTTGGTGCTCTTAGGTATATTCTCGAATACAGATCTCAAGAATCGAGTAAAGATGACTGAAGAGGACAAGAATGGAGAGATCTTATGTTCTCTTTTAACGATATAGTGACGTTAAGTGCAAGTAATTTTGTTAAATCACACACCTGTCAATAATTTTATTTTGTATTGGGTCTGGGGTGGTGCTGTGTAACCAGGCCGTGTGACTGTAGCGCGATCTATGTCTTGGGTGTTTCCTTGCCATTGTCTTCACGAACTTGAAGAGATCATTTGCGTCCATTTTTCTGTATGTGTCATAGCTCACGGCTCCTATGCATGAAACAAAGACAATTTTGATCCACCGAACTGAAAGTCTTAAAACTTAAGGAGTTGACTGAGTTACATGTACTATCTTCATTGACACCATCACTGCGCAGAAGCATTACATATCGACATTCCTATCTTAGCAGTATGGCAGTTAAACTGCCCAGCCTGCCACGATGAGTCTCATATAATACAGTGATAGACCGTCCGAAGTACCGATATGAAGGTGTCAGGTTCAGCTCCCATTGAGAGTACTCGAAGTTCTTTTTCTCCGAGTATGCCTGTATCATTCGTTGAATAAAATCGTTTTTCACCACAAAAAACCGATTTCAATAAGCTATCGTTTTCTAACCTAGACAAACTTTACATGTTCGACGACAGTTTCTTAGCATCCAGTTAGCATGATCCGGGTGGAGGCATTTTCCTTCTTTTTCCAGAGAAGAGCAGTTGGCTGCCAGGTCTTCACATCCACAGTTTCTACACGCTTTCCTACAGGTGAGTAGCATCCAAACTGGAAAGTTCTCACATTCTCCGTCCTGCGCGTATTTGGAGCAATCAGCTTCATTATCATCGCAGAGGAGACCTATAAATTAAGGTTTTTTTAGTAAGAAAAGCTGTAGAGCCAGTGGAAAAAGCAAAGAGACGATAAAAAAAACAAAACAAAAGAACACTACACCAGAGATCAAAATAGAAAAAAAAAACCGTAAAATTGTTAAACAAATGCGCATTGAAAATTTGTTTTTTTGTTCTCTTCTACTAGCGGTCTTTCGTCACAATTTAATTAAAGATGATCTTCTCATATTACCATATCTCGTGTTCGTACCTCCCAAAAAGGTGGGCACGCCGTGAAAAACAATATTTGTTGGATAGCGGGAGGGAAATATTTTTTTCCTACAACCTGTTTAATCAACTTAGCTTAATTTTTTTTCAGTCGGGTCAAATTTTGATGTTTACATAGCAAAAGCCGCGTGCTTTTTAAAATTGCTTTTATCAATATTACTTACCTGAACCAAACTGTGTGACGTTCAAATCTAAAAACCTGTAGTTGTGCCAGATAAAACCAAACAAGGATATGATTATAGCAAGCGACGTAATAAATGTATGTAGATTCACGATAGGTGAAGGATCATCGGAAATGTACATTTGATATTAGAGAACATTCGTCTTAAGTGCATGGGCATTTATAGGAAAACACAAGGTAATTGTACAGTGAACTGTTGTAGGTTATCTGGTTAGTGCACTTAACCGCATATGACATGACGCTTTTTTCCATTTGACTTCAAATATTTCCAACATTCATTATTATGTCAAATACTTGCATTTCTTGTAGATCTTGTTCATCCAAGTACATGAAAAATAATCTTTCTACTGCCTTACTGAACTAAAACAAAGACAAAACAAAAATCGCAAACTTTAAAAAAAATTGACCACAACTTTTTTAATTTCACCACAAAAGCTTTCGCGCCTAGAAATAAAATCAAAACTTAAGAAAAATTTTTATCCTTCTTTGCATATTAATTTTGTTTTTGCTTTTCGCTGAAGCGAAGATCTGGAAGTGAAATTTTTCTCTCTTCATACAACATATTGACCCAGTAGAGGAAATAACAAATTTCAAATGTAGCCAAAATATTGCATTTTCAAATTGGATATTCAGTCATAATGTCTAAAAACCCTTCGTTGCTGACCACAAAGGAAGTTTAAACTTTCTGCGTTATAGTCGTCTTGCTTATCATGAGATCATAATTTTACTTTTTTAAGCCGTTTGTAGGTTCGTACGGCAAAAGTTTTGGGCTGTTGTATATTACGATTACATTGATTGTACCTCATATCCCGTGAGTATACCATCCTCATCACGGTCCAAATCATCAAAGTCAAGAACCCTTCCATCTGAAAAGCCAATCACAAAAGTAAACTAAAACTGACAGGAGAAAGTATGCAATCATTCATGAATTATTTCAATGAGCACTAATAAGCACAATACTTGACCCAGCAAAAAAATGTTACTAGCTCTGATCCAGGCGAAGAATCCCGCAGGAGAAATATTGTATTACTAAACTTTTAGGTTATCAAACTCAGCAATAGACTAGTGAAAAAAATTTGCTCCACTTACCTTCACATACTTCACAGCTCTGCTGGCAGTTTTTTAACATATACCCAGGATTTTTCTCACACTCTCCATATTTAGCCCATCTCACACATCTGTAGTCATCGTCATAACAACTACCTATACAAATCGACAATTAAATGATATAGAGACTAATTACTAGAAAAAGAAACTCTTCTTAGAAATAAACATCTACTATAGAGCCGATCCACTCACTCACTAACTAGTCAACTGAAACACAGTGCACTCGAGCAAAGAAAAGAAGCCTAAATATTTCAGGCTCGACGGGATTCGAACCTAGACCTCCCAGATACTAGTTGGGTATTATCACCAACTGAGCTAAGAAGCCACTCGTTGCTAATAGCCTAACTAACATCTGGGAGGCCCGGGTTCGGATCCCGTGGAAGCCAGAATCTGCTATTTCTTTAAAATTACAGTCCACCTACGAGGGTCATCTTTCTTTGAGTTTTACTCTCAAGTCAAATAACAAAAAGTTGTGATTGCGCGTAAGAGTTTTTTTTTCTTTTTACTCACTAGCAAACTTATCTTGTTCCTCAGGCAAAGCAACTTCGCTCAACTCAAGTCCTGTTTCCTTTGCTTTTTGCATAATATGCTGGCATTCCTCTTCAGTCAAAAAATTTGGTATCTCTAAAAATGAAATACAGAAAAGCCACGTTTTATTCCCTTCCCTTTGATTTATATTCATCTGCGTCACAGTCCTCCCACGGTGGTTATCAGTTATTCAATTTACATCTATTTTTGGCACTCTCGAATTGATAACAAAAACATGTGTTATGAATGCTCCATGAAAAAAAATTAGGAACGTCTCAAATTGCAAAATATTCCTCTACCAAAGTGACTTTATGACTGCCACCTGTGTTTTCATGATCACAAACGTTGACTCCATTACAACCATTCATTTCATTGACGGGTACTCTCTCTCTAGCTTTAATGTCACGTGTCTTTTTTCCACAAGCAAGAACTGAAACGTCTAGAGCGGTCTAATTTGTAAGTTTTGGAGGTATCAATAACCAGAGAAATGAGTACACTGAAGTCTCCTAACTTTAATATGAAAACGTAAAACGTACCAAAAACAGGAGGTTTGAGTGCTCGAGTGATAATTTTGTGGGTTTCCCCTGCAACTAAGTGCTCATGACTCACATGACCGACCTGCAAGAAAAATCGTTGAAAGAGTATCAGAAAGCTTAAAATCTAATTCGCTAAGGAAACCGAGAATATTTTAAAACTGCACTTTAAAATAACGAAATAATTATGAAAGCCACCACCTTTTAATCTTCATGACCAGTATAGGATAAGTGCAGTCAAAAGTCTGGATTAATAATGAAAACAGTTTTGCAATGTTGCTTACCACTGTTTGCACTTGTTCTTCATAGCTAATAGGCAATATCTTGAACTAAGGCGAAACGATTCTTGTGTTTACAATATCAATTAGACATCGATCGTATTTGAGATAATGGAAAAGCCTTGGAAGCTTCAAAAGACAGTAAGCTACCAGCACTGCTATGAATACTCATGCAGGTCTTACGTGAAAATGAAGCAGGTAGCTGATTTCCACCTACACAAGGAAACATCGTTTTGACTATAATGTACTAATAATGTTTAATCTATTTTACCTCGGAGAGTAAAATATAAAGAATAGATATCATTACTTGCGAAGGAATATCAAGGAGTCTCAAGTCAGGTTAACACTTTAACATTTAAAATCATTTCTAATATACGTCGACGTCCTTTTCACGTGTATTGCAGGCTGTAATTTTTAGTTTATTTATCAGATAAGTTTAAATAGTTTGAGGAAAAATACCTGTTTTCCATCTATGCGAACGAGTTTTCGTTTCAAGAGCGGCTGTCTTTTGACGCTGCAAGTACCTTGCTGACTTGATACATTCGCGGAGTAACATTTCTCCTTTGTCACAATATTTGGCGGATGGCTCCATTTTACAGACAAAGCACTAAGTGAAGTGCAGCTTAGACATAGGATGACTATCGCTTCTGTCAAAATTAGGCGCATCTTAAAGCTCCAACGCCAGCTAAGATTATCAAACTGTCAAATTAAATTGAGCCACTGCGAAACTGAATTATGTCTTGCTTAGGTAAAAAAGACTTTGCTGAAACAATACTTACACCTGTTGCTGAATCGACTGGACGGCAACAGGTTTGAAGCAAGTCACCCACGGTTTATGCAAATGAATAGCATTATTTCGTCGTTACCCTTTTGCAACATACCACCTGGTAGTCAAAACATTTTCAGAGCCAGAATTCCTAACTCATGAGGTTCATGTTTCCAAGTATAACTGTAAATTATTATCACTTTGTCGGGCATTGTGGCGCACTGTGCCGGCTGAAATGGAGGTTTTGGCGTGCTTCAATGTATTTTGGCCCGCCTGCATGCTCACGTGATTGTTTAAGGCTGTTTTGTTGTCATTTTTCAGTTTTTATTTTCACCCTACCCTCTAAAGTGTTACTGATAGTAATACAGTTTATGCTCTTGGCCATAAATACGTTTTGGGACTTTTAACTCTGGTCATTTTGACTCTGAATTGGGCCCAAAACATATTCATGCCCGCTAAAACAAATGCTATCGTTATAATAACGGTTTGATTACCGCTAGTAACTCTTGGTCTGTTCATAGTTTAACGTATTTCCTTTGAATCTCTCTTGGAGAAAATAATTGATCCTGTGCAGCAAGACCTGCAACAATTTTTTTCCCATTCGTTTACCATCATCAGTAAAGTAGAAGTAGAATTCGGACAATCGTAGAGCATAGTTAAGTTACAGATCTTAGTTTCCGCCCATCTCTCAATAATTAAATATCTTTTGGCGCGACGCTCATTTCAATCAAAAGCATAACTTACGCCAAACAATTATCCCAAAAGCAAAATCAACATTTTTACCGCGATGGTGCTGTTCTTGTTCTTCATAGGCCCGTTAGCAATCTTTATCGTGAGAAGAAAATTAATCAATTTTTCAAAATTAAACAACGGGGATTGCCTTTTAAGCAACATTCTTATTATAACTCAAAATAAGAATTTTACGTTACTCTTGATTTTTTTAACTTCAGCCAAACTTCTAGACACTTAATTAATAACTAACGCATTCAATCTCCACGTAAGAAATTTGAGGTCGACGATATGACAACACTTTCATTAGTGGTTCCTCGTGAACAGCGTGAACAGACATGTAAATAAATCTTCGTCGCCACAAATTTAGCAAACCTTCTTGCTATTGTTTCAAAAAGAGAAAAAGAAACAAGGCTAATAAAATTTTCTCATGCAACCAATAATTCTGAAATACCCCAAAAATGAAAAAAGCACTGCGTACCGGATTTCAGGGCTCAGCGATGTAGTCCAAATTTTAATTTTTCTCAATTTCTTTGTAATATATTCGCGTAAATTGGAAAATCTACGAAGAATATTATCTCGTTTAACTTACCCCTGTGTACAAATATATCGTCATGTTCATTGATATTTCACTCAAAAGTTTTATGAATGAAGGCAATGTCATTATTAGAACCTTGCAAATTGACGCTCGAAATTATTGCTTTTTTCGAAAACTTAAAAATCTAGATTACCTCATGAGCAAAAACGTTATAAAACGGACAGTACGCATACAATCTTTAATTAAAGCCGTCAAAAGTCTGATCTTCGGCTTTTAACTGTAAATAAACAGAATTGCTCTGATCAAATAATCCTTTAATTAACTCTTGCGCGGAGCAGCTGCAGATGACTTGTAAAATTTAAAAAAACAAATTAAACTCATCGTTAGTGCTGAGAGGATAGTTCAGCCGTGAAACACTAAGAACATCTTCACCGAAACATGTAAAGCATGAACCTAACAGAAGGTAAGAAGATTCCTATTATCTCTCTGGTTTACAAATATGAATCTTGTTTGTGGCCCTCGCAAGCGAAGGTGTTTTCTGTTGCCGGTTGGTACACCTTACGGATTATGGTCCACTCACATTTTTTTTGCTTTGATCCTCGTTCGTGAGAAATGACTTAAACATCTTTTTATTATTATCTTTTTTTTATAACAAAAGCTCTACTTCTTTTTTTAATTTATTTTAGCCGGCGATTTTTCACTCGGAAGTGAAATAAGCACCCAATTGACAATAAGTGAAATAACCCTCATCGAAGTAACTTGCAAAATTGCAATCTTTTAATTAGAAGGTGACATATTGCTCCTACCTTGAAGCCTCTAGGTTTTTATTTTTCTTTTCTCTTTTTTCTTTTGCCTTTTTTTGATGGCAGTACTTTTCCTTTCTTATTAGCTCGATCCAACCAACGGGGGCTCTTTGCTTTTCGACTGAAATGCAGATGAACGTGCCAAATTTAGTTTTCTATTACTCCCCATCAGTTTATCTGCCAGACCAAAGATTGTATGTTTTTTAAAATTTCTTCACTGATTCAAGCTGTGTATATAATTGTTTTTAAAATGCAATCACTGCATGACGGTAGACGAAAAATTTTTTACATTGGAACATACTGAGATTCATAATCATTATTCGCGAAATTTTTCGTGTCGAAGTAAATATCGACCGAATTAGCTGATTCATGTGTTTTGAATCGTGTCATCTGTTGAAAAAAAATGGCTGTATGCAAGTTATCAAGATTAATTTAACCACGATGAGATTGTTACGCGACGAGTGTAATCTGATTTTTACGTTTTATTTTTTTATTATTATTTGCTAACTACGATGCGGTAAAAAAGAAATCGACTTGGTATCTGAAATGAAGCAATGTGACTTGGGGCTTTTCAGCATAATCCCAATTAAATACGCTTTGTCTGCCAATGCTTTGAATATATAACTCCAATTTTTTTTCAAAATGGCTAGAATCATTTTGTTATTTTGTTTGGCGAAAAGCCATGGATATCCGTTTTACCTTAATTTCTCAAGTCGTAATGATCTCTGAAACAACACCCAGTAGTTATTTGACCATTCAAGGACCATCATACATAAGATGAAGTGCGGCTGTTCGTCAATGCGCATAATCAAAATCTTCTTTCATTCCTTTTGTGCCATGATACTGAATATTCATCTTGAAACATGATTCATTTAAGCAATATACTTCACCAAAATCAACTTTTCAGAGAATATCTAATTTTTAGTAACATTTGTTTGATGCAAAGAGAGTAAGAGTTTAGCGGCTAAAGACAAATAGATGTTGACGAGTATAATAAAAAATTCCCACTCAGGATCTAACTAGGGATTTACGGGTTGGAAAAATTACCTGTAGTTGCAATGAAAAATTTATATCATTAAAAGATTTTAAGGAGGAAACTGTCTCAAAAAATGCTCGCCTTTTTTCATCGTAAATTGCAAAGAGTGAAAAAAGTTGATTTCCGAAACTGAAAACATAAATTGGCCACCGTGAAGAGTTTAAGCCTTTAAACTCATTACGATGGCTAACTTACGTTTCAACTCACTTGATGACACTATCCTGTTACACTCTCCCACCGACGCAGTACCACAGTTTCTTTAGAAACTTACCCCCTTTATTAATTTCGAAACTGTCCATTAGTAGGTAATAATCATAAAAGGAAATTGTCAGATGTTAAATGATATGAAAACACGTGTACACCAAGCACATTTAGTTCATCATTAATCCCGACGCTGAAGATTCATCTTAAAACATAATTCACTCCAGCTATATACTTCACCAGAATCAGATTTTCGGAGAATGTCTCATTTTTGATAACATTTGCTTGATAAAAAAAAGTAAGGGGTTTGTTGCTAAACATAAATAGATGTTGACAAGCATAATAAATAATTCACACTCAGGTTCTAAATTTAGGATACATACCTGTCAATGACTGTGTATGCCAAACGTTCATAAACCTCTTTCAGTTCCCCACTTTGAAATTAAAATGCGGTGCAAATGAGTAAATCTATTTACAAAAACAATGATTAAGAAGTGATAACGGGTTAGAGCAATCAAACAAATTTTGAATTTCTTTCAAATTAGAGCAGCTGCTTCAGTTTCTATCGGTCATAGGAAATGAGCGTTTACAGAACAGCGCTCGGCTCATTGGATACTGGTCACTCGAAACAGACTCTAATTTCCTTCAGGCATTAGTAGAGGAGTTCATGCCCCATCGACAGGACAATGAATACAACTGCAGGGTGAAATGCTGATTTACAGGTTGGAAAAATTACATACATACATTAGTAGCATGGTAAAATTTATATGATTAAGAGATTTAAGCGGGAAATTGCCACAAAGCTCGCCTTATTTCATCGTAAATTGCAAACAGTGCAAGCAGTTTATTTCCGAAACTGTCCAGCACTAGGTGATTATCATAGAATGAAATTGTTAGATCCTCTATGATATGAAAACACGTGTACACCAAGCAAATGTAGTTCATCGTTTATTCTAAACTAAGTACTGTATAACTTAATTTCACCGTACAACAACGGCCTAAAAGGTAGGGAAAGAGAATTAATTTAACAAAATATGCCTCTACTCATGCGAGAAAGTAAGTTATACGAGTTTATATTACTAGAGTTTCCTTTCTGCGCAAATGAACCTCGGAGAGAACCTTTTATAAATATGAATTTCATTATTCGCAATTCAAAATAAGATGTGAATAGCAGCCAAGCTTTGCCTTTTAAAAGGAAAAAACAGTCTTGAATGATAATCTGCGGTCTGCACTAATTTATCAACACCCGTGGAACGTATTGATGTATAACACTTCAGTCCATAAACTCATCAGAATAAGATGTAATTTTTCCGATTGCTTATAAAATTAGTTGGCAACATTTTTTTCACCGAAAAAATATATTCTGATCATATCGAAAGAGGACGCGTCAACATTTTTGCTGTTCATATATTTATGTATGAATACAATAGTAACATAAATTGATATTCTTCCTTTTTGTCATCCCCGATCACTTACTTTTAATAAATACTGCGAAACGATCTTAAATTTTGAGTAATTTCTGTTCGAAAATGAGTGAAATCATTTGTAAAGTATCTGCGTCCCTCAGATAATTCGCAATTCTAAGTTACTATGGGGACGATGGGGGGGGGGTGGGGGCAATTATCACAGAGCCATCGTTCTTGTAACACTCAAGAGCTCTTGAAAACAAGTACCAGAATAAAATTTACCCCATAATCAAATTCATAGTTATTTCAATTTAGAGTAGTTTAAAAAGGACTTGAAAATGAAGTCCAAATTTAATCACACTCTTTTATTTTAGTTTTCGTTTTCCGCCCTATCAGTTTCACGCTTGCGTCTCTCAAAAGGCTTTTAACACGTAATTGTTGAACTTGGAAGCTGAAAATATTGATCCTCTTCTGCATATTATCAAAATATTCTGACACTTCTGCTGACACTTTGAGTGCTTTTTAGTGACATTTTCGTAAGATCCCAACTGTTTGTTTATTATCTATGGAAAAAAATGCAAAAACCTGAGCTTTTCATGATATTGGAAGCTTATTAAAAAAAAAAGTCTCCATCTTTATACCTAGAAACGCGTCAATACCTCAGTTAAGCGGCTAAAAGAGCAAGGCAAATTTTTCGTTGATGGGATAAACATTCCCACTGTTGAAGGTACGTTTGTCTTCATTAAGTATGCCTTACGTTTACCTTTGAGAAGTTCGGCTCTGTTAGCTTGCTTTAGTTTGCAGATGAGATACAAAACGTTATGGTATAATTCCGTTGAATTCGTTTCGACAGCAACGTTTTACAGTACACGAATGGGATGATCGACCAAGTAGAATCGCGTAATACCGGCAACCTTGGTTCGATGAGGTGCATGCTCACATTTTCAAGATTTTGTGTCCTCGATAACAAACAACTCATTTTGCAAATGATGAGTAATATGCAGTATTTGTGTAGATATTTCAAGTTTATGGCTATTTTATGTTGTGCATTGAGCCAAGACAAACCTTTTTTTAAATATAAAACTAAACACAATGAAGAGAGCTAATCGAACAACAAAATAGCCGTGAATAACCTTTCCAAATTAACTACTATGGTTACTTGTTCAGGGAAACATAGTTAGCTAACAACTTCCAATTAAGGAAAATTACCAAAGGTCATAAGTGTCGTCAAAAATCGATTTTCACACAACCTAACGCGTAATATCAGAACAATTTCCTGTTTATACCACTTCAAATTCATCAAGTTTTAAAACGAAGTACAGTTAATTGAATAAATTGACACATGCATGGAATACGTTCAACTTCGAGTATTTGTCTTGATATTTATCGTCCATTGCATGAGTTCAAAACGATTTCTTTCATTTGCATTTTAGCATGTATGTTAAATTTGTCTTTTGTTTTTTTTCTTTGTTATAACCAACAAAATATAACATTTTGCTATAACTAATTCCTTTCATCATTTTTTTGAATATTTTTTTTCATTTTCTGCAGGAGGTACATCCCATAATTACACCGCAGCTTTTTCATTGTGATGTCAACGAACTCCGACAGCGACATGGACGCCAAGAAGTTAGAATTTTTCTGGGGCCCGGTTCCCAAATACTACTGGGTTCTTAGCGCTATAAATGGACTAATTACCCTGATATGTAATGGATTAGTCATCTTCATAATACTTAAACGAGAAAGGCTTTACCGAAATCCTTGCAACTGGTTACTTTTATCACTGGCTTTTTCTGACCTAACAGTGGGAATAATTATGATCCCGTCGCTGTTTCTCTGCTACTTTTCGACCATACCGTGCGACTGGAATGTGAACAAAATTGTGTACGACCTGTTTCTTTACATTTCCGTCACAAATCTTTGTTTTCTCACTATGGATAGATACATTGCAGTGGTGTTTCCTCTTAAATACAGCCTGCTTATCCCTCGAAAGTCCACCATCAAGTTGTTAGTAACAGCTTGGCTATTTCCTCTGGTTGTATGCGGTGTTTCTCTTGTGATAAATCTGCTCACCATAGCCGAAACATCAAAAAAAATTTTAGAACATGTATTTGTGGTCATAAAAGTTACCACATTTGAATTGCTGCCTTGTGCGTTAATGCTACTTGCCTACATACACATCTTTCAAATAAGCCGAAGACACGCCAGACACATAAACTCCCTTCACAGAAGCTTAAGGAGAAGGAGTGATAGCACAGCCAGTGAAACAAAATGGCGCGCAAAATCGACCATAAAAGTGTTCTGTGTAGTTGTTCCTCTTTTCGTTATTTGTTGGACTCTAGCATCGTGGAGAGAGATTTGTTCGGCGTTCAACCGCTGCTCAATACCTCCGACCGCCGTTCACATTTCGCGACTTCTGTTAAAGGGGCACTCCATGATTGATCCTATCGTCTACGCACTACATAAAAAAGACATTCGCAAGGAGCTATTTCAGACCGCCGGCATGTCTCATCTGCTTACACTTGACATTCGGCCGCGAAGCTTCAGGAGTGGCAGTGAAAATTCCTATACAGTTTCATGCGAAAGGGACGCGCCTCGAATGGAAAATGACATTGACAACTTTGGCACCTACACTGCTCTGTAACAACCATGGCGCGGTGAAAATACTTTGGATATGATTCTTAAAGCAACTTTCCTTCATATTTAATTGATAAGACATAAGTGTAAGGGTTTCATTTATTTACTGATTAGCTTTAAATTAAAAGTTAGAGTGAGATTTTCGAGTTGCTCATGTACAAGCTAAGGTTACGAAAGCCTCGAAAGAAAAGAACTAACAGCAGGTGCACTGTCGGCCATGTTGAATAAATAATTCATATAACTCAAAGAGGCTTTCTAGTTGATCGACAATATGACACTTTCGTAGAAATTCTTTGGAAAATCAGTTGAAACATGAGAGAGGACGCTATTCTTATATTCGTATCTTCCCTCGTCTCGGTCCATTGTCATTTGTTCACCGATGCAGGTTCAGACCAGCACTGCGAGGATGACACGTGCATAACAGATGAAAGACCGTGTTTTATTCCTCGGGAAAAAGGTATCTTAACGCGCCTAGATGGAGTAAAAGTAAGTAAATATGAGGGCAAACAAAAACGATTATTAACGTTTCTGTTATGCCTGTGTATCTGTTATTATTCCTCCATAGAACATTGCAATTTCGGCTGGGTAATTTTTGTTATTTTATCGAAATCAGTGACTCGAGGAAAATTATGTAATTTCCGTGACAGTCCTAATCAGAAAGCTTCATCTTCCCCTGGAAAAGCCATAAAATGAACAATATTGTTATTCTAATGAAGCCTTTCGATTTTCAGTTAATCAAACTTTTTTGAATTGGCTAAACACTGAGAGCTGGTTGATTGAACGAAATCTCATTTGCACTATGGTTGCAGACCATCAGAATTGTTTATGGTCGGGTTATTTAAAGTAAATTAACGCTTTCCTGTTAGCTGAATTTCTTCTTGACACTGTTTAGAAATGATCAAAGTTTGAATCAATGATCGGGCCACAGATTTATTCAAGAACGTCTGATATTAATTTATTAAAAAAGGCAGGATCTAACTTAAAGCTTACTTTCCAAACTCATCAAATTTCCTATTTTATCTTAAAATAAGGCTTACACTTGCTACTTCGAAGCATTTCGTGTTGTGAAAATATTCCAAATCGTTGCAATTTTCAGTTTCATATTCAAAATATAATTTACGCTATCAATTTTTTGTTAAAATTCATTTTTCCAAAGTATAGTTTAGATTCTCTGTATCTGTTTAAAGTCAACTTTTCGAGCTGACTGCAAAAAACTGGTACCCGGTCTTATCACATAAAGAATACAATAAATACACCAGATGGTTTACTGGTACAGTTTAAAGATTCTGTCACGTGTTGCAGTAGAGTTAAAATTCATATCAAGTCTTAATCGTTAAAAATATTATGTGACGAAAATAACTGATTAACACCTCCAGAGAAGCCAGTTCAATTTACCTTAGTTACAGTTTATAATTCAAGCAAACCATGGGTTGAAGCGAATGGCCATTAAAATAGTTGAACGTTTACATCTGTTTCCTTTCTCGCTTGAACCGATATTGCCAAATTACTAATTACTATACGATTTTAAGGTTTTGCTCTGCGTGATGCAATATCCCTCTGAAACATTTACTAACCTTTCACACCCTAACATCATTATGCACATTCTCCATACTGTACTCCATACATTTCCTTAGGAGATGACAAGGAGAATTTGTTTAACAATCAAGAGCTTCTTCATTTGGTGATCATTTCGTTGATTCTCGTGACCTTAAAGTTTTATCGAAAGGTGACATTGTAAGGAGAAATTAGATGATGACCCTCCTTAGCGATTAAATAAAGGTGTCCTCAGGGTTTTTTAAAAATCGTTTCGGGTAAAAGCAATTGTATAGTATCAATTCAACTCTGGAATTTTTAAACATGTTTCGCCATCATCTCGAAGTTTTTATGTATGAAAATCAAGAGGAATGTTTGATTTCTACGTGAAGAAGTTCCACTTTAGCGAGCTAACAATCATCATTTTTCTTTAGGTTGGGCACAAACAGAAAGTTGATCTTGGAGCAGAAGGAAAAAAAGTACTGATAACTCGGGCTTTGAAACCACTCTTGTTTGGTGAGTGTCAGCCCAACGTACATTTAAGGGAATTTGAGACTTTTTTTCAGCAACTCTTGCCCAAACCACGTACAATTCACCTCTATTGGCGTATGCGTAGCCAGAAATTAGGAAAAATTGGTTTTGGTTATCAAGGGAGCCATTTCTGTCTACAATTTGGTTGCAACTTGGCTACATATCCACTGTATCTGCCAGAAGATGAAGAAATAAACATTCAATATTAAGCGAAATAAATGGTATAAAAATATGGCGGAATTTCATCTGAAAAACAACGAACAATTTTCGCACCTTTTTCATTATCTATCTTACCTCCTCAGAGATCCCGAATTTCTTATCTGAAGAAGAATGCAACCACGTTATATCACTGGCCAATGAAAAGGAGTTGGTCAAAAGTGTCGCTAGAGGAGGACTAACAGAGAGCGACACATGGACACATGACCCAAATCGTAAGTGAGTTAAATTAATTACCACACAGGCTGATTTTAATTGGACACATCAAAATCGAAACTTAGTGGCAAACAGCGAAGGCAAGTTTGGTTTAACTTCTACTCGGTGCTATGCAATGAAAAATCAAATTAAGAAAATTTTTCTGTGAGTAGGACCTTCAGCTTTAGAAACTTGAACACAAAAGTGAGTGAGATAAACTGGTCAAAAGACTATAGTGTCAAACTTTAAAACACAATAAGTCCAGCTCTAAACAGATGATTTAGAACTACTTGATAGATTTCTCCCTGAATTGTAAGCTATTAGGTCCCCGTACCGCTGTTAGCCTCTTAGTTGTACCATTACTAATGGTGATAACAGCAATCACAACAACATCACAAATAACAATAACATAGAGAGCAACTATAACGAAACTATGACGATGACGTTGACGATTATGATTCTGATAATGATAATGATGATGGTGATGACTATGACGATGACGATGAAAATAATGGAAATTTTAGTGATAATGGAGATATGATAATGATAAAAATGATAATGATATGATAGTGATAATGATAAGAATAATGTTAATGATAATGATAATACAATGATAATGATAATAAAATGATAATGATAATGACAATGATATTATAGTGATGATAATAATGATAATAAGAATAAAAAAATGATAATAAAATGATAATGATAATGACAATGATATTATAATGATGATAATAATGATAATAAGAATTAAAAAAATGATAATAAAATGATAATGATATTAATAATGATAATAAAATGATAATGATAATGGTAATGATAACGATATGATAGTGATAATAATGACGATAATGATAATGATGATGATAATGATAATGAAATTAATTGATTACAAAATTCCCTTTGAAAAGACCAATTTGAATTGCAGTATTTGGAAAAGCGGAGGGCTCGAGAGGACTGTATGAAAATTGGGACTTTGATCAAGATGGAAAAATAACAATTGATGAGGTGAGGACAGTACAGTATTCTATATGTAAAAAGAAACACCCCAGCTTTGTTACCTGTCAGATCAGTAACGTTGATGAATATAAAATAATTTTTTTCCTTTCAGATAAAGAGATTTGCGAAGGTAGAAAGGTACCTTTATCTCACGGATGAGGAAGTGAAACGCATGTAAGTTTGCCTCCACTCTAAGGTGAATTACTACATGGATCGAAAATACATTAAATAGACTGTTTAATAGCTTTGCAATGCTTAAAGCGTTTGTTCGCGGATCTAGCCGAAAAAGATCACGTAGTCGAGGAAGGATTTTATTCGTCGTCTTACGTCAAGCATGGGAAATAGGAAAGAAATTTGATTCCCCCTGAAGGAATAAATCCCCCGGCGTCTTTCATAAAACTTTACTTGTGGACAGGATTCACTCAAATCGAGGAGGTTAGATCCCTCCTCCTTTTTCCCACTCGTACTTAGCTATATTTCGAGCCACTTTGAGTAATTTTGCGCTGTTTTCTATCAGTTGAACGCTTTCATCAAGTTAATGTTCTGTTACGTATTAAAATAATCAAATAACAAAATTCGAAGGGAAAAACTTTTCTACGCAGATTTAACACCTTTGCACGAACCTGGATAGAATTTGTAAAACACATTTATTAAAAAGAAGTTTGCTGTTCACAGATTTCACGACTTGAAGCTACGGGAGTTCGATGATAGTAAGTAAAGACCATAACGTAAGAGATATGATAATCTCAGAAATGTGACATATTTAAGGGTTCTGTTTAAATGGTTTGAACCGATTGCAGTTTCTTGAATGTGCAACTAGAGGACAAAAATATCGCAGAACTATGAGGGGCGACCAGACAATATATTTTGAAAAACTAGCTCACTTTTATATAGAAATTAAAACAGTAACTTAATAAATCAGTCACTCAGTCTGTCAATCACTCAATCAATCAAAAAAAACCAATCAATCGTTTCCCTTAAATGCAAGCATAAAAGGGTCTGACAATAGTTCTGCAAATACCTCTTAAGTGATGTGCGCACATTCATCCAGAAAAGATTCTCATACGGACTCTGATGATGTAGGTGTCATTACTCGTGAGGAGTTTCAAGACATGAACACGCTCCTTGTTGACAGCTACTTGTACGAAATGGGCCGCAGCCATCCGCGTCACCGAGAAAGATTCAGTGAACAAACATGGCTGACAGGGGAACACGAAGACGGAATTCTTCAAGACATCCGCATGAGGTTGGACGATTATAGTTGCATAGACCTATAATTAATGTCAACTAGCACAATTATTATGGAGCCATTACCGCATGTTACTCTCTTATCTCACTCTTTAGCTCCTGTGTAAGTTTTGATGAAATTTCATCCTGCCCCCGAATTGAACATCCGTGCTGGGGAGGGTCCGGGGCAGGGTATACTACGTACAGTGGTCCCGAGGGGATCACCCTGAGTAAAACGGTCACAACTTATTTACCGTTTTTTAGAGGAAATGGCCTGCCTTGACTGTTTAGCTTTTAAATTGACTTGTTTCACTTCGCTTTGATATTATTTTTTTTACTTCATTTTCAGTCTCCTTACTCATAGATGGCTGCAAGAAGGAGCCCGTTACCCGGATGTAGAAATGACAAGCATACCAAAAAAAATGTTCCCAAAATAAGTAAAAAAACTCGAAGACCTTGTAAGGGAAAGGGGGGCTTCGGGTAATTGGCTCCTGAAGCAAAAAATTGTGGGAAGCAAAAAAGCGTTATGTAGTTGATTAGAAATCTTTTGAAATTATCTCATAACTTTTTCTTGCAGAGTACAGGCAGTTACAAAGCTGCCCGATGAGATTATCTATGGAAGTGAGTACTTACAGGTAAAGTTAAAACATTTTTTCTCTTGCCGAAACAGAGAGAGAAAAATCAAGAGGAAAATAGAAATAAGAGAAGCTGCTTATGGGAAAAAAATGAACTCCCGCATAAGAAACATGACGATCTTCTGACGAATCACAGCGCCATAGAATATCAAATGTTGCTTAAAGTCAATCTGGACTAACTGCACAGGATTCAATAATTAAATAGTCCTGAAATCAAAATTTTAAAAACGACTCTTTATAAGGTGCTTTTACTCAATCCTCTCACTCCTAGAAGAGACTATAAGATATTTTCTCCTTAATTAATTATTGGTCAATTAGGAAGATAATGAGACGAAAGACAAATATCAATGAAGGTAAATCAAATGATGATACTAACCAATAATCAAAGCCTTAAATATGAGAAATAGACGAAAAATCAGGAGAAATAAATTTTTGATCTTAGGGGCAAAAGAGGTAAAGCCTAATGTTTCCCCCATTGAAAACAAAGCCTACGCCGAACATATCATTAGACCTTCTTCCGAAACGGGTTTGACAAACTTATTACACTCACCAGGTTGTCCGTTATGGAGTTGATGGACATTACCACGCCCACCTCGACAGCGAGACGCATGAGCATCCCGAGATACCCTGCTGTCATCAGATTCAAGGAGCCGGAATGGATCGTGAAAGGAGATGCAAGTTATGCAGGTATCTAGCAAAGTAATAGAAATAGACGTTTAGGGATTTAGTATATACATGCCTATGAGAGAAAGAGAAACTAGCTCTGTTACTTGAGCTTGAAAAATCACTTTCCTAATATCGATATGGAATTTTGTGGACAATGGAACTAGAGAACATGCATTTACTACACCCAGAATATGTGTTGAACTTTTAGATTCGAGAGCGATATGCGATTAGCTGCTTACTAATTATACATTGACCATTTTCCAGATATGTTACGATCCTCTATTTCTTAAATGAACCTCCCGAGGGAGGTGAAACGGCTTTCCCGATGGCGGACAACGCAACGTTTATTAAAGAGGTCAGTTAAACTTTTCTTTTCTTTTGAAACTAATTCTGATTTGACAAAACAACAACTGCAGTTAAAAATCAACTGGCAATTGAAACACTTCGAGCAAAACTTTTGGCTAACAGGCTGACTGGTGCAAATAAGAATTATATTAATCAAGGCACTCGGTAATATCAATGGAATTGTGAGTAAAATTTGGTATCATTCAATTTTATCAACTTATTGGAACGCTATCAGGGCAAGGAAGAGAAATGAAAGTATCCGGTGCTAGAACTAGGCCCAGGGTATGTCCGACCAAGCACTGTTAAATTTCCACCTTTCTCTTCCCTAGAATAATCATCCAACCGATAAGCATTTATGTCACACCAAAAATCTGGTGTTAAGATAGATATTGATAACCCATTCAATTAATGTTGTTTCCAGAATTTCGCGTCGTTACGTTCCAAGGAAGATTTCTACAATTTAAGTGAGTTTTGCCACAAGTCAAATCTGGTGGTGACTCCTAAAAAAGGAACTGCTATCTTGTGGTACAACCACGAGATGGACCCAAACAGTGGCTGGCTGGGGAGAATGGACGAGTATTCAATTCACGGAGGATGCGCAGTCAAAAGGGGGATAAAATGGATAGCGAACAACTGGATCACCGCCCCATATAAGAAGCTTGCTCATGTCCCAAGTCAGTACATACTGGGTCCGGATATTTACTTCAGTGAAGATTAAAAAAAGATGATTTCGCTCGGATAAATGAGGAACACAAGCCAGTAGTCACTGTACTGATCGATAAAGCGTAGGTGCAATATGCACACGAGCCTCGTAAACAAGACTCTTTCCGCTAAACAGAGAGGAAGAACGCTAAAATTTCTTCAAAATCGTAATGAGATTCTGCTAGGTTATCTGGTGGTATACATTTTAATATTGATAATGAAGAAGCAAGCATGATCGTTCTACTACAATTTCTGCGGGGAAATCATCAGCAGCGACAGCGTTGCATCGAAATAGACAGAGGTACCGACTTCTACGCAATCCGTGTGGTAAATTCTGTTAAGACTGAAATGAGTTATTGATGCAATAAAATAGACACATTATGGTGAACTTTAACGTTTTATTGTAATTTTACTTCTTATTTGTTTCTTACGTAATGTAGCATAGATGAACACTACTCTCATTTTTAGGAAGATAAAATTCAGTGAAAATTGGCCCAGCCAACCGTTGATTCTCATCACTTCCATCAAATGGAAATGGAGAAAGGGAAACGTTTCTTTAGTTACGCCGGATAGAGTTTTAGAATAAAAAAGAAAATTACGTAATGAGTAATTATTTTTATCCCTGTCTGTATACGGTATTATGCAACTGTGACCCAGCTGTAGGGGTGAAATATTCCATAGCAGGGATTGTAACTACGAACTATCTATTCAATTAACTTAAACGGTCGTACCAACGAATTTCAGGCCGCAAGGAGGTATTAACTCAATAGTTTTTCTTTGTTTTTCAGTGTCCTTTCCATTATTCATTGTCTTTCTTTTCTTCAGTTTTTGAGACCATATCATGCATTCGTCAGAGCTGTAATCTTGTATCTTCATGAATTGTAAACCGCACTACGTATACCATAAACATATCATCGCTTACACTGTCCACCGTAAACCGTATCATCGACATAAACCAAGCTTATTTAAGTAATATACAGTTTACTTGCATTTCGATTTTGACGTTGGCTTCCGTCGTATTGCACCCGAGGAAATCGAACAAAGATACCTTTAATTAACCATATCAAAGTATGTAAACCAAAAGGTTTCTTCATTACAAGTGACTTATGCTTGATTTATTAAATTTTACCTCGGAATATCGCATTTCGAAAGTTTTGATTGGTTCACTCAACTCTGGTTATCACCTCATATTCCGAGTTACCTTTTGTGGAAATGCTGTAACTGCTGCAAAGCTCCAAAGACCCATTCTTTCAGGATTTAAAGAAATTAAAGAAAGCAATTATTTCATTCGCACTTGTTGGATACGAGATTGGTGGCAGCCAACTCAGCGTTTACCATCTCATATCCAGCGTGCGCTCCTGGAAAAATTTCAAATAAACGAGGGTAAAAAAAAAATCACTTAAACGGTCATGACCATGAGCGGTCCTTTAGACGTTCTGTGAACCATATTTAAAAAATCACCCCTTTTTTCTCTAACCTGAGAGAGAAAATAAAGGGAGACTAAATTAAAGCATAGAGCTAAACACTTCAAAATCTAATTTAAAAAAAAGGAGTCAGTCTCGCTGCTGATAACGTTTACAACTCTATATAACATCAAACTTTCTGAGCCAGGAACTAGGAATGTGAGCTCCATCTTTGTAAGGTGCAGTTATCCATAGATTAGCGATCCATTTCTCTCCCCTTTTTATGCCACAACCTCCGTGCAAACTAAAATCATCTCTTGCTCCCATCCAGCCGCTCTCATCGTCTCGTAAGTGATTGTACCACATGATAGCTGTTCCTTTTCGTGGACTGATCGCCAGACCTTGGTGGCAGTTATGGCTAAGATTGAAGTAGTCCAAATCACCACGACTTGAAGTCAGATACTAAATAGAATTGAAAACAAAACTCATGTTACTCCTTCGTAGTTGATTGCGTAATCGGATCGTACATCTAATGGTAGCCCTGAAAATTATTGTTTTCTGTAGGAGTGACTGACTTTGCAACTTCTTTGATGCTCTTTAAAGATAACAACCTTTAATTGATGTGTTTTTTTATTGATTTATGGCCACTAGAATGTTGTCGCGGGGGAATTTGTATGTTTATCGCATTTCACTCTAAAAGGCTGACGCCCCGCGAGAATCTTACCTCCATGCTAAGGGTGACATTGTCGGCCATAGGGAAAGCGGTTTCTCCTCCTTCCTCGACATCGTTGAGATAAAACAGGATTGTTACATATCTGATCAAGGAAACAAGAACAAACAAAAAGCGGATTGATGAAAGGTGACAACTGACCTTATAAAGTATCAATTTTGTTTGAACATGATGTAATTCCATCTGAAATGTCGCTGCTAAAATGTGGTTTTATCTAATTATGTAACACAAAGTTCTCGATGATGTCCCGTTCTTAGAAGTGAAATTAAAGTAGTTGGCTCAGTTAAGTTTGCGCGCAATATTTTTTAAAAAATTGTTATTATCACTAATCAAAGCAAAGCTGACTAAGAAAACGCAAAAAAGACGATTTGATTATTAGTCATCACCATTTAACTGAACTTTTGCATACGCTCACCTACAGAGCCTACAGCCTTCATCTTTATTAAAGGCTTGCACCACATCTTCATAAAGTTGGCAGCACCGTTTGTCAGTTCTTTTGTCTGTCTCCGAGTCAAAGTGGGCGTGGTAATGACCATGTTTTCCATAACGGACGATCTGTTGAAAATATGAACCCTTTTCATTGTAGTCGAAAACGTTTTTTTCTGCCCTCACACTACGAAGAAGGTAGTTGAAAATCAAAAAGAGAAGTTTAAAACAGAGTTTTGTTCCATGAAAGATGTTCACTTCACAAACTTCACACTCTAATTATTTTTTCATATTTAACATACGAAATATTCTTTTGACCCGCAAATAGCAGATGCTAATCAAGGCAGGTCAATTTCTTATTTAACTAAATAAAATTTAACTTAATTAAATTATATTGGATATAATACAGAAATTAATTAATAATACATAAAAAGACATGTAAAAAGCTACACAATGAAAAGGGAAATGAAACTCATTCATTGTAAAAGAGAAAACGTCCTTAAGTTTCTACTTGTAGTAAAATTTTGTAGAACTGGTTGAATTTGTTTCAGTTTGCAGTGTTTGAATTTTTTCCTCTAGTCTCCAAGAACTTCTGAAATCCCAATAAGGAATCGATCCTGGATTCGGCGCTCTGATGCTCTGCCATTGAGCCACAGAAAACACTAAAATGAACCAGACCTCTACCAGCTCCTTATGTACAAGCCTCCAGAGTACTGCTAAAATCGGCAATGTTGAGCGTTATACGAGAAAACAGACAAGAAAGATGATGAATTTGGAGCTTTGTCATGAAATAAAACGAACCCAGAAATCTGAGTTTTTTCTTCTCTTTTTTTTTTACCATTACCGTGTTGAGAGACTTTCCAAATGTCAAAAGATATCCTTTGACTAGAATTATAAGAAAAAAATTAAGGCCTACGATATCCTCTGGTTAAAAAAATTGTTTATTTGACAGTTTGTTACCTGAATCCTCTCACTGCCGTAGATGATTTCTCGGGAGAGTCTGGTGAGTTCTATAACTCTGAAGAACAGATGGTAGATAATATATGATACATGACATGGTAGATGATACATGACAGCAATCGATTTTAACTAAATTTCTTCAGCCGTATGTTCGAATAGCTAGGAAACTATGATTGGTACAACTCGTTTTTAAGGCATACTGTAGAAAGCAGTAGGAGATCTTTGACTGCACGTGATTCTTCTATCAGACCTGTAAAATTGGTAGTTTATAAAAATTTAAAAATTAGCATGATCCAAAGCCAATGTAGAAGACGCCTGGTTTGGACTATCTATTAGGAGCACTGATCTGCCACGCTCAAGTGAAAACGTTACCTTTCTATCACTTTGTTTAAAACTGGATCGCCCAAAGATCTCTGATTGACCCAAGTCTGATCACTGTAACGTGGCCTGTGAAGCGGGTGAGACATAGACATTGCTGACATCAAATCCGTTAACCCCATGGAATTCATTGTTTTGAATTCATCGATTGTAGCAAATCCTGAGAGAAAAGGTGATACTTTTACTCAGTGATCGTGCGAATAATCAAGGAGCAACAAAAGCAAAGAAGATCTCCATGGTATCAACGAGCGCTTTTCATTCAACTAATTTATTCTTGTTTTCTCGTCACCATATTCCCACCAATTTCATATAAACACACACACAACCCATAATTCCTTCAATCGCTCTGGTGAAAGGCTAACGCTCAAAACTTCAGCCTTCAAACTCTTTACGGTGGCCAATTTACATTTTCAACTCAGTTGTTAACATTAAATTACCTAAAAGAAAAGAAGATTAGATAAGTGTTTACCGTGGGTCGATAAGAATCGCTGTGTATCACTTGCGCCTAAAAATTACTCCACAGTTGGTCTCAAGCTCGCTTGATGACTGTTTCCAATCCATTTCTACTTTTTATTAACGAATATTCTTTGACGCACTTAAATATACTTCATCCCTATTTGAATTTTATCTTTATTCAATGTTAATTCCTCAAAACATAACGCACTAAATGGAGAAATGACTGAAATCCTTTTAATCATAAAGATAATCAGTCAAGGTGCCTAGTATAAGAAAGTTATTTACCGTCGTCTAATTCCGTGATATTCACATTATGAAGCCTGTAAACAGAACAAACTCGGCTTAGGGACCGGTCGTTATTTATCACGGAAAGGGGGGGAGGAGGGGATGGAAAGTCGGAGGATTTCGTTTGTGTCACATAAAATTTACCAGGACCCCCATAAGACTCTGCAGAAATAATCCCCCTTCACTGGCAGTAAATGTTCTTTAGTCACCGTTTATGCTCTGTTTCCCCCCCCCCTCCCCCCGGCAAAAAAACAACATAGACAACCAAAAGGAAGAAAAGTTTATGCGCCCGATATGGGACTTGAACCCATGACCCTCAGATTAAAAGTCTGATGCTCTACCGTCTGAGCTAACCGGGCTCACTTAAATTTGTATGTGTTGAAAAGTAAATTCCCAAAACTAGTGGCATTTTTTAGCGGGTAACTGCACAGGAAATGATGAAAGATAAATAAAACCTTGCCGAGCATTTTGTTCTGACTCAATAATCATTCACTTTAAATTTTCAAGATTAGGGAAACTGCTAAGATTTTCTGAGGTTGTTTTTCCAACATAAACTCAATATTGTATCGACCAAAATGTGTCAAACATTTCCACACTGAGTTTATTTTGTGGAACCTTAAGTAATTCAAGTTTAAGTTCAAGCACATGTACTCAGCCTTACATTTCAATGGTCTCCTCTTTTGTTAGAACCAAATAGTGGTACGTTTTAGCGTAGGTCATCACCTATCAAATATATTCAAAAAGAAGCGAGCTTAGTGATCTGATTGCCCATGTGACTTGAACTTATTCTGGCTTCAAAAAAAGGAAGGGACTAAAAGTATTGCTCCTTTCTCTGACTTAAATACCAGCCCATTGCAGTTTACCCTCGGCATTTCATAAGGTTCCGTTTAATAGCACTATCCAACGTATCAACCGCTGGCCAGTGGATAAAGGAAAAAAAGGCACTGCGCTATCCATCGGATGGAGATTCATCTTATGGATAGCGTGATGCACCCTTCTAGTTACTGGGGTCGGTCTTGCCCAAAAACACAATACAGCAGTGACCCGTCCAGGGTTCTTGACTAGGCACCTTTCGACTACAGCACTGTAGTCATTAGGTTATCGTGTTGGCCACAAATTGTAAGAAAAGGAAAATAAAAACTATCCTTGGATTAAAGCGTTTACTCACAGTAAATGAAGGAAAAAGCAAGAAAGCAAACAAGCACGCCAGCAAATCGATAAGACTAAAAATATGCAGTTTGAGGGGAACTTATAGCTACTCAGGTTACATAAAAAGTCTAATTTTGTACCCACCTCCTCGATAGTCAGTTTTCCATTTTTGTCCCCATCCAAATATTGAAAATAATCAACATGCAATGGCCCATCTGCAACAAAATATTTTAAAATATTTTATGTCATGGATCAAAATCTTAACAATGAATAATCATTAATCATGGGTACATTGTATTTTACCGCAAAACATTGAACGAAGCTGCCTAATAATGAGCGAAACTTCCGTAAGGTACGACCAGCTTTCCATCAATGATAAAAGGAAGGGTTGACAACAAAAATTAAGTGCGCCCGATATGGGACTTGAACCCATGACCCTCAGATTAAAAGTCTGATGCTCTACCGACTGAGCTAACCGGGCTCACGGAATAGTTCTTGTTGAAATGAAAATATCCAACGCTGGCATCAGAGTATGAGACTTGGAATTGACTTTATTTTTGATTTAGAAGTGCACTGTGCACAGTGGACGCATCAGTTATCAATAAGGTCAAGTTACATTGCAGTTGCACGGTGAGTTTAGCTGAAAATACAGTCATATGCAATTCCTCTGTTCCCTTTGAAATCACTGGCTCGTATCTTACTTCTGATGTCAGGGATTTCAAATTCACTCCAGGACTGTAGTCCTCCCTTAGCTGTACTGGTAACAAAGCGTTCTCTTTCCGCAAGATTAACCATGTGGCCACACTCTTCCTCAGACAGAAAATTGGGAATTTCTGGAAATGAAGAGATGAAAACATGCCAGTAAACCTGGTCACCGACCACAGTTCCTAATCATTAGCAACAATTATTAACGGCAAAGCCATGCAAAAGCCTACAAACACTTCTAAAGTTTCATCAGCGAATTACTGTAAAGCCGTTGTAACGTTTGTTCTTTGACCATAACCGTGCAGCGTGAAAGGTCGTAAAAGTCTTACAAATACCATTAACCCTATCACAATCATCACCATTAAGAATAATGGTAAAAGTTTCCCGCCGAAAGGAAAGAAAATCACCAACAGGTATATAAAACTCCTGCAAGTATCCATACCATACGGTAAGATATAATTTTTTTCGAGCAGTCTTACCAAACAAAAGAGGCCTCATAGCTTTTGTAATCCGCTTTCTCACAATATCACCAAGATCAACATCTTCAACGTGACCAACCTATGACGAAATTTTACGTTTAAAATATGACTTTATTTATGTGGGCGTTATAGCTGAAAAATAAATGTGGCTAGACACAGCAACTGTAACAAAGACAGCCAGGAAAGCTTCGAGCGAGTTTTAAATTAAGGTGGTATCCATGTACTTTATTCGCTACGATCGTTAAAACTTCCAGGGTTTATCTTTGATAACCAATATTGGAACTAAGAAACGAAAAACATTATACAATGAAGTTTTAACCAAGGAAAGAAATCGCAGCGATCGCAGCGATGAATCCGATTCAATTACGACTATTCTCGTAACGAAAGAGCCGCGTGGACAGCGCCATTCCAAGATGGCGGCAAGCGCTTCTCGGAAGAGCAATCATGGATTTGGACAGCCCTACTTGTTTGGACTGCCTTTTTTCAGTCAGGTTTTAACCAAGGAAAGAAATCGCACCGATCGCAGCGATGAATCCGATTCAATTACGACTATTCTCGTAACGAAGTACCGCGTGGACAGCGCCATTCCAAGATGGCGGCAAGCGCTTCTCGGAAGAGCAATCATGGATTTGGACAGCCCTACTTGTTTGGACTGCCTTTTTTCAGTCAAGTTGGTGTTACTAAGAATAATTCGCGGAAGCACTGCTTGATCAATTTTGCTTTGGTGATTTCCAAAAAGTACCGGTAACCACCCTCTATAATGTTAGTCTTATCGTAGTTCGCCTAAGTAACTTAGCGATAGATTGTCTTGACTTACGGGATATTTTGTCAGTGTGTTTATGGGAATATTCGAACGAACGCATTCACAAACAGAATGATAATTCTAATTCGCACAAGTTGTTTTTCTTTTTCTTTATTCCCGAACGAATTATATACCTGTGCATGTTAATTTGGCTGACCTAATAGGAAAAATAACATACGTACCATTTCGATCGGTTGTCAACATGCATTGAGGAGCATGGGCAACCTCAAAGCCTAATTACAATGATCGTTAGCTTATGGCAGATTGTGACACCTTTTGTAATGGAGTGAATAAATGAACTTAAGAAGATTTAATAAAACCACAAGTCTTACTTTAACGCCATTTATTCTTGTCAAACCAGCCTTCCTTCCGATAATGCATGGTTCATCTCCGCTTGAATCAAACTTTTTGTAATCGCATCTTTGTCCCTCCCGTACAAACCTACAAACGTTATATGTTCGATTACTTGGCTTCTTTTCGCAGTAAGCTGACAAAGCTAAAAGTGAGCAAAGGAGACAAAACTTCCATCGAAGACTAAACAAGGTCATTGTTTATCGCTGTGAGAATAAACAGTAGTTCTCTTATTTAGTTTTTTATTTAAAAGCCGTGGTTTGAAGCCACCCGTGACTCGCACCGAAGCATAAATATTAATCAATCGTGTTTTTTGGACAATGTATGTTGCAAGACGTGGATCAGTCCCTTAACATGGCTCTGTAATTCTAAGACTGACTGGAAACTCAAATGTAAATTCGAGATGAGCCATTAAAACTAGTGAAAAATTAAACAGTTTGACTCATTTAAATTTCAGACTTAACGCCTCGATCTATAAATCTTGTAACCTAAAGCTTTTAGCTTGAATCAGGTAACAGGTGGCTATCGCGTTTCACACTTACAAACAGTACCTACCCAGTGGACAAAGATAAAGGGCCTAACCGTATAAAGGCACCAGGAAGTAAGGTCATTAGCACCAGAAAATTGGGTCGACTTCACTTCTAACTTACAATTAGGGGTCTGAATGTGTCAAATGATGTCTCAGCTTTAGCAACTGAGCTGTATGACATACTAAGTATTCTGTCAATTATTTGATTAGTCGATAGAGGAAGGACCTTCAAGTCAAACCTTCAGTTCAGAAGAATATTCTGTTAACAGTTAATCATTGGTCATTCCCAGTTTTATGGATTTCAAGATGATCTGGATCTGTGGCGATGATATCCCTTTCGGCTTCTTTTCGTTTTAGATTGAATTATTCAAGAAAAAAAACCGCACTGAAGAACATGCAACATTGCCACCGCGAAAAAAAAGACAACGTCTTACATAACCTAAGAAAGCGAGAATAGATTTGAATTAATTCCCATAATGATAATTTTCTTAGCCTAGAATTAGTATTAAATTGAATTTAGTTTATTCTGGATAGCTCCTTCAGGTTTTAATTGTTTAGATATCGTTTAATCTCATAGTGTCCATTCCTGAGTTAATGGAGTTCGGGAATGCAAAGGTTTTAGTAAGTAACAACTCGGCCACGAGCTTGGGATCGGCAGCGATCCAACTATCCTCGTTCGCTTTCAAAATCATAATGTATTGAAGGGGATTCAGTAACTCTATTTCGTTTAAAAAGGGGACGACAACCTGTCGGAATTTGAAAAAATGAGCGTTCCTCGGTAGGACCAAGATGGAATTTGTCGTGCTGGTTTCTGTACATTAAGACTAGCTTTTCCTCGATAGCGAAATGAACGGTTGACAACAAAAGGACAAAATTAGATCTCGCCCGATATGGGACTTGAACCCATGACCCTCAGATTAAAAGTCTGATGCTCTACCGACTGAGCTAACCGGGCTCGCTGAGTCTCTATATAGTAAAAAAGTAGCTTGTTTAGTGAGAGTTTGAATTTGGCGCGTTAATGTTGGCATGTTTACAAACCTTTGTTTGGTTCTTCTGTTGCTACTTAGTGTCGGCTCCCTTTTTCCGAAATTTCACTTTCAATTAGTGAAAAAAAGATGAGAATTTCGGGAAGTAGTCAGACATGGTACATATTGCAGTAGATGATATGACAGCTTTAGCTCAGCTTCGTGTTTTGTACTCTTACAGAGTACGTTCTTTCAACCAAAGACAGCGCGCGTTATATTCCAACTTTAATATAAAGTGTAATAGAGCTTAGGCAGAAGTAAAGATTATACACGTAACCTCTTTCAGCCTTTATGTTGCTTGAATTTATTTCAAATTCTTCCCTTTTCTTTTCATATCAATTCTAAGAAAATATTTTATATAATCAAAGAGAGCTAGAGTGTATCTAAAATTAATTTCCATGAAAATAATCTTCAAAGCCTAGAATTAGAAAACTTAAAAACTGAAAAACTCAAAGTTGTAAAAACATCTACATCCTGAAAAGTCTGCATAGAATGCTACTGAGTTTATATGGTTTGTTCTGAATCATTCCTTCAATTTTAGCTTGTGGAGATTTCATCTAAAGGCCAAGCTATTATTCTTCGCCGGGGAAAAGCGGTTGGGGGTTTTTTATGCCGGGGCATCACTTGTTTTTCAAGGGTAACAGACGAGGGATTAGTCGTCGCCAACAGGCAATTGGCTTCCTATTAACTGTTAATGAAGGGGGGAAGGGTTACTCCACCCCAGGCGATAAATAATGACCAGTTCCCAATTTCCTATTTCCCACGAGTCCTTTCAACCTGCAAGTCCATGTATGTTGGTCTTATATGTAAAAATTCAGCCACGAGCTTCGAATGTGAGCTGAATCTTTATATGGAGCACTGATCCAATTATTAGCGATCCATTTTTCGCCTTTTGTGATATCACATCCTCCGTGTAAACTATACTGGTCCATCTCCCCCAGCCATCCGCTCTCTTTATCCATAAAGTGATTATACCACATCACAGCGGTTCCCTTTCGAGGCTTGATGACTAAGTTTCCCACGTGACAGTTGTGACTCAGATTGAAATAGTCCAGTGTGCCGCGACTGTCTTTTAAGTACTGTTGAAAAGATAAATAGACGTTACCATTAGCCTTGATCGATTTATGTCAATGTTATAGAATTCTATTTGCAAAGCAAGAGACTGAGTTACGACGATCCGTCCGACCCCAGCTTTCACTATGGTTTTCTTTGGGTTTGCGCACGCGGGGTCTCACGGTCACATGATAAGTCTTGTCATCTCCTAAGTTCCTCATTTTTTTTTTAATTCATCGCCTACCTCAAAATTTAAGGTTTCGTTTTCTGCAACAGGAAAGGCTGTTTCACCTCCACCTTCCACGTCATTAAGATAATATAGAATGGTAATGTACCTAAGAGAGGAGAAAATATCAGGCAATTTTCATGGCTTGTAAAGTAAACTTATTCATTGAAGCTCCGTGAAGCTTAGACTCGCTCTTACTGGTCGAGTGTCATATTCATAATTTTACAACAGCGGGAGCTTTGCTTTAACCGTTTTAACAAAATTTGGGACTCGAAATTTCCGAGATGATAGTTACCGTTGACGATCATTAATGTCAATCTTCACTGGCCAAAACAGAATTGAGAGGCAATAATACTCAAGCACAGTAGAAGTTGTTTAAAAAAAAAAGTCAAACTAAGTTATCAAAAGTAGAGCGGGGCATCATGGAGTAAAGTAAGGCTCGGAGTATGTTTTCAGAAGGCTTTCATTTTTGCTCAATTGGTTGGTCCATAACTAACTGATCACGCATAAGTGAGACTCTTCAGTCATTTTAGACACTAACTACTTTTTCCGTGAATACATATAAGGCAGAACATCTAACCTGCAAATCCTGCAAGGATTCTCAAAGCTCAACATATCCACTTCATGTTGTTGATGGCAGCAAGGGACGTCGGTCCTCAGGTGAGTTTCAGAATCATAATGAGCGTGGTAATGACCATTTTTATCATAATAAACAACCTGAAAGGACACGTGACGAGCAATGAAATGAGTTCTGTTAAAGGTAAAGTCTGCATTTTGGTCTCATATGGACACCTGCGTACTCTTCTGGTTTCTAAAGCACAAAGTGGGTAAAAAGTTTGCCAGTTTAATTTGTTGCACGTTACCTCCAGCATTTTTTTTTATCTAAGTTCACTTGTACTAGAAATGAAGAGGACTCGCTGTATGCATTCGAAAGGTTGCGATTCATGGACATCCCAAGATGTTATAAATGATTATACTCTAAAACTGATAGAAAGTTTATCTCAAACTTATTCTCACCTGGAGTCTTTCACTTCCATAAATGATTTCTCTTGGAAGCTTTGTTAACTTAATTACTCTAGGAAAAGAATCACGAAAATTAAAATACTGTCTGATAGGTCGTATACATGCATTGTGTCTGGTTTCGGAAATGGGAAATCGATAAGGCAACGGGAGGCAAGTGAGATTAGAGTAGTCAGTTAGAATACTAATCCATCCCTCAATCCATCCAAACATTATCTATTGTCTTTTACGCATGTATTTATTAGTGTCAAAAACAATCTGGGTTTGCTTTCCTTTTGTTTTACTTCGCTCTACGTATGGTCCAGAAAACTCGCGCCATTCTGTCAACCAATCAGATGCAAGACTAAAACCAGTCACGACTTGGTCGCTCGCGCTTTCCCACGCTTTAAGAAGTTTGGTCGGTTTTACTTTGTGTTCTCATTGGTTCCTTAGGGTATTTACCTTTTTTCAGATCATCCGTTGTGATTACTTTGGCTTCAAGAAAATATGCGACATTCTTAAAAACATGTTTCAACAGTTCTTCTGTCATCTTCAGTTCTAATTTATACAAAGTACAAAGTTGAATTTAAAGAACATAACAAAACGCTCATTGGACAAATATTATTCTTGTTATACAATTTAATTTCAACTTTGTACTTTGTATAAATCAGAACTGAAGATGACAGAAGAACTGTCGAAACATGTTTTTAAAGAATGTCGCATATTTTCTTCAATTCGTGACATATCTGCTGCTATCTGGGCCTCTTTACCATGGCTTTGATTTAAAGAATCAATCGAAAAATGCTCTACTCATTAATCATACCTTTCAATGATTCTATCTAAGGTAGGATCTTTGAGGTATCTCTGGTTCAAAAAGGTCTGATAACTATAGCGAGCCCTGTATTTAGGATGAGTTTTTCCTGCATGTGCCATTATAGTGTCAGCCCCTCGACTATTCATATTCTCGAACTCTTCAGGCGTGATTACTCCTGAAAAAGAAAAAACGTTACATTTCAAGTCAAGCTCGGGGTAGCTTTTGCGCACACGCTTTGAATCGTGTCGTCAAGTATTCACGTTTGGAGACGAGAATTCACTAATAATAATATGTTTGTTTCCTTGTAACGTCAAGAGAAAATGATGAACCATAATTTTCTTTGGTAAAATAGAGTTAAATTCAGAAAATTTAATTATTTTTTAATAAATTTACTTGAGCCTTGCATAAGCGCATGTCCGTATAGAGAAGATCTTAATGATTTCTTTTCTGCAGACCTGATATCCTTGAGAACTTTAAGTGCAGCCTTAACTCTCATAACTTAGGACGTTATCAACTTACACAATGCTTTCCTAATATTTGTTTTTTCTTCAGAGACATAATAAATATACAAAGACTTGAAAATGGCATAGTGGAAAGGAACGCCTGGCTATCTTGGGCAAAGTGCATGCATGTGCAGAGACAAGATAAATAACAGACGCTTAAAAAGCATAAAGCTAGTAGTTTCTAAAGAAACAGTGTAGCTGCGTCGGTGGGAGAGTATAACAAGGCAATTTGGTATTATCAACTGAGTCGATAACCTAAATTGGCCACCTTTGATTGAAGTTTAATTGAAAGCTGACGTTTCGAGCGTTAGCCCTTCGTCAGAGCGAAAAAAGCAGCTTAGCTTAAAAAAGCAGGCTGGTAGAACGAGCGAAACTTACCATCGTCTAACTCGGTAACGTTCACCTTGTGAAGTCTGTGGTACATTAGATAATAAATCATAAGTTGTGAGATAATAAATACTATTTATTGTTATCAAAGGTGCTCTTTAAAGTAATACAGCCCAACGTTAATTTACTGTCTGTAGTTAAGGGTATAAGAAAATGACTCACAACTCCATTAAATCTTCTTCGTTGAAGACGGCGTAAATATATTTCTTTCCGAACTCGATTACCTAAAGACAAAAATTCAACAATAATTCTATATGTTAAGACGACTTTAAGACAAGGAGATACATATGGTCGCTTCCGAGTGTACCGTGGTCTGGGAGGTCTACATGAGACACAAAACTTATATTAACTAAGATGTCACGAGAGAAGGAATCCAACTAAAAAAACTTGAGCTAAAGTGACATGGAAAACTTATGAAAATGACATGACATGTAGCGCATGACATGACGCGAAGCAATGACGACATGACAAGTAATATATGCCATAGAAAACAGAGGCTACAATTATCGCTCTATACTCTCACGAGAAAAGGTGCTGACTATACGTTTTGATGGAATGAAATGTGAAATTAATTTTGTTGTTGTTGTTGTTGTTGTTGATGTTGTTGTTTGTTTTCATACCTCGTCCACTGTAATTCTTCGGTCATTATTTATGTCCCAAGCACCAAAGATTCCCGCTACATCTTGGGCTTTGCCATCTGAGATAGTTGAAAAAAACATAGTCAATGTCATAACCAGAATTTGGACTCAAGTAAAATTCTGTCATGCGTGTCTTCTGGAGGGTGTTGTAATTGACTTTCACCACAGCCGTATCGGTGAGAAAATTTTGAAGGTTTTCCACGCTTCTTACCAGCAGGTCGGTAAATATCTACCATTATTCACCTTTATTGCGGTGAACTTGATAACTGGTAAATAGATGGTGCACATAAAAGGTTCCAATGAGTGTTGTGAAGACACCTATGGCCCGCTCCATGAAACGCCCGTGAAATAGGCCAAACGATGAGACGATGGTAAAAGTGACTACGTTCCACACCTTCCTAAAAAAGTCATGTGGGTTACTTAATATTTCCTTCCAGTTTGGGTTGAAAAGGTGTTCGAGCCATACATGACCAAAAATTTAATGTCACAGCCCAATTGCGCGCTCATCGAGGCCAATTTACGGTTGTTTTCTGGAGAGAGTCCAGTGATGCACTCATTTATTAGGCTGCTTAATCTATTAGAAACCTTATAACCTTATCGTGAACTACTTACGTTCAATTTTCGGTATTTCTAAATCTATTTCTGTCGTAAGACCTCCCCTAACTGTACTTGATAACAGGCCATTGTTTTCAGCTAGCTTTATTATGTAGTCACATTCTTCATTGGTTAAAAAATGTGGTATTTCTGGCGAAAACAAAAACAAAAACAAAATAACAATAAAACACCAACACAAAAAGAAAATAAACCAGGTATTTCAATTGAATTAATATCTATATTTGCATTACTGAGTGAAGAATGCAAAGTCAGCTTCTCGAAGGCGGAGTAGCGAAGTGCAGATCGCTCACGCACTGTGCGTTCTTACTGGCTTATGTGCGAAAAGGAAAAGATTAAGGTAAGATATAAACTGTTGTATAGGAATTTGAGCTCTCCGAGGTGAAAACAACCATTTAGGTACGCAAGATCGGTTGAATCTTGTCCTAGTCACAAGAAAAAAAATCAAATTATAATAAATAATAATAATGAAGGATTTTTATAGCGTCTTACCCATTTTTAGTGGAGGCGCGGTGGCCTCGTGGTTAGTGCGCTCGACTCCGGATCGAGTGGTCCGGGTTCGAGCTCTGGTCGTGGTCATTGTGTTGTGTTCTTAGGCTTTTACTTTACTCTCACAGTGCTTCTCTTCACCCAGGTGTACAAATGGGTACCAGCAAATGTGCTGGGGTAACCCTGCAATGGACTAACATCCCATCCAGGGGGGAATAGCAATACTCCTAGCCGCTTCATGCTAAGGAAACCGGAGTTAAGCCGCCGGCCCCATGGGCCACTTGGGCCCGTATAAAGGCTTTACTTTTACTTATCCATTTAGCTCATGGCGCTTTACAACACTTTGCGTGGGAATTTGAGCCAGACTGCCTTGAGAAATTTACAGTTTTTTGACAGGTAAATTTTGCAGATGCCCCCAATTTCAGAAACAAGGCCAGAAAACAGCACCGGGAACTACGTTCCCTACTCTTTGAGAGAAGTGTGTGGGTTCTTTAACGTTCCCTGCAAACCAGTACAGAGAAGATGCAGGAGACAGGGCCTACAGCTTTTCGTCCTTATCCGAGAAACAAAGACCTGATCCATCCTGTGGCATACACCTTACCAAATAACAGAGGTTTCATCGCCCTCGTAATTCGATTTCTGTGACAATCTCCTAAATCAACTTCCTCAACGTGACCAACCTGACGAAATCAAAGAAAATCTAAGTTTGAGGAAAATTTTTTTAATCGGCCGGAACTGGTTTATCTTTTATTGGTCATCCATAAAATAAATGCGATTGATTGTTGTTCAAATAAGTAATAAACACTCTCCCCTCGAACAAAACACTGAACGGTAGTATTTTTTTATCTTTTGAGAGATTATTTAGCATATAACGTGGTTACTTTAACCATAAATTCTTTACTAACAACGATGTCAACATTGGTTTTCTCCTAAAGTTAAACAAAGCAAAGCAAACAAGTGAGAAGAATTGAATCACCAACTGTTAGTTTGATTCGATACCAAATTCTCAGAGCGAACGTCGAGAGAAAAATATAACCATCAGTGATGAGAATTTATATTTTAAAAGTAAGATGTGAAAGGTTGAAGTCCGCCGACTGATTTCACGTATTAAAAAATTTTTTAATTGAGGAATGGCTCATCCAAAGAAGGCCACAAGAAAGATTAAACTTAGATCGTGACAACTTCCGATTTACAGTTTAAGTCACTTACCTTCACCCCGTCAAGTCGTGTTAATCCGGTTCGCCCGACAAATGTGGGACCTTCGTTAACACCATCATCAATCTCTCGTCGTTTACAAGCATGGTCGTTAGCAGAACAGCTTTCATGGCGAGAATTCGATGGATCAGAATACTTATCTTGGCAAAGTGCAAATTTAAAGCTAACTAGAGATAAAATATATACAACTTTTACAGAATAGAATAAGGCCATCGTTGAAATGTTCACGCGGATAATGGCGAAGTTTTGAAAAAAAAATATTTGTATGGTACCAGATTGACCCAGCAAGTCACTGTTATAAATGATTAAAAATCCCCATGGGAGTCGGATCTCTTAATCGCTGGGATTTCAACCAGGAGTATGTAAATTTTAAAACTGTACTTGTCATTTGAGATTAAGTGTCGATATACCCTTGAAATGAAACTCATTTTATCTGTAAATGTTTCACAGAAACTCAACAAACTGAGGTGTTAATAATGATTTTTTTGTTTTGACAACTTCTTGAGATCGACAGGTTTTAACAGATTCAATAAACCAAACACTTCAACTTCTCACCAGGTGAGAAAACAACAATTTGCCTTTTATTCCGTTCTACTGCACAGGTTAACAGGCCCGTATACTAAGAACAATAGAATCAATTTTCTTACGCAGCTATTTGACCAATTCTTTAACTCTGTTCCTTAATCAAACACCGTCGCCTTCATTCATACCACGTGTTCTTTGACAAGTCAGTGTATGGAACCTGTCAGACAATCGCTTAAAACATTAAGCCACCAAACAAACAAAGTGTAACTAAAGTTTTACCCGGTGTGTTTATGAAAAAAAGGAAAATTTGTTCCACTTAGCTTTCCACGAGTAGTTTAGTTTTAGTTTCGACTTCAAGCGTGGAGGGCGCAGATGATTCCCCGACAAAGGAGTGACAGACATTGTAGTAACATGCATTTAATGCACATGATCCTCTCCTTAAAACAAGTAATCGATTTATGCGGAACTTTTCGTGAAAAGTTCCTTAAAGATCTCTTCATAACAGAGATTAGAAACAGAAGGCAAAATGAATTTTCTCACCGATACTTTAGTCCAGGCCCGCAGAGAACGGGGACTCCTGAATCAGCGGTACATAGCGCGAGGTATTGAGGTAGACTACGTTACGAGAGCTTGACAAGGCCTCTGACATGGTCTGCCAACCAGAACGTGATCGTATTTTTCTTCCAGGACATACACGTTCGTAGACAAGCCGTTAGGGTAGCCCGCAAGCCAGACAAGCTTTTATTCTATTTTAATTTTTTTTGGAGTTTCAGTCACGCAATGAGGAACGTTTCCAGAAGTCTATCGTTGGTTTACGTGACGAACGTGACTAACCTAAAGATAGACCACATATATAACTAGGGCTGTTTATTGATACTTTACAGGCTGATACCAAGTTACGCTATACTGAACGATATGGGTGGTTTCTTTTTCCCTCAGTAGTCACAAAGGTGCACTTTTAAGTGTACAGGACACAGTCATCGCCAAAAAGAACTAAAACTAGCGTTAAATTTAATACTAGAATTTAGGTGTCTAAACAAAGAACGGAAAATGTAGGCTATCCAGCTTGTTTTTCTCTTGAGCGCTCAATCGATGTCAACACAAGTCACGTAATCTTTCATTTCAAGTTTTTTTTATTCCAAATGCAATATTTAGCTAATTTTATCATAGCAATGAAATCGAAATTGCAAATACGAAACTTTGGCTTGTAGACAGAAACCATTGCATGCTGCACTAATTTTCTTCATTCAGTTTCAGGCGCGTAGATAGAACACGACACAACCGCACGGTAACAGTTGTAGTCAGTTGTTGTATGACGCAGATCACCAAGCGAAATCAAAGGCAATGTTTAGAACAATTGTTTCGTAATGAACTGTTTTAATGGTTATCAGAAGATCGCAACGGTCATACAATTCCATAAAAAGGCAATTACATAGGTTAACCATGAAATTACAATTGAGTTCATGCGTATTCCTATAAAAGCGTTTTTTAAAATGCCTTTTTCATTACGCGTGCCTATAACAGCGAGAAAGCGCAGACTCTTTCTTTTGACAGGCATCAGGCTTAGTGCCTTGATAAGTGTCACACACAAGTCCTAGTAGATCAAACGTGGCCTCGTTTTGTATTTCATCGGTGTGTTTCCCGTTCAGCGTAATCCATGGAACGAAGTAATGGGGAGGATTGAGTGCGTTGGTCTTCAGAGCCATTTCATGCTCCAAGGCATTTCCCTGGGCACCCGAGCGGCACTTGTCAATGGAGGAGAAATCTATGCCAAATTGACTTGAGCACTGCTCTGCTGCTGACACTGGATCGTATCCGGCGATGGTCGACTCCAGACAGTGGATGAAAGGAAAGTAAGATGTTGCATTCTGAAGGATAGAAATAGCGCATGTTTCGATGAGGTTACCGACGCATTCTGCCTCCCCGTGCTGACATGTAAATCGCCATTCATCCCCATAGCGACTCTCTTGTGCATTTCCATACGGCACGAGGATCACCTCCATGATCTGGCCAACCTTCTGAAATGTTGGGTAGAACTGAGTCTCTATGAATTGCCTGCATCCTCCACACAGCGACTCGTAGTACAGCGCTATTTCAACTTTTGGTGCAGCTACCGGTGCTCCGACACAGAACACAGGGAGGGCAGCCAGAAGGACGGAGAGAATGCACAGCTTGAATTTCATTTTAGCAACGAAAAGGATCACTGATTCTAATCAGAAGCATTCCAACCTTTATACCAGGCATAGAGACGGCGCGTGACTTTCTCATGAAAAGCACATGGCTATATTGTGCCAGCGGTGTAATACCTAAAATGGTTCCAAAGTTGTTCTGGGGGTGGTTGGGGTTCGCATGATAGACAGGTAAGCGTTGGTAACCTAAGCTAAACAATAAGCCTCTGTAAATAGTGCATATGTTTGCGTTACGCAACAGTCGTAAAAAAAAAGATTTGTTAAGGAATGAACAGCCGCATTCTTAACCTAAATATCTGCTCTAGTTTTGAATAAACTACCTTTCTCCCTTATTTGTTTATTCCTTTGACTCAAGAGAGTTTTCTCGGCTTAATTACGGCCTTTTGGCTCGTATAGTTCTCCCTTGTTAGAGATGGTGCCCACCCCCAATAACCAATAATAACAACAGCAAGTGGAAAGGTCGTTGTATTTGTTTTTCTTCGTTTACCTATCGATTCCATTTTCGTTTATACTCTTTAACGCGTATTATGGCCGGTTCCATGGACTAATTAGATCAAGCCGGGACAACAACGATAGATATTTGGTGTAGGGGTGATGAGTACAGGAGGGGGAGGGGAAGAAAATTATTTTTACTGCTTTTCCGGTTGCTCGCAGCGGGTTTGGCATTCAGGTCATGTGCTTTTCACGAGACTGATTTTTTTTTGCCCGAAATTCTCCTTCGTTTTTCAGCGACAAATATGATTTGCATTTTTTTTCTTTTTTTAACGTTGCTTCAGTTCTCTCTCTGGCGCTATACATACAACATCCCCTGAATTGCTTTTTAAAATTCTATGACTGTGGCCTTGGTAGCCTGTCAAGGTAGCATCCCTCTCATGCGTGTTTTTACGCGTGAGAGGGATGCGAAGAGCGCCTCCCCATAATTGCAACCAGTAAATGACAAAATAATGCAGGCCCGAACCTAGTCCGGTATACTTAAGGTACAGAAAGGGTTGCAGTAATTTCTGCGAGCAGCTGTGATAGTTCCTATCGGATCCTTGTGTTTGCGCAGAGCTTTCTGGGATCGCCAGGGGTCCAACATTGCAAGTGGCTGGAAGGAAACATATAAAACTGTATATGGCAAAAGGTTGGTTCCACGTCCCAAAGACAATTTTGGAGAGATTTTTGAGAAACGGATTTAGGCATTGTTGTTTCGAGAGATATTAGATAGCTAGTTATGTAACGTGTCGAGACAAAGACGATTGTACAATAAACCTTCTTTACACTTCCCTCGTATCAAATCTAAATCCTAAATCCATTTCTGATGAGACAGCAGCGAATAAGCGTTTTTCTCTCTCCAAAACCCTTTTTCCTCCCGTTGAAACAACCTTTGGCCATATTTATTTAGAATGAACTTCAGCGAAGGTTCGATTGAACATTTATTGGAGTGATTTTGCGTACAGATCATTTTGATGTGTAAACGATTTCACATAACGATAAACGATCTCATTACGTTATAATAATAGATTAACAAGAAATTGTTCGAAATAAACCGGTGTTAATAAACTGAACACTAACGAAAATATTTTTGAGATTGAATGTCCTTTCGAAATTCGAAAACTTTTTCAGACAATCAAACTTCCTTTGGTAACTTGCCATGTTTGATCCCCGGCCTTTGCTAGGATCCGATTACAGGAAAGTCATTCAATTCCTCAAGAAGTGGCTGTTATTTCTCAATTAAAAAAAAAAACCCGGTCAGATAAAGGAAATATTTCTAGAACAGAGAACTTTGGAAGACTTAAAGGCATGTGCTGAGTCATTTCTGTTTGTGGGGGGTTTCCGCATTCAATGAAAAAGTGAACGACAATTGATTAGACTCATTTCAATTCATTTAGTAGCCTCAATACAAAGTTACATAGGTGCGTTGCTGACAATAATATAATGTCGTCAATGCAGCTCACTCACTGGAGCCGCAACCCGCAGTGCCTTTTTTAACTCGATTAGAGGAAAAACCTTTTTGTAACATCGGCCAAACTCTTGCTTTTCACAATCCTTTGGCTTTGGTCCAGTGTAGTATTCACAGACAAGCTTCAGCAAATTTCTTTGGGCCATATTCTGAATCTTTTCAGTGTGCTTTCCATTTACGGTCACCCACGGAACGTACTGGTGCTGTGGTTCTAACGCATCTGTCATCGCGGCCATCTTGTGTTCCAGTTCGTTCCCCAAAGGACCACTCACGCAAGCTTCGATTGAATCATAGTCAATTTTCAGAGACTTGGCGCAGCTCTGGGCCACTGTTGTAGGTTCTTCAGAACCCTCGATATTCTTCTCAAAGCAATAAACAAAAGGTAGCGATGCCGAAATGTCCTTGAGGAGCGAAATGGCGCAAGTCTCAATGAGATTCCCCTCGCACTCTTTTGGCCCGTGTTGGCACTGAAAAACCCACTTGTCTCCAATCTTTCTTTCCTCAGCATTTCCATACGGGACAAGTGTCAGGTTTATTATATCGCTGACCTTGAGGTACGTTGGATAAAGCTGCTGTCTGATGAATAATTGGCAGTCAGGACACAAACTCTCGTAATACAAGGCCAATTCTACTTTTGGTGCATCGTCAGGAAAGCTTGACGCAATGCCAGGCATAAGGCAAAGGAGACTCCACGCCAAAAGTCCGAACATGGTTGAGTCGATTTGATGCAGTGAGGAAAATGTGATGTGCTATCGATATGCGTTGCTGTTTACAACACCCGGATAGTCTTTATTCGCTGAAAACGTCATAACACGTGTTAAATTTCAGTCACAAGACCATGTTGTTTTTGTTGTGTTAAGGCTTGCTAATCACGCATCTCATTAATCTGATTGCGATGAAAACCTTGCCCTTTAGGAGTTGTTGTTTTTGTTCGATTATGTAACCCTCAATACGTAGAAATAATACTTTTTCAGGAAGAAAAGCGCCAAACTGGCAATCATAAAAAGGGGAATAGAATGGGGAACACAACAGCACATAAAGAGTCTTTTTTCCGGACGAAAAACTGAAAAACCTTTCGACTAAAAAATCCAAGATATTCGATCCGAAATGTTCTCAGTACTACTTTGACTAGTTTACATGGCAATGAAATTCTGATGTTTAAGTATGTGCGCTAATGGGGGAAAACTTCATTCGTTAGGATGATCATCAGACCGCTAAGCCAATGTTACATATTGAGGGGCTAGGAACTTGAACTTGTTCAGGAAATCAATTTAATTCTACTACGCTTCCAATGGATATATTGAATGAACAAAGTTTTTAAAAGCGCCTAGCGTCTTGATCCCATGACCCCTGGAGGAGAGGGCTGACCATAACAGTTTTACACAATTGTGCTTTGATATGAAGGCCACAAGGAAATTAGTGAATTCTGTTTCCCCAAGGTTTCCACAGCGAAGAAAAATACATTTTCCGAACGCAGGGTAGCACACAACTTTACTGCGGTCTCAAGATGCACGATATAAAAACTTCTGGTTGTTGCTTCCCTAGGGACCAGTGAGATTTGACCTATGGCACGTGACACGTACAAACGTATTGGAATTGGGAGGAATAACAAGGGAAGCAGAGAGTTTCGTTTTGCTTAAAACCCTGAAAGTTTACGGAGACGAAGCCGAGGGGAAAGGTGAGGTTTTAAGGAAAACAAAACTCACCCTTCTCTTGAGGTCAGTCATATTGGTGCTATGCATGGGTGAATTCTAGTAGACATTATTTCAAATTTCTACTTCCTAATTTTCGCTCGTGTTCGACTGGCGGGTTGTCATGCTCTTGGTTGGTGGAAATAATCCCAAGAGCGGTTGTGCAGAAAACGGCAAAAGTCAGGAGAAGAAAAACCCAGTAGCGGCTGCTTCCGTGACAAACAGGACGGTTCTTTGTCACTCGCCCTCTTCCCCTCTCCTTTTCAAAAACCTAGTTCTGAGCAAGTTATGAGGCCATTAAGTGTGTGACAAAAAGGCAGAGAAATAAAATCAAATAATAAAGAAATGGATAGGGAAATGCAAAGATGTAAGAAAGAAATTAAATATTTGATGTGTTAAGTCAGATAATCCCGAACGTCAGCTTGAAATGTCATTTTCCTTTTTACCACAAAAATTTCCAATTATGCGTAAAGATGAGTTAGGAGGAAAAATAAACTGAATGGGTAACTTCTTGAGCAAACCTAACATATTTGCAGAGGACTTGATATGCATGGAGCTGACAACAAAACTATAAAACACAAAGTCGATTTATCCCAAACGTCCGCTCGAAATGTCATTTTGTTTTTACCAGAACAATTTCCATATTAATAACTAAGTTAACCATTCGTTCGACTTCTTGAATAAGGCGACATTATTACACTATTACTTTGACAAAGCTTATTTTTGATTAAGAAATCTTTTCCTTAGAGACACTTACAGCCTCGGGGATTTTAAGTTTCTAAATATACAATTTTTTTAGGTGTATTGCACCTTAAAACACGCAGCACAACTGAAAGGTCCAGAACAAACGCATGATTTTCATTTTAGTAAAATCTCGCGCAATTAATGTTATGTCTTCATTGTTTGACAATTTTCGTGAGCAGCTGGACTTCTGGGCTTGTTTGCGATCTGAGCCAAGATTATAATTAGAGTTCTGCGTAATATTATTATTGCATGTAGTTGCGTTCGGCGAAGTAACATCTAAACCATTCACGGATATTTCCACCTCCGCTATATATTCTGCACGCCAGGCATTTAAACAGGTCAGTGAGTTATTTTCGTATATAAGGTATTTTCTTATCGGTTTACAAATGGTTTAATCTTTTGCTGCTGAATTTATCTCACACTTAGTTAATAATACATGGGTAAGGACACTGAACGACAATCCTTTTTATCCTTCATCTTGGTTTTCGTAAAGTGCACCTGTTTCTAGTCTGATATGGTTGTCTGGAGATCGATGGAGTGGTAACTGATAGAGAATGCTATTAAGGAAACGGTGAAAACAATCCCTTCCAGTTTAATAGCTCGGTTAACGAAAGAGTATCAACGACGCATGATGAAATATTTTAATTATTCATACTGCCTTCGCCTGAAGCGAGACTTTTTGATAAATATAAGATGGAGATTATTCAAACAACTGATGAACGGAATGTTATTTACCCTCTTATGAAAATCCCAGAGAAAAAAGTTTTAAAAAAATATGAATGGGAAAGGCTATCCAAATTGTTAACTTTAAACAATAAATTTCAGTTCAGTTTGATGTTCTTGGATAAAATTGTCTCCGGCAGGCAGTATATTGACGTTGTGAAAGAGCAGCATGTAATAGAAGAAACATTCACATATCAAAGTCAAAAGCTCAGTCTCATTCCGCACTCCAGTGTAAGAGTCAGTATTTACTGATTAGAGGTTTTTCGTTGGGGCAAGAAAGTATCCTATGGAAAACAATTAAGAATACTCGAGCAAACAACTGATCTAAAGCCTGCAGGAAAGAAAATCATTGCCAGGGCATCTTTGGTGGGCCTTCCTCATCTTCCTTCTTCAAGGAGATTTCTGTCAACAAAGAGAACTTCGCAACAACTAGCAATCATTAATCTGTTGTGATGAACGGCACGGCGTTAGAAGAAACTTCAGACTTCAGAAATACTTGTTAGATATGTACTCCAATCAGCCTGGTGAGAATTCAACCCAACAAAGTGATCACCCGCTTGTTTGTGTGTCAAAACCATTATCCGTTTTTATCTTCGTTATCTATGCCGCTGTTTTCTTTCTTGGGGTGTTTGGGAATTTTTTGGTCATATTCATCGTATCCAGAGATTCCAAGCTGCATACGCCATTTAATTACTTAGTTGTCAACCTGGCTGTTTCTGACACGTTTGTTCTGCTCTTTTCGTTGCCAATTGTCGTATTCAGTGAATGTTTTTCATGGCCTTTTGATGAGTTTCTATGCAAGTTGTCTCGTCCATCGTTTCTCATTTTTACGGGTGTTTCTGTTTGCACGATGGTAGCTCTGAGTTTCGAAAGATATCAAGCAGTAGTGCATCCTCTGGCACTAAAAATGACACGTGAGAGGGCGTTTTTCATCATCGTGTTTGTGTGGGTTTTGTCGTGTTTTGCATTTGGCCTTCCAAGGTTTTTTGTATTTGGACTAACAACTGAGAAAGGAATTTTACAGTGTGACCCAATCAAGCAGAGTTTCGCCATAAGGACAGTGACGAAGATATTCCGGCTTATCATGACGTTAATTTTGCCTTGTATCGTTGTATCATGGGCGTATAGCCGAGTAATGCGCAAGCTTAGAAACGAGCTCGCCTTCATTGCAGACGCATTTGCATCACCTGACATAGAGAGGATGCGAACCACGAGGAACATCAAAACAATGCGCCTACTTGTAATAATTATTGTCGTGTTTGTCGTTTGCTTTTTGCCTTTCAACATTGTCACGTTATTTGGCAGTCTCCCTATGTATGCCGAATGGCGTTACAATGAAACGATCGAGAATATGTTCCGGATGTTTCAAGTGTCTCACAGCTGCTTCAATCCCATGATCCTCTGTTCACTGGGCTCAGAATTTCAAAAGGCTTTGAAAGAATTGTGTGTATGTTTACTCGGCAAAAACGTGCTGAAAAGCAAAAGAAAAGCCTACGTTTTACCACAAATTCGGCAAAGTCGTACTTCGACGTCGCCGGCAAACACCAATTCATTTGATAGCAGTTTGTGACTTCTGTGGACTTCTTGTTTCATAGACATAATTTTTCCGACAGGTAAATAATAATCGCCCGGTTAGCTCAGTCGGTAGAGCATCAGACTTTTAATCTGAGGGTCATGGGTTCAAGTCCCATATCGGGCGCTTTACAAATTTTTGTTAATCAAAACTTGAGTTGTTCCTGTAATGGATGATTTAGGATGGAAAATAAAAAAGACTACAATTTTTTTTCACTATTCCGTGAACAAGCCTTGTATATTTGGTTGAAATTTGCTATGGCTTTGACACCAAAAAAACAACAATTGAAAGCAAAACAATTCTTCTTTATTTTACCTATAAAACAATCCTTTTGTTTATTCAACGAAAATCAAGATCGGCAAAGAAAGCCTTACATTCTTTTATTGCCTTAATTGAGTTAAAATGGTCTACGTAAGAGTAGTGGTTGTCTTTGGTTCGTCTTAATCTCGTACCCAGATCCACAGTGTAGGATCTTGCAACCGCTTGGCCGTGAAAGATTTCGATATGTACGAGACTAGGTCCGTCTGATATTTTGTATTTGATGTCATGTAAAGAGTTATTGTCCTTGCCACAAGGTGATTTCTTCTGCTATGAGTTTGAGATCCCATATGATATTAACCTTGAGTTTATAACGATTCAGTAATCATAAAATTTGATTAGATTTATTTTCTGTACGTAATAAAGAATCAAAGATTGCGGCTTATTTGAATGGATTTTAAGGGGTAAAAACTCACTCGTTTAAAGTACCATCCAGAGCTATTTCTTGCGAGTGATAATATTTTTTTTGACACGGCGTGCTCTTACATTTTGTCCTCCCTTCTCAGTAGGTGTTTAAAACATTCTGAGAGAAACACCAGCCAGCGCCCTTGTTCAGTCTTATTTATGAGTTTGTATGCCATGTTTAAAATGCTGTTCTAGAAGTTGATCCTCTCAAGTTTGACCGTGTTTCTGCCATGGATAACGACTGGTTACTCTGTTTTTCTCGACAGAACAACTTCTTAATCGCTTCTTTAAGTTCACGGTTATACCACGTTAATACAATAGGGTTAATTGCTGAGTTTGCAAACATAAGACACAGAAACAAACGCATGAGAAAGCCTGGCGCTTGAGACTTGAACTTACTTATGGTGAGCACTGTGAAGAACGGAAGCCAGCAAAGAACCCAAAATCCAACCAAAATGGCCACCATTCGCCCCGCTTTCTTTTCTCTCAAAGACGACGCTCGTCCTCTTACAGGGAAAGAATTCTTAGAATTTGTTTCACTGACTGCAGTCACTTCTAGTGCAGCTATCTGCCTGGCTTGAGTTCTTGCGATCATGTATATGCGATAATATGAAAACGTTATGAGTATCGCTGGGATAATGAACCAAATTAACCACTCGGCACTCATGTATATGGCTTCGTTTAAGATGTGCTCGTCGGAAGGCTTCGTTGTCGAACACACGACGCCTTCCGGACGCCAAATGAGTGGCGGGAACGCGAGACAAAGCGCAATTAGCCAAGTCACCAGTACAATGGTAGTAGAGCGATGGACAGTTAGGTAACGGTTAAAATGAAGAGGGTAGCGAATGTTTACGTAACGGACCAAAGTCATGGCGGTGAGGTTAAACACAGAAGCAGAACCGAACAATACTCCGCTAAGCAAGATAATGTAACAAACCGATGGGTGGATAGGCTTAAAGTCGATTATGACCTTTTCCACAGCTTGGTAAATAATGTCTGTACAAGCTAACATAAGATCGGCAGCCGCAAGACTTGCTACAAAAGCATTCCGAAGAGTTCGAAGATTGTGATTTGAGTATATGACGTACATGAGAAGGCCATTTCCCACGATAGCGAAGAGGGCCAAAAAAGAGAGCAAAATCGCCTCGAGCACTCTGTCGATTTGAAGTCCGTTGCCTTCGGAAGACTTGTTCTGAATTGCACCCGAATTTAGTCGTTTTGTCATGTTTTGAATGACATCCGAGCTCATCTTGCTTTTGTGCTTTAGATAAGCTATTTATTGTAGGGCGATGATCAATTTCTACTGCATGAGAACTCCGTTTCTTTCGACGTGTTCGTTCTGAATTGCGCTTACGTTTAGAAGCTTTGCAAGGCTTTGGACCAGTTCCAAACGTATCTTTCTTTCTCGCCTAGGGTCCGCTATTCACTGTTGTGCGGCGATTGAATTTCTGCCTTTGTCGTTATTTCACTAGTTCCTTCTTGTATAACCTGCACTTCTGTAATTCACAATGTAATTGAGTTTCTTGGTTTGCTGTATTTATACTTATAATAGGTCTAGGAAACCAACAAAACGAGTCGTCTTCTTCACCATAGGAACCACAAAATTAAAATTACCAGCGGGAGGCGTCCTTCTTCTCTCTCATTCTCTTTTTCGACCACTCTTTGATCTGATAGAAATGCCACCGGGGCTCTTGAAAACGAGTTTTTAAGCGCTTTTGTAATGGAAATATTCACTTTAATCTCCAGGATCAGACACTGTGAGGATGCCATAATAAAACATGTAGCTGAATAGACTGGGTAAGGATAATTAGAAAGAGATGTTAAAGCCTCGAAAAAGCAGGTGTGTTTGTCAACTCCCGTTGCAGTTCAATCTAAAATCAAAAAAAAACAATAAGCTGAATCAAACTGTGTTGGACCGATTCATGAACAATTCGCAGACACATCAGTCAGGAATATTTCTGATATTGTTACCGTCAGAGAAGTTCAGTATTTCCCCCTGACTTTCTCATAGCTGGAAGTCGTTTCAGCGAAGTCAATCAGTGAAATTTATCTAAATCGACTTTAATTTAGATTTAATAAAAAAAGTTTCCTCGTGCGCCGGTGATTGAGCCTGTGGAGAATGTTGAACTGATTATATTCTTTATGTCATTAACATTTTCCCCGATAAAGCTGTGTCAACAAGAAAACTAAGAGCCGCATGAAGTGGCATTAAGAGTGCCTTGGTTTATTTTTATCAAAAAGTTCCGATACTAGAGCACGACGAGTCTCTTTGTCTGTTGCATGGTAATGGCAAACATAATTCTTTAAGAAATGCGGATTTTTGACCGATGTATCCCAAACTACCATGAGTCCCCTTATCAAAACCATAATCACTTGTAAAACCAATAATTTAGGAAGATTTGATTTATGTACAAATGGTATACTTTCGGTGGCCTAACAAGCTTACGCAAGTGCTGGTGCGTTTTCCTGACTGAAAATCACCGGTTATTTCTGCTGGGACATTGATTTACTTTAAGCTCCCACGTCGATTTGCTGTTCAATTCAATAAGTTTCTCCCATATGCAAAAGGAAATATAATAACTCATCAATAAAGAGTTCAATTTGATATATACAGCGGTGGAACTAACCTTATTTTGATCTGTCATCCGTTATAAGAAGTCAAACAATTGAAGCCTATTTCCTTTGTTTTTTTCATATGTTAATTTACATGTTAACTCTGTGCCATTGGTTCTGTTCGCATCGCATACGAACGTTTCGTGATGTTTTTTTCGCTCGCAATTTTTTTTTTAATCATCACACTTGCTGTGTTTTGTTCTTCGGTATATTCTGCCGATAGGCGAACCCAAGCCTCCTACATGGTAGTCTATACAAAAAAAAAACTCCCTGCTGTCGCAATAAAAAATCTCGTCAAATTGCGTGTTTGCGAATTCAAAATCGTTTTGGGAAACTTCTGTTTTAATGATGCGCTAATTTGACCACTCTCTGTAGTCTTAATTCCACTAATTTATACCTGAATTAAAGAATGGTCTCCTTGATTCATAGAACTACATTTTTTTTCTTGGTATTGGTAAAGCTGTTTAAAGCCCCGACTACGTTCAATAATGGGTTCTCAAAAGAGTCCGTTTTCGTCTCAAGCAAAATCATTGAGGCCGTGACCACACTAATGTGCTTAAACTCGTACTTTTTCATGCGTTTGTGGCCACCGTCCACTGATCCTAAAAAAACCTGGATAAGACTATAACTGACAAGGAGTTTCGAAAACGGTCTCTAAAGTGGAGCATTCTGAAAACTCGTCGTTTTTGAGACGCTCCTTTCCGTGTGTGGCCAAGTGAAGACTCGAAAATGTAAATGGAACCTGAATCTCAATTAAAATATGAAAATAGAGTTGCCTGTTCTTTTATGTGATCTTACAATCCACAGGCTCCTTATTTGTAGTTGGTATGCTTTTACGTTACTCAGCTCAAACAAGGATAGTTGCATGCGATGAGAATTTTGTTGTTGTCGGTGTTGTTGTGTAAACCGGATCAATTCGCCATTATTGATAATTTGGAATTACTGATGAGTACCCCTCCTACTCCTCACTGTCGGGGATTTCCGTACATCGCATGAACTCTATACATATCGACTTTTAGCTAATTAAAATGCAATGCTAACCAATAGCACGGTGCATTCAAAAAGACAATGTTCGTCATTTTCTGAAATGAAACCAAATATAAATGCGTACATTCTAAAGATTTTATCAATAACATGATAAAGTTAAATATCTGCTTCTAGTTGGCGCAAAAATATGCACGGATATTTGTCAGCGGACATTATCTGTTCCGAGAAGTGAACGGTTTTCCGAGAGTGGAGTTCGAGGTAAAACTAGGAGAGTTACATCACATGTAAAAATCTTCTTCCCTTTTCTTTGCGGCGCTTTGAACCTGAAAGAAGTAGACAGCAGGTGTTCACGGGTGGACAGAGCGTGGTGGATTGGCTGTCGAAATGAGACTAAACTGATAAAACATAATACCTCTTTTTCTCAAGTAGTTAGCCAGATGCGACATAATCAAAGCCAGCTATGTCGAGGGGAAGACCTTTTACTTAGTAACCGAACGGTACCGCAAAGGTACTCTACATAAATTCGTGCTCTTGTGCGAGAGCTTGTATTCGCTTTATTGAACATTTGATCAAAATATCTTTTCTCCTCGTATGGTCGATACTTTTAGTTTAGAGGCAGGTGGCGAGAATAAACAGCATAATCAACAGAGAGAATTTTCCAGTTCAAACAATAAATTCTCGTAGCTTCAATTTCGAATAATGTATAACTTTGGTGATGAGAGTTTACATGTCCATCTTGTATTTGAAGACAGTAAGGGCTAAAGCTTTGAATAATTTACAAAAAATTCACTAAAATTTAACTATACCAGTTCAACTTATAGATCGATAAATTATATTGCAAGCTTCGCTGCTATCGAATTTGAGGCGAAGATAGCAAAAATTTAAGATATGATAATTTATACCAGTTATATTTGGGTTTTAACTGCCCTGTTTGGATTTGTAAGCTGTTATGTTGGAAGTCAAATTAATCTCTCTTGTGAAAACGGCGTGTGTTCCAGGCAAGCGAATCAAGGACCATGTGTTGTTAGCGACGACCACGAACGCCTTTTTAGATGGGATCCAGTCAAGGTAAATAGAAGCGACTTAACTGAATGGCAGTGTAAGAAATGTAGGTTTTATGTTTTAACAGTAAACGCGTATGGTATTCAGGGTCTTTCGTTTTCAAAAGTATCCATTTAGCGTTTTGAATATATGTGTCTGTTTAAAGTTCCCCGGACATGCTCAGCTACACGTTAAAAGATACACTTGTCACAATCCCGCATTACAGACATAAGTCGGGTGCTTTAGCAGTGTCAAAGTCATTTGATATGTTTGACCGTGTACTCTGATCGTCGGACCGGAATTATTACGGAGAAGGGCTGTTGTCGGTATGAGTAGCGACTGACGTTTCGACAACCTTAGCGGAAGTCAAATCTTCACTTGACTCTGATAATTTCTTTCCCTGAGGTTGTCGAAACATCGGTCACCACTACTGAAAACAGTCCTCCCCAATGAGGAATAGTGTAACCCGAACGGTCAGACTGCATGATCAGATGTTACCACTGTCTTCAAACTAGGTACTGTGAATCGAAGTCAAACATCTCCAAAATGAGGTGTATATGTAGCCGTAGCCTGTATGTTTGATGGTGGAGGGTAAGTCGGCTCTGAGGCCTTGAGCAACAGCGTCGCGAGGGGAATGGGAAGAAAAAAAGGCCCGCGCGAGGCCTCGGTCGAGAATGAGAACGCACACTACAAAACGGTCAACTACATGGGCTGATTTGTGCTCTTCATTTCGTTGACAGAGAGGTCACGTGAGAGAATTAGAGTTAGAGCCTGGGAAAAAATACAAGATGATAACTTTAGCCTCTAAACCTCCGGTGTTTGGTAAGACTTCATAGAGTAAAAGTTGAATTTATTTTCTTATCATAAAATCAACTGTTTCTTTGTTCTTGTCTTTCCCATTAATAGCGGAGCTCCATTTTCTGCATTTAAAACAAACGTAACCCACAGTTCATCTATTTTCTCGGACGCAGGGCTAGCAATCCAAACTTCAGCTTTAGAAACTCTTCACGGTGGCCAATTTAAAATCAGTGGATAAAGCCAAACAAGAATATTACCCATGATATAATGGATCACATATTTCATAATTGGCGATCTGTGATTTCTCGAAAGACTAATGACACAAACTTCACTATTTCAAAACTAAATGAAGCCTGTTTTTTTGCTCACTACTTTTTAGTTATCTTTTTCATAAACAATCAGCGCACTCTAATCTCTTCTTATGGAGTCGCTTCATGCTACAGAAAACGGGAGTACGCTCAGACAGCTGTGTGTTCGAGTCGGTCTCGTATACTTACATTAAACCAACAATAATTTGTCTCGCCTTCTTGGTTACCTTTTGCCGTTTTTTCCAAGATGCCCGGCCAGAATGGTTTTTAGTCTCTCACATGATACTGGACAGAAACTTGAAAGACAGCTTACGATGTAGCAGGCTCATCATGCTGAGGCTTACTCCGACGGGTTTCGATAGCTCAGTTGAGGCGACCAAGACTATAATTTGCCTGAACCGGGATACCACTCCATCGAGGGTCACCCTCTTGCATTTCGTTAAGCTTTCCTAAAAGTTCGCTTGTACCCATCTGTAAACCCCGGGGTGGAGAGGCACTTTGCGAATGAAGTGTTTCCAAAGATCACAGGACAATAACTCGGCAAGGCTCGAACCCTTCAATCAAAACTCTAGCACACTAGCCACCAGGCCAAAGCTATGACCGTATCTCCCACTTCTTTCATGAGCCACCTTGATGTGTGCGCGCGTGCACGTGGTTTATTTTCGGTGTCAGTTGGTACCAATCAGAGACAATAGCCTTGATCGCGACGGGATTCATGATTTTGTAAACATTTTCAGTTAAATTTGAGGTAAACTTGCCTTCTTTCACAGAGCTCCCTGATTTTCTAAGCGAGGAGGAAAGTGAGCATATCATCGATCTAGCTGAAATGTTTGGCCTTGAAAACAGCCTCATGCATACTGATGAATTTCAAGAACAACATAAGAAAGAAGTGAAAGGTAACGCTAACAATTTCACTGATAGTTTGTTCGAATAAGGAATAAGGAAATCTTATTCGTATTCTGTTTATTCATACGACACTTTCGACATCGCCGATCATTTGCAAATGAATGACGCACGTTCTAGCTCACGGCTGGTTATCTGCATGTTGACCGAACTATGTTATTATTTCGTTGTGAAATTTCATCTAGATCTAAATTTATCATAATTTTAACAAAATACTTTCTGCCATAAGGAGAAAAGTTGAAAGATTTTTGGGCGAACTCGTTTTACTGCAGTGGGCGAACTCGTAAAAGTGCTAAAGGGCGAAGTTGCAATGGGGCGAAAACTCCTCATACCCTCAGGAGAATGTGTATAAGGTTCGATTCCCCGTGAGGACTCAGATTTTTTCCTTTGTTTTACGCTCTTGACAAGACGAAAAATGATTTTTATGCGTTTCAATACAAAATTAAAAATTTACCATTTTCCTGCTTTCATACCAATAATTTTTTTACTTATTTACTAGGGCACGCAAGTGGAGCTGCTGGAATATATCTGAGCTGGGACAAAAATCAGGATAAGGAGATAACTAAAGACGAGGTTGTGGAACTTTTTCGATGCCATTCTGTACTAAAAAGATATATAAATTATTTTATGTGCCTGGCTGTTTATTTAACAAATTCCAGCTAACAATTCCATGACGGGAGAATTCTTTAGCAATCAAACGGGTATAAGAAATTTAGTGATTCAAAACGTAATGCTTGAAATTTTTTTTATAATTAAATGACTTCTTTTAGAGCAATATATTCTGATAGGTTCTTACTGCAACATCTGGAAGAAAGCAAAACCACAGTGTTTTCAGTAATATCCATTATTTTTCATATTTTAAGAGTAACGTTTGCCAGAAAATCATTCACTAGATAGCAGGTGAAATAAACGGAAATTTTTTGCCAATGTCTATTTTCATCACCTCTTAATTTCAGGTAATTCACTTTTCACGGAGATATAAGTTCCTTTACATGACGCCTGAGGAAGTCGACGACATGTAAGTACAACTCACTCCGCTTAACACAATCACGTAGATAGCTGCCTCGGATATCTTGAGCCGCGAAAGTAACCATCTTCTTCTGGTCAATCATGGTCATGCCACGCCGAACCCGAAATTTTAATTTCCATCGTCCAAAACAGCAGGCATCCGGAGAATGAATTGATTACTCATCGAACTTTCGCGGTAAAATAAAATTCGTCGATTTTCGTCGAAAGCCGCCAAAATCAAAGAGGTCGCCTAATTTTACTCCTTATTACTCAATTTTACCATAATACTGCATTTTTCTTCAGAGTACCCACGCAATCCCTTCCTTTCTTTTAAAGAGAATCTTTATTCAGACCTTGGTCCGTGAAACAAAGGTTCAAAAGAAAGAATAAATCAGTTAGCACTGCATTATGAATTAAATAAGAGCCGAAATCGGCCGCACTGCCAGCCAATGATCCACTGGTTTTGATTGTGGAATCAAAACTTGTACCAAATTTTGACTTTGCCTTTTCCTCAGGATAAAGAAATTGAAGATCAGAGAGTTTGATGATGGTATGCTCGTGGTTTGTTTAAAACTTTTATTTCTTTGTATATGTAGTTTTGTCTACCTTTCAATTCTCACTTTTTTTTTTAATCTCCTTGATTATTCCTTGGATATTTTGGGAGGGTTATTTATTTGTTTGTTTTTATTTCTTGGCACTTGTTTTTAAATCTTGTTTGTGAACCAAATTCTTGCTATTGTTTACTTGTAGGTAAAGTCACGATACAAGAATTTCGTAAACTACCAACGGCTGCTATGGACGACTATATGAACAAGCTGAAAGAATTATCACCAGTTCACCGTGAACGAAACAGCTACCAAACCTGGCTACATCAGGGAAAGTTTGCCAGTAAAATTATGCAAAGGTTACGAGAAAGGTGAAGTTAAGATATCACTTTCATGCATGTCTTTTCGTTGTTGTTGTTGTTGTTACTGGGAAAACTGAGATAGGACATTTCTCGGCTTGTCCACAATGGGACGCTGTCAGTTTTGTTATTTATCAATTTCTGATCAAATTAACGTTGACTTATTCTTAAACAGAATAAAGAAACTAACAAGGCTATCTGATCGTGTCATCCGTGGAAGTGAACCTTTACAAGTAAGATCTACAGTGTTTTGACCCTTTACACCCTAAGATCAATATGCATATTCTCCACGCTGTTCTCTAAACGTTTTCCTAAGGTGCTGAAACGCAGGATTTGTTTAACAACCAGAAGCTTCTTTAGTAGCTGATCACTTCTCGTGACCTTAGTGTTTGATTCAGGGGTAATATTGAAGGAGAAATAAGATGTTAATCTCTCTTAGGTGCTAAGAGTTAATGCTGATTCAGTTCCCACTCACTTGCCTTCTTACAGACAAGAGATTATCCAGTAATTAATGATTCTTAATCTCCCATACAGACCTCACTCTGAGGGTAACCCTTCTGGGCTATTTCATTCCAGTTTTTATGTTTGTAGTTCCCAAAAAGATATAAGAATAACTGAGTGACCTTTAAGGTGAAGTTCTCACTCGTTCGACATCCCATTGGGCAATTGTTCATTTTCACCTGAAACACTAATTCAAGTAGCATGCATGATACAAGTAAAGTACGAGTACAATCTTCTGGATCCTCGATGCTTTCTCGCAGTTATTAGAGATTTCATCAATGGCACATTTTTAGCCCCGACTACGGAGACATCTTCCTTTTTTCTATAAAGTAAATACTTACCGTACAAAGTTTGGTCTCAACCTTCAGGTGGTGAAGTACGATGAAAATGGCCATTACAATGTTCATCACGATGCTCAGCCAGTGGCTTCTCACTCGCACCTCAAGTGCTGTCACCTGAACGTCACCAAGATACCAGCTTGCAGACTTTGTAGGTTAGTTAAGTATTTTCTCGAGAGAAGAGCACATGCTGCCCATGTAAGGGCCATTGCGGCACTAGAGAGGGTTTGAGTGGAAGAGTAGCGCTCAAAATCGGTTTTGATATCCCACTAAGAACAGAATTGGGTAAAACTGATTGTGATAAACTGATAACTTACTAAAATTCTACTGAATGAATATCAGAAACTTGCTGTCCAAATGGAAGTTAAACAAATGGTCTGCCCCCTCCTCTCGCCTAATTCCGTGGAGTATTATTAATAGAACTGAAAGTGGTGAATTTTGGCGGGATTTTATTCATTGTGCGGTGGAAATTTTTTTTTTCCTCTGCGGAAATGTAGCTTTGCGGATCAAAGACGATCCACAACATCTGCAAAAAATTTAGACCCGCAAAATTTTCATGCCACGCGGTATTCCGCCCTTGTGTGACAGACAATCTCAAATCATGCTCCTTTTCGTTTATAGATATATTACTATATTGTATTACCTAAATGACGTCGAGGAGGGTGGAGAAACAGCTTTTCCAGTTGCTGATAATAAAACCTTTGATCAACAGGTCAGTGATAAAGTGACTCCAAAATCACAGTGACTACTAACGCCCTGCAAGTAGTAAAATAGTAAACAAAAGCCAGGCGGCAACTCAGGCGCCGGTAAAGATACAAACGACAAAATGGCGTTGATTTTTACTTTTGGATGTGACTGATTGAGAAGCAGAACTCGCGCAATCTCCAAGTTTTTCCTCACGTGAACAAGAGTTGCTTAAACTTTGTGGGGATTTTGTTCTTGTTTCTGAATTTGTTAAGTTTGTGGGATTTGATATCTGGGCTAAAAAAGGCTAAAACTGCTGAAAAATGTAGCTGTTCAGCACAGAAACTTAAGCTAATTTAAGCCTGTTATTGATGAAAATTTTACGAGCATGATGTCTAATGAGGAGAGCAGGGATGACTTTGTTATCAAAGGCACTCGCCTACTACCCGCTGATGCCCAGTTACGATTTTAGAACGTGGCATCAAATGTGCATTGAGTTTTTATTTTTAGTTCTCGTCCTTGCACAGATACTTTCTCCTATTTTTTGGTTTTCCTCTATCTATTGAATTGACGAAGAATTGAATTGACGAAGAACCACTCTTTAGTTGCACTGCGGCTAAACTCCATTTGATTTTCGCCAGAAAAACGGTGAAATCTCCGACAAACGGAGCACAATAGTAAGAGTTTCAACGAAGATACTTAACGACATTCCTTCTTACATTTTCCCGCAGTTGTACATCAAAACCATGAGTGATGATTTATTCAACTTGATGGAATTCTGCCATGCCGCCAGACTAGTGGTCCCCCCAAAGCGAGGCAAGGCTATCATGTGGTACAATCACTTCGTGGATGAAGAGACTGGCTGGTTGGGAGAGAGGGACGATTACACCCTTCACGGGGGGTGTGGAGTGCAGAAGGGAATCAAATGGATTGCAAATAACTGGATCACTGCCCCTGACGCACCACTTGCGCATATAAGAAGTAACTTTGAAATCAAAGAAGAAGAAGAAGAAAAAAACTTTTAACTTATAAAATTTTGAGATAAAAAATTTAGCGCCTATTTAGCATTTTTAGGTAGTGATCATGATTTAAAACTCTGTCTTTGTTCTAGTGGATTTGACTTTCAACGTAAATGTTATAATGGTGAACCCAATTTCAAAGCCATTTCAGGATTTTCACATTTTTTTAACATTATTTTTAAAGATCGTATTCTGTGAGTCTCCTTTGGCTGTTAACTTATTCCCCAAACGAAGTCCCCAGTCTACACCTATGCTCTTTCTGGAACATGTTGTGAAGTAAAAAATTTGAATTGAAAGTAGGTAAATAATTTAATTTGATTAAAGTGACTCCCTTTTTGCAACCGGCTGTGTTATGTTTAATTGTGTTGTGATGCATGCATCCGTTCTTTGTTTTGCCGTCCACTACACTCACTGTATGTGAATGACGCTAAGGCACTTTATGTATGGCGCACAGGACTTTTTGTTAACATCATTGTGACGTGTTTTTGGCTTTTTTTAACAGAGCATCATCAGAGCGGACAGTTCAATATGACCTTCGATATTTCAGTTTTTTCTATTCTTACTCTCTTTTAAGTAGATTTAGATCCTAACGGACGCACTCAAATCTATAACTGAAATGACTCCTAACGAAATTACAACTGAATAATTTTTCACCTAATCACTGGAAATATAATTATTTGTCTCAACTTTGTTTTTCTTATAACAGCCATTACACTGTGTAATCAGCAGGTCGTAGTAATTAGTAGTCTTTGTATTCTGCTTTTGATACCACGATTTCAGTCCTGTATTTTTACGCCTAACAATACTCTTGTGATGATCCAAAATAGATCAACATCTCCTCCAAGGGGGGTAGCATTACGAATAAACCCAGCTGATTGATCACAACTGAAGGACAATCAACTTCAGCAGGTTTCCTTAATCTTTAAATGAGTGCTTCCCCAAATGGAATACAAATGCAATACAATAATATTCAAATATGACTGACTTTATAATGGTTATTTATAAGATTCGGCTCTAGCTGTGTGCGATGTGATAACTGAAATCAGTTGAAGAGAAACCATCGCTTCCTTCCAATCGTGCATGTTCTTTTTTTACTTGAATCAGCTCAATTGTCTTGATCTATGGAAGTTAAGGACAACTTAAAATCATGGAGCAGTTGTTTTAGTCTGATGCTGGGTACTAAAATAATAAATATTTAATAAAAGTCCATGAAACCTGAGCAGCCAATTGGCATCACGGGCAGTGAACTTGGCAGTGATACAGTTTTGCGAAAATTTCGCAGTGTTCTTAAAATATGAACAAAACAAGTTCACAATTTGAAGGCTTTATGAGGAATGGAAAAAACTTGTTAATAATTTTTTCGATTGTTGCTATCAATTTTAGGCTAGCTGCAAGCAGTGACGCGCGCAAGCGGCTCGATAAGTCTTGCGAAAATGGCGTCTGTTTCAGGGAGCAAGACAAAGGACCGTGTATTCCCAGTGATGACGAACCGAGGCTGTTCAGATGGGATCCTATCAAGGTACGTTACTGCTAAAGAAATGAAGGTGTAATCAAACAAAGAAAATGCCACTTCAGGGAGAGTACAAAGAATTGGACCACCATAACAATCTACGGAAGCTCTAAGTTGAAGCAGCGATCGATAGTAGTAGAAATCCATTTGTGGTCGAATTAATGTAAACATTGTAATAATGCACGTACGTGTCCGGCACAGAGCTATGTGCCAAGCCAGATAACTACGTGCACTGCGCTACAACTTCTCAGGTTAAGAACGATGCAATGGCGCCATTTTTAAATTAAACCAAAATTAGCACGTGGTACCAGCAAAAATAGCAACAGAACCTTGAACAGGAAACCTGCTACTTTAAAAAACAGAATTCAAAACAGCTTTCTAGCTGAAAAGATACGGTGAAAATCGTCCTCCTTATGCAAAAATAAGATAAATGAGAACATTGCAGTGGGGGGAGAGACGTCTTTCCGACAATGCTGAATTCGCTCTCGAGAAAAAAGAGAGGAGTGAATTTTGAAATATAACCTGTCTTAACCGTTTAGTGTCTTTCTTTGAACTTCCCCTTGCATTTTCACCCTTGAATAGAGTGCAAAGGTCACGAAAATAAAGGAAAGGATCATTAAGAAGCTCCTGATTGTCAAACAAATTCTCCTTGTCAACAAGTATGGAGAACATGAATACTAATAAGGTGTTATTACCATAGAAAGGTCACGTGAGAGAGCTTGAACTTGAAGAGGGAAAAACATACAAGATGATTTCACTCGCATCTAAGCCTCCTCTATTTGGTGAGTTTAACCTTTCGTTGCCTATGATCTGACTGTTAATTCTCTCCTCTGGTTGCTGCACATTTCTTTTTAAATCAGTTACGAGAATTTGGTGTTAGATCAAGTCAACAACTACTACCACAGCGATAAGTGTCTCTCCTCATACTTACCAGCTGATTGCTATTATTTTCCCTCGCAAAAGAGGGTTGCTACATCCCACTTAATTATCATTCGTCTAAAGTTAGTTAAATCCATCTTTATTTATTACGCTGTACCTTTTAATCGGTAAAAATACATGGCATAGTGTTCCCACCTCCCCTTGGAAACCAGCGATCGGGCCATTTGATTCATCAGTACATACCAAGGCGTCGATTAAAGACAATTCAGGCCACTTTCATCCCCAAATGATAAACATTCTCTTGCTAAATGACAAAGTAAAGTTATTTTTCTTTATTTGATTATAGAAATACCGGATTTTCTTAGCGAAAGTGAAGCCAATCACATCATAAGTTTAGCTGAGAAGGTCGGTCTCCGAGGAAGCGACCTTCACCTCGACGAGGAACTCGAGAAAAACAAAGAATTTGTAAGAGGTATGCTAGTTAACAAGGAGGTTTAGTATCAAGGGTGGTCCTTAGAAGGTTCAGTTTATAAATTCATATCAAAGATAAGAGCTATATTGCGGTGATTTAAATATCTTTCGTTTTTGCGTCTAAAATTGGGGGTGTGGTGCAGTGATCTAAACACAGAGGAGAAGGCTCGAAAATAGGGGTTATTGAGGAAGAGAACCATCAAAGAGGAACCGAAATATAACAGAACGAAAAAATGATCGATGATTAAGACTGAGACGGATCACTGAAGTAAACCCTGCAAAAACTGAGGCTGAATATTCCCTTTACTTTGTTTACTGCCTCATTGGGTGCTTCTGCGCTTTTCCTAAGTAATCCCTCTAATTTTCAATTCATTTTTTTTTTCAATCTATCTCTTTATCTATTGACATATCTTTTTCGCAATTATAACGATTTAAAAATAACATAAACTTCGCTCTAAATCCACAAGCCTTGACGTAGTTCGTTCAAATTAGTTCTGTATCTTGGCCCAGCAAGTTCCAGGAAACTCCAAACTCTGAAGAGCTGTTATTCAGAGAGACAAATTGTTAATTTAACCTTCATTTTTTCTCTAGGAAATGCAAGTGGTTCTCTGGGAATGTTCTTAAACTGGGACAAAAATGAAGACGGACTCATCACAAGGGATGAGGCAAAGATGACGATTAAGTTATTAATTTTAGCATCAATTAAAAATCGAATTTGCATTGGTCATGCCTTACTTGGCTCTGTGATTGGCTAGGAGAACTCAGGCCACACTCTCAATCTATTTGTTTTAATTCTCATTGACTCCATGTGATATCTTCCTTAGTTTTAATTTGTCGTTGTGAATATTTTGGTTTCATTGTTACGATACTTCCTCGAAAAATGGTCTATCGTCCTCTTTTGGTATTACACAACAATGTGTTACTTTTATCTTTCCTTTAGATAATTGATTTTGCTGCAGACTTCAAATACCTTTATCTGAGTCCAACAGAAGTAGATGACATGTAAGGATGATGATCGTTTCTTTATATATCACTTGATGTTTTCTTCTTCGTGATCTTAACTCGAACGCACAGATCCTGCATTAACTCCAACTTTTCTCTTCATTTTAGGATAAGCAAGCTAAACATTTGGGAGTTTGATGATGGTAAGTAGCACAATGAACCATTTTCCCGCAAGAAAATTTAATAGTTTCTCTCCTTTGTTTTAAGCAGTTTCTGCTTGAGGACCAAACTGATAGTCCTGTTTTGCAATGGCTTCGCATCACTTCTCTACGTGTTCAGCATATATAACCCGGGCAACCATCTCAGCCAATCAGATGCAAATTAAAGCTAACACCCTTCAAATACTTCACTTTCAGAAGCTTGCTTGTTTTTTCTTTTGAATTGTGCGCTGATAAACTCGAAACTTCAACATCGACCCGTTCGTGCACGGGACGGGCTGGGAAATTTGAACCGCTAGGGTCAGTTCTTTCCAGCGGTGTTTAAAAACTTTTTACTTTAAAGGTGTTTAAAGTAAATAGTTTACTCTCGCAGGCAAATGGCTCAGAAGAAAAGGTCTACAACGTTTAGGTTTTTAAAGCTTGGTCAATGTGCAGAAAGTTACGGTCGCTGATTTTGCCTTAAAAAAAAATGTGAGTGATTTTTGTCCCGGGGGCGGGAATTTGCACAAACCAATCTTCAAAATTCAAAGTTCAAATGCCCTGGAGTTGCCCCCGGAGGGGGGGGATGTTGAAGTTTCAAATTGATCGACGCAGTATCACTGGTGCCTTTTGATACTTTCCTTTGTTTGACCGATTGTTGTGGTTACTAGGTTTAGTCATCACGTCAATTGATAGAAATCCGCCTTTGACTTTTTTATCAATACATTATAGATCAAGTAACCCCAGTAGAATTTACCACGCTGCCAACTGCCGCCATGGACGGATACATGAACAAAATCAAAGAAAAGCATCCGGCTCACAGGGATAGGTTTAGTAACCAGGCCTGGTTAATTCAAGGCAAGCGAGCTGACTCCTTGTTACAAACATTACGAAAGAGGTAAGCCGGGAGACTGGATCCAAAGTCGATCTGGCAGACTCGATGGTGTTAACTGTCAGCCGTAAAACGACCAAAACTTTAGCGTAAAAATCGACTAATGCTATCCGTTAGTCGTGAAAAATGTTAACCGTAAAAAAGAATTTCTGATGACAACAATAGAAAGATATTGACTTTTGGCCGAAAATTGGCCAAAATTTTAACCGTTAGCTTAGCCTTAAAAGCCATCACCTCGCTAAGATCCTCTTACACCTCAGCTTTAATTGAGAGATGTGTACACTGAAATTCCGTCTTTCTTGAAAAGTCTTTTTTTGTTTTCACAGGCTCTCTAAGCTTTTAAGGCTTTCCGATCAAATCATACGAGGAGGCGAACCTTTACAGGTTTGTGTTGCAGCCACAACAACTGCACCATTCATAAGCAACTTTGATAAAAAAAATAATAAATTGGATTGTTTCGCATGACAAAGAGAGTAATCCACCTCATCCTTCGGTTTAGACGAATAATACACGCCCCGGCCTTGATAATCCTCATTAACATCCTTAACCTCATTCTAAATTTGTTGATCAAGGTCGTAGACTCGATATAATTGATAAACCAAAACCAGAAGTGATGGGCTCCTGCCAAAACCAGTTCGTGGGAAAGGTCATCTAGAAAAAGCTACTCGTGGAGTATGGAAGATGAACTGTAAAAGTTAACTGTTATGGGCTCCTGACAGGGCAATTAATCCTGAAGCTTTTTTCTGGTTTTGCTATCTTAGTGTTTAACTCAAGAAAGCTCACAACCTCCTCCCCACCCCTCCCCACTTTAACCAGGCAGATCCGATACACTATCACTATTCATTAAGGCAGACAATAACATTTTTGATATTTGTAAATTCCTCTCCCTTGTCTGATTGCGACATAAAAAGTTTTTGTTGTTATACTGAGTTCTTGTAGCCTCTGGACTTGCAATGTCTAGCTCCAAAACAAACAGTTACACGTGGCTGTTTATATAAAAAAAGATTACTTAGTCGATGCCTTCACATAGAGCTCTCTTTCCGTGCTTTGAATAATTTTTTTTTTTCTGACAGTTGTTCACTTTATTTTATCAGGTGGTTAAATATACAAAAGATGGACATTATAACGCACACTACGACAGCCAACCCGTGATGAACCAATCACACGTGAAATGCTGTCATCTGGAACTTTCTTTGCTCCCACATTGTAGAGTGTGCAGGTAAAATCGGTATTCAACACCAAAAGTAGTTGGTGAGGCGATCTATAGAACAGGAGCTGTTTTATAGCTATCTTTTATGAATGAGTAAATGTCTTTCACGAGGTGGTAAATTTTGAACTAGGCACTGAACATAGAGAAATGTTTTTCGTCTCGTCACGAGCGTGGGTCGAAGGAAAAATGTGAGTCTCCGTGACGAATCGAATACCAGACCTTCGATTTCCCCTGGAATTCCGTGTTGCGATGCCTCATCACTTTCCTGCATCGCATGGGGAAAAGCCCTGAATTAGAAATTTCAATTAAGTACAGCTTGGTAATAACCTAGTCAAAGTGCACTTTGCGAAGCTGGCCTACTCGAATATTTTGTTGCAGATATGCTACGGTGTTGTATTATCTGAATGACGTGGATGAAGGAGGAGAAACTGCATTTCCCGTGGTAGATGAGAAAACTTTTGATAGAAAGGTTCGCTACGCTAAGAACGCCTCATAATCAAACGATTTATATTTCAGAACTGAGTCGATCTGCGTATTCAAATTTCATTCCATGTGCAAATGGGTCAAGACCGCAGGCCTCTAGCCACGATAAGTTTTCAATAACGGAGGAATAGGATAACGTAAGAGATGAGAGGGGAGCGGGGGGAGGGAGGAAGGGAGGGGGGAGGAGGAGCGTCGTCTTCTGGGGTGAGGGGTGTGGTGGAGGGCTACAAACAAAAAATGTTTTGGTATCGATTAGTTAGGTTGTATGAAAGTACAATGAACAGTGGAGGCATCACAAAAATTTCTTTAAAGTTCAAGAAATGGTCCCTCCCAAGGTGACAAGAGATGCGAGTCATGAAACTCAATCCAATACTCTGTCAAACTTGAGGCAACTTTATGATTAAGGTTTTCTGATGATCAACGCCGTCATTTGACGGAACAGTTTAAGTACCTCTCGGGCGACTCGTTAGGCCAGTAGACACCTTCAAAGCATACAGGCTCTCCCACTCGGCAGATGTTTGCCCTTTGAAGAAGAGATATGAGAAGAGATGTACTCACTAATTCACGCGGAACTACTTACCTTATCTCATCTCCACAGACTTACCTCGACACCATGAAAGTAGACAAGTTCAATTTGATGCAATACTGTCACGATGGTAACGTTGTTGTAACACCAAAACGAGGCAAGGCGGTCATGTGGTACAATCATTTTGTGGATGAAGAAACAGGATGGATGGGAGAGATGGATGAGTACTCGCTTCACGGCGGCTGTGGGCTGTGGTCCGGGGTCAAGTGGATCGCTAACAACTGGATCACGTCCGCTGACGCTCAGTGGGCTCATTATAAAAGTGATCATGATATCGACGATAGATAAATGATTGTTTCTTGTCTTTAGTCTTTTTTCAACCTTAGTTTGATTTGACCCCAGCCGGCTAAACGACTTTAGAAACACTCTATAATCGGCATCTTCCGTCGCCCTGTTATTTTTGTCTTTCCCTGATTGGTTCCAATCTAAATGACGATTCTTGAAACCAAAACACGCGACTGAACTTTATGCATTGAACTGAGACGAAGAAATGATGGAGGAAAGCTACAGGGAATACGAAATTCTTCTTTCTTCGGTACATTTTCTTCATATTATTGCACTTCTTCAATTGCACTTTTGAATTCCTTGTTTTTATTAAATAAAATAAGCAAAGTGTGTTAAAATATTAAAAGTTTATTTCTTTCTTAAGTTATTTATGTCACTTTAGAATAACATCGTGTCGACCATATTCAAGCCATCAACCGTAAAATACTTCTAGATCCTTTTTCTTCTCATGACGATGTAACCATGTTAGAGAGACAAGAAGTTACCGTTTCATAAATTCGCAATCATATAAACACGATTCTCTCTTTCATTAAACTCTTCACAATCAAACAACAGTAGACTTTCCATAACGGTAACAGCCGTCACATAACGAAATATGTGCTTTCGTAAAACTCTGGTCTTCTTCGCAGCCGTTGTTTGATCTCGTCACGTAATACGCGTGAGAAAGCGACAAGACCAAACCACGGCTGCGCAAAAGACTTCAGACAAGTTTTTTATTTCACAATTTCTGCCAACGCTTGTTTTAGCTCCGGATAGTGGAACTTGTATCCCATCTCTAATGTCCGTTTAGGAATAACTTTCTGTCCTTCCAGAAGAATTTTTCCGCGATCCTGACCAAAGATAAAATTGATTGCAAACGAAGGGGTCGGCAAAATGGCAGGTCTCCACAGCGCGCCTGCGTACTCTTTCGTATAACTCTCGTTTGTAACTACTTGCGGCGCCACTGCGTTCAATACACCAGTCACGTGATCGTTCTCCAAGGCGTGAAAAATTATTCCTGTCATGTCGTCCAAGTGGATCCAAGGGAAATATTGTTTACCGCTACCTAGTATTCCTGAAATAAAAGGGTGGAAAAAAGAAATAATCTTAGTTCCATTTTCTGAGGAAGGAATTATATTTTTCCATATAATACAATGCCTAAACCAATGCAAGATACAATGCGTGGAATAATAAAATGTGTTTTTACCTCCAAGACCGAGCCAAAATGGCCAAATTGTCTGCTGTATGACGCCTCCACCACGGCCTAATACAACTCCAATCCTTAACGTGACCAATCTGGTGTCACAGCCATCAGGAAGCTTAGCACTGTTCTCCCAGTCAGCACAAAGTGTTGTCAGTGCATCTGCAGAGCTTGGAGGTGAATCTTCAGTGTACTCTTTAGTATCACTTGGAGGATAGTAACCTAAAGTGAAAAAACGAACTATTTTGTCAGATGTCCTTCAGGGACAACAGTGCTCATTAAGTAATTCAGTGAGGAGAGTGAGATGAATCCTACATCATGACAAATTTGTGGAGAGATACATTTTACTAACAAGGTTTTCATGTGCAAACAGGTTGAATGCAAGATAGGAAGGCATCTTAGGAGGGAATTGGTCTGACACAAAAAGGACCTAACGTTTTGAGTTACACTTGCTCAGCTGGAAATAAAGCCAAATCAAATTTCATTGTTTAGGAAATTCAGCATCTTCTTGAAAGGAAATTTCAATTGGTGAAATTGAATATAAAACAAAGAATACCTCCAAAGTGAACATAGATAAAGTGAGCCATGAGGTTAAAGCAAAAGGATAATATTCTAGTCTTGCAAGCATGCCCTCATTGTTTGTGTTGCAAGACATGCGTTTCTTTACCCCACCACTTATTCCCCACCCCTACCAGAGCTGGGGAGAAGTTCTCCAGGAGTCTGAGACTAACCAGTGCCAGACTCCTTGCAGACCTCTTGCTACCTGACGTTGCCTGAGGCCTCATACTTTCCTGTGGTTAAAGGAATGCTTGCACTGAAGTGCCAATACTATTAAGAGGGCCTCCTTGCAAGCTTATCTTCCACAAGACATACAACACTTTCACCATCTCTCCCTAACTCAAGAGTACATCTGGATATGGGGGTAGAAAACGTGACTGGCCGGTAATTCCCAACTAAGAAGACAACAGAACTACATTTCGTGTTTGGACTATCAAAAATGCATCTGTAGCCCCTGTCATGGATCAGTATGAAAAGAATCTTTGTCCAATTAATATTCTATTTTTTTTTCTTTAAATGACATGCCAAACAAAATCTGGCTATAAAGCCAACCAAATGGATTGCAGCACTAGCTTAGAATGAGATGTTTGCCACTCAGGTAAACCATGTGGGTTTTTAAACATATATCATGTGGTTGTTGTTATATTCAAAAGAGCTCACCTACAGCAGAAGAGGAGACAAACACTTTTGGAGGATTTGATGCCTCTGATATTTTTCTTGCTAAGGTTTTAGTTGTTTCTATGCGACTATCTCTCAGTTTCTGTAAGAAGCCCTCATTCCACCTGTTCACAAGTACAAAATAAAGATTTTAATATATCTACAGTTCAGTTATGAAATTAATTATATGACATGACAGGAACTTCATTCACCAAACATGAATGACCGTGTAATTAACACCTACTTCATTATGTAGAGTACTTTTCTGGGACCCTGCCACTAGAGATCTAGTGGACTTCCTTCCACTGAACTAATTAGTGTTGTCAGGGGCTTGAAATAGGAGCTCACAGCTGGGTTGCAAGGATCTACCACCCATAAGAGTGGTGTCCTTTTGGGAGACTCGCTGGAAACAGCAGAAACCCCTAAATACCCTAAGCACTTGCTTTCCTTTTATTACAAACAGTATTATAAAATCATCACCTTTTAAGTGGATTAAGAATGTTTTCTCCAGCAAGATTTACGACAGCCTCGCATTCTGGCAAAGGTGATTTTGAAATCTCACTCTGTTTAAAAACAAAGCAGTCACATAAAAATTACTGTAACCATTTTAGTTTCCCAACCTCTGTATAGCTGAAAATTTAATTTTGGTACGTGCTTGTGTGATATTTGACAACACATTAAATGGATGTTCTAAGGTACATAGGGAATGACTCCTTAACATCTGTCTCCTCAGACTACTTCCTGGTGCAAATTGAAACCATACAGAAAATGAAACCTTGTCATATGCTTAAAACAACTCAAATTAAAGAGAGTAAATTATAAAAGAAAATTTGGTGCTGCATCAGAGAAGGTATTACAAGATAATTTGGTTTCAATTCCAATGAGGAACCAAGACAGAATTTCTCCTCACCAAATCAATACAATATCGAACAGACAAGTCACAAGTGACAAGAATAGAGAAAAACATCACTTCAGGGATTATTAGTTGATTCAATACCAAATTCTCAGAACTAATATCATAAGAATTGTATGGCAGACAGTAAGCAGAATTACTAATGAGATCTTGGGAGTGAAAGTGTTGAGCTGATGCTCTAACTGTTATTCCTTAATAAATCAACTTTAGAAACTCAAATTTACCATTTTATATTATCAACTCAGTTGGTAAGACTAAAATAATTCAGATTAGTTCCATGAAATGAGTATCTTTCACAAGTTCTTACCCAAGTTATTTTTCCAGGTGCCTGAGTCCTTGAAATAATGGTGACCTCATGTCCTTTCCGTTTTAAGGCCTCTACCAATGCTCTGCCAATAAATCCTGTTCCCCCTCCTGCAAAAGATAGTTTCAGTCAACAATGGGATTGAACTGCTTTAAGACAAAAGGTTATAATAGTATGACAAAACAAGACCTTTCTTGGAGAAAATGGGAGACCTCCCTACCAAAGGTACATCAGATAAATCGCTTGTGAAATTCACAAATTATGGCCCTAATAAGGAACCCTGTGGTACACCAGAAGGAATGACAGACCAGGTAGAACTCTATCCCTCCATAACAACCCTTTGTTCTCTTTCTGTCAAGTAATCCCTACACCAGTTTAGCAGACTACCAAAGATGCCAGAATTACAGAGCTTCTGCAGGATAATAACATGTGATATTCTATCGAATGCTTTGGCGAAATCTAAGAACACGACATTGTAGTCCGTCATCCAAGGCCTTTTTACACTGGCGGTGTGTAAGTACCAATTGGTTATCACAGTAAATGAGCAGACAAAGATACAAAATTAAATGAACCGTGTACATGTTACGTAATTGCGTCAACACACCTACAAGAACTCTCATATTTTCTCTCTTCTGAGGAGACCGATTCGGAGGATTGTCTGAAAAATACTCGAAGGTTAGCGCCAGGCTATTATAAAAGTTAAGAGCGTTAATTTCACAAAAGCAATCTTGACCGAGCTAGGCTCTTGCTTCGTTTTCACGTTTAGCACGAGAATCTTAGAGACTGCGAGAAGACTGAGGAAGACAACAAAGGGCATAACCTTTGACGTACGACCGCTGTCTTCACAATTTTCAAAATGGCTGTTGATTGCCGCCAAATCAGATTTGAGAAAAGAAGTCGTTTAATATGAAGCTTTTGTGTTTTAACTTTATTAGACGGCTCTAAAAGAAAACATTTCATGCTAAAAATACACAGATTACTCTTTTGGTCTCATCGTGAGGGTGCCATGTGCGGAAACATTCAGAGAAAGTGGGACATAGCAACGAGTTAGCGGGGTTTCGTCGTGATCATTACAGCTGATAATTTTTGACCGTGGTATGCCAGTTTCCTCGGCCATGGACGGACCTCCCTCGTTTTCCGTTGCTGAGGATGGAGGTATTGGTTTAATTTAATAGTTTTTGAATATCGCAAACGCGCAAAAATAAAAATTTGCAGTTTTGTTTACCTCTTATGATTGACAGCTTGATGTTGTTGTATGGCAGTTCAAGTTTAGCCTTCCTGTTAGGGCACATATTTGCAGGAACGAACAGCTCAAGAACTTTGTGATCCGTTGCTCTTGTAGACGGAAGACATTTCAGCGAGATCTATGCTCGTCAGTTGATCTCCAAGATAAGCAGAGAGGAGCTTGAAGACAAATATTTGAGGCTTCAGGAGGACAATCAGGTATAGACTGGAGTACACATTGTATGACTCCCAACTCGCGTTCCTTGTTTCTTGTTGAATTATTTTCTCCTCTGATTGAGACATTTGATAAGCAGTATATATGTGCAATGTATATCTCTGATACATGGTGGATTTAGAGATAATTATGCCTTCATATTTTGAATTTGGCACCAGAAAATTAAAATAGGTACCTAATCATTACACCTACACCTACTCCTGCACATGTTCAACATTTAGATCCTCATCTAGTTTGCACAAGAAGCTGAAAGAAACAGTCAAGACTTTTTATTTCATGGTTGTTCTGGGAACTTGTCTTCCCTCCTTTGCTCAATCATGTCTTACCAAGTTCAACTATAATGGAGTTTAGAGGTTTTATGCATGCAATGACATTCATATTTTACTTTCAGCTTAAGTTTGTGTCAATGGGTTTTGTCCAAGATTGAATGTGAAAGCTATCTAGGCAGTAATGAACACTACTTAAGCAGTAGTGAAACTATGGTCTAAAAGAAAATTCAGGAATTTGAATCCATATACAGGACTTGAATCCATGACCTCTGGGATACTGGTGCAGTGCTCTATCAAGTGAGCTACAAACCAGTTGTTTTGCCAACAAGTCATTTCACCAATGGTAGTTTTGCAAACGTTTCTGGTCAATTTACAAATGTGTAGAAGTCAGTTCGCAAATGTTTAGAAGTCAGTTCGCAAATGTTATAAACATTTGCATGTCAACCTGGGTTTAACTATAAAATTCAGAATACTACATTAATGACTTGTTGTATGCGTAAATTATTGGATGTGAAATCTCACAGCTTATTTCTCATTAAAGTATATTTCATATTTAATCAAATGGACAGTTTTTATCCCATGACTTGGTAGTTGTGGACCTTCCCTCCAAGAGCAAAACCTCCTGACAGAACACAACAACAGTAAGACCTGTTTCATATCAGTAGATTGATTTGCAGATAAGAGCTACTGTACAAGCAACATGCAAATCCTGCAATAGAGCGAGACTGTATTACTTAAGCTGGAGAGTTTGTATGCTCAAATGTTGACATCTCAAATCTACAAAGTGTGTGAACTGACTTCTACACAAGTCATATAAATGTTTATAACGTTTGTAAACTGATTTACAAACAATCCAATCACTTGGATGTTTATTTGTACCCAATTCATTGACCAGCTCCCAGTTGGCTTGTTAGCTCAATTGGTAGAGCGCTGCACCGGTATCGCAGAGGTCATGGGTTCAAATCCTGTACGGGCCTGAAATTTTTTTCAGGTCCTATTTACAACTACTCGTTTCAGTAGTGTTCTTAGCTGCGAGGATCTCCTAATTTCATCATGCAAATATGTGAATTTCACTTCCCAATTCATTGACCAGCTTTGGCTTGAACTCAATTGGTAGAGATGTTTGCAAAATGACCAAATTTTTTCAGGTCCTATTCAGTGAGCTGTATGTAATTTCATCAAACTTGGAACTGACTGATCATTAAAATGTTGGTTCAAATTAAATCTTGTAAAAACCTGAATGAATCAATGACTGTGAATATATTAACATCACTTACATGTATATGAACTGCAGTTTTAAGAAATGAATATGAAAGTGATCTTTGGAGTAATGAGCACTACTTAAGTCACATTGGAAATAAGGCTTGGAAAAAAATTTAGGCTTCTACAGGATGAATTGATGAATCACAGGTTTATTTTGAACCTACATAATGACCAGTTCCCAGTTAGTCTGTAAGCTCAGTTGGTTAAGAGCACTGAACCAGTATCACAGAGGCCATGGGTTCAAATCCCATAAAGGCCTGAATTTATTTTCTTCAGGCCTTATTTTCACTACAGTAACTGTTTGAGTAGTGTTCATTACTAGGAAGATCACTTTCATATTCATCTCTTAAACTGCAGTTCACACATATGATTTTCATATATTCACAGTCTTTGTCCCAGATTGTTACTTACATTGCTGAACTATCTTAATGAAATGTATATTGATTACAGAGCTTTCACGATCATTATACTTATACACAATAATTTTTAATTGCTACAGGAGTTAAAGAAATATGCAAGGAAGCAGGAGGAGAAGATCAAAAAGTATTTGATATATTCTGAACATATTAGTAGAAAATTCTAACTAAAAAGATCTCCAATAGTAGCAATAAATTTTCAATTTAAATGTCAGGTCAAATAAATTTTTTTCTATAATAAGCTAGTTTTCTACTCGTTTTACTCATTTTTTCTGAACTTAGGATGGCAACTAAGCTGTTGCGATTGGTGCATGACAAGAAAAGGGAAGTCACAGATGGAGGTACTGTTATCAGTGGGTAATACAATATTCCCAACAAACCTATCCAGTTACTTGCCTATAACTTTAGATTGTAACAGTATTTTTTCTGTTACCCTGTATATAGTTGTATCATTCAAATTTGCACTCTCAGAAGGATCAATTAAAGCCTGAAAGCTTTGGTCTCAAAATGCTAAGGTGTCCAGCCCTTAAGAGCTTTGATTCATAGGTATGGTCCTGAGCCAAACTTAGATTCCCATGACACTTCAGCTTGGTCCCCTACATGTACATGGCGCAAATGATGTGAAATGTACATGTACCTGTATCAACTTCCCAAATTTAATCAGATAGATATGTTGTGACTTTGTTTGCCTTTAAGATTTGATATATTCACTATAATTTCCTTGAAATAGTGTCTGCTGTAAACAATGTGGATACAAGAGAGAAAATTGCAGATCTGGAAGCTAAAATTGTAGATTTAGAAAAGCAGAATGTTGGATTGAAAAATAAGGTACAGTTCATAACCAGTTTTCAGTACAATTACCAAATTCATCATAACATGTACTTAATTCTGTCCTTTAAACATGTGTTTCGTTAATATATACAGTATAATATTTTTGTTATTTCTGTAAAATCAACCAGTATTAAGTTTGAACTCACAGTGATTTATGACTATTTTCAATGGTTCTTTTTTAAGCTTACTGTTGCCAAGCAACAACTACAGACCCAAGGGAAGCGTGCCACACCTTATGATCATGTGAAACCTCGTGTTCAAACAGTAAGTGGAGATCAACACCACATGTATTTTAGTCAGATCAAATTTTTTTAGTTGATTTCTTCTATTTGGTTGAGAATTTATTAAAGATATGGAGTGTATTTTAATTGTTGCATTATCAAAACATAGACTTTTTTCATTGTTGCATTTCTTTAAGTGTCTATTTGAGAATGGGCATTTTAAAAATAATTATAATGACTGGAATAATAACAGTTTGAATGAAAATGGTTTGTCTGTTTGTTTTCTTCTTCTTTCTTTCTTTCTTTCTTTCTTTCTTTCTTTCTTTCTTTCTTTCTTTCTTTCTTTCTTTCTTTCTTTCTTTCTTTCTTTCTTTCTTTCTTTCTTTATATAATATAACCTTGTTTCTTGTTCAGGGTATTCATGCCAGAACACCATCAGGAAACCGACTCAAGAAAGATTTAAGAGTTCAAGGCCATGATATAAAGTCAGTAATTCTACACTGTACATGTGCAGAGCTCTGTACTGGATAACTACTGGATAAACTATTTTAATGAATGAAAAACACCTGTTTTTTGTTTGTTTTCTTCTTCAAACTTTCTTTTTCTTTAACTTTTAACATTTCTCCTTTATCCATTTATCCATAATATAGAATACTCAAACTTATTTCTAAATGTTTAGGCTTTTAGATCCTGGGTTATTTTATTCATACCAAAAGGAATTTCCAATCAAATGAAACCAGAAAGATGACTGAAAAAACTAGATTTAAATGAGTTCATTTAAAAGGCCATGATATGAAGATCTTGTAGTAATTCTACACTAATTATTTTTCGCTTTGATGATAATTGATCTAAATTGTGATCTTGTTTTTTTTGTTTGGGGACACTAACTGTGATTATTTTTGTATTTGATTTTTGTAGACCTGGATCAAGAGTACCACCTCCAATGCTACCACAACCAAGGTAACCTAAACCTACTGTCACAAATTTTAACCCTTTTTGCCCTAATGTCAGTATGCATATTTTCCATACTGTCCACTATACAATTCCTAAGATGCTGACAATGAGGATTTGTTCAACAAACAAGAGCTTCTTTCGTTGGTGATCATTTTTTTTAATTCTCCTGACCTTAGTGTGTGATTCAGCAGTGATATTGTGAGGAGAAATTAGATGCTAGTCACTCTAAGGGGTTAATGGGTTAAGGCAGAGTTATGTACTTGTAATCTTAGCTTAGTGTTGAGCAATAATAAGTACTGTTTTTGCTTTATCAGTGCAGTGGTTAAACTTTTGTGGATTTTAAATAATTATAATCTCTGTCCATGCACAGACAGTTGTTGCCATATGGTCTCCAGTTTAGAGATACACACTCAGGATGTACTAGTTTTGATGTTACGACATCCTGAGTGTGTTATTCTTTAAATTGTGACATAAAAGTTCCTTATGGATGTATTTTGTTGAGGCGTAATTTCTATTGCAGGTCATGTTTGATTTAATGAAGCTAAATGAATTTTGAGGCAAATGAATGCAGCAGTTTCAGCTAAAGGAGCTCAACAAGGAAGCATTCTCATGTCCTTTTGCCCAATTTGTTTACCTACTATGAATGTTCTTTTGCTTTCCTCCTTTCCTCCTTTCCACTCACAATGTATGTTGCTATTGTGTTGGTGGATAACTAGGGGTGGATTTGGCTCAGTTGCTATGGTGATCTCCATGCTGCCACAGAGATTGCTGCCCTTATCTATAGCAACCTTTATGGCTCTTACTTGTGCCCTCCAATACTATTGAAAAAATTTTTTAGTGACAAATTACAGTAGCTGCTATAAGTATAGTACCCTTTTCCAGTCATTATTTGATCTTACTAGTGCTGAGGCTGCGTGAAACATTTCAGCTTCATTACAGCTATACCTTTAAGTTCTTAAGCAGTTTATTGGGGATTGTTTTCAGTGGTCTTGCAGCATTTTTTCAAGAATTATCCCAGTTAAACCCAGCGCACTCACTCTCTAATGTCCTTCCACTGTTTGTTCAGTTCTGTTTGAGGAAATTTGCCAGAGAGAGATTTGCCAGGCATCAAGCTGAACATGTATTTTGTGAATCCAGGAGCTTGTTAAAGCTGTAGCCTCAGTTGAAATTATTAGATATCCCAGGAACCCACCTTTCATTTTACCATGATAGCTAATTAAATAGTGTGATTTGGAATTTCTTAACTAATTAAAAGTTGTAAGAACTAGAATTAATTCTCTGAATTAAGTTGTCCTCAATGGAATCAAAGTTAGTGCACTGGTCTGTTGGTCAAAATCACAGCCTTTAAGTGCTAGGGGCCATGGCCAGAGATATTATTTTGTGGGAAACTCACTTAAACCCTTTAACCCCAAGGAGTGACTGGCATCTAATTTCTCCTTACAATATCACCCCTGAATTTCACATTAAGATCACGAGAATAAGGAAAATGATCGTCAGCCAGAGAAGCTCTTGATTGTTAAATAAATTCTCCTTTTTTACACCTAAGGAAAGGTATAGAGAACAGTTTTGAGAATATGAAAACTGATGTTAGACTGTAAAGGGTTAATCTTATGGTGCCTCCCTTCATCCAAGAGCGTAACTGGGTACCAGCAAACTTTCAAAGATACTGGACAAAGTGCCAAATAGATAGAAATCCAGCCAGGTGGAAAGGCAAAACTTATACACTCACATGCATCCAGCTCTATTCTAAGAAAAGTGGAAAATTTCCTGCAGCTATGTAACTGTCTTTACTTCAGTAAAAGATTACCTACATTACTATGCATGTAGAGACTGAAGTTGTATTTATCAACACTCTATCCTGTTTTGTTTTTTTTCTTTTTTTTTTCTTTTTGAAGGTATGGACACAGTCTCCTTGAAGAAGCAAGGCTGGAAAAAAGGGAACTGTAAGTTCATCCTCAAACTCTTAAATACTGAGTCCTAATTTTCTCTTCCAGCTAAAATACATTTTGTCCTGAATTGGGAGTGAGAATTTTGTCATATCATGGAAACCCCCTTTGTCTTTCTCTTCACCAATATCAGCATTATCTTAGGTAGCCTGTTTGTAATAGCGTGCATAAAATATCATTACAATCAATCATTTTAGTTTTATAATCTCATTATCTTAATACAATGACTTGTATTTTCTCTCTTTACAGAGAGGAACTTATTGCCCAACTTCAAGATCAAATTCAATTACTTGATGAAGATGGAGCCCAGTTAAGGGAGCAGGTGGGAAGATTTTATTTTTATGAAACTAACTCAATCAGCCTAATCTCTAATCAAAATTATTTAATTTATATTTTATTTAAAAAGATAATTTACATGTTATGATGATGAAATACATATTTAAGTACTCAATATCATAGAATAAGAGTCACTGGTTATTTAATTGCACATACATGAAAATACAATTTTCTTGATCTAAACATGATTGTACTCTCTAAGCACAGTTTTCTAGCAATTTTTCTTAAAATCACTCAAAAGTGATGGTCATGGTACAATGTATCTAACAATGGTAATTCTTAAAAGTCAAAAGCTCTGTTTGATCTTATCTCTGTGGGAAAGCTTTGGAAGGGAAGTCAGAAAATCTTGTTTTTGAGTACATGTAACTTTTTACATCCTGAATTCTGAATCATTACTTGCAAAATCAAAAAAGTAACAGGTAAAGTCATGTGTGACAAGGATCTCAGCATTTAACTTTGTGAAATTCTGCTTGTTCATTTTACAGTTGAGGCAAACCAAACTGCACCATGAAGATGAAATAATGCAATTGAAAGAACAGGTTTCAGATGCCCAAAGGTATGTATGTGATGTGCTATTTCAACCAGTTTTTATTTCTGAATCAGTAGTCTCCAGTCACTGATGCAGACTTTGGGAACAAATGTTGTGCCATGCGTAATACCAACAAGAAACTAAATAAAATTGTAGTTGAGCATAGTGACACAGGTTTAAAAATGATTGTTTAGGTTTTTCCAAGATTAACCCTTTAACCCTGTAAGTGAGGAAATGTCTAGGATATAGTATGGAGAATATGCATATTGATGACCAGTAGAGTGTAAAGGGTTAAGCAAGGAAAGATTAATTAAAAAAATGTTCAGTGTAGTTGCTTACTGGCAAGAAAAATGAGAGTTTTCACGGTCGATTCAAAAAATTAATTTTGTGTCAAAATACCTGTAAGCATTTGGACTTTTGCATCTCTGCTTGCTGCAACTTGAAAGTAGTCAATGTAAATCTGTAGTCTGCCATGGTATGTTTTAATATCACTCTTACATGTTGGGCTGAAATAATTTTTTTTCCTTTGTTACGGCAAGGTCAAATATTCAAGAGAATGTTGACTTGATAAAACTTCAGAGGGAGATGAAAGAAAAAGCAACAAAGTTTGAAGCTCTGCAGGCCAAGTACTTAAATCTAGAAGAGGTAAAATAATTATTTGAACCCAGAGATAATTATACTAAAATAATATCATACTAACCTTTTTTTTCTTGGTCCACACTGTAAGTTAAGGAACCTTTTTTTCTGCTCAGATTTATGGTATTCATGCTTGGGCAATAAATCTGATCAGAAAACTTGGTCTTACAGGACAGACCCCAAAGTAATTTAGTAAGAGGAATAATTATGTACTGTAGCTCGTTGAATTATAATTATATACTGTAGCTCATTGAATTCTGTATGAGTGCATGGTATGGTATGGTTGTGCTTTTTCGGTTACCCTAACAGGCATTACTTTCATCTCTTGATGTATGTTTCTCTTTCTTCAATCAGAATCTTGCCAAAGTAAAAGCAAGCCATACTCAGGTTCTTGAAGATATGGAAAAACTAAATGAAGAACTTAAAAAGGTACGCAAAGGGAATATCATAGAACAAAACAGTATACTACCAAGTTGCAATGTTTTCATTTGCAATTATCAATGCAGTGTCATTTTGTGCATCCAATTTTTCCAAACATTTGTCGTTGACTTGTGTCAAGAAAGAGGGACAGGAGATACTTGTTACGTGTAGTCTGGCAATACCAGTAGGTTACAGTGAGCCACAGTAAGCCACAGTCTGGCTACAGTGAGCCACAGTCTCACTAAAGTAGGCCACAGTCTGGCCACAATAAGCTACAGTCTGGCTACAGTAAGCCACAGTCTGGGCCCAGTAGATTACAGTCTCACAAGGCCAAAGTCTGGTTACAGCAGGCCACTCACTGTGCAAGCATGTTTTATATTGCTAAGTTGCATGAATGAATCTTGATTTGATGTTGTTTTGCATTGACTCATGTACAGCAGTGATTTGTGGTTCATAATTTGTTATTTATATAGATGCATAGTGTACTCTCTCTTATCTGTACAGGAACAAACAAAGAATTTTGCTTTAAAGAATGACCTCAAGACTGGAGGAATAGCATCAAAGTCATTGTCAGAGGTAAAATGATTTTACATGTGTACACGTCTCGTAGATATAAGGCTATGGTATTGTGCAGTCATACTGTATTACATGGTCAATTTCCAAAGTCACGAAATTATTACCCCTCAATCACTGTAATTTTTACCACCATCAGGCTGTCACCTCTATTAAGCAGTCATGGTCAACCCTGACGAAGTCCCAACAGCTTGTTTGTATTGTCCTCCGCCTGTATTAAATGGCACATTGTACATTACAGTTGTTAGTGGTCAATTATGGCATGAAATAGCGATTTTTGTCGTTTTTAAAATTTCCCTACACTTTGGAGCCTGTATTAAGCAGTCACCCTGCCATTCCCGTGGGTGAACGCTTGATACAGGTTTTGGAGCCAGCGAACTGTCGGGGAAATGTGACAAAATGGTAAGGGGGGAGGGGAGGGTGGAGAGAAGAAGAAGTAATCCAGTATGCATTAGCATAGCATGGTACAGAACCTTGACGCTCTTTGTTGAAATGAAGAATTATTCAGTCCTCACTAGATCGTCAATACCTTAACAATTTAATTGCGTTTATTCTTTGTGTTAAAATAGCAACTTCAGATGATTGGAGATCTAAAAGCAGAGAATGCTATCTTGAAGGAAGCAAATGAAAAACTGGTCACCAGGTAGGACAGTGCCTTGTACATGTGACTGAAAGCATTTGTATGTATCGTCGATTTGTTGGTGTCTTTTTTTGTTCTTTTGTTCTCCGAATTTGTTCCTTTATTGGAACGTTTTTATTTTCTTTTTCCATTCCAGTGCTTTTGATGCCGAACGTGAAAGACAGCACAGAGCGAAATACAGGCAAATGGAGGTACGGTGTCAGTTTGCCAGCAAGGAGACACAAGAGACACATTCAGTTAGAAAACAAACACTAGTTGATAGATATTTTTGAAGAGACAAATTCAAAGGAAGAAAAGTGTGAATACACTCTAGAAACCGCCAATGCCCTAATACGCATTTAAGCTGTTGATTATTGGGTCTTGAAAGGGGCAGGTCAACATTTACTAATCTTGTTTCAGGTGGAGATGGAGCAGTTAAGAGCTACTTTGCATTCAGATTTACAGGAGAAAAATGAAATTCTTGACAAATTAACCAGTGAGAGAGGTGAGATTCGCCTTTAATGTGGTTAGGACTTACCACGCATTAGCCGCACTAGGTAATAACGACACTCTATGAGATTGTAGGCAGAAACGTTTTAGTCATACCATACAAATCACATGGAATACCTAAAACGAGTTAAGTGGCTGAAAGCGTTATTCCGCACTTGGGGCCAGTTTACGTTATTTTTTTCTAGGATTCTTATTGGTTGTTGAACTTTGTTTTGATTGGCGCTTCTTATGATTGCAAGAACGCGCGTTCTCGCGCGATTACTGCCGCGCACGTGCTATTTCCGTATAATTTCTGATGGTTCTTTTTGTAATTAACTGTTACTCTGCCTGGTCACGTTCATTGCTCTGTTTGGTCAAGTATTGTAGTGCGTCGCCAGAAACTTCTCCATCCTTGTCATCATTATTGTAGAGTCTGCTGAAAAATTAAACGCAGAGCTACGTGAACTGCGGGTACAACATTACACATTAAAAGAACAGTATGATGACTTGAAGGAAAAGATGAAGTTCTTTACCAAGGTAATTTTTAAGGGCAGGCTAACGTTGTCATTTCTGCCATCGTCTCACTGTTTCCATGTAGGGGACATTTCCGCTTAAAATAGCTATCTTTACCCTTTACGCCCTAAAATCATTATGCATTTTCTCCACACTGTTCTCTTTACCTCTCCTAAGGTGTTGACAAGGAGAATTTGTTTAACAATCACGAGCTTTCGTTGGTGATCATTTCCTTTATTCTTGTGACAGTAATGTGTGATTTAGGAGTAATATTGTAAGGAGAGATTAGATGCAAGTCACCCTTTGAGGCCATAGGTTTTAGCAGCTTAAACACTTGTCTTTACAATTTGTTATCTTCAGACAAGAAGAAAATAATAATTGGTGAGCTTTCTTGATTTAGATAAGTTTTGGGACCCCTGATAAGTAGTTACTAAACTCGCCGTCGCCTACTGAACTTTGCAGGAAAGTGCGGTGGATTTTCAGGAAATCGAAGAAGCTCTCGTGCTGATTAAAGTAAGTTAGTTATTTTTCTGTTTTGCGTGAGTTGATTCTGTTCCGTTCGGCTCCATCTTCATGACAACAAGTGTCTCATAGTAGACTGCACCCTTTGACTTTTTCTTTTCTCAACAGCACAGGAAAGAGAAAGGAAGCCAGGACTTAGATTTCTTGGAAAAAGTTGATGACGAAAAGAGCAAAGGTAAATTTTTACGACGAACGTTTCTTGGGTGAAAGAGCGATCCATGGTAAGCGACTTTCAGAAACTATATCACGATGCTTTCAATTCCGTGAACAAAATATTAATCATGCCTTTCGTTCTTATAAATTCTCGCAGATATGAAACGACAAGTACAAGAATTACAAGCTGCACATGCGGACACAATCAATGAGCTCGAGAAAACAAGAAATATGTTGATTATTCAGCACAAAATTAATAAAGATTATCAAACAGAGGTGAGCTGAAAATACGGTGCTTGTGTTGCGGTGATCTTACTATTTACTCTCAAAACAAGCCCCCGGTTTCGGCTATAAACAAAGCCTTAAAAAAAAGTACTTGCGATTATAATAAGCTGTATTTTTGAGTGGAATGCAACAAGTGGAACACTCTATGGTTTATTTTTGGGCGGAAAGGGGTTAAAGTTTTAGAGAAACTGTGGTGCTGCGTCGGTGGGAGAGTGTAACAGGATAATTTAGCATTATCAACTAACATAAAGTAGCCACTGTAAAGAGTTACGAAGCTGACGTTTCGAGCGTTAGCCCTTCTCTCTGTGAGCGTGTTGAGGTCAGGTTTCAAGACTTGGCTGGGTCATTCCGTTTCGTTCTTGGTTATGATACTTAACTCACAGTGCCTTTCTCTACCTAGTTGTAGAATCGCTGAAGAGTGTCAATGACTTATAACCTGAATAAATGCAAGAGCGATTCTCTTAGTCACGTCATAGTTCACATACCGTGATTAGTTTTGCCACCTTTGTCATTGAGTTATTCCCGTATGCAGAATTAACTGATCCTTTTTCCTTGCAATTCAGCCAATCACAACGTCACTCGAACCTGTGAAAAATTCGTTCTCCCGTGGTCTTTACGCTAAATTCTTCTCTTGGCTTGATTCTGAATCTTTAATTCTTTTTAACCTTCTTTTTTCTGTTAAGGTGGAGCGGGTAACCAAGAAGATGACTGAAGATAAGAAAGAGTACGACCTTAAGATGCAAGAGTACGCTCAGTTACTGGACATTCGGGCCGATAGAATCCGAGTCAGTACAACAATATTACTTACGTTTCAGTTTGTTTTGTGGCAAATGTTTCTCCTTCTATTAGCAGACCGAACGTTTACTCCGTGAGTGAGTTTTTCGGGCAGTTATTTCTTGTTTGTCTGACCACTGTCAGTGTGTGTGTTTGTCTGTCTGTCTCTGTCTGTCTATCAGTCTGCCTGTGTGGCTGTTGTTAAGTATCTATCCTTTTGTCTTTCACGGTCATATTGTCTCCCAACGTCAATCCGTGAGTCAATCTAGGTGTTTGGTTTCAATCGTGTGCACTTGATGTGCATGCGCTCTTTAGAGCGGACTGTAAGTGCGAGAGGTGATCCTTGCATGGGAGAACGTCTCGAGAGAGACGTGAAAAAAGTTGGTACCCTTTCCTGGAAACAGAGCCTCAAATGTTTCAGAGGAAATTAAACGACGTAGTGTCTTATTGTGTAAATTTATTTATCTCATGTGCGTTGCAATTTTCTTTATTGCGTTGAAGCATCGTTCAATCTTCCTTTTCTTTTTCCACAGAAACTTGAAAGTCAGATGCGTGACGTAGCATACGGAACCAAGCAGTACAAAGCTGCTCCTTTAGAGGTGATACAATACACAGAAATTAATAAATGCATAAAGACAAAGATATTGTTACTGAAAAAAAGGAAAAATGAATCACTTGGCTGTACTTCATCTATTCAAAGCTGGTTTTCACTCAGGACGGAGTCGGAGTTGTATTCAGAAGCACAGAGCGATGCGATCCAGTGAAACAGGGCCCGCACAGTAAATTTTTGAGCGGGGGCGAGGGCTAAAGACGAATGTATAAGCTTCAGCATACAAGACAGGGGGATGGGTGGGGGCGTTAAAGTGCCAGCACCTCCCTCCGCGCTGTCCATGTGAAAATCGAACTGAATAGAAAATCGGAAGAAACATTTGGATGCCGCTTACCATCCGCTGAAAACTGGATTGTCAGAGTCGTAGTCGAAATGCTGCACTCGGAGGGACTGACAACTAGCATTGTGATTGGTGAGTTCTTCCGCTCCTGCTTGCGAGTTGGACAATCTAGTTTTCACTGGATCAAAAGCGTTGCAGTCATTGGTGGAAGAAGGAAACGATTCCTCCAACTCCGATTCCGTCGAGTTTATGATTCTGCTTGCCACTCCAATTTTTTATTTTCACTGGGTTGGAAGCGCTCTTACGACTCCGACTCGAAATAGTATTTTATTTTTATAAGTGGTCATAATTCATTTCGGAGAAAAGTTTAGGGATTTTTATTTACTATTTATTATTTGTGCAATGATTAAATGAAAGATCATGGTAGTTATACGTACAATGAAAGGTGTTGTTAAAATAAAGCCTAAAGATCTTCAGGCTTGAGTGGAACCGAGGATGGTTTAGCGATTCCGACAGAGTGCTATTAACTGCGCTAGCTTTTGTGCGATGATCTTTCATGTAGTAAAATTTTTACGTGCAAATATTTCCCTCGAAAGGTATTTCTTTACTGATTCTCTAACTCCTACACTTTAGCAGGACTCCGAGTTCGAAGAAATGGATAGTACAGTAGAGCTGGAGCGAGGACAAAACATCTTCGAAATTCACATTGATAAGGTACGCCATATAATTTTTGTTTACACTATCATCACAGACAACTTTATATTGTTTTGCTCAAGTTGTGCTCGCCACATTTCTCCCAATCAGGTTATATTGTCTCAGGAAGCCATGAAAGAGTTTGAAGATGATGAACCGGTGACGTTTGTGACGTACGAGTTTTTTGAACATGAGCTTCAGACGACGCCCGTTGTCAAGGGGACCAGGTACACTTTGAGATCTGTGACTTATCTTAGTTGCTGTGTGGTAGACCACGTCTGTTGATATCTACTTTACTATCATAAGTTCAAAACTCTGCGCTTGTACTACATGTCAGTGGCCCATTCAGCCGGAAGTTATCCTGGGGTCTGAAGCTACTGGGAGTATCACTTTACTTCTTCCTGGATAGGATGTCAGATCATGGCAAGGTTACCTCCGCGTTTCTTCAGATTTACCTGGAAATTTGCCGGCACACGTCTATAGAGCTGAATTTACGTTTATTACCTAACCTAAATTGCTTTGTTAGGGCGATGCTTTTAAGTCTCTGCAAATTTATTCGACTGAGCTCTCTTTTTATTTTGCTTACAGACCCGAATTCAATTTTACCTCACAGTATCTTGTGAGAGTCGATGATTTCTTTCTGCATTTCTTACAAAAGGTACGTTCTCCAAATGTCGTAGACATTCGTTGTTTGACTTAAGAAGGGAGGAATGCGCACGATATCCACTGTGTTTGTTGTCCAATGAGTCTTCCGTTTTTCCTTGTGATAGGAATCCACGTTGATAGAAATCCATCGAGCATTTGGAACAGACTACAAGACTGTGGCAGCTTGTCAGCTGAAGTTTAGAGACCTACTTGAAAAACCTCACGGCAGAGTTCACGGCACTGCCACGCTAATTGGTAAGAATCCTTTGACAGTGTTATAGATGTAAGATCAACGGGGGCGAGAAAGAAGTAGCGCACGCGAGATGTCACGCCCCGCGTGTCTGCGCCTCGCACCGAGCTTCAAGTAGGTGTGCCAAGCGAGCCAGTAGATGGCGTTGTATGTTCTTCAATCATTAAGTTGCTTTATGATATTTGTGGACCGAGTTCGGAAGGTGATTGGACTTGCGGGCTCTGCTCTCCTAAATTGTGACAAGTAATATAACTGCGAGTGCTGATTTTTTTGAAATCATATTTTGTTCCTCTTATATTTATTCTCGTAGGCACCAGGCCCCCATGCCAAGGCATCGAGTTCGCGACCATGGAATACTGGGTCAGACTAAGAGTTCCCATGGACCAAGCAATCAGATTGTATAGAGTGAGTGTGCCAATAATTTGGATATTTTTCTTTGACCAATTCTATTCGTTATAGTTTTCTAACCTAAACATATCCTTTTGCGCTTTAGGAGCGTACCAAAGCACTTGGTTATATGAACTCTGGAGCATATAAAGCCCTTGAAGACGCCGGTCACGTGCCAGACAAACCGCCCTCGGACGTCAATGAGCTCGACATTCATGTCGTCAGATGCAATGCAGTTCAGCCGAGGAGACCAGGTAAGAGTGCCGTGTAACTGCAGTCGTAGTGCTGTAAAAGACTGACGAATTTTACCCTTTGAAAGTATCCTAGATATCACGCCAGCTTTGGACATAATGGTCACAAACGTACATGTATGGCCTATTAGTTAGGCCGAAACTAATTCATAACTCGGTCTGTTTCTCTGGATATTTGTTCCCGAATAAGTTCCGAACCCATTCTATACTGAACACGCGGACGCTTCGAACGATAATGGGGCGCACTTCCTGTTTTACGGAGAGTGTAGTTCCGGTGATCTTTTATAGTTTCGTGAGTCGCACGTAGGACTCTGTGCTTATTGATTGAAGGCCTGGACGGGAAAATATTTGGATGAGGCTCAGATTGCATGGACCTCCCTAATTATGTCAGTATGCATTTTTTTCACGGGACTTCGAATTGTTGAAAATGTCGGAAGCCACCTTTACACCAAAACATGACATAAATCAGATGGGGGGGCTCCGGAAAAGCAATGAAAAAGATTATGCAAGATGAAAGCTCGGAGCAATCAACTGGCAGAATTTATTGAAGATCGCGACGTTTCTCAATACTTTTTGCAACAAGGCACTACTTGTGCGGAGCCAGACGGCTATTTTCAGACATACTAGTTTTCGTTATGATTTTGTTAGGAGTGATTGAGCGTTTCGCACGGGTCGTTTGATAAAATTATCCGGTTTTTTATGTATTCAAATGGTCTTTTCCTTCAGGAATACAGCCCTGTCCGTACGCGGTGTACCGTTTCTTCGACTTTGCTGATCATGACACAGATATTGTGCAGAGCACCAACACGCCTGAGTTTAATGATGTCAAGACATTTCCTGTCCCCATGACAACTGAGCTTGACACTTACCTCAGAGCTGCGGTAACTAGCTTACGTGTTTATTTGTTTGCCTTGTTTACTGTTTTTTGCAATGCCTGGGCTGCGAAGAACCGTTTAACGCTTAGGCACCCGTTTATCATGTAGGCACGCGCGTAACTAAACAATGATAATTTGCCGCTTGGAAATTCCAAGCTCTTTCGTTCCTTGTTTATTATTTTAGTTAAAAGCTAGAAAAACTCTGAAAATCGAATGACGTTTAGTTCTTTTTTCCTTCACACGCAAACCCGAAACTTGGCTTGTGAAAAGAAAATTACAGGCTCTTGGTATGAGTATATGTTGTACAGAAGAGAGATGAGAGAAATGATATCTCTATGCTTGACGGGAAAAGTCAGGCGAATTTAAAGTTTAAGCTGCAAACCTTTTTGGTAATTTCAGGCGCTGGAGATTTATGTATTTGATGACGCAGATCCCGAACCTACGGTGTACTTGGGACTGGCTAAAGTACCATTGATAACATTAGCTAACGACAAACCAGTCAAGGGAACGTTTGAACTTAGGAAAGTAAGTTATCCTCTGTCACTTCATGATTTCATCTGCAGGTGAATAGGCTTCCAGAGGTCCCTGAGTTTCAGCGAAGTCTGTCGGACGATTACAAAAAAGTCAGTTAATAATACAATATATGTAAACGCGCCGCGCGGACTCACTCCCAGAGTTCTGCGCGGCGCGCTTCCGTTTTTTTTTTTTTTTTAATTATTATTTTTTTATTTTTATATTTGACGCGTGGGACAGACTTCGCCATAAAGAACGAACTACTCGTAGTCTAGTCGGTGCACCCTGCCAAAGGGACGTGAATGTCAAAAATTTTTATTTGTGTTTTGTAACTGATTTATAATGTGGTTCAAATTGTTCATCACAAAGTTACTGGGTTACGAATACCTTGATTTTCCAAGAGCGCATATGAAAAAATAAAAGAAGCAGTTCCTATTTTCCATGCCATTACTAATGACACCTAAAAGTCCAGAAACGAAATCCAGAGGATTGGAAAATATTACTGAGAGACCAAGAGTAGTGATGGATGTAGGTACAGAACGGATGGACGCGAGTGAACGAACAAAGCTTCAAAAGACTGAAGGAAGCCTTAACAACAAGCAAAAACAAGATGAACGTAACCAAGGAAGCCATCTTCATTAACTTACCCAAATTTTTTTTATCTTTACAGCCCTCGGGAGGTGTAAACGGAACAATTGATGTTTACCTGAAATGGAGATATACGTATCTTCCGGCCAGTGCCAAGCCCCGCGCGGCACCTCAGGTATGCACCTCGTTCAGGTCAAGAGAGGTGTGTTTTAAGTACCAATTGAAACTGTTCGCTTGTCTATGAATTCAAAATATGAACCCCTTGCACTACGCATGGACCCCAGAACACGATGTTAATTATCCAGGAAAGATATGAGTAGAATAGTCGAACTTATAAGTGGAGGGCTTATATCGAGTTACAAACACCAAACTCTCGTAACTGTTTTGCATTGAATTGAAAAGACAGCTGAAAAGGAGATTTACCAGCCAGAACTTAGGAATTAAGCCCTTTTTTCCACGAGTTTGCCTAATATTGTTCACCTATGATGTTAGTAGTGACCAGACAAAGCGCAAAGTTCTCTGTTGTTTAAATGGTAATTCATCGGAGCGTGGAATCCGAAGGTCGAAGGTTCGTTTAAAAGTAGGGAATTTTTCCTTTGTCCCACACCAGTTACAACAAAAATGAAATCTTCTCCAGTGTTCACCATGTTTATCTGTTTTAGCGTGTGATGCGTATACCTGATGATAACGAGCCGTTCAGCTCTGACAGTGAAACTGCATTTAAACCTGTCGTCAAATCACCTAAAAAGAGAGGAAAACCTCTGACAGTGAACCTGCATTCTGACAGTGAACCTGAATTCAAACCTGTCGTCAAATCACCTAACAAAAGAGAAAAACCTCCATCTCCGGTTGACTCGTCCACCCCGAAACAGGAACAACGTGAGGAAAAAGTGGCCAGACGAGAGTCGGCTCAGCTGCAACGAGAGCCGTCGGATCAAAAAGAGAAAAGTGAAGCTAGAGTAGAAAAGGAGATAAAGTGGGTTGTGTCTTTTTTGAAATTGCGTTTAAATTTTGAACGTGGTTGAGATATTTTTTTTAAATACGATCTCCAAACCAACTTGTTTGTCCATCTTTTACGACGCTGAAAATTAAGAGTGAAAAGTTCCGTCGAGATGGACAGACGAAGCAAAAAAAAAAAAAAAAAAAAAAGCGTTCCCTCCTGCCCTGGTATCTCTCTAAGGAAACTTTGAAGTCTAAGTCGTTGTCGTTAATAAACAATCTAGTAAAAAAAAGGTAGACCGGCCGTCAGTCAAACAAACACATATGAATATAGGGGGTAACTTTCTGACGAAACTGTGATGCTGCGTCGGTGGAAGAGTGTAACAGGGTAATTTAGTATTATCAACTGAGTTGATTACAAATTGGCCACCGTAAAGAGTTTCAAAGCTGATGTTTCGAGCGTTAGCCCTTCATCAGAGTGAATGTCGGAGGGCTAACGCTCAGTTTTGAAACTCTTTACGGTGGCCAATTTACGCTATCAACTCAGTTGATAATACTAAATTACCCTGAAACAAACACATAGACACACAATTGCAGCACTACAAGTTAATTTTTACCATTGTATCCTAGTTTAAGTCACCTCAGAGGCTAATTTGAATATTTTTCTAAAACAACAAACAGAGAAAAGCTACTTGAGTCCATGTCAGTTGATGAGTCAGTTGAGGCGACGGCACAGAAACCTCAGCCTGCCCCGCGCACGCGCAAAGTGGAGCCTAAGAAACCCGTGGAGGAGATGTCTATTGATGAGATGGCTAAGGCGGTCGAAGAAACGAGAGAGGAGCCTGGGAACAATGTGAAATCTACGGGAGAAATCAGTGAGACCTCTGAAGATGAACAGGTACTAAGGGTATCAATGAGTTGTCGAGAAATTGATTCAGGACTAACAAAACCTTTGACAATTTTCTAAGTAAGTCATCCTTGGTACGCTGACCGGCTTGACTGAGACGACGGTCTGACTGACCAATTCATATTTTTAAAAAGCAGTTATGAACATATTTATTATATCACTGACAGTGCCCAGGAGCAATATGAAGCGAATCCTCTGTTCTGATTAGCTACCCGACCGGGCAAAATGGCCTACTTTGTCCTCTCGGGATTGCCCACTTTGATTCTGCGCGTGAAAAAGAAGTACGTGGAACGGACTTACAAAGTTCGTAATATATTTGGACAATGTCGGTGATGTATTGGCAAATAAAGCGTCAGAAGACAGTCAAAACAAAGAAAACATAAACGATTCTCGTGGATTTATTGCGCTATAAAAACAGTTAGCTTTCTTTCTCGGCTCTCGAAATAAACAGTGATAAACAAGTCATTCAAATGAGGTTTTTTTTTTGCTATATAATAAATCCGTTATGGACTGAGCGTGAGGTGAAAATAAATGAATGTTAGCCTCGTTCTTTTTTTACGTTTTTATAGATCTCGACTTCGTTTCGGTCCATAAAAACGCGAAAAAATCACTCGACCAATATCCAGCCACCTCGACCTCACGCCTGGCCAAAAACGTATATCTTTACCAGTACGGAGATTTTTTAGCGTTCTCCGCTTACAGTAGCATTTTCTCTTATAGAATGATAAAGCTCTCGTAGCAGAGGAAATGAGGCGAACAACTGAAGCAGAAGCTAGCGAGGACACCATGTTTGAGGAGCGGCATTCTGAATCCGGTCAGCAGACCTCACAGAGAGTAGTACTACTCCGGGTTTATCGTTGCTAACAGTATCTTTGTATTTGTTAACTAGATTTCGATTCGACACTTGGTGAGGAGGTGGACATACCCCTTCCTGCGGCGGAGTCCGGGGAAGAGCTGGACGAGGAAGGAGAGGAAAATGAGGAGGAGATTGATGAGGAAGTTGAGGAGGATGAGGAGCAGGATGAGGAAGATGCAGGCCAGGAGGAAAGTAAGGAGAAACAGGAGAAGGAAGACGGTGCTGTGGAAAGTGGAACTGAAACAAGTGAAAATGAAGTGGTGGTCTCTCCGAGGCATTCTCGAGCAAAATCTGTGGTCAATGTAAGCAAAGCAACAAATTGTGAAAAAAAAGGCATTCATCGAGGCTCTTTTAAGTAAATGTTGAACCCAGTCTCTCTGCTTATTGACGCTAAAAGCAAACCAAAGAGAACTTCAGAAAAGCCTAGAGAAGGTAGCTTAAGCAAATAACGCAATGAGTGTGGTGATGCTAGGCGAGGAAGGACATGAACACGCAGTAAAAAATAATGACAGGTCCTCACTAACCCACCAATGAACCTATGGACTGGTTTTCCTTCTGGTCTATCTTAGACAGCCTTATTCACTTTCTGTAATACTGTGGTCGTCTTTCAGACTGAATGACCAAAATACTGGACGGCCGACCTAGCGTCTCTAACCTTTTTGTAAATGTGTTTGTTGCAGCCTACTTCTACCGTTGTTATTCAAGTTACCAGTCTTACCCTAGACTCAGAGGCACCGATCTTACAAGACCCGAACGTCAAACAACTCTTTGTAGCTTACAAGTTCCTGGACTACGAACCCGCTGATCTGGAAACGCCAATTTCATTACCAAAGCCCGCACCGTACAGACCGATATACTATAACTTCAAGAAAGGTAACTATGAAACCTTAAGAAAATCTTCCCCTTCCTTCTTCCCTCCCATGCCTTTGGCCCGCATCTGATATACTATGATAGGAACTCAGTGACCTTGAAACAGGTACTAACTTAAACACCTCCAAGGTTTACTGTGCAGCGTAGTGATACGAACAAGTTTTACTTCAAAAGTGAAAATCGCCAAGACCTTTAAAGACGGCAAATTCATGATTTTTGATTGTCGCATCACCTCGATTTTGAAAAACAGGAAACTTTCCAAGTGTTTGCAATGGTGTATTTCTGGGTTTACGCGTCACTTAATGGCATTTACTTACTCTTGTGTCTTATTTTCAGTTTTTTATGTAGATGAAGAAAAAAATGAGGGAAAGAGAAATTACTTGATCTACATGCTGTCCAACGATCCTAAGTAAGTTGTTTTTACTTGTCATTGGCTCCCACTTGGTTGATTGGTCTGAAACCGTGCATGTGTGTGGGTTGTTTTTTCATCGGGTAGTTAACCCTTTAACTCCCTTGATTGACCAAAACTGAATTTCTCCTTACAACATCATGCAGACAAGCGATGAGAATTAAGAAATATATCAATAATGGGATTACTAATTGATCCGATACCAAATTCTCCAAATTAACATAATGTGAATTATGTTAATACTGCGCCTCTATCCACTGAGAGTGGAAATGGTTATTAGCGAATTCTCATTGAACCCTAACGAAATATTAGAGGTAACAAGCAATGGATTATTAACCATGTAGTAGGATTAGATCTCATATGCTCGCCAGCCAAGACAAACCCCAGCTACGATGTGGGTCAGCCTCGATTTTACATCCTTCAACCTGCTGTTTCCTAAATGATCAGAACTAGCCGCTGTATTTCCTTGTAGACTCGTGTTCACTGTGGTTAGTGACCCACCTGACGATGATGACGAAGGGGACTGTGTTGACGTAGCTTATGCGTCCGTGGATTTTCAGGAGGTTGGTATGGTTGGTATGGTACGATGGTGGTGTGGCACAAGCCCGAAAGAAAATTCGTGTGTAAAGCTTGGAAAGAAAAACATCTTTTTCACATTATAATCTAAGAAGAGATATTCACGTCGTAAGAGTTTTTTCCTCTCCCGTTATTATCATAACGTCCTTAACCTTTTCGTGTGTGACCTTGAGTAAGGAATAGAACTGTTAATCATTTCTCCTGTGGTCCTGTTTTCTTTTATTTTAGATTTTATATGAAGGGGATGTCATTGACAAGGATTTAGCTCGTAAGTATAGAGCATCATTGGTGATGTTACTCGATAGACACTAGGGTTTTCAAAAACGATTGTTTTGGCTCAGCACAATTTCTTTATACGCCTTGTTGACACGTTGATTGCAGCAGAACTTCAGTAACATTACCTCAGAATAAATAGCAACATAAGTGAGAATTTTAAAAAGATGTGTCTTCTTTGCAGTTTATGACAGTGAAAGTCATTCCGAGATCGGAACACTCACTGTCTCTGTGGAAGCAACAGAAGCTCTACGAGACTTGTACAAGGATCAGTGAATCCTCGAAAGAATCTCCATACATTCTTAACCAGGAACTTTCCGCCAAGGATGAAAATTTTGCATTAATTTTATTTTACAAGCTAGCGATTTTTATTGTATTGGAGGAAAAAAAATTGCGGTTCTAGATATCTTGAATTTCTACAAGGAGCTAATAATTTTTTGCAATTTTTGTTCAATAAGTAGAAGATGAACAAGGCGAAAATCGTAATAACTTTTTTTCTAGCTTTTCGAGTTATGCGAGGGATAATTGCACGGTGGATGACTCTTGGAGGTATATCTGGAGCAAGTCTGAATACCAAGAACACGAATTCACACTCGACCCGCCTGCCGAGTCTCTTAACTGTAGGAATGTGATTTTTGCGACGATTCACTGCGTGTGATTTTTTTTCCAGTAGAAACTTATTTTTGCTGATGGAGGCTGTTCGAAAATAAAAACCCGCAAGATTATATTCTCTACGGTAAACACAAAACTATCCATGCATGTTCACGCTAGATAACGAACAGAAGTTGAGATTCTTGGGAAAATTACAGCAGAGACTGGAATATTTTTATTAAAAGGGTGTATTTAGTGTCGCATTTTGTAAGTCTTTGTAAAAATTGTACTCTTGTAATTAGATTTAAATAGGCTGTTGAAGTTATTTATTGAAAGTCTCATTTTAAAAAGAGAATAAAGCGTGTCTTAAAAATTTTCCATGGTAATTATCAGTTTGTTAGTGGCTTGAAACTTTTTCCCTAGCACAATTTTGTTTATTTGCATGAAACTCGTTAAATTTTTCACTTTTTTTTTTACCTTTTTATGAACGTTACTGCCCTTTTAAATATGCAGTTACGAATTATACAGTTGTAGGAGCATTATTTTTAAGGAAAGGCTTCTTACCCTTTAATCGAGTTGTGTTCTACGGGAAAACGATGGCTATTTGAGGATGTTCAAAGAGTCATGTGTCAGAGTTGTGATTGGATGATATGTTTTGTTTGTTTCTGAAACCAGATGGTAATGACGATCATGTCACTTACACATACGAACTCCATTTTGTCTTACAGTCTTTTGAAACAACCTCGTGTAATTTTACTACACATTTTATTGTTTACTGTTTAATCTATAGTGCTAAGTACAAACCGCGAAATACTAAAATTGATACAATGTCATGAACAAATCTGGTCGCTTAGCTTAAATCTACCTCATTTTTAAAACTGAAAAAAATAAACACTTCTGAAATTAGCGATATAATACGTCCTAGACTTTGTGCGAAGTATACTTTGACAAAGGTGAAAAGACGGATCAGCGCCAAAAACAATTAAATTAAGGACTAGTTCAAGTCTTTACCCTTACTTCTGAGAGGTTGCGTCCTCCTTTTCTTTCGATACAGATATCCAAAAAGTCAGTGCTAAATCTTAGTCATGTTTCAGCTTCCAAGTCAAAGGGGTGGCCTTTTCAAGGATTCTTTTCCTAATCGCCTTAGTCCATGACTTATCTAATATGCATGCGATAAGTTTATGTGCGAGTTACCAGGCACTCAAACTTGTTGCCACGTTGTTTCTTCTTACTGTAGATCGTTGCAATGGCAACGATAATAAGCAACAAGCATATGGCGGCAAGGACACCAACGATGGCTGACAGAGTTGAGAGGTCAGAGCCAGAGTTGTCTGGTTCAAAGTTTTCTTCGTCTGAACCGTCCAAAGTGACAGATTCCTTGTGAAAAGAAAAGAACAACAACAATTGACACAGAGTAGTCTTCCCTTGTTATAAGAGGTCTGTAAAATGATTCGAACCTGTGCATGGTAAGGGAAAATTTTATCCCTTAATTCTCTTCACCAATCATCATGAAAAGTGGAGATTATACCAGTTCCAAGTTCAAAATGGTTTGTTTGTTTGTTTGTTTGTTTGTTTTTGTTTTGTTTTGTTTTGTTTTTCTTATGTTTTTTTCAAGCTGCGTAATACTGAAATTTAACATTGCATTCCATTTTTACTATTAACAGAAGAATTTTTAAATCATAACGAAAAATGAAAAATGTCGAAACTCTGGAAAGAGAATGTATAAGTTAAAGTTTCAGTCAAAGGGTAAAAATATCGTGTTCATTTTACCGAATTTTTCCTCACCTTTCCCTCCTCTTTGATGCTGTTGAGGAATTTTGGATGCGCTGCTTCACCCCAGACCTGTTTGTCTCGGTTTAACATATCGTCCGAGTGGTTACACGAGGCGGCAAGAAGCCCTTCCTTTCCGACAGAATATCGATCGTACTCATCCACAGATAGATCATAGACAGGTACAAGCTCAGTGTCGTCGTATGTTCCATAGAGTTCCACTGGCGTCACGGCGGGGTGCTGAAGTTTCACCGCTTTTCCCTTCAGGGCGTGAAGCGAATGTGTCTTCTTCACCATCCCGGCACTTATCCACGATCTTTTTCCGACTTCGAAGAACTGGTGGTCGGGAGTGACCCAAATGTCTTCGCCGTTCATTCGGAACACGACTAGGTCTCGTGCAGGTACGAGTCGCTTCCGAACTTGGTCGACACGACGCAGGTGTGTCACCGAAGGGTCATCGCCCTCGTGACGGGTCATTACCATGTCTCCTTCCTTTATTTCTTCGATTGGTACCAATCCATTGGCTGTGTGTACCAAGGTGTCTCCCCTGAAACATGACTTGAGCAGGCAGCAGTCATGATGCCATCTTGGGAGGCAATGTATGTTGGTGAGATCAGAGCAGTCACACGTTTGTGGTGGACAACACTTTGGGCACTTAATAACATCGCATTCTGTACCCACATAAGGAGAGTTGCATTCGCATTTGTAGGGATCATTTGGACACGTGCCGTGCACACAAGGTTCAGTGCAATAGGTAATGATGGTGCAGGGTCCATAGTGAAGATCAAAGCCAGGGACATGCACTTGGTTGCTCCAACCAAGGTCGCAGGTGCACTGCTTCCCCGTCTTTGTATGTTTACATGATCCGTGTTCGCAGCCGTCGCACATCAGGTCAGCACATTGTGGACCCATATATCCTGGAAAAAATCAGACCACAAATGTGAAACGGTGTGATTGCCTAATTGTAGTCACTTTTTCAATTTCTTTGGAATAACTCTTTCATTCTCACCATCGAAACTCACTGAGCCCTTTCCTACCTTGGTTTCATTTTCCATCATTGAATTTTTCAAAAAAACTTGTGTCTTTCTTAAAGATCAAGAAATTTTCCTCTTAGTCATATTTTACCATGTTTCATTTTCTTTTGCCTTCGCAATTAAATAGTGTAGGGAGGAAAGAAGTTAAAATTTGAGTTCTCAGGAGATAAGGAAAGAGGAAAAAAAACGCAAGGCAATTAAAGTTGCAAAGGTTCAAACCTGGTTTGCACTTGCACGTGTTAGGGCCCTCCTCACATGTTCCTCCAACGGAGCTGCAGTTAACACAAAGTCCTGTGTACGTGGTACACTGTCCTTCTGGTCCCCAGTTAGTCTCACATTCGCAGACGTCAGGACGATGGGTACACCTTCCGTGTGGACAAGTTACGCTACACTCGCTGATCGTTTCACAGTGCAGACCTGATTATGAAAGAGAAAAAATGAAAGGAAGCAAGCATGAAGCTACAGAGGTTGCAAGTGTAAAGGAACCCCCAAAGTAAATATTGGTTTATTTTAAGAAAACAATTTAACATGGCTTCAAATGCTTAGGATAACACGTTTTCCCTTCTGAAAAACTCTGTCAACGTTCCTGGGTAGTACAGTAATACTCTCTGTAACCTGTAACACCGTAACATAGTTATATACATTTGCCTTGTTATTGTTAAGGTTAATTTTCTTTGGGATCACTTCCTTTATTTTCATCATACTCCCATGACTCTAACGTTGACCGATATTCCATACTAGTTACTCTTAGAGGTTTCCACCAGTGTAAAAATCACAGAGAGAGAGTTTTTTAGTGTTCTACATGTTTTTTTTTTTCACTTTCACAGTACAACTGGGGGTTAACCACACAGCCATTTTATCTTGATTACGATAATCACGCTCATTGCGACAAACCGCCCAACGCTTAATAATGAATCTTTTTGTTTCTTCTCTTATATAAGATCCTCGAATAAATCCTTAGATTGTACAAGAGGTTCAAAATAACCAGTTGTTAGCAATGCAGTATTGACTGGAATCGAAGGAAACCCTCTGAACAGCTTCATTTGTTTTCAACATTGTTCAAGTTGAGTGGGCCGCTGGCATTGGAAACACTGTTATGAGCATGGATTTTACAAGACAAGGACAAATCTTGCACGTGAGCGTTTATGTTTATGTCAAGAAATTGTTTTTCCCACCTGAATAGTGTGGTGGGCAGACGCAGTGATTAAGGTCGATACAGTAGCCTCCATTTTGGCACTCCCATCCTTGTGCACAGTAAGATCTACCAATTAAGAGAGAATAACCTCTTGATTATCAAGTCATTTTTTGTTTCAGTCACCATTAAAACACGTTATAGCCACGGCGTGGAAGCACAAAAAGTCCTTCTGTTACCTGTCACATCCTGTTTCGGGGCTCAGGAAGTTCTCATAGCATTCGCACTTTTTGGGATCATTTGGGCATGCGCCATAAGTACAGTTCACTGAACACAACGAGCGATCGCACAGGTCACCCACCCAGCCAGGTTCACATTCACACTTCATCCGGGACTTGATACAAGAGCCATGCTTGCAGGAAAACCAAGGGAAACATGACTCCACTTTTTCGCAGTTGGTTCCATTCCATCCCGTGAGGCAACGGGAACATGTTAGGCCATCAGCCCCGCAATATCCGTGTTTACAAGTTGCATTTGGCTTACAGCCGACACTTTCGCAGCATTCTCCTGTATATTGCCCTACCCGCCTTCTTGGGTAACAGTGACAACTCTGAGTTGCCGGGTTGTAGTCCCCATTTCCAAAACACTGTGTTTCTGGAGGACAGGCACTTTCAACTTCTTTTATAACAAGCACCAGCAGAACAATGATAGGGCATGCGTACTTCAGCATTGCAGCTCCGTGAAATTCTATGGGCTAAACAAAGATTGACAATTGTTTGTATTTTATAGACTCGATCCAAAGCTAAATCTTCGGAACAGGATCTCAATGCTAGCTAAAAATTAAGTCTTTAGTTGTTTCGGTCGGTTTCAATTTTAAAAAACGTATGACCGGAAAATTCGTAGAAACAGAGGAAAACATGATCAACAGATTGCCATCAAAACATCGTGTTGTAACGCGGCGTCGCTATTTACGCTATTACATTTAATCAAGAACAATAAAGAACTTCCGTCACTCGGCGAAATGACAAGAGGCGCGCCTAAGCGTTGTATCAAACTATGCTTGTTTCGGTTTTAATTTAGAAAACAATTGGCCGGAAACTTCGTAGAAATAGATGAAAATTATGAGCTTGAGCACTGATTCTTAACGGATAATTATAAAAATGATTTGTTTCAACGTGTGACCTCTTTAATGCATGTTGTAACGCACACCAAAAAGACTTTCTTTCTCAGAATTCAACTTTTGATGATGACCTACTTGACTTGTAAAACTGCTTTCCCTTTTAATTCCCAAGAAGTAAATTTCACATTTTTGGCTCAGTTCTGTCCGGCTTATTATAGAAGAAGACTAAATTTGCAATACCAAAAGTCACTGGCCTTGAGACTGTGTGAAAATAATTCAAGAAGAGTGAAACGTCTATTTAGAACTCGGAAAATGAAGTAATTTCCTTGTCAGATCACTTCCGCTGTAATAGCTTGCATGCGCTTCTAGCTAGAAGCGTCCACTTTGTTAAAATAGTGTCGGAAAAGGCAAATTACTTGCTTAATCTCCAATCGGTTAAGTGATTTTTGGTCCCGCCTGAGTGTGAACAAATCAAACTGAAGATCGGACCACAGAATGGGAGCATGTCGTCAGATACATGCAGTGGCAAACTGAGAACGCAACGTTTTCGGTTCAACTCTAAACAAATATGGCAGCAAAGAAGAAACATTTAGCCAAAATTATAGTTCCGTACTATGTTATAAATGTTAAGGAGGCTAACAAACTCACCGTGGACTGAAGATTCACACTGACTTCTTTAGCACTTTGCGCAGCACAGGAAACTGTGACAATCAAATAAAATGCAAATGAAATGCGTGTTTTCGTTTTTATAATAGTGCGAGTTCTAAGTCACATGATAATCATAAGAGGGAAATAAGCCAATAGCTGTTTAGAAATTAACTCGGCCTTCTGGGGGACGTCCCTTTTACTTTCTGCTTAATTTGCAGAAACATTTCGATGTCATCCTGTATTTGGACATGGGTTTCGCAACTTTTGAAATACCTACCATGAAGCTCTCTAGAATCCATTGATATCACTCTTGTTATCAAGAAATTTGTAAATACTTTTAAGATACTTCAATGCCACATTGAGTTCCCCGCCAAATATATCGTTTCTGGCAATAGCTTTGATAAAAGGTCATTGTCTTCAAACTCATCAGGGGATTACCCTCAGCGTCATGATACCGAAAAGACATTGATTGTTGACGATCACAAGTTTGCATAATAAAGATTTTTGTCCTAATAATACCGGTCATCTCGACACAAATGCATAACCACTGAAAAACAGATCTGAATTTTTATCCTTTTTGTTATCTTGAAACTGAAGTTTCTGTAGTCACAATCTTTTGAGGCGAATGTAATCTCGATTAATAAATGAATCAAAAACGACCTTGATACTTTCTGAGAATAACTAATCAGGGGAAGCCCCCCACGTCACTTCCGCTTTTTTGTTCATTTTTCTACAATTACAGCAAATACAATATCTCGTGACATTCAGGAGTAAATACAAACTTCTTTAGAATTTTAAGGTTTAAATGATAATTTTCATCAATATGAAAATTGTTCCTCCCATGATAGAAAAGTGCTCAAAAAGTCGATGGACAATGTGCTTATTTTGCAAAACACGTCACGAACAAAATAAGAAACAAAACAAAAAAAAAAACGATTTGAACCTTCGACTAACTGCTGAACGGAGCACAATTGACCTCATGACAGATCGGAATACGATTGGTTTCGATTAAAGGTTCTATGCAATTAACAGCAAACCTGAAAACCATATAGTCCCAAAAAAATATTTTATTCAACAAGGCACCCATCTTTATGTTATTCACTACAAATAAAAAATGGAAGAACAACACTAAATTTTTTGGGTGTTGCGTGACTCAACATAGTATCGCGCTCCACTTCATGATACAAACAAGATGACGAAAATGATTAAACGAAAATATTTTGTGAGTGACACAGGTTTCTAAATGAAACTTACTGGGAATCTCATAATAATTCGATGTTTGAAAGAGTAGACAGAATCAGCTGCCTTTAAGATCCAAATGCTACTGCTCTCACTGACCAGAGTCAAATGCAAAATTTTTTATTGGAAAACCATTGTTATTATTTGGCAAAGTTTCAGGCTCTTGGAGTTTCGTGTTTCATTTCGCGTCAGTTTTCACCTCGAGCGCACACTAGAGGTTTTGCATTGTACTAATCCGTTTTTCTTCCCACCCACCCACCCACCCTCCCACCTTGGATGATTTTGCATGATGTCATAGGGTGGCAGAGGTGTTTATCAGGCATTTCATATGGCTGTCGTTTTCTGTTTGTTCGTATTCTCAATACAATTTCTCTGTGCCAAAAAGTAATTCGTTTTTTATTTGTGTCAGGGGGCGTAGTTGAGAAATTATTCAGTATTATCAACTGAGTCGATAATGTAAATTGGCCACTATAAAGAGTTTCAAGGCTGACGTTTCGAGCGTTAGCACTTCGTCTGAGCGAATGATAGAAGGGCTTACGCTCGAAACGTCCGCTTTGAAACTCTTAACGGTAGCTAATTTACGTTATCAACTCAGTTGATAATACTGTAACTGGCCTCGTTTTGAAAGTGAGGGGTTTTGCAGCTCAGAAATGGCCTACTGTGCATGCGCACTTGCAGCGATCAGTGACTCTCTCTGTAAGTCATACTTCCTCTGGCGTTTCTTCCTTCGCACTAATACAATGATCAACAATATGGCGCCAAGGACAACGGCAATTATGACAAACACATAGATTGGGAAGCCTGCTGGATCTTTTTCCACCGGTGGAATGATCTGGTAAAGAAAAAAAAAAGAGACATGGACACATGATCAGCAAGACAATGAGAAATTCAGGGGGGATGGGAAGGGACGGCGAAAATTTTGGCATCAGTAAACGTAGCCCCCTTCCCCTCCTCTACTATTCCTCTCCCCCCCCCCTCCGATTTGCATTATGAAGGAAATTAATTTTGTTAATCATCTTACACCTTCTAGTTGATGATTAACAAATAAACAGAGGGAAAAAATAGAGAGAGAAATCAGAGGTTCTTCCCATTCACGAAGGCGTTGTTCATGTTAATAGAAATAACTGACAATATTTCGACTCTGCCAAACAAAACAACAAAATTATGGAAGTTTGCGAGAGACGAAAGACAAGATTAATGGTAATACTTTAACAATGATAATCTCTGAAATAACTACTCTCCCGATGAGGCTTTCCAGGGCCATTGTAAGCAAAGAATGAAATAAATGTTTCCAAATAAACATAAATTGGGTGTAAACCCAGCCGAGAGGCTGCGATCAGGGCAACTGATAACAAATCGGGAGAGAGGCAAGAAGGTGGACTTCAACCCTAGACCACCAGGTACTGTCTGGGATCAACGGCGACTAACGGGGACTACCAGTGACCACAGGGACTACCAGTGACCACAGGGACCACCGGGGACTAACAACAATCAGCCACGCAACACCTTCAATAGATACAGGGATTAGAATACAGCCAAACGAAATGAACTACTTAAAAATTTTTCACGATGGAAAACTCGTGATCTAGTAGTAAAAAGTTCTGAATTCTCACCTCCTTAGCGTCGATATTATGAAGGAGTCGGATCATTGAATTACCCCACAATTGTTTGTCTCGAGTCTTGAGATCATCCGTGCTGTTACACGAAGCCGTAAGAATTCCTTTTTTTCCGACGGAATATCGATCGTACTCATTCACCGAAAGATCGAACACGGCCACAAGTTCGTTTTCGTCAGCTGATGCCGACGCCGTTAGGTGCTTCTGAATTTTTACCATTTTTCCGTCCAAGGCCTGAAGCAGATGTGACGTTTTTATCTTCTTGGCACTCATCCACGAGTTCGATGGGCTCTCGAAGAAATGGTGGTCAGGGGTGACCTTTATAACCTCGTCCTCTGTTTGGAACATGATGAGATCTCGTGCAGGAAACAGCCTCTTCCGAACTTGGTCAACGCGACGCAAGTAGCTAATGGCAGGAGCATCGTCTTCATGACGAACTATTACTAAGTCTCCCTCTTCGATTTTTTCTATGGGCACCATTCCATTAGCGGTGTGGACCAAGGTGTCCCCTGTAAAGCAGGACTTTACCAAGCAACAGTCATGGTGCCAGCTTGGAAGACACTTTGGTCTTTTTGGCTTGGAGCAGTCACAAGTCAGAGGAGGACAACACACTGGACATTGTATCCTGTCGCATTCTTTGCCAGTATAAACACCATCGCATTCACACTCGTATGGATCATTTGGACATGAGCCATGCACACATGGTTGTAAGCATAATTTCACTTTTGTGCATGGTCCAAAAAAAAAATGAAAGCCAGGTACATGGATCTCATTGGCCCAACCCTCGTCACAGCGACATTTCTTTAAACCCAAAAGGCCGAAGTCGCATGAGCCATTCTCGCAGCCATCACAATTCTTTTGTGCGCATTCAAGACCGGTATATCCTTACGAAAAAAAAAAGCCGAAACATGAGTTAACCCTTTCACTCCTATGAGTGACCATAACAGAATTTATCTTTATAATATCAATACAATATCAAGTATAAAAATTATGAGAATAAAGAGAAATACTAGTTAAGGAATTATTAGTTGATCCAATACCAAATTCTCCAAACTATCATCACAAGAACTATATGGCAGACAATAACGAGAATTACCAATGAGATCTTAAGAGTTAAGGGGTTAATTCGAGATTTATAGCAGCCCTAAATTACTTTTTGGTTTTACATGTAACTAATAATGTGCCACTTGAGGGCCATTTTAGTTCTTAAAATTGTCGCAAATGTGGAAACATTTACATTGTCTCGGTCAGCGAAGCCGACCAACAAAGAAAAAAAAAAGGGGAAGAATTTCACTGTAGCGTGAAGTGCAGTCAACGGGGTCGAGGGAGAATTTTTTTTCTTTGCACATCGTTACCCCTTAAATTAATTTAACTCTCTCGCCTATCTTTGTGCGCTGCCCTGCCTTACTTGAGTATACTTTTAAAATGCGAGCCAAGAGTTTTTCAGCGACAAAGTAGAATCTGCCATTTTATAAAAAAATTGATTAGTTCTTTGGTCGCAGCTTTCTAAAGTCACCCACTGATTTTCTTTTTGATTTTCTTCAAGCTGTTTAAGGTAAATATGATTCTGACTGGCCTGGTAGGCCGCTATCAAAACTACTCGAGTATGCTTAAGAAATGTGAGCAAAGCTTTTTTCAAAGACAAAGGAAATTTTGATTTGTACTAAAAAAGGAAACATTTCTTCGGTCGCAGCTTTTCAAAGCCAACCACGGAATTTCTTTATTTTTTATTTTCATCGGCCGTTTAAGGTCAATTTGATTGGAGGGTCGTTACTTTTGCAATGGCTATACACAAGTTTTCTCGATGACTCTCGTTTTTTTATCTCTCTGATAAATAAATTCTGTGAAGCAGAATATTATGTGACAAACAAAAGGAAATCTCAGAAGCCCAAACCTGGTTTGCACTTGCACGTGTTAGGCCCATCTTCGCAAGTCCCTCCCTCAGAGTTGCAATTTGAACAGGCTCCGACATATTTTGTACATTTTCCTTTAGGTCCCCAGCCAGGCACACATTCACACTCGTATGGACTCTTGGAACAGTGTCCATTCTCGCAAGGGACGCCACACCCACTGATGGTCTCACAGTGATTACCTAGCATACATAAAAGACAAATAACAAAATCAAATCAAAAAAAAAAGAGGAGGATGAAAAAGAAAAATAAGGAGTATTTAGCCTATAAGTTAGAAGATAAATCCAGTCAGAGTTTACCCCAGTCTCAGAGCCCTAAAGTGATTAAGAATTTACTACTATACCCTGGATACGATACCAGTTCATCGTGCAGTCTACCATTCTCCCCCCTCCTAGTTCAAGTTCTCCTTGGTGAGAATGTTACTGTTTGTCATTTCATATCAACATCATTTGGTGTCAGCTCGATTCAGTCTCTTTCAACCAATTGTTTTGTTTTAAATAAACTCCACTTTTAAGGGAGTTGTGATTTTTCCTGCCTATTTCCTCAGTGTTTGTTGAGATTCATGTCGTGTCTATGAGCCCCATTGTGCAGAATAGCCAATCTTTGAAGCTTTGACGCGACATTTGAAAAAAAAACTGATACATTAAGGCTCTTGTTGTTATTCAGAGGAAGAGTGGTGCACTTATATTTTGTTTATATTTAAATGGAACCGTTTTCAAACCAAACTTAACATCGTCATGAATGATCAGCCACAATACAGAAAAGTTCTATGGAACCAAAGGGATGGTTCTTGATAAATAAAAAAAGCTGAATTGATTTTAGAAAGCGTTAATTTCATAGACACTTTTTCCAAAAAAAGAGCATTTCCTCGCTAGGGGTAATCATTAGGCTCGATTTCCGCCACTCTCTCGTGCCCGCTCCTCGCCCCTCTCCGAGAAGAGAAGGGTTCGGGGGGAGAAGCGCGGGCTCGCATTCTCTAATAGCGGCTGGTAATTATGGGCGTTTGTCTGACCTGTATAATGAGCCGGGCAAGCACAATGGTGAAGGTCAACACAATATCCGCCATTTTTACATTCCCAGTCCTTCGCACAGTAAGACCTATAAAACACACAAAAAACGCACAGGCTTGACAAGGGCTTGTTTCATCTTGTGCTGTCTATGGTGAAAAAATTGAGGGAACAGAAAGGGAGAATCAAAGCGTCGGCCTGAATGTCACAGTGCTGCCAGGTTATTTTAAGTGTTAGACGGAAAGGGAAGGATAGTTCTCTAGGTATCTCTGGAAGATATGTTTATTAATGACACTTATTTAGTCTCCGAATAGAAAGCTACTGCTGCTTTGGTGATTAGGCCGTTATTGTATCATGCTTGAATTGTTTGAATTAGCTTTTTGTTTGTAAAAATGATTCTGCCATAGAGGCATCCTTAATCCCTGTCCCTGAAGTCAATTATAGTAAGCTGTCCTTATTTCAAATGAATGGTGTAATTTTCCCAAAATGCACAAATTACATTAGCAGAAATTTATTGCTCTCTATTGCTTAACCAACATTATTAGTCTCCAAAGCTTACCAATTACTAATAAACAATACCTGTCACATCCTGTTTCAGGGCTATAAAAGTTCTCATAGCACTCGCATTTTTTGGGATCATTTGGGCATGCACCATAGGTACAGTTCACTGTACACAAGGACCGATCACACAGGTCACCCACCCAGCCAGGTTCACATTCACACTTCATCCGGGACTTTTTGCAGGAGCCATGCACACAATGAAACCAAGGAAAACAGGAGTCTACTTTCTCGCAGTTGAGTCCAGTCCACCCTGTTAGGCAACGCTTGCAAGTCAAACCATCAGCTCCACAGAAGCCATGTACACAAGTCGCATTAGGCTTGCAGTCGACACTTTCACAGCACTCTCCCGTGAAACTTCCGATTCTCCGTCGAGTGTAGCATTTACAGCTCTGTGCTTTTGCATTGTAGTCACCGTTTCCAAAACATTGTGTGTTTGGAGGACAGAGGCCTTCGACGTCGAGAACGAGCAGGTACAATAAAGAAATGAGAATAACCACCTCGTGCCTATGCATGCTAAATTCTTTAAATTCTGAAAGTGAAGAAATGGACATAATTTTGAACAAATAAATACAGGGAGGTAAAATGATATAATTCATATAGGATAAAATTTTTCCTTCCTGACACTCAAATTGGTTTTACTTGAGGTCAACAACAACAGATCTTTTTTGTTTATTGCAGTGTTCACACTCACCGCAGCATCTTTAATTTTTTTTTCAAAGCAACAGAAACATTAAGAAGAAAAACATATTTACCACCGATTAATAATATTGCAGTCTGATTGGCCAATTTTCGGTTGTCGTTAAGAGTACAGACAACGCTACTCGCGTCAACTTGTCACCTGTCACGCAATGCCTTTATCGGCTCTCAAACATGAATGACTCAAAAATAGTCGATATTGTGGTAAAACACAAACCGACAGTGGTTTAGGGTAGTCTGTACTCTTATCGACAACGATATAACGTCATCACAGTACTCAAAACGTATTGCAGACTCACTCGGCTGCACCCCATGAGTCCACGACATTTTGACCACTGTGATAATGAATATCAAAAAAAAAAATGTCGCAAAGAGTTCAGACCACACTAAACCATTGACGATTTGTTAAATTGACTGCGCTAATATGGTATTCTGTAGATTTAAATTTTGAAATATGGCTTTGGAAAACTAGAGCTACCGTTGGAATTTCGAGGTTAGAGATCTCAGGATTTTAACCAGGAAAATTTTGTGAAGGATTTTACTGCACAAACGCTAATAGGTATAATTCCCATAAGTCGATTTTAGACACAAGTGTCCGGTTTTTTTTTTCTAGTGATTGATTTCAGACGCTAGTTTTTAATTTTAGTCTCCAGTGTCCAATTTCAGACATTACTGTCCGACTTTGGGCACCAGAAGTGATTTAGGCCCCATTAATATGGTCTCGGGTACCTGAGACAACCCTTCCCTCGAGACAACTTTACGGAGCGTTTATATGAAAATTTGACATTTGCTTACCCTCTTTGGGCCAGGCCAGGTTACATTTTCGACAAATTGACGCACGACAAAAAAAGAATCGCTGTAAACATGGTGTTTATAATCTTGTAATATTTTCATGGAGCTACTTTTGGAAATGAAAACCAAATAGGAAATGTTGATAGCCCAAGCCACATTGAGACAGAACGAGTTTGTCTGTCGAGCCAAACGGAGTGTACAAAGAAAGGCACGCGCGTATTGGAAGAAGCCAGGCTCTTCAGGCCGCCATTTTTCTTTCACGTACGGTCTCCGCTGACCTAAAACACACAGGCTCTGGTCATAGCGTCCTCACGCATTTTCTGTTCGAGTTGTCTCGTCTCGGGTGGGCGAGACAAGGTGTTTACATAAGAAAAAAGTGTCCCATCTGCCATGGTTACCCTACCTGCCGAGGTGAAACAGCCCGCCCCTCGTAAGGTAAGGCCGGCCTTACGAGCCTTTATCATGAGTGTTCATTCTCCATGACCATCAGCTGAATATGCATATTTTGATGGTCGTGTATGTCCTCCGAATGTCGCGTGAGGTAAGGAAACAAATCGAAATTGATGTCAAACGCGCGTGACTGCGCGTGTCAAAGAAAATCTGCAAGTTGTTCACGAAATTTAATCCGTTTATTTCCTTCTTTCTTTTACTGTGAGTGTACAATAATCATAAAAGTGAACTGCGGTTCAAGAAACGAGAAAGAAATTTTTACGTAAACGATCACAATTGCGCACAGGTCGCGCCTAAATGTTTTTTGCCTTGCGATTTTAAGGTTTCCAGCAAAGCGAGAAAACTAAGCTCGTCGAAAAACAAAAAGACAAATCTTTGGTCCAGTCCAGCTGCATATTCATCACATTTACCACCTTGTTGCAGTGCAGATACAGGTTGTAACAATTAAGGATGACCCAAACATGAATACTGTAGACGCAATCGGCAAAAATCAATTTTGAATTCTCTTGCATATGCTGACGGTCTCAATTAGTGTTAGCTGTTAGGCGTAAAAAATTACACAGTTGAATTGTTAGTCGTAGAAAAAGTTAACCGTAGAAATGTGTTCTTTTAATAACTACAGAAATTAATCGTTGGGCGTAAATAGGCCAAAATATTTACCGTCAACCGTAAAAGTCATCGCCTCATTGAGACCCCCAGCCTCTGATTCTGATACATGGATCCAAAAAAGACGAAAATAGCTTCTACTTTCAACAAATGAAAATATTTCCATACTGATTACAGCGCAAACGAGTGAAAGGCAAAGAAGAAACCTTGCCCACTCCTTTGCCATTTTTATAAACTTAAATCCTGCCTCCTACCGTCGCTCAAGGACGAGGTAAAAGCAGCGCAGATATCAACAAAATCGGATCAAGGATTGTTGTACATACCGTAGAGAAAGTATCTTGGTACAGTAAGACTCCAAGTTAACTCTCTTTCAACTGCGAAGATAACTTCTGCCTGTGAAACTCTTTCAGTTGCCTTTATTAGAGTCCGCTGAATGTCATATGAACACATGGATAAACCACCTACCGTGAAGGATATATGTTCTCTGTTTTAAGTAGTAAAATCACGGTAAACTATTCAATATTACGTAAAGACGCAAGTTTTGGAGACATTGAAAATATTCTATCAATTTTTAATGTAATTTCACGCAAGTTTTAAATCATTTCAGTTAATGTTTTCTTCGAGATAGTGATTCTGGTGAAGCTTTGGGTCATAGTCAAAAGTCCATTGGAAAACACTTCGTAATTCTCCCGTTTGTTGGGGTTCACTATGATATATAACGTGACTCAAGCGAGCACGTTTACATCACGTGTGGCCAAGATAAGGAAACTTCTAGTAAATGAAAATTACGTAAAGAATACGCAAACTACCAAGGTCGCTGGAAAGCAAACTCTCAAGGTGGCAGTTCCTCCGTGGATATGAGAGTCTGCTGCCACAGAATGGCGATTTAGAATAAAAGAAGTTAAATCCATCAAACTTGTATGCGTGATTGATCTTGACGAGCTAATCAGCCAGGGAAGGCTGTCTCGACAAAGCAGGGGACACGTGAGCTAAGCGCGAGTCACGCAAAGGCATTCGGCGAAAAAAAATTTACTTAAGCTGGATAGGAAGGAACGGGAACGCCTAGCAGCAGAACTTTCCTTTCCAGCTTCCTTGATAATACAAAGACAATTTTAATTTTTCTATTTTTCTAGGTAAAGTTAGGAGCTGGTTTTATATATGGTTCCGTGCCCAGATGTTGATATTGATCCAAATTACGCCCTCTGTCTATCTGTTCGTCCTAATCATACTGCGAAACTACAAGCACTTCACAAATAAAGGTCAGGTCAGTTGTGTATGGCTCATAACTCAGAGAAGAGGGGTCATCGGGGAAGTGAAGATTCATCCTGAGACAGCGCCAGTCTCAAAATTTACGGATAAAAATTAAATAATTTCTGAAAAATGCGAAAGAGGAGCTCGACGCCTGATATTCTTGAGTGCTCCTTCAAGTGCTTCATATCTTTATAAAAGTACAGCTGACCCATTATTTAATTGCCGTTTCATAAGAGTTTTAACGCATTAAATTCATTAAATGTTGTATCATATGGAAATTTTGTCTGTTACGCATCAATGGGTAAACACACTTCATAAGTGTACACGAGGAAAATATGAAGCACACTCGTGCATTTCAAATTTGAGTCGAATTTACTGGCTACAATAAAATCGTCAATTTATTAAGTCATTTGTTTAACGGAGCTGTTCCTAATGTCTTTCAAATGAACACCATACCTGGATCACAAAGTTGGATACAGCGAGGTAGTATTTATGGATATGAATAAAGATTCGTTATTGAATCACACTGGTTGGCAATAAAATAAAAGGATAAATATTACATAAATCAGTCAAATAAGATGAAAGCTTAGGTATATTAAATAAACAACCAAAAGAATAAATGGATAAAAATGATTGAATGGGTATCTTAAAGTATTTTTAACAGATAAGAAAAAGGAAAGCAGGAAACTTTAATAAGATTTCACTGTTTTTTTTCTTCTTAAGACACAACCAGACCTGTTGTCTAAACCTCGAGAAAAAATTCAAACAATGTTTCTCGCCGGAAAGCTTAAAAAAAATAATACATATAAGAATCCCACAACGGTTACGATCTAAATGAAAACACATTTTATTACAGGATCAAAGTAATCTCATTAAATGGGTCTGAAAAGTTATTTGCTCTCAAAACTGTGGTCTGAAAGCGTGGGTTGCAAATTTAATGTCAAGAGCTTTTTACTTAGTCAGCTGTCCAAGCTAGAAAACCAGCGTGAACTTGGCACGTCGTAATCTAATTTCTTTTCTATCTTAGCCGGAGCTTATCCTGAGATTAGACGGTGAGATAACAGACTTATTATGTCTCATTATATGCTGGTTATGAGAGTAAAGCTCTCAAGAAAGAGCTCGAAAACGTCGCTCACTCGCTGTGGTAGTTTTCACAAGAGCAGTGGTGTACTTACGGCCTCTTACGAAAGGAATGAAAAGACTTGGGGAACTGAGTGTTATGTAGACAGTGCATCATTATGTGTGGCCATTATTTCGGGGTGGGCCTACGTGGAAGTGTGCCACCAATGACATAAAGTGCCTTTGAAATCGCTGATTACAGCAGTAAGCAGGATGCCTATAAGATATGAACTGCTTTTCGCTCCATCAAGTTCTCTATGGCACTGCGGTAGATCGTCGGGGCACTGGATTTTGGTTTCACTGAAGAGAGTCAGAGTTGCTCTTTGTCCTGCGCACGTGTCAAAACGTGTCGAAACAGTTTTCTCTACATCGAAATGATTGTGTAATCTGTTTAAAGCTTAAGACTGAAGCTGAAGAAACTGTGTAGAAGTCACAAATGAATTGATAACCGTATGACTCCATTACTCATGATCCCGTGGCAGTTAGCTCGCCTTGGGCGGAGCAGTGTTGCATTAAGCTGACATGGAGGTGTCATTAGCGGAACCATAACAGAGAAGTGTCTCGAGCTTCCAAATCCCTCTTTCAGTGGATTTATATCCTGTTTGAATATATTAAACTCGACGCATTAAGTTGAGGTTTTGATCTCTCATCAGTCTGGAGGATAAACGGGGACTGTGTAGGCTTTGGCCAATAATTACCTATTGTTTACCATAATTAATTTTATTCATCGATTCAGTTATTTATCGAGACACAACTAATACCTGAGAGGAAGAAATTGCTACCTTTATCTCTTAAAAAAAAAATAGCTGTACTTACATGCCACTATATTTGAATATTCATGCATTTATACATTTTTTTCGCAGTATGTGTCGCCTCAGGACGGAACGAAGGCTTCATCCCGAGAGATATCTTAATTCAATTGAGAATAGTTTGAATTCTCGAATTACATACTCTTAATATTCAAAACAAATGAAAAAGGCTTAAGTTGAAAACTTTTATAGTATAACAATAGTGAAACAGAGTTATTTCCATCAACTATGTTACATTTGTACGTTTAACTCTGGACAAAACGGGTTTCGACATGTTTCGTTCAGTGCAGTTACTCGATTACCAATTTGCGAGATGATCCTCGAGCGTTCCGTAGAACGCACAATTGGCATAATTTTTAATTTGCCTACAATTTTTCTTTGCTCAGAGTGAAGTTAGTTATATGGTAACCACAGATATGATTGATAACAAGCATTTTGAAAGTTGGGATGTTAAATGTTCATCCTTTAGGGAATCAGATCAAAGTTTAAATCAGTTCAAAACCAAATAATCAATTTTTTGCTTACATAAATGTAACTAAGAACCATAATTTTTTAGCACCCGAGCAAAGCTCAGCTATTTTTAAATATGTCAGTTATATGACATGATTTCCGCTGCAGTCTCACTTTATTGAGGGTAAGCTTACTTAGCTTTAAAGCGAAGTTTTATCGGTGCAGCTATTTTTATTTATAAGGCACTTTGTCTGGTTATTCGTGTTAATCCAACAATTGTGGTGAATTCACTGTCAGTATGAAGTGGGCGTAAAAAGAAGCTTTCGCTAGCCAGGTGGTCCTCAATTGAGAACAAAAAGTCCTTTTTAAAAAACAGCTTTGTGTGAGTGATTTATAGCTCGCCAATAGATTTCCCGGCCTACCCCAGAGAGCGTTCAGGAGCTTTCTACTTTGATTGATTTGGAAACAAAATGCAGTATGTAAGTGCATGATATCTTTACCACAACTTGCGTATACGATGATTTGCGAAGAAGGAAGAACATTTGGACGAAAAATGGTCTCGTTTTATCGACAAATAGAGGGAAAAAAAAAACGAGTGGGCTCATGAAACAACTGAATGAAATCAGAACAAAAGAACTTAGACAATATCCGCTGTGTAGGTGGAAGAAGGCTGCAGAAAATTCCTTTCTCGTTTGCTGAATTTCTGCTCGAAAACTGTGTCTTAAAACCGAAAGAAGACGCTTCGAAAAGGTTACAGTTTAAAATGGTGTGAAACGCGCGAGTTTGGCACGCGTGAAATCTCTCCCCAGTCTTTCTCCTTAATCCTTATTCTACTTCACAGTTGCGTCGCCTTACTATTTTGACATTGAAAAAAACACGTTTATAAAGTTGTGGTTTGCACTTTTTGAGACGCAGTCGCTTTGACATTCATAGAGGTTCACACCTAAGATATTTCAAAATGAGTGAGCAGCTGACAGCCTCAAATTCTTCAACTCCAGGTCGCACTGTAAGAAATTACGATCAATTTACATCAGTCTTTTCTTAAAATTTGTTATCAAAGAAAAGGGATTTCTATTGTCATACTCCGAAATCCTTAATATTTGCTTCCGTCGATTTTTATCGGTAAACTGAAGCTTGTAGACTCAAGTGACTTTTAGACCTTCATGGAAACCACAACTACAGAATTTGTTATGGAACACGCCACTTTTTTTTGTTATAGTTCTTTGCATCAGATTGAGCAAAAATTTCAAATATGTTGAACTCACCGACTAATGGAAACATCACGTTGATTTATTCAGTCTCAACGTGTAAAACCTAAGGATGTAAGGTCGTGGACGGTCCCAGAAATCCTAATCTTATCTACTGCGTCGTCGATTTTTAAAGTTAAGTTTTGTTGTAGAGACCTGTTGAGGTTTTTTGTTTTGTTTTGCTTTGTTTTGTTTCTTTTGTCTTGGTCACCAGTATTTTTCTGGGTTTGTTATTGTGCACGTGCGTCACTCGTGAACATGACAGGTTTATACACCAAGGATAAGCCGATTTTAGTTGGTTTACATTATCCCTCTTCCCCACCAACTAAACAACAATGACCCAGTCACTATAAAGCAGCCACCTTGACCTTGAACAATTGGTTCATAGACAGATCTTGGACAATCTTTATTCTGACCGACAGAGCTTACAATACATGACGACAACAGAAAGAAAAACACAAGCTTTAAATCGAAGTATATTCCGATATCAAAGATCATGCGATGTAAGAATATGATCAGCTGCACTGACGCTCTTGTGTCTTTGTTAGTATGAGAAGATCATGAATTTCGAATTTGAAGAAATGCATGATTAAGTTTTGCCAGATACTGTAGTCGTGATAAAAAAAATGAAAGAGAAAGAGAGAGGCCGAGAGAGAGAGAGAGACGTGAGCCATTAGTCTTTTGAATACTTTTACTCTCTCATAGCCATGACGTTATAAGCCGTAGAGACTCTTAGCCGTCAAGTACGTCGCCCTAAGGAGCAGAAGGAAAAAACAGTCGTTTTTGGGTGCTTAAGGAGCGTCATCACGAAATTTTGAGGCTATGCAATATTAGTTCGATAAGAGGGAAAAACACACGAGAGACCAAAACAAAACAAAATATATTAAATATGTTCCGAAATGAAAAATAGCACGATAAATTGCCGATAGCAAGCTAAAAGGGTTGTATTTTCCAGGATGCAAGAAAAAAGACTACCCGGCATTTTCAGCCTGTTTAATTTCAAGTTGCAACAGGAGAATTTCAAAAAAAGTTATTTCGAATTTTTCCCTAATCAATTACATAATTCAGTTAGCGTGCAACTATGCAGGAAGATGAAAATTTCTTGAGAAGTGCTCTTATGTATAGTCTGAAACTATACTGGGTGTGTCTTTGTCTGAGACAGTGAAGAATAAAAGGGTCTATGACCTCCATGACTAAACGAATTCCTAACAGCCAGTTATAAGTGATGATGTCATAGAGCACATTTCACAAAATATCGTAAGATCAAGCCACAGTTCATACAGCAGCTAATCTTTTTCCATAACCGGCTGCCGATGATTCAATAGGCGGCTGTACTTTGATAGGAGTCGTAAGGCGAAACCCAAACACTATCGAAAGCCCGCTCATAGGCTACATAGACGGTGGCAAGAGGTCTTATTGGCGGAACCTGCACTTATTGAAACCCCGGGGAAGTGGTTTGAGGAGAAAACGCCAACTCTTACAGTAAAAACAATTCAAGAAAATGCAAGTTCCAAATGGAGCCATTATCCGTTATAGTATTGGATCTGATTGGTTGAGGGGGTGATGTAATTCTCTAGAATAAAAGACAGGGCATTACAAAGCAAACATAACACAAGTATATCCCGAGGGTTCAATTGAGATACTCTAAATCCAGCGTAAAGTAACAAATATCACTACCAGCTTCGGGTGAATAGGCCCTGCAAACCCGATATCGAAATAAAAATATCGACGTTGAAACGTCATTTTGTCTACCTTTTCTGTTCTTACATATTTCCCCGTGAGATATAAACCCTTCAGATGTTTCATGCATTTATTGTATGGCTGAATATTCAAATGATGGGGTGCTCATGAGGTTTAAACTCTTTCCCTTTTTTTAATTTCCTATTCAGGATGTATTCACGTAGGCGCAATAGGCGCTGGTTTTCAGCCCCTTCTGCAGTCCTGTCTGTTACTCGTGCACATCTTATGGTGTGAAACGCTTACTGGAGACCAGTTGGCATAGACGCTATTGAGTCGGTACCCTTCTCATCCAGACTAGGTTATCATGTTGGAAATAATTCTGTCAAGAAATTTAATAAAAATAATACCGCGCACTAAACTTTGGGAGTCGACCTTAAAAGATTTACCAAAACAAACACAAACGAGTGACTTAAACATAAAAAAAGACTCCTGTCCCACATTTCACGGTTAACTACAAAAACACTTTTGTTATTGTAATAGTAAGTCATACGTGTCAAATTTTTCCTCCTTTAAGATAAAAAGCCGCTAATTTACCTCATGGTATCGCAGTCACTGCGTCAAATGTAGAGGAATTTTTTGAAGCCAGTCTTTCAGGGTAAAGCTGACTTTTAGTTTCAGATAAAAAAGCAAAGCAAAAACAAATAATTGTTATTCATTTGAAAAAATTCGCTTTAAAAGACTTAGAGACTATGTAACTGGTCAAACGTGAAAACATTTTGTAGTCAATCTTTCTCGAAGTGTGTAATCGCACGAGAGGTCAGCTGCTCCGGAAATGTGTCAGAGTTTCTCTTGAATCTAATGAGGACTGGATAACGGGGCGGCGCGCAGTACTCGAGGCGATAAAGCAGATATTCAAACAATAACACTTTACAAGACATCACCGCTGTCGTAAGTTCTTATTTGCAGTGTGCGTCACCCTGGATATCATGTTTAAATTTGATTTTTATCAGAGAAATGCAGAAAAATCAAGACTAAACGCAGACATGAACAGCTGGATCGGTATGTTCGTTAACTTTAACCCAGCGAAATGCTGTAATCTAATTGCCCTTCCACCACGCATTCATTCCTTTTATTAGGTGATGTGTAAAGTGCTTTTCCGGCAGTAATTAGTGCTAAGACACTTTGTTGGCGTAAAGTGATTAATTTAGCTCATTTATAAACCATTACCGTGAAGCCGGGGTATAGTAGCTGATAAAATCTTTTAAATCGTCTTCTATTATTGGTCAAAGTTTTAAAAATGTTCACAATTCAACAGCGCGTTCCATTGATGTAATTGTTGCAGCCAAAGTTTCTCTGATTGTGCACTGCATAAATAACCGATATTTTTGATCAACTTGAAAAGGCTAATTTTACCAATTCTCGGGGATGTAATTAGTAAACAACAGGCTTCTAGCTAGGATAAGCTTTGAACACACTAAGCACAAAGGCCGCATAAAATGTGCTCTAAATTGCCTGCATTCAATCAGTGCATTTATTAATCTATTTCCGGTGTTTATGGAGCTGTTAATTATTTACACAAATAAAAGATTGTACAGCATGTCATTTTGCGAACCGCACTCCTTCAGTTATCATTAATTGAGTGATGGGGCCTTGTCATTTCTATCGGCCAATCAGTGGGCTACTTGTAATGTAGGCCTTGCGATCCAGAGTTTCTCATTCACTTGTTATGAGGTATGCTGTACAGTAGTTAACATGCAAGTCTCGCTAGTACAGGGAATCGCCGTGCTTTGTGTCGCCTTTTATTGGTGGGATTTTTCACTGGCATCCAAACGCCAAGGGTAAGTTATACAAAAGACGTCTGATGCCTAGAGGCCCGTGTAACCCTCTACAAGCTCGTGTGGCCAGCTTTAACATTCCCGTGCCGGAGTGATGTACTTTTGATGAGGTTCTAAATCATTATCGGGTAATTCGTTTCTAATTTTACTGACCTCACATAATGTATCTGCTCGTATCTTCCCAGGCAAAACAGAGAAGCAAGGTTAACGCTTAAACCAAAACACGGAGGCCAACTTATGCTATCCTCGGGCAGGATCAAGCTCGGGGAAGTGTTTTTGTCGGGAATCAACGGCCTGCGCGGAGAGAGGGTAGGTAACAGTGAGGCGCATTATGCATAGCTGTTGTCGTGCACTCTCCAGCTTATCCAGCAATTATATTCGAGTTGTTATTTACATTGTATGCGTGGAATTCATCTAGTTCCTTAATCGTCATATTACCTCACTCGTTCAAGAGTTCTGTGATATGATTTGTAAGCGGATATCAACAAATAGCGAAGTATAGCTCAGTGGCCCTCCTTCAACAAATGTATTGACTTTGACCTTACCACTATAAAGCGGAAAACCCGCAACAAGAGCTACATTGTGAAAGGAAATGCCTAGTGGAAAGCTGAAAAAACGTTGTGGTTAGATTGGGAAATTTTCCCAAAAGCTGGCAAGGTTTAAGGCGGAGATTGCACTCAAAGCTTTGATGGCACCGATTCTAGAAGGCCCTGAGGGAAGCGGACTTCATTGAAGTTGGCAAAAAAATTCTTTTCATCCCCTTCCGTCATCATCTTAGGATCGCTTATTATAATTTTAAGAACAGACTTTTCTGTTTCCTGTCCGCGGGATGTGCTACATGATGACAGTTGATTAAACTCATGCTGCGAAGGTAACTTGCAAGTGTAACGCAGTCGGAGATTTTTGCTCTCCGCCAAATCACTCGTATATCACAGCGACCTCAAAAAAAATAGGAGTAACCTTGGATCTTTTCTTTTTTTTATCTTTTTCCAGGGCGAAAAGGGAGCGAAAGGCGAGAAAGGCAGCCAGGGCGAAAAGGTAGAATTTAATTCTATCCGCACATACTTCATTATTTATCATGTACAGATTTAATTATCATTAGGTTTGAAGTTCTGGCTTTATATCAAGCTGGTAATTTTATTCACTTAAACGGAACATGGAAAATAGCTTAAAATAATTTGCACCCTGCTTAAAATAAGCTTTTGTCGGGATGTGAAGAGAGCACAACCGTATCACTTTCAGCGTTTTATCAGTGAGATATAATCTTTCTAAGCGCGCGACCCCCGCCTGAAAAGGAGTGCGAGTTGACCTTTCTCGGAATTCTACAAACTGTCCCATCTGTCGACGAACGAAGCTGTGGACAAAAATTTCAGAGTGCATTGGTGATCTTCTTAAAAATGATCAAACGACGCTCATCGTTTTTATAATTAGTTTGTCCATCTCTAAGCAAAGGTACTGACTGTTAAAAATATATCATAGTCGTATCTGTGTCCGCTCCCTTGTTTCCCGATGCATTCCGCCTGACATATTTTTCCACAGTTTACTGATAACAGAGTTTGAAAAATGATTTTTAAGATAGTTCAGTATTCTCCGCCTGTTACAAGCACTTAAGATAGTACTGCACTAATTATAGATCAGGCTTCGGTTAAGCAACTCACCGACAGCCAAAACTTCGTCCATCACTATTTGTTCGTAGAATGGAATCGCAAGGAATTTCCTTCCAAAGGAAATCTTAAATTACAGCCCACACTGGGGATTCAAAAGTCATGTAACAATAGGCAGTTTAGCTCTTTCCTGTAGGGTAATACAAACGCCTCCAAAGGTTAAGAAGCTCTTAGAGGTTACATCTTTCATTACTCTAATGAAGTGAGCGAAAATACATCATTTCAGTTACCAAACGAAAGTTTGCATGATATATCCCCCACTGAGATCCGAATTTAAATTAGCGTGAGAAACCGAGTAAAGGAAGGAAGATGTTTTAGTTTCCTGGCCTTAATGAAGAGGACTGGCAATACAGTTCAACACTTACTACTCGTGAAGCTTTTGCTGCTACGCCTTTTTGAGTAGTTAGTAAGCTCTTTCCTGAACATGAAAGCCTATCGTTAACCTGGTAGAGCTTTCATAGCAGAGCACTCGCCGAGAAGGATTTAATTACTTAGATTTGCTGAACAAACTACACATCCGGATTAGATTCACCTATAGCGAGGCCCTTTTGAGTGTAAAGTTCAAGTATAGGGATGTATTGAATCAGTTTCCTCGTTACATCTATGGATGGGGAGGTTTGGTCGGTTCAGTGAATCTTACTAAAGGGTCTTTGTTGATACTTTATGACGTTAGTTTTCTTGAAATTAATAAATTAGGCCTGAAATCGATAACTTTTCCTTTAGAATATAAATCATCAACGAGCTTCTTCTCCATTAAAACTTAATGAGTACATATTGGTCTTGATATCATCGTGTGTAGAAAAGTTGAAAGACATAGAAAGTTTAGAGTTTAGAGTGCCTGAAGCAAATGTCAAACTCGACTTGACAATGAACGCACTAGGTAATTTCCTTAAATATTTACAAATGGATTCGAGCTTGTTAAAAAAAAAGGTGCGTGGACTTGGAGACTAATAAGGCACTTAAGAGAAAGGGGGAAGGATTTTGTGGGCAGCACGATGTGGGAGGTCACCAAAGATCCTTCAGTAAGCTTACTTCCAGTGATCAATAAGAAAAATATAAAAATTAATTTCAGTCACTAATCACAATTTCCCATTTCTCACAATGTCTATAAAAACTCTTTGTCTTCGTGGAACAAAATTCTTAATAAGCATTAGAATGAATATTCAAAATTTTCTGAAAGGCTGTCCACTGTATTTTTTGTGGACGTGGAGAACTCCAAAGAAAAGCCAAAGAGCTGTAAAATCTGGGTTCTTAAAAGGTGAATTAACAGTTAAGTGAGAGCTCAAAAAATCGTTGATTTGGCAAGGGAAGGTAATCGAAGACCAATCCCGCAACAATCCTAAGAATAACACAGATTAAAAAGTAAATCTGAGATTAGAGTGGCTTTAAAAATGAACAATGGATCAGACTTAAATAGCTTACACCTGTGCCAAAAACGACCTAGTGTGATTGACGCACTAATGAATGGTTTTAAAATTGCATACACGTACATTTACGGTTCTTAAAAGATTGTAATTCTTCCCCTGGCGTCACAGGGGACAATGACTAGGGGCCTATTTAAAAGTATATATTTCACTCACATTACACTAAGTGAATGACAGCTTCATTGAATTATATGTAACTTCTAAAAAGACTACTACATTAAAAGTGTTTCTTAAGTCTTCCTCCCGCAAACAATTCGTATGAAATCCTCTCCAGTATTTACTTGGCATTAGTCTGGGTTATAAACATTTAATTTTTCATTAAAAAAGTATAGTTCCTGACGTGCCTACTACAAAAGTTTCCTCTTTTTTTACTCTCCATAATTCTATGTTTGTTGAAGCTTTGAACCTAGGATTTTCTTTGGTGGTGAAAAATGGGACGGGTCCCACAATATTTCTGCGATATTGTGATATCAAGTCTCTCCCAATTTATAAAGACTTGTGTGTATTCTTCGGTGGCAACGTAAAAAGCACTCATCTGAAGAAAGACTTATCTAAATGCTTAACGTTTTGTAATCATTATCTTTCAGGGTGATAAAGGAGACAGCTGCTCGAGTAGTTGCAAAAACATTTTTACATCATCTACATCCGAATCTTGCGATGCTCGAACAGAAGGCGAACTAAGGTACGACAAAAAATCTTCCCATCTCTTCCTCTGCAGCCGGAAACAATGGCAACAACTGCAGACTGTCCTGCGGGGAGAGATTAGCAACTCACCACCAAGAAAGTCCTGTCTCGATATATTGTTCAAAGGTGAGGGTCAGGGTGATGGTATGTACTGGATCAACCCAGCTGGTACAGACCCTGAGCGGAACGCATTTCGTGCGTATTGTGACATGACAACTTCAGGAGGAGGTTGGACCCTTGTTGCCAAGGTCACTCATGATTACAGCTGGGTTTGTCCTGATAGAGACGGTGGTATGTGCCGAGGATCAAAGACAAACCCATTGAATGCCAACCTGTTCCATGATATCCACCAAAGGGACACTGTGGACTTGTCAATCAAAAGCAACGTCGATGCTGGAGTCCATCTGAACGACACGATCATCCGAATGCTTTTCATTTCTGGTCGTCAATCTGTTCGGTTCACCTTTGTTGGTTCCGGAAATGACTGGACGGCAACAGAAGATGCCTACGCTGCATTCAACCCAAGCAAAAAGAACAGGATGTTTGTGGATCATGAATGGGGTCAGTACACGCTTGACAACGTAGACTACACGTGGAATATCATCAAGCACACTCGCAAGGACAAGACCTTTAGTGGCAAAATTATATGTTGGGGAAACAAGGTGAAGCACTCATACCGCTTCTATGATCATGGCCTGCATGTCGGCTCTCCTGCATCCGCCCATAAGCCCTGCCTGCTCGACAATAATGAAAACGAGGTTATGCTCAAGAGCCACTATGCCACCTTACAAGGCTCTCCACTAAAAGCCCGCTGGGATATGGCTCAGTTTGGGTTCCTTGGGGCACAGTTTGTTCAGGTGCCGAATAAACGCATTGCAATATGGGTACGATGAGTTAGAAAGACTCAGAAGCTGAACATTGCTAATAACTGAGAAATGTTATTATTATTATTATCATTCACGTCTTTTCAAGACGCCCACACTTACTCAGGTTGGAAAATGAGCCAAAAAAAACCCAAAAGCGGGCGCTGTATTTAGTTTACTGACATGATAGTGAGTTTCTCTATTCTTCATACACTTGGGAACCTAACCCTCACGAGTAGAGAAAAATTATTCAATCCCTTAGTGGAAATATGGAGAAAAGACAGTTTTAAGAGATTTTTCATTTAATTTCCAATGATATACATGTAAACTCCTTATATCATTCAACATTACCCTGAAAAAAGAGCGATGCGAATGGCTAATACGTGTGATCGTGATTTAACACCAAATTCTCGACGCCACTTTGCAAAACATGTGTGAAACCTAGAGGAAGAATTACAGAACAGATACAGGGTTAGATTGCTTAATGTTACTTCTGTCGAGAGAGTGCATTTGGGCCATCTCATTAACATCATTTGGAATCTGTCTCAGTGGGTCCTCTCGCTATGAAACTGGAAATGTACAGTTTTTAGTTTGTGATGTTTGACTAACTAAACTTAGGCCGAGAATAAGCCCAAGTGTAAGTTGTGCAAGTTATAAAACGCAGAATATCCGATGAGATTCTGTAAATTTAGCTACAAAGTAAATTACTAAGAGGAATTAGCTTTATTTATTACTCATTAGCATTTCTGGGTGGCTAAGATAGTAAAAATAAGGTGGTCGCCTGTTTGTCGCCACTGGATCCTATTTAGTCTGTTTTGGCAGGCTAAAAAATGTTTAGTCCATGTCGGCATGTGCTCGAGTTATTAAATTTATCTATAGCCTTAGTTTTTTCCAAGTGAATAGAATCTGCCAAGCCATTTAATCCTTGATCGTGTGCCGGCTTTAGCAGATTTTCCCGGCTAAAGTATTGTTATAAGCGCATTCAATCCATCGACACGTTTCTTCTCAGTTTTGATGCATTGAAAGAACCCGACGGAAACTCTAAACCGCTAAATTTGAGGAAATGGCGTGGAAAGCTAAGTAGCCTAAAGCCACAAAGATCCTTTGGAAACATGTTACATTTATTTTAAGTACTCTGTTTTGATCAACATGACACATTAAACCGTAAGGAATATCATGGTTGCTCGGTTCTCTCAATGAGAAACAGCTTTTTTCAATGTCGCCGTGGACGGTCTTTGACGAAGATTGATAAGGTATCTCGGCGCAGTCATAACATCTTAAACGTCTTAAGGGTATAAAGCATATTAAATCTATTATCTTAACTTTGGTGGTGACCTTCCATATCCCTTGAAGGTAAAACTGTATGACACCAAGCCGTGAACGACTCTGATAAAAAGTAAATTGGCTGTAACGAGGATGAAAATGTCTAAGTTCATAAAGCAACCTATTAAGTTCTGACCGAAGGCTCATTAGGCTTAGGCAAAATTCTAATTTTGATCCGGAGCGGTCTTTTTAAAGCGTGCCGGTTATCAAGGCAATCCATCATATCGCCAGAAAAATGATATATCTCCAATTGTCTTCAATCAGTGCTCAGTGCCGGGTTGTCGCCAATTTTTGGCAAGAGCCTCTGAGCACATGTATATCCAGAATTCAATTACGAAATGTAATTAAAGCTTCGTGAGCGATTGTTTATACAGACACAGGATTAGCTTGGCAAATGAATTATGTCTTTATACAGTTATGCATATCCTTTTCCACTGGTCCTTCTTATCGCCGAATGCTGATTCCAATAGGCGCCATACTAAAGAGTATCTAGCCTAAACATCATTCTTTAATGAAAAATTATCGCGAGAAGAGATAATACTTCAATTATAACTCTGTAACCATTATGTAATTAGTATTTTTTGAATAAGGAATGTCGTCTTTACAAAACATAGGAAGCCGAAACCTAATGAAGGATTAGGTGATTATGTATACATGGTTTTATTTAATAATTTGCAGCAGTAGTCTATGTCTGACAGATCTATTTTTTCATTTTTCTAAGTGAAGTCCAATTAATTATTGCCTTTTGGCGCTGTTTTCAGTGACCTTGGATTTCTTTACAGCCTTTCTTCGACCTCTCATGCAGACCTACTTTCGGTCTAAACTGTTTGTAACTTGTGGAAAAACAAGCAGGTCGTTTCCCTTCTAATTAAAATAGAAAATCTTGTCAAGAAAATCCTTTTACCTTCCAATCAAAATGTTCATAAAAGAAAGTTTCATGTGCTGTGCATGAATCAATGTTGCCCCTTTTGTAAGCCATATGGTGGAAACGGAATGCTCAGCGCGGTGTCACCTGTAATGTACAAGAGTATTTATTTCAGAAAAACCACCAGTTCGCAGGGTTTCTGATCAGCTTCCCAGCTGTTAAGTTATCCTTTGGTATGCAGTTTCGCCTCCTCTGTTTACCGAAAAATTTCCCCTGATAGACTTTCGGCTTGGAGGGGGGTTAAAATAGTACAAGTTGCTGGAACTGGATTTAAAGGAGAAGTAAAAAAGCCAACGTTCGCAACTCAAGTGAGCCTTCACTTTCACTTTTCCTTCAATATGTCACCCTGAAATATGGCGGGGAATAACTATTTACGTCTGCTGTCATAAGTCAGCCACAGATGAGACAGATAACGAAAATTGTTTTAAACTCAATAAACTTAAGTGGGGTGACGTTTTTTGTTACAGGTAGCACATAGTGAGTATTGTCGGTCTAAGTTTTCCACAACTAGGTGCCAAGAAAATAACGATGTAAGAAATCTTTCTTTTGTTATTGTTGGTTTTAACCTTAAATCAAAAATCGGTGAGAGTGGGGAAATTGTCACGAATGCTTATCAACTTCTATTCGAAACATTTGCAATATGCTGTAGGCGTTTCCGATGCAGATCTCATTAATATCAAGGTGGCTCCATTAAGTCGGCTGACTGCAAAACTTGCAAAATATGCTTCATCTGATTTCAGTAAACATTTCTAAAAAAGGTAACCGTAAATCACTAAGGGTGAAATATCATTTGTTTTGATAACCCTATATTCTATCTGTGTGCTAAGGTTGCCAATAACAAAGTAATTAACGGAATATATCATGAAAGCTTTATCTCTTTTCCTCAAATCTAAAAGTGGAGAAGTATCTCTTTTCACATGGTGTTGTCCCTGACAAGCAAATGTCGCCTTTTAGAAGTGTTTTAATAAAATAATGATTTCTCCTTTGCACAGAAGAGCCACTCTAAAAGAAATACCATCGAGCTCGCGATCCAAGCACATAAGCTTCCTTCAGTTTATCCTCTTTTCTGTAAGAAAAAATAAGTAAAAAAATTCCTACGGAGCGTTTGCTTTCATTGTTTGCTATTACCTTTGTTCCTCGGCCTATGCGGCTTAGGTAAGAGTTTATCCCTAATTGGGCAACACACACCGTGATAGTTGGTGAGTTCACGATCAGGTTTGTTTTCAAACTACTTTTTATAGTTAAATGAGCTATCGTGAATTGCGAGAATGAGTCCTTCCATTGTGTGCCCCGTGAACCAGCTAAGAAGATCAATTCGCCAATTTGTACACAATTTTGCTGACAAAGCATGTAGATCACTTCATCACAGCCTTTCTTCATCTAAAGTCAGGGCCATGTTTTTCAAAGCGGGGTTAAGATAACCCAGGGTTAGTGTAAAATCTGATTTCAGACTAAAAGTTTTAGTAGAAAATTTAGTATAATTCTTTTTTTCTGTAATTTGATGATTGAATGCTCTTAAAAATAATTTTTAAAATTTAACCCTGCCAATCGGCCTTCGAACACCGGGACTTCACGCAGGCGCTGAACTTTGGACATAAAGCCTCTTGTTATTCAGACTACAGGTGCACACATAGAAACCACAAGCAGGAAAAACTAGATTTACCAAGAAACCATATAGGATATTAGTTTGTGTCCTTTACTGCTTCCATAACATCCATAGAGCCTTTAAAGTGTGGGCTTTCGCTTTAAGTGCAAGGAACTTTGTAACAGGTGTTTCTCTTGCCCAAGACACAGCAGAACTTTTTTTAATGTCCAGAATCGTTTATTTTGTACTGATTCAACCTGTACAGCGAAATCGTTTATTCGCATCTAAGATTAATTGATGCTTTTCTCCAGTCTAAGATCTATTAATTATTAAAGTCCATCCATCGGCCAAGATCTCTTTCTTTTCGACTGCCTATTTGAGACAATTTCTTGCCCACAAAACTAACCAATTTCTACTTACATCCTTACATCACTTCGTGTTCCCCTAACACCACATCTCTTTGGGCCGATGTATTTTTCATCAAAATCTATATTTAATTATGAGTTAATTAACTGACTAATTCTTGAGAATAATCAGAATATAATTTCCATTCGCTACATCTCTACTTCTATGAATAAACAGTGAAGACAAAAGGGAAACTTATTATGTCATGCTTGATGTCACCTATACATGACATCGAAACTCATTGAATGGTATGCTGAAGATAGTATATAGATCACCATAAGAAATGGCAATTAGGAAAATGAGATTGAGCTGAAGAGTGACAGATTTGCAGAAAGACGCAAACGGACGAATTAACATTATCTGGCCATGTTTCACATGCTTCCCTTTAATTGTCTGGGCCATAATAGTAAGACCTCGGTTATTTACAGAAAAATTAGCGGGCAATCCGTTTTGTACAATACGCATACTGGCAATGAAGCTCCTGTAAACTTTCATAACTTGTTGTATATTTTACAATAGTCTGTGCATGCCAGATAAGCATCTTTCACAAGCGATCTCTCTTTTCAGTTTATAATGGTCGGGTGTAAAGCTATCTAACGGAACCACCATTGTTACTTGGAAAATGTGATCTTGCACTGGCTCATGTTCGGCGTTAGTGAGAGCTTCCACATCTCAATCAGAAATAAGCTGACATTTGCCAACCCTAAATTCATTTGTTTTATCAAACTGTAAGCTCAGCTTCTTCACTACTTCTTTGGGCAGTTTAAGCTTTCTCTCCAGTCTCCTGAGTCGCATGGGACGTCTCCTACTGATGCAGGTGAAACCTTGTAGGCATGGGCAGGAAAAGGCGAATGATACGTCCTGGAGGGAAACAAACGTCAAGAAAAGTTCTGACAATTAAAAATTCCCAGAAATCTAAGAGGCACAGAGCTATTTGGAGAAAAAAGGTGCCAGACCAAACTTTCTGTTCAGTTTTCGATTTCCAAGCGGTTGAAACTTGTTGATTTCAACTCAAAAAGAAAAGGATAGCCTCTTCCTGCGGCAGATTGGTAGGACATCATTTCACAGAAAAGGACCAAAAGTGAGTAAAACGTATTGTAAAACGCATTTGAAATATTTAGGCAAGATGTTAAATAGAATGGCCATATAAGTCAAGCGTAGAATCGTTTTCCTGAAAACGCCAAAAAAGAATTAATGACGCCAATCTCTGGACTTACCTCTGCAACACAAAGCTCTCCAGGCAAGCGGTAGCCCACGCATAACCCTAAATCCTTTAAGCAACACCTTCCCTTTCCGCAATCTGCAGCATGACTGCAATTTGAAGAGAATGGACTTGGGTCCTCAGGAACATCCTTTAAAGCTCGGGCAATGCATACCCCGAGGGCAGACTTCAAGTTATTGTTTGGTCCAAAGCCTCTGGATTTATCTCGACTCCGCATTCCGATGAGAAAATGACAGAACTCGGTCATTTTGCAATCTGCATGGGAATTACAGGCATATGCACTTTTTCGAGGAGGGGAGGTTACGGCAGTTGTAGGCAGTGGCAGGCATAATCTGGTCAAGTTATGGCAGAAATCTCCCTGGTTTTCACAGTCTGAGTCACTTTTGCAACCAGCACGTGGTGGAGAAGCCGTTGTTTCGAAGAATATTGTGAGGTTTGGTAGGCACAAGTTGAAGAAGTCGTGGCAATATTGGCCATCAGGGCACTCAGTACTGTTTTTGCACTTGGGTACCCTTATCTGGGGTGCAGTCGTGACTGTCGCAGGAATATGAGGATTATCCACACATCCAAAAAGGGCGTGACAAGACTGACTTTTGCCGCAGTCTTTGTCACTTTTGCAAGGGATGGTTGGCTTTTTTTCCACCTTCAGTTTCATTCTGCTTTTCTCTTGAGGCATAACAAAGCAAACATTTAAAAATGTGTGGCATACCTCGCCTTTTTGACAATCTCGGTCTTCTCTGCATTTTGGGGTCTTCTTTTTCGTCGAACCGGGTTCCGTGATATCATTTCTTTCCTGTGAAAAGATACAATAGTAACACTGTTCAGGCAACGATTTGACAACATTCTACAGGCTTTCATACCGTTGATTTGATCGAAGGGACTTGAAGCCTACCCTCACTTGTTTCTCGTGCTACGGTTTCGTCAAAAGCCAGGTGGAAAGTTGAGTTAAGAGTTGCAATTATTCGTTGAACAAAACTTCAAGAGGGTACCACATATCAGACACTCAGTTCCACCTACCACTGACTAACGAACTGTTTTTAAAAACTACTTGGAAGATAGGGTCCCCTGTTTTATCGACATAACTCGCGAGACGCATTCAACTCTCCTGGATGGGATGCTTATCCATAGCATGCTACTTTGACTTGGATATTTCGTTTGTTACCCCTTACAATTCCCTGACATTCATCTGTATTCCTTGATGGAGGGAGACAACGTGAGATAAAGTGTCTGGTCTCAGAATACATAAAGAGTCAAGTGCGCCACCCTTTTGGAAAGCTCCACCAAAAATTATGACATATTCTTTTGGTTTTCGTTTTGTAAACTAGCCATGACTTCCATTATCGATTTTGAGTAAACATTCTTTGAATTTCATTACAAATAGTAACCCTTTCGGGTTTCACTGAATGATTTTGGTTCCTTTGGGCGAATCACACCATCATTGTATCAGGATGGATAATCATGTGTTCCTGGTACCGAAATGAGAACGCCACAATTTTAGAAGGAACATCGACCGCTGAAAAAGGCTGCCAATCAACTTCCACAATAAAATGTTGTGGAAAAAGACGATTGATTGAAATAAAAAACGAAAATATCGGGTAGCATGGAGCTTTTACAACTTTAACCATTTAAAGATTTTGTGAATTATCTCAGAGTCAAAATAGAAGGTTCCGACCAGAAAAAAAGTGCCGCAAACTAAGAAGGTGCAAAAATTTTCGACCAAAGGCTCAGTAAATAACTCCGGAACAGTAATCGAATCGAAGGGAAACCACTTCGTTGAACTCTATTTTTTGTCGGCCCTTTTGCGGGGTGAGAAATAGCGCTATAGGATTTAGTTGGATTACTGATTAGAACTCGCTTTTTCCGACCGTCATGAAACGACTGTCATTTTAGTTGAAGTTTCCTTGCCCTTGGATACATTTCAACGACAGTGCATTTTCATAAAGCTCTTTAAAAAATTTCCTTTTCCACCCGACTCCTCTACGCGGCAATGACATTTGATTAAAGTGCACAGCGACCGCCGTTTTATTTCCTTATTTCCGGTCAGTTGTTCTCATCTCCTGAAGACTCGTGCCATTTTCAATTTCCCTTGAAGATCCGAGTCATCGAGAGTCAACGGTACCTGTCTTAATTTTTTCTTTCGCAAAGTTGATGCTCGCTTCCGACCTTTAGTATAATCATTTTGAGTTAACAGGATAGTTCATATCTTTGAAGACCATTTGTAACAGCACTAGATGTTTCCCTAAAGATGAACTAAAACATGAAACAATTGCAAAAGTAAAATTAAGGAGGTAACAACAATTTGCCTGATTTCCATTTAACTTTTCTTTAAATTAAAAAATCTAAATAAAAAAAAACAAGTGTCTAAGTCATAAACAACTAATGATTTGAAAATATTTTAAATTTGTCCGAATTTCTCCTTATTTGTTCAATCATCCCCCACCCCACCCCCCACCCCCCATCCACACACACACAAAGAAAAAAAAACAGCACCAGTGACGATTTTATAAGGGTTGTGGTGAGTACAGTTGTCGAAATTCTTCGATAGAGTTTTGTTTTGTCTTCTTTGACCACAAAGAAAAATTGAACTCTCCAGACGGTAAACCAATGGGCGCATCGATTGATTTAACGATTTTGGAGGTATGAGAAGTATGTCAAGTACGCTAGCGGAGTCCATTGACGCGTGATACTGTACGAAAATCGATTCAACCGTAATGGAAAGCTTTGAAGGATCAGATAAGATACATGAAAAATTAATTTCGAACTATGATTAGAGATAATTATCTCTATCTTATAAATTTTGATGTATTGCATTCTCCCCAAAGAAAACTGACTACTAGATAGAAATTGATACCATGACATTGAAGCAAAAAGTAGTACGTGTATTAAAGAATCTTGAAGCACTGATTTTCGTCGCTCGACAATCATGATCCAAAATAGACAGCCAGGAAGCTTATGGCACTTCAGGTTGATAAACAGTAGACAATCTTAAGGGCCACTTAGAAATTGCATAAAAGCCTGATAAAAGGGTTGTCGAGTGTTGCACCAAAATAGCTCACCGCGCCCGCCAACATAATGTCTCAAGAGAATATTCTTTGTTCTACTGTGTAAACATTTATAACAAACCGACAGGCTAATTTTTGTGACTAATGATTCGGTTCTTTATGGCTTTACAAACGGACACGCACGAGGAGAAGTCATTGAGCTCGCTCGCAAGTAATTAAACACTTTTGTGGTTTATCTGGCTAACATTCGGTATTATTACCAATGATACAGTTATGTGTCGAATTTTTTGAAAGAGCGGAAGACGCAAGGTAATAAACGTAACTTTTCCTCTTTCCCTAATTATTGATATATTCAACCAAAATTAGAAGAAACCGTCAAAATACTGGTTTCTTTATTTAAGATGGTCTTCATGAGCTATGCTCTCTCGTCTCAATGGCCTCACACGAAGCACGCATTTTATGGAAAGCTCGTTGCAAAACGAATTGAAATGACATTAGCTAGTTGTGACATACCCATGATTACGCCATGTGAAAGTCTTTCGCAAGAGGGAGAAAATGCAGTAACAATATGTCATTCCAACAACAAGAAAACTGCGTTTGTTCAGCCCATGAGGTCATTTCCATAACGAATTTGTGCGCAGTAGATGTGCAAACTGCAAAGCTGAGTAAAACGAAACACGAATAGAAAATTAGCCAAGAAACAACGAAGTCTATCTCCTTACCTCTGAACTGTTTATATCCCTGTCACTTTCCGCTAAAGCTGCCAAAGTGGAAGAGATTGTCAACAGAGCGAGAGCTGTGAGACAAGTCGTAGAAGTCATCTCAAGACTATTTACAAACACTCTTGAGAATACTTGAGACGAGTGGTTCCTTATGATTTACGATGGAACAAAGTTAATCCGTGTAGATGTCTTGAAGTTCGTTCTGCCCTTCAGTGTCGTGGAAACGAGGCGTGTTCGGCAATCTGACCTGGTTCCAACGACAGTTTCATTCCCTGACACTTCGCCGACGAGATGCGGAGACTTGACAATGATTTTAATTGATGATCAGAGAGATTTGTTGCCCACTGTACTTTGATCTCCCCGGCCCTAATCAAACATATGATTAAGAAGAATGACATCTCCTTTTTTAAGTGTGTTGTTTGCTTAACTACTTCCAAGCTCAGTTAATTAAAACTACTTTTCTGAAAGTCTACAGTGATTCGCTAATCATGTTTACCTTACAAAGAAATTGCTTGATGGCCGAGAAGATTCAAAGCGTCAAAACTTGAAAAAAAAACTATTTTTATCAAGCAGAATCACATCAAGTTTTTAGCTCAATCAAGCGCTGACAGGACTACTGGTTTCATTTTATTGGAGATAAAAGATTTCAAAAGATTTCGACATCTCTCTTTCTCAATTTGAAATGTAAACTGCCATCTGTTGGATTGACCCCACACTTGATGACTTTAGCAAAGAAGTGCAAAAACTTATGATCGCCGATCGGTAAATTATCCGGTGAGGTGATAATGGACACGTTTTAGTTTATTTCAAGATGATGAAATTTTTATTTGGGTTTGTTAGTCCATAAGTAGTTTTTCCGACGGCGGGATCCGACCGGGTGCACGTCTTCAAGGCGTAGGAAAGGCGTTTTCACAGTATATCCGCCGAGTTATTGGGGTTGCGTGCACAGTGGCACGCTGTGCCCCTATAATATTCTGTTCTATAGCAATTTCATTGCATCCGTGAATGAAGGTTTAAGGCCACAATGCCAATATTACGCTTTAAAATGCTTTATGGATAAAATTTTAGAGTGAGAGTTAAGGACAAAATTCCGTATTTAACGGATGCGTGCTTACGAGGGTGTGTTACTTTGGTACGAGGGAGTGCAAACGGCGCCATAACTGCCGCGTCAAATAACGACTGATTTTCCCTGAAGCCCTCAAATACGTTCGCCTAATGGGAGCCAAATTTACGATTAAGAGTCATTCATCTCTCGATGTATATCCAAACATCAGTAAGGTCATCACTTCCTAACATGTATTACCCCGCACTTCTCGTTGCCACAAACGCCAATTTCACAACTGCTGTAACGGCCAGGAAATTCCGACCATAAGACAGTTCGGAATCTGCTAAAATGCCGAAGATCTAAGAAACCAAAGAGGTGATAATTACACCAAAAGCCGCTTTCAAGGATGGTTAATCGTTGAAAAAGGGAAACGCCTCTCACGAAATTAAAAACTTCAATCTTGAACTTAAAATTTTTCAGCTAACTTTTTCGAGATGCAGGAATATGATGACAAACGATCTAGTTAAACCTGTTACTTTTGTCTGCCACTGGGATCAATGGGTGGTCTTTCATTTAGGATAAAATTGATGTCTTGCTCCTCAGTACTCAACACGATTGGAAGGCAAATACTGCCGTCCTCTAGGTCGATTAACTTGTAGCTTTGCCGAGTACATAGAGTACTAAGGTTTTTTTTTAAAGTGACACTAAGTGGAGCTAATGAGGAGAGGAAAGTAAATAAACGGAAAAAGGCCCGGAGAGCCCTCGGCTTTACCGCTCGATGAACTTCAAGACAAAAAGGCGTTGCTTCGACAAAATTGCACACTTGTTATTTCTCCTGCATGTAATCGAAGCTCTCAGCATCTCTGCTTTGTATGTAACTTTGGAGACACGAGAAGCTAATATCAATTAAGCATTGAGAAAAGATGACCGGAAAATAGACCAATTAAAATTGATAATACCTTACTGTCTCGTTAACGAAATTTTCATCACCGAACAACTTTTTCATCAAAGGAATGTGTTGAGGTTCTAATATTGGTAAACGTTGACGACTTAGTGTGCCGCCGGCGAAACCACAGCAACTGAAACTTACTATAAACTTCTGAAAGCGATATTTAGAGTTTCAAATGAGTCGCACCATTGACAGAAATTCAGTATCATCTTAAGTGGATTTTGTCAGGGTAAAATAATATCCATTGAACAATATATTATTTATATTCACATGTCTCTACATACCCTAAAGAAAATTTTCAAGGAAACTTTTCGCCGTCAGTAATTGAGACATTTGTTTACGTTACTCGTTCTTTCAAGCAACTACTCGGCGAAATGAAATATATATGCATTTTCCATAATTTTGAAAAGTCCTTTAATAAACTACTCCTAAACTGTGAGTGTGACAAAAGCTTCAGAGAACCTTTTCCATTGCAAAATAATCGTTATCATTCGGCGTCCGGCGTTGTATTGGAATTTGCGGTCAACCAGTTTCCCATAATAACCGCTATATGGCTAAAATAAACGTTGTAGTTCATGTTTTTTTTCAGGTTATTTTGATTCGCTTCCACCTTGGATCAATCTGTTTTGATTGTAGAGGATAATTGTTCCAATTCAGATGTTACAAAAGTTAATGAATGAATTGAAACATTTCTTCTTTAGTGATTGTTAGAGTTATCTTCACACTCAAACGGGTTGACCTGGGCTGAAATGAATTAACCTCAAAATATTCTGAGCTGCAGTCGGGTTATTTTCGACTAAGGTAAGAGAATCTGCTTCTCTGTATCGATTTTCGACGAACACACGATCAACAATTTTCACAGAATCCAAAGTTGTCAAGTTCTCAGTAGTATTAGCCCACTTCTTTAGTGTATCTTGAGGTGAGCCTCTCGTATAAATATCCATTTAGGAAAAGGTCAATTAGTCCTTATGTTCCGGCCTTTAGCATTTGTATCGTGAGTTATTTTCCTACATTATGAATCTAGATTATTCATTTTTCGTGTCCATGATTCTAGATTCATGCAGTCTTATAAATCTATAAATAATGTGTTTATTCATTTATCAGTTGTATTGTTCGTGTCGCGAATTCTTATCATTTTCTTTTGCATCATTATTCTGCATTGATATTCATATCGGAAAAGCGCCATAAACTAACATCGCTGTTCGTTTGATATATCTTACCGCCTGTATGTATACAAACACCCTCCTCTTTTTAAGGAGAATGTCTGAGAGGGATAGATCGGCTCTGTATTCACTTTTGAAATACACCGACGTTATTTTCGGAACAACGGCACTCGTGGAACCTAGATTAATCAGACAGTTCATTGAACAGTGCAGTCATTAAAACGCTCGTCGTAAACTCCCTTGCAATATTCAATTTAAATAACACACAAAAAAACAAGAAGTGAAAACGCCTCAGACTATATCGGCGCAATACTAAATTGTTCCACCTTTTATGTTTACAAACTGAAAAAATTGTAAAGGCCAATCGAGATCCAAAGAAGAATTTTGTAGTGAGTTATTCACGCTCGTGTCATTGCAACACTTCAAATTGACAACTGCGTTAAACCCATTTTCTTATGCTTTCCCCATTTTAACTTTCTCGCGCATTTATGTAAAAATGTTCGTGGTACTTTTATTATTTTTGTATAATTTTAAAAAGAAAAAAGCTTAGTAGCTCTTACGCTCTTAGCGCAACGAAGCCTAAAAACCCTGTCACTAAAAATATAAAAAATATAGTAGTCCGACTTCGGTGAGACAATGACGACGAAAATCCAGTCGATCAACAAACATAATCTTTCCGGAACAAAGACGGGAAAAATTTGCTTTCGTTCTTACCTTTGTTTGTTCTACGTCGGTGAAAGACTTAAGTTGTACCTGTGTCATGAACCGAAGGACAAAGGTAGTATACAATTGAACTGAAAAGATGAAAACATTGCAAAGGAGAATTGCTCTGATGCTGTAAAACGTCCGGCAAATATTGTTGTTAAATTACCTGACATCCGGCTTCTGTAAGTGATTTCTTATCGGCAAAAATTTTGCTTTCCTGAACGTTCTTAACTCGATGTGAGCGTGCTTTAAAAAGAATTGGCATTTACAGTATATAAAAAACACGTTTTTAACCTCTAAACGGCGTTTGTTTTCGCAAAATAAGTGAGGAATACCGAATTTAGATGATTTTACTACTTAAAAGTGAAGCACACACTTACCTGGTCAGAAGGGATCTCCTCTCTATTGCCCAACACTTTAAAATGTGAACTTTATCCTAAACGACGAGGAATAATACTGTCTGTCTACTGAATATGCTGCTTAAAATGTCTGACGTAAAAGCGTCACGTGACAGAAAGCGCGGGAAACCTAGAAGCGTAAGGCAATTTGTGAAGAAAGAAGTTGTTACGTTCATAACTTACTCAGTCATAACCTCGACTGTAACTGGATACGACGGGAATGATATTGGCATAGAAGTGTAGCAGATATTGACCATCTCGCGCTTTAATCATGAAATCTCTGATTCTGATAATTCTCGCTACCATTCATGATATGCGGAGAACAATGCAGTTGGAGACAACAAAGCAATATCAGACACATGAACAAATGATACATGTTAGATGTTCTTTACTTAATTTAGATAAGAACACAATTATTTACCAGCTCTCCATTTGTGCACAATATTCAACTAATAGATATAGCATTATACGGGAAGACAGACAATCACCAGTCACTCATGTGATCATTACAAATGAATCATTACCCTGATTCGTGATGATTTTTCAATTGTTCAAATGTTTGTAATAATTTAGGGATTACGTGATGTTTGATACTTGCGGCAATGTTAAGTAATTGTGTTTATGTTTGAATGCCACAGTTTGTAAATTTGTGTTTCGGTCGTCATGGAAATTAAGATTTTTCATGGAGACTATTTTTCCTAAGTTGTGGTAACGCACCGGAAATGCCCATCGTAAATTGCCGCTACTTTTCGTCGGGTGACTATTTTTAATAAAGTATTGTATGGGTATAACACTGAAGTTCTCCACGATCTGGGGGAACTTTTTTCCATAAGAATCGTGTGAAAGCAGTTTTTCACGTGCTAACCTGGGACTTAAATCAACTTTGTGAGATGTTTTTTGTTCTGGCTTGAATTATACCAGCTAGCTATGTGTAGCCCACGCATTGCTAATCAGTGGAGTGTTCTAGAACAAATAAACTGACTCGCCCTCTGGGTCTAGTTCTGTCTGGAATAAACCAATTTGGTATAAATCCACTAGTGTTCTATCACAATTACTGCAATCTGATTGGCTCAACTACTTGCTATTTATATTTAACAAAAAGATTACGTTTTAGCAGCACCTCGTGTGCCACCTTCTCGTTCTTACCGCACTGACGTCATTGATCTATGACTGAGCACTGAGGGGGACGTTTTCATATTTTCTATTTTTCTTATATGATAATGAAGCAAAATTGTGGATGGTGACGTCATACATATGCGTCTGTCCTCCACTGAGTCATATAGAAGAATGAATCAAAATGTGTAAATAATTCAGCTAACTAAATAATCTGTAATAGACATGTACAGTAAGTAACGTATGTAGCCTAACAGTATGCGATTGTAAACAACCTGAAATAGAAACACGATCCCATTGACTAAAAGACTGGTCGACATGCAGATTTATACGAAAACAATCGGATTATTCGCTCTGACTCGCTCTCGATCGATGTCTTTGCGTGGTAGTTGATTTGTATGTCGTCTTCATCAAACAATCACTGACTCAGTAGAAACCTCAACTTCATAATCTCACCGTGAACTTAAACCCATAATAAACAGTATTTTAAAAAGTGTCATACGTAATCAACACAATCCAACTGGAATGATTTAGATGTTAGTCACTAGCTTTTTAAACATTAGATCGAATGAGACAAGTTTTCCCTCAAAAGTATTTAATGAACGTTTTATAGCATACTCATGGCCACTCATGATGACTCAGGTTTTTTTTTTGTTTGTTTGTTTTTTCTTTTTCTCGCAAATTGACTTCCTCGCTTTGTGAATAGCGTGGTTCAATCCCAATTTTTTTTTTGGTCTATTTTGAAATTCGTCATGACATTTTTACATCACTTATTAAAAGTTATTCGTCCTTTTTTGTTCATCTCCTTAGTCCATTCCTTCTCTCTTTATTTAGGTCGAGCTTGAAATAGTAACTACGTCTGAAATTTTCGTCAAAATCACTCAGGCTGTTTATATTTTGCGGACCACGCCTCTCTCTATCCTAAGAGAAACATTTCCGCAAACGTCACTAAGGTTGTTTTAAGTGCTTTTCACAGACAGCATTTACCTTCTGACAGACCCTCACATTCTCTGTTACCTAACTAATTTGCAGCTTAGCACAAGAATAAAGTTCAATCCTGCTAGTATTTTACCAAGTCCATAACAACCGCCCAGACAATAGAATTACCTACTCTGTTTACCGCTTAAGTACTCACATGGCACATCAGATCAATACAGACAGACAAGACAAAAACAAACAAGAAATTAACGTTCTTATTGTTTTTCATGACCTTTCACTAACTTCTTAAAAAAGTTATATCAATGACTCAATCAGAATCAGGAACGAGAGTAACGCTACAATTTTCTTTATTTGTCAGTTAGCTTGAAAGTGCTGAGTATAATCAGTATTGGCTCTGAATCTCTAACGCGCCATCTTATATCATTAGAGGCGTTATGCCTTCTGATCCCTTTGTTGGAATAAAAACTCACTCGAATTTTCTTACTTTCTTTTCAAGCATAACTATTGCTGTTGCGATTAAAACTTGAAGCAGAACTCCCGCCGGGTATCGATTTTTTTTGTATGCCCTTCCAAAAACTAATACGTTCCGTTTTGCGACCATTTTAACCCACGGGCTAAAATTCTCTCTTAGGCCGATAACTCACCTTGTTACAGCACTTACGCCATGTTTCCCCATACAACTACGAAAGACTTACGCCTTGCTCCTGTCTACAGAACCTGACCCTCCCTAATCTTACGAACGCCGTGATTCCTTTCGTTGATAAAGAACGTCATTTGGGTTTTGTCTTACCTCTTGCCCTTAGATTCCGACAGCTAACATGCGTACACTATAAATCCATATTAACACCTAACTTGACTTCACTTGGTTTCGGGCTTTTAAGTGTTTTCATCGATAATATATTTATAGTTTTATGTACCAATTGGGCATTTTTTTTTAGAATCCAATATTACTGATTTCAACATGACTCAAGATTCAAAAGGATTTTCATGAAAGAACAGCCACTGCAAGGTTATATAATTCTCACGGGGAGATTTCATTTTCGTGGCAGTGTTAAAAAGCGCCCTAACCAGAAGCTAATTTTAGATTCAAGCGTTTCTATTTTGAGCTAAATTTCAAGGTCACATATTTCTGAATGAGATGTAAATAGTATTTGAAATGTTAGACTATCCACTCTGTATTAACTCGTTGTTACTTAAATCCATATTGGTTTGATATTTGAGAGTTCAACTTAACCCTGTGACCACCACGGAGGGTAGCAAAGCGGGCGCCCTGATCCCGTTTTCATCGCTCAAATTTTAGAAAAATACACGCGTCACATGTACTTTAAACAGTATTTCACGCCTCACGAATTTAAAAGGGAAAACATAAGATCTCACCTTACCTTGCCTTTCTGTAAAATCATCGTTTCAGTTGTTAATGTTGGACTTCACAAGCGTCACATATAAACTCTTTGCCTTCCTCACATGCACGCGAAATCTAACCTTCTCCCACCGAGCACTTTTTAAAGTACCCTAAAGTTTGACCATTTCCGGTAAGTGACTGCCTCCCGGAACTCGTCACCATCGTACGTGACTCCAACCATTTTTATTGTTCCAAAAATTATTCTTAAGACTCTAGGTACTTTTATTTGTTATTTAACCCCGGCACGAAGGTAGAAGAACAATGGTACCCCACACTCATGAAAGATTAATTCAATTTAAAATTTTCTGTCCAATTAACTAAAACATCCATCTTAAAAAAAATCTCTCAATTGTTCTACTCTCTTACCTACTCAGTCTTATAAGGGTTTAATTGTTTTCATTTTATTTATAGGCCTCTGCATTGGTTAAGTCTCGATTAAGAATAAATGTTATTAAGTATTCAATATTGTAGATTGTGATGCTTGAAATGTAGAAAATCGCATGTCGCTTCAAGAAAGGCTGGAGCTCCCAAATGTTTCTCATGTGCATTTTTTTCTTGGACGATCAAGCGCAAAATTTCATTGCTAGAGTCCTTGAAAGTGCGTCGAATGTATTGTTTCCTTACTCGGAACTGATTAGATTAAGTGACCACCACAAACCGTATAATATTAAGCCAAGCTTTAATAATTATTCGATCTAAAAGAAATACATTTATAATTCGCAATTAGAACAAACGCAAATCAAGTCTTTATCTTGTAACTAAATTCAAAAACTTCAATATAAACTTACTTCTGTGGCGGGTCGTTACAACAGTCTCACTTTACGGGTTAGCAGATTCTCCAGGTAAGCGGATTTAGAGACAGAAAAACGATAACAAAATAACTTCTTTCTCGCTTCGGTTCTGCTGAAAAACTGACTTAAAACATAATAATCTAACGCTTTTAAATCAATCTATTGAATTAATGTCAATCACGATTCTTGTCATCGGATAAATCTGTCAACACGAGGCAACGCCTATTTATTAAACGAAACATGTATCTACTGCAAAATTAAACAGTTGCCTCAAAAAAGCATTTGAGAAAATTCGACTAATTCGATATTTTGACCTGAATAAGGTCTTTCGCACGGATTATTAAACTATGGTAATTATGATATCTTATCTTTGCCGATCATTTTCAACTACGTGTCGTTAACTCGTTAGTCATGGAAGGTAAAAAAAAAAAAAAAAAAGCACCGGCACAAACCTGGTGACAACATAGGGTAGGAAAAGGATAAAGTATGAAGTATGGCTAATGCCAATGTACCCTAACTTGCTCTTGACGATACAAAAGGCTGTTGTGTCGAGTGACAACTCCAAGACACTTTTTCCCCTTTATTTTCGTATTCAGTCTCTAACCTCTTTCTCAGGGTTCATCTTTTTATTACCAACTAAGGCAAGCTGGAACGACGGAGAGAGACTTTGGTTAGGTCTGGTTACGCGTCTGTCTGATTTTGACAGATTTTAAATGAGGGAGGGGTGGAAAAGTGTGCACTTAAATTACCCACTTTGTTCTTAAGTGGGTGAGAGAAATATTGCGCATTAAAACAAAAGCACGCGGATTTGATATCAGGAAAACAGTTCGAAATAAAAAATAAAAAACCAAGAGGAAATCCTCCAGGGACACCGTGAAAAGGTGTTTTGGGGAAATTTCCAGGGAAACTACGACCCCACATTATATTTCACGACTCGTGCACCTCTATTCTTATAATAATGTAACGATTGAAGAACTAAATACCGCATTTATTTCCCATGATCCGTAAGTAACGAGGCTGTTAGATTCAAGTCATAACAAACTTCTCCAAATGATAGCATAATTATTACGATGAAAGGATTTCTTAGTAAAAAAGGACGAGGTTACTCTGCTTAAGATTACAGGCGTGGTTACTCGGTAATCGAACAGTCAAATATGGCGGAGGATAGCGAGTTGGCTGCCATTCGTGCAAAGCGTTTGGAGGAACTACAAGGGCAATATGGGGTAGATTCTTTTGAAATAGCTATTGTTCACTTAATGATTTCTTTAACTCGCTCTTTCGTGAAATACAGGGTCAAAATGCGGCACAAATGCAACAGCAACAGGATGCCATGAAGAGGTTCGAGTTTGTTTATCTACCCCAATTGATAGTGTTAAGAATGTGATACGCGATTGTTTAATTTGGTAAAGTCACTCAGCATCTTTTCTGAAGTTGAATCTAACTTGTGCAATGTTGGTGGTTCACAAGAAAGGGTAAAATGTTCAGGGAGATTCAGTTTATAAAGCATGGGAACTGTCTCGACTCCTCAATTTTTGTCGTAGTTAGTAGCAGGCGTTGTGAGGGGCTATCTGGTGGGTACTTTATAGAGTTTCTTATGTGTGTTAGAGTGCATTCAAGCTTATATCGCATGCTTTTATGTTGGACATTGTGAGTGAAGCTCCATAACTGTAAGGAGTCGTGAAAAATCTGGTAAGACGAAAACTTTTCCCTGTCTCCTTCCCCCTCCCTTAGCGTAACAGTTCCCAACAAACCTCAAATTTTTTTTCCTTCCCTTAAAAATTTTAGTTAAAAGGAAAACATGGTAAAATTTCCGCACAGCCCCATACTATTGTAAAACAAATCTGTTTTCCCAATGGCAATGTATTGTTTTTGTCATTGTTTTTTCTATCCGAGAACTGAATGCATAATGTAGTAAGGGGCAGTGCGGAAATTTTACCGAAAACATTTTGAGATTTGAAATGAGATAACTCTAGTTGTTACTTCAATTTTTCAAAATTTTCGTGAAGCTTTAAACACTATGCCCACAATTTCTACTGCTTGATGCAAGCCTCAGCACAGTTTTGTTTGTGCTAAATCATTCCTCCTTACTCCTTTCCACCCAAAAGATACAGCAGAAAAAGCAGCTTGTATGTGCTTGTGAAACCAGCAGTAAATATCTTTTTCTCATCTAATTAGGGAGGCTGAAATGAAAAACAGTCTACTGTCACAAATACTGGAGCAAGGGGCCAGAGCAAGATGTTAGTAAATGGTGTAAAATGCTGTGATTCTCACTTGATAATTTTTTTGGAGCAATTTTTAACCAAGTGTCAAAAGTAATCTAGTAATGTATTGGTCCAGAAAACTTTGCATCACTTTCTCAATCATCAAAAGCAAACACAATACCAATTGCAACCTGGTTACCTAGGTTTTCTTAGGTGGTAAGTTTTTTTTTTTTTCTTCAAATTTGAATTCTTTTTGTTATACTTTTCTTCACTCAGATTGGACATTGTGATTTGTTTGATTTAAATCTTGTGACACAGAATCGAAAAAAGTGCACCATTATCTTAACCTTGATATTTTCATGCAATTCATTCTATAAATTTAAAAAGCTGATGTTTTGGCATTTGGTCGGATTTTTAAGAAAGGACTGGATAGGAGTAACCTGCACTCATTCACTTTGATGAAGGGCTAACACTCAGAACCTCTACTTTGAAACTCTTTACAATGGCCAGTTTACATTGTCAACTCAATTGATAATACTTAGTTACCCTGTTGTACTCTCCTACTGACACAGCACCAGAGTTTCTTCAGAATGTTACTCCCTTTAAACTGCAGTAAGTTTTGCCAGTAATGCTCTCCTTTACTGAACTTTGTAAACAGCTAAATGGCCTTTAAATGTTTAATTCTAGATTTTTGGTTTTTATTCAATCATCACTAACAAGTTTTTCTTATATCCCCATAGTGAACAGCATAGCATTGGTTAAACCTGAAAAAGCAAAAATGATGGAAAGTATGCTAATCCAAATGGCTAGGTCAGGGCAGATAGCTGGAAAGGTAACATTAGAGAACTAATAGTTTATATGTGTATGTTGTTTTTAAATAAATGATACAATAAACTCCTTCCATTGGGTTTGGACATAAAATTCCAGGAAACTGAGGTCAGCTTTATAATTTAACACATTGGCACATTGAGTACAACGCTTGCCTATCCAAAAGTTAAAATTTTGGAGGAACCGGAAAAATTTTTATTAATCATCTTTTCTGCAAAACAAGCTCTAGTGAAAGAAGACCAAGTAAATAAGTTATTTTCAAGGAAAAAAGTGATAGATGCTTATGAAAGCCATTTTTTCAACCTGAATTTATTTCTGTGACAAAAAATTCTGTTTCAGTTATCAGAGTCCCAATTGGTGAGTCTACTCCAGGAAGTTAGTGAGCGAACCCAAAAGAAAACCACAGTCAAGGTAACAAATCAGTTTTACATTCCACACTTTTTAATCGTTTACACCCTGAGACCAGTACACATAATTATTATTCTCCATACTGTTCGCTATACATTTCCTAAGGTGCTGACATGGAGAATTTGTTTAATAATCAAGTGTTCCTTCACACAAGCACAGTGTTTCTGAAGTTGGCAATCATTTCCTTTAGTCTTATGTCCTTAACGCGTCATCCAGGGGTGATATTGTGAGGAGAAATTAGATGGTAGTCACTCTTCTGGGTCAAAAGGTTAAAACTTGGATATTTAGGTTACTTGTAGATGCACTGCTGACGTATTTTTCCAAGTTTTCTACCTGAGTCTGCCAGTACAAATACGTGTAACTGTCTGTAGAGAAACTTTCCCTTTCAATCAAATCACACATACTAGACATTCTTAGATGCAAATTTTTGCATTACTGCTAGCAGATATCAATTCAGTATAACTTCACATTTTAAAGTTAATTTTATCTAACAATTAGTTCAATAGGAAGCGCCTTGATGATTCAGATGATGATGATTAATTTTAATTGAATCCCAAGTTGAAACCACTAGAGGTAAGTGACATATTTTTTTTCTGAGAATGGTCAAGTCTCTGAAATGAATGTATCATTATGCTCAAAGTATCATAGCTTATGCAATATTCACAGTAAAGCTTGAACATGTTTTAAAGCTATTTGTTGAATATGGTTTCAAATTATTTTCTTACCAGAAGGTTTCAAGCTGTTTATGGTAATGTCTATCCACTTCCAATCTAGAACTATTAACCTTTCACTCTCAAGATCTAATTAGTAATTCTCCTTACTGTCTGCCATACTATTCTTATGACGTTAGCTCAGAGAATTTGGTATTGGATCAGCTAATAATCCCATGATTGATATTCTTCTCTATTCTCATCACCTGCCTGCTTGATATTGTATTGATATTGTAAGGAGAAATTCTGTCTTGGTCACTTGTGGGAGTGAAAGGGTTAATACAGAATTTTTATTATCTGAGCCCTATCAAAAATCTAGTTTTTTTCTTACTCTTTGTTGCTGATTTTCATTCAGTTAATCCTTTCAACCCAAGATCTCCTAAATGATTCTCCTCACTATTTGTCATACAATTTTTATGATGTTGGTTCAGAGAATTTGGTGTTGGACCAACAAGTAATCCCCTAAGTGATATTTTTTTATTGTAAGGAGAAATGCTGTCCTAATCACTCATGGGAGTTCAAGGTTTAAATCTGGTTTGACTAAACATGTTTAGCTGGTGTGAATGGGGTAACAGAGTGTTTTAGGGCTTGAAATGTATTTTTACAATCATTTCTTTTTCTTCATCATTGGGTTGCAATTTTCTGGTGTGTGATATTACATCCATGAAATTTGTGGATGGTTTCCTTCTCTTGAAAAGTGGAATGGAACATTTTAATGCATTGTCCATACATTATCCTCAAGAGTTTTTTCTAATTTGCTAATAATGTCAAACTAAGCTCAGCTTATAAAAGAGTAACTGTATGCAAACTTATTACTCCAAGCCACCTTGAATTATTAAAAATTATGGTTGTAAAAAAAAAAGTAACAAACAGGGTGCTGTTTTGAATGCTCTGAATTCAAAATCATCCTCTTCAAGACCAAAAAAAAATTCATAGTCAAAGATAATAACAATATATTTTTCTTCTTACTTCTTACATAGAATAGCACAATACCACAATAATGAAAGCTATGATACCTTGAATGGCGCTGACTTGGAATCTGACAAGGAATTATCAAGAGGAGATTGAACTTTACCAGAATCTCACTGACAGATTTAAGCTGTTCAGTTGAGCTTGTCTTCTTATATGTAAAACCTAAGAGATATTTGTTTATTGCTTGAGTGTGAGAAAATACTACATAGAATTTAGAACTGAAGAATGTTGATGCCAAAAGCTTTGCAGATGGGATGTGTTTGCTCAGTTAGTTTGTAAGGTGTGATGATATTAATAAGCCAAATGGTGATGTGGATGTTTTTTATGGCATTCTGATCATCTTTCAAGTACAGATATTCTGAAGACTAGTGCAAAGGTGTTTTTTAATTTACTATGTATGGTTTTTTCCTTATCTTGCTGAGAAATGTTTCGTTTTGAATTACTATAACTTATTCTTAGTTCTGTTTTACAGGAAGTAAGTTTTCTGGCCATCTCTACTTTCACAGTTTTATTGTTATTTGTTTGCCTGATTGTCACCCTTCTGTGTATATATGATGATAAGTGATTGGGAAACAAAGATTTTCCAGCTTAGAACTTCATTCGAACCTGTATTTAGCGGCACCGTATTGGCGGTCACCTTGTATTAAGCGGTCGGTTTTCAAAGAAAATTTCCCCTAAGTACTCTAACTTTCACCTTTACTAAGCGGTCGCCTCTATTAAGCGGTCGTGGTTACCCTTGACTGAACCCAACAGCCTGTTTGTACTGTCTTCACCTTTATTGAACGGTCACTTAGGCGGAAATACTTACATAAACTATAAATAAACTTATTTAGGGGGTAAGTTTCTAAAGAAACTGTGGTGCTTCGTTGGTGGGAGAGTATAACAGGATATTTAGAATTATCAACGAGTTAATATCGTAAATTGGCCACCGTAAAGAGTTTACAAGCTGACGCTTCGAGCGTCAGCCCTTCGTCAGAGTGAAACTAATTATTTAGAGCCTCGATTACCTTTGACTTGATATTTATCGTAACTCGCTTTTCATTTTAATCAATTTCCCCCTTAAATAGCCACTTTCGATTAGTAATCTATCTGTCTTTATCTCTCTTTTGAATTAGAAAAAAAAATACATTTAAGGAGCGCCATACCCCGCTAATTGTTTATGACACTCTACAATAAAGAAGCTCTTTACACTGCATTATTCAATGCTGTTCAAACTAAATGTTATGAAAATTGCATATCAAATGTTAAGCGACCTATCACGAAATAATATGTAACATTTCTGGTTTTCCAGTGTGATATTAACCTTGAAAACCCCGCACACACAAATGCAGGTGTAAACTAGCGAGGAACTTTCGACTTACTTCCGCTGTAGCAAATTGAGCAAATTTTGACCTAAAATATTGACCGATGTTTCTAGATTTCTAACACTGCAACATTTGCCTCGCCGATTTTTATGTCAGGTCTAAAGGAAAAAACATTTAGAACCAGCGTCTCTAGATCTCTCAAGGCTCAGAATATCTGTTATGTGTTTACCTCGAAATTCACAACGTTTCTGTATTGCTTCCTCTTGATGCATTCCGCACCGTTAATTTTATCATTTTTTTTGCCGGTCTTGACTCAGAAGTTAACGATTGACTATTACATTTAAAGTTAGTTCGTATCCCAAGCCTTGATACTCTCTATATCGACCGAATTATCATGAGCAATGGAGAGTCTTTCGGCATATTAGAGCGTAAGCATCCCGGAAGTCACGAATCCTTGCACTGTAGATGATGAAGTTCATGGCTGAATTTGAAAGTGCCAAGGATCGGATCCACATGTAAGCAGTGCCATACATCTTAACAAGGGATTTACCAGCAGCAAAGAACACGACAATCATCGGCAGCCAACATGCGGTGAAGATAGCTATTACCACTGCCAGTGTGGACGCCACGCGGCGCTCGATTTTGGAATTAACAACTACTGTGGGTCGTGCTCTGAGTTTATTTTTTCTTCGCTTTTCTTTGACAAGAAAAGTCACGATGGTCGCGTAGCAGATAATTATCAACCCATAGCTTATTACAAACATCACGAAGACTAGATAAGATGTCTCCTTAAGGAATGGAATGCGGCATGAAGCGAAAATGATAGGTACGACCCAGACAACTCCTAACATGATCTTCAAACCAGAACCGTTCATGATCCGTCCATGGCGAAGAGGGTAGACAACGGCAAGGAAACGGTCCACACTGATGGCTGCCAGGTGCATGACTGATGCAGAGCACGAGAGGTTTGAGCCGATAACGTAAGCAAGCTCCAAGCTGGATGCACAATCATGGGAAAACGCTCTCTTAGCGACTATAGCAGCTACCAAAGGCTCGCAGATCATCGTCACTACCAAATCAGCAATGGCCAGGCTGAGAAGAAGGAAGTTGGAGCTGCGACGAAGACGAGTGCTCGTGAGCACCGCAATACAAACCATAATGTTTCCACAGGTTCCGACCACGGCTGCTATAGAATTAACTATCATAAGAAGCACGCCATGCGTCTGCGGAAGAACGCAATCGTCTGCGGAGTCAATTGAAGTATTCGCGCTGTATTCCGAGGAAATATTCATATTGATTAATTCTGGAAACAAAGCAAAGCTGAAGCAAAGCAAAGCCGCTGTTTTACCTCCTCAAGAGCCAAGAAATTATGGCGTGATTCCCAATTGTTTGTCTGAATTACAGATTCTGTCGAGATATCTGAATATGTTCTGCGCGCGTCAAGGGAATAACAGATATTGGAGTTTCAGTTGTTTCACTTTTGCATTTCATATACGATCTTGCCAGTACACGAACCGTGACGTAAACAATGATCTATACTCTCAGAAAGGCAGGAATCTATTGTTTTGATCTTGAAAATCACGAGTGACCTTTTCAGTAAGAAGTAGGCGGAGGCAGGAGTAGGGGAGGGAGACTGGGTTGGGAGGGGACAGGGACTGGGGTGGGAGGGAAGGGTGACTGGGGTGGGTTAGCACTCCTGGTGGTATCTTATGACAATGCTGGATCAATCTAGTCTTCGAATACACGAGACAAATCAAGAAATTGGAAGTTCCTACCATTTCAATTGTCTTTTGGTAGGTGTTTCATCGGATCAGATTGGAGTTCCGTGAGAGAATCAAGCAGAGTAATTTGATATTTTCGCCTCACGACTGGAAGGTCATGGGTCACCAAAAACGTGATGTTAGTATTTTAAGCCTCCTAGACAACATAAATATTTCCAGTATTGTATATAGTTCAAGTGAATGAGCTTTTTCTGGTAAGAGGTAAAAACCCTGCTTCTCCTTAGCGGCCCTCCGCTTAAAAATGAAAAGATAATTCAAGGAAAAGTTCCATTTTGGCCATTTCTGAGAGTGAGAGGATCCAACTTAAGAGCGAATGGTTCAATGACGAAGGCCTAAAGCTTGGCCGCTCTTTACGGTAGCCAATTTACACTTCCAATTGCAGGGTCGCCTGCCTTATCAACATGATTAAAAGGTTGTCATGTTTGGTAGCGAGTTTCATTCGTTGTAGCGAACTCTGGAAAAAACATATCAAGTGTTGTTTCACTTCAAGCCTGGTTAAAGCTGTAGTTATTTTTTAAATAAATGGTATTAACGTCAATCTACCTTCGTCGAGTAATCAAAGGTGGTACTCACGTGACAGGGTAATGTCACACGCACGGTCCTCCCTCGACAAGGCAAAAAATTAATTGTCAAAGATGGCAACAATTTATTTTCCTTCCTATATCTTACATAGAACTGCAAAAGCACAACAATGAAAGCCATGATACCTTGTGCGACAATCTCTTGAAATCCGACAAGGAATGATCAAGAGGAGATTGAACTTTACCAGAATCTCACTGACAGATTTAAGCTGTTTAGTTGAACTTGTCTTCTTATACGAAGGACCTAACAGATATTTGTTTATTGCTTGCGTGTAAGAAAACACTACAAAGGATTTAGAACTGAAGACTGTTGATGTTAATATCTCTGCAGATAGGATGTTTCAGCTCAGTTCTTTCGTAAGATGTAATGATATTAATAAACCAAATGATGATATGGATGTTTTTTATGGAACTCTGGTCATCTTTTAAGTACAGATATTCTGAAGACTAGTGCAAAGATGTTTTTTAATTCAATATATATGGTTTTTTCCTTATCTTACTGAGAATGTTTTGTTTTTAATTACTATAACTTATTCTTAGTTCTGTTTTACAGGAAGTAAGTTTTCTGGCCATCTCTACATTCACAGTTTTAATATTATTTGTTTGCATATTTGTCACCCTTCTGTCTATTTTTGATGATAAGTGGTTGGGAAACAAAGAATTTCCAGCTTAGAACTTTATTCGAACCTGTATTTAGCGGCACTATATCAAGCAATTACCCTGTATTTAGCGGTCGGTTTTCAAGGAAAATTTTTGGCTTTTTCCCTCAAGTACTGTAACTTTCACCTCTACTAAGCGGTCATCTCTAGTAAGCGGTCGTGGTCACCCATGACTGAACCCAACAGCCTGTTTACACTGTCTTTCACATGTATTGAATGGTCACTTGAGCGAAAATACTTACACAAACTATGAATAAACTTACTAAGGGAGGTTAGTTTCTGAAGAAACTGTGGTGCTGCGTCGGTGGGAGAGTATAACAGGGCAATTTGGTTTTATCAAGGAGTTGATAACGTAGATAGTTTACAAGCTGACGTTTCGAGCGTTAGCCCTTCGTCAGAGCGAAGCCAATTACTTAAAGCCTCGATTACCTTTGACCTGATATTTATCGTAACTTGTTTGTCATTTTAATCAATTTTCCCCTTAAATAGCCACCTTCGATCAGTAATCTGTCTGTCTTTGCATCTATTTTGAATTAAAATAAGAAATTAAAATACATTTTATGGAGCACCATACCTTGCTAATTGTCCATGACACTTTACAGTAAAATAGAGCTTTACTACACTGCGTTACTCAATGCTGTTCAAACTAACTATAATGAAAATTATTTATCAAATACTAAGCGACCTATCACGGAATAATACCGTAATAACATTTCTGGTTCTTCGGTGTGTTATTAACCCTAGAAATTCACGATTGACTGTTATATGTACAGTTAGTTTGTATCCCCAGCCTTGATACTCTTTACAACGGCTGAATTATTACGTGCAGTGGATGATCTTTCGGCATATTAGAGCGTAAGCATCCCGAAAGTCACGAATCCTTGCACTGTAGATGATGAAGTTCATGGCTGAATTTGAAAGTGCTAAGGATCGAATCCACATGTAAGCAGTGCCATACATCTTAACAAGGGATTTACCAGCAGAAAAGAACACGACAATCATTGGCAGCCAACATGCGGTGAAGATAGCTATTACTATTGCTAGTGTAAACGCCACACGGCGCTCGATTTTGGAATTAACAACAACTGTGGGTCGTGCTCTGAGTTCATTTTTTCTTCGCTTTTCTTTGACAAGAAAAGTCACGATGGTCGCATAGCAGATAATTATTAAGCCATAGCTTACAACAAACAACACGAGAACCAGATAAGATGTCTCCTTGAGGAAGGGAATGCGGCATGAAGCGAAAATGATAGATACGCCCCAGACAACTCCTAACATGATCTTCAAACCGTAACTGTTCATGATCCGTCTGTGGCGGAGAGGGTAGACAACGGCAAGGAAACGGTCCACACTGATGGCTGCCAGGTGCATGACTGATGCAGAGCACGAGAGGTTTGAGCTGATAACGTAAGCAAGCTCCAGGCTGGATGCACAATCATGGAGAAACGCTCTCTTAGCGACTATAGCAGCTACCAAAGGCTCGCAGATCATCGTCACTACCAAATCAGCAATGGCCAGACTGAGAAGAAGGAAGTTGGAGCTGCGACGAAGACGAGTGCTCGTGAGTACCGCAATACAAACCATAATGTTTCCACAGGTTCCGACCACGGCTGCTATAGAATTAACTATCATAAGAAGCACGCCATGCGTTTGCGGAAGGACGCAATCGTCTGTGGAGTCACTTGAAGTATTCGCGCTGTATTCCAGTGAAATATTCTGTATGTTCATTATTGATTAATTCTGGAAACAAAGCAAAGCTGATGAGTAATCCTCTGCTGTTAACTTTCTTAAGAGCCAAGCAATTATGACGGGATTCCCAATTGTTTGTGTGAACTTCTAATTCTGTCGAGATATTTACAGATGTTCTTCGCGCAACAAGGGAATAACAGATATTGTTTCAGTTGTTTCGCTTTTGCATTTGATATACGATCCTTCCAGTAGATGGACCGTCACGTACACACTGATTTGTATTCCAAGAAAGGCAGGAAGTTATTGTTTTGACTTTGAAAATCATGAGTGACCTTTTCAGTTGGATGTAGGCGGGGGTGGGGGGAGAGGGAAGGCAGGAGGGGGAAGGGAGGAGGGGGACAGGGGTGAGCTAGTACTCTTGATTGTTCAAATACACGAGATGATATATTAAGACAAATCAAGAAATTTGAAGTTCCTACCATTTCAATTGCATTTTGTTTGGTGTTCCATCGGATGACATAATGACAGTGGACAGTGGAGTTCCGTGAGAAGATCTAGCCGAGTAATTTGATATTTTCGCCTCATGAATGGAAGGTTATGGGTCACCAAAAACGTTTATAAGCCTCCTAGACAACATAAATATTTCCATTATTGTACATAGTTCAAGTGAATGAGCTTTATCCGGTAAAAGCTAAAAATTATGCTTCTCCATAGCGGCTCTCCGCTTGAAAACGAAAAGATAATTCAAGGAAAAGTTCCATTTTGGCCATTTCTGAGAGTGAGAAGATCCAACGTAAGAGCGAATGGTTCGATGACGAAGGCCTAAAGCTTGAAACGTTAGCTTTAGAAACTCTCTACGGTAGCCAATTTACACTTCCAATTGCAGAGTCGGCTGCCTTATCAACATAGTTTAAGGGTAGCGAGTTTCATTCGTTGTTGTGAACTCTGGAAAAAAGATATCAAGCGTTGTTTCACTTCAAGCCTGGTCAAAGCTGTATTTTTTTTAATCGATTGATTTCTAAATAATATTAACATAAATCTACCTTGGTCGAGAAATCAGAGGCGGTGCTCACGTGACAGGGTAATGTCACACACAAGTCCTCCCTCGACAAGACAAAAAAAAATTCATTGTCAAAGATGACAACGATTTATCTTTTTTCTGCAACAGCACGATAATGAAAGCTATGATAACTTGTGTGGCACTGACTTGAAATCCGACAAGGAATGATCAAGAGGAGATTGAACTTTACCAGAATCTCACTGACAGATTTAAGCTGTTCAGTTGAACTTGTCTTCTTATACGTAGGACCTAAGAAATATTTTTTTATTGCTTGAGTGTAAGAAAACACAACATAGAATTTAGAATTAAAGAATGTTGATGTCAATATCTTTGCAGACAGGATGTTTCAGCTCAGTTCTTTTGTAAGATGTAATGATATTAATAAGCCAAATGGTGATATAGATGTCTTTTTATGACATTCTGACCATTTTTTGAGCACAGATGTTCTGAAGGCTAGTGCAAAGGTGTTTTTTAATTCAATATATATGGTTTTTTTTCTTATCTTATTGAGAATGATTTGTTTTAAATTACTATAACTTATTCTTAGTTCTGTTTTACAGGAAGTAAGTTTTCTGACCATTTCTACTTTACTATCTCTAGCAGTCGGTTTTCAAAGAAAATTTTTCCCTCAAGTACTGTAACTTTCATCTCAGTTAAGCGGTCACCTCTATTAAACGGTCGTGGTCACCCATGACTGAACCCAACGGCCTGTTTGTACTGTCTTTCATCTGTATTGGACGGTCACTTAAGCGGAAATGCTGACATAAACTATGAATAAACTTACTTATGCACGAAAACCACGCAATTTATTTGCTGGTCAGCCTATAATAAGTGGTCACCCTACTACTCCCTATGGGTGGCCGCTTAATAGCTAACCAAAAAATAATTAAATTAAACAATATAAATAAAAGAAGGTAGTAGTTGTTGTAGCGATATTTCGACAGAAACACGGAAAAGGATTTAGTACTTTAGTTCCTGAACCATTTCGTTTTTTTTTTTAAATTACAAGTTGCTCCAATACTTATCTTTATCCTTTCACTATCTGTGGAGGTACCAATAGTAAAATAGTAAAATATCGATCCAAACCGTCAGAGCCTAACCTTGGTCATGAGAGATTTATGAAAGAGAGTAAACGAAATCGACATTGAAATATTTGGGGTTAAACGTGCAGAATTTCTTCGACAGACATGCGCTCTGGGCTGAATGTAGCCGAAAATTTGCCAACGCTACTTTTTCCGCCAATTATTTAGAGCCTCGACTACCTTTGACCTGATATTTAGCGTAACTTGCTTGACATTTTTATCAATTTTCTCCTGAAATAGCCACCTTCGATCAATAATCTGTGTATGGGCGGCCGTCACCACTAAAATTACAGGCATCTTAAATGGTTTATAATAAGCAGAAATGGTCTAATTGTCTTTTAAGAGATTTATTTAAACTTCAAATGGAATATTCAAACAAGAAATGGTTTGTACAATTCAGAAAATGTGTAGCCACCCCTGATGAACTGATTCAATAAAAACACGAGTGGTCCAGCGCTAAAACGGTTCAGTGTCGAAATGACAAAGTCAAGTCTTGAATGGATCAGCGTGTTGTGACATTCATTGCTTTGCCAAACGGTCCAACTAACGGTACTTTGGTTCAGTGACATGACACAAACGGTTCAGAGCAGTGTGAATTGGCAAATAGTCAATCGTAAGCAGCAATGGTTTAGTATCAATCTGCATCAATCTGCTTACCGTAAAGTGAAATGGTTTAGCGTGAGCCCAAATAGCTTAGCGTGACGACAACTAGTTTAGTGCAAAGCGAAATGTGTTTTACAGCAATTGTTTTACAGCAATTGGTGTACGCCGTAACCACCAAAAAAATTAAGTCAAGTTTGAAATCGAACAGTCTATGTCATGTCTTACGTCACAACTTACGTCATTCAGAACGAATTTGGCGCGAAATTCGCCAGAATGAGGTATTCACCGCGCCGTCCACTCAAAGTTCAACAAAGGAAGAAATTATTTCTTATTTCCATAGCCTCGTCTACTAGACTCAGTGAGCCTTATTCTGGTAAGAATCTTTTTTTAATGTTTGCCTATTTGAGCTTGTTAGCGAACAAATTTATACCCTAATTATCTTTATCACGTTTCTTAGATAGGGTTCTGACTGTCTAGACTGTCAATGTGCTGTCGCGTAAAATGATGCTTTTTATCTGTATTTTTATCATTCCTTTTGTTTTAGATTCTTATTTTATCTTGAGACTGTAAAGTTTCTAATAGTTGCGGCTTAACCATGGTAAGAATTCTTCATTTAAAGTACAGCAGTTTTCACATAAAGAAACTGAAAAGATTAAAAGCACAATTTGAAACTAGCTAATAGTAATCACGCTTGCCGATACCTAAAGCCATTTCACACTACTCTAAACCGTTTGTGTCAAGTCGCTGAACCAAAGTACAGTTAGTTGGACCGTTTGGCATAGCAATGAATGTCACAGTACGCTGATCCATTCAAGACTTGACTTTGTCATTTCGACACTGAACCATTTCAGTTAACACTGGGCCACGCGCGTTTTTATTGAATCAGTTCAACAAGGGTGGCTACACAGTTTCTGAATTGTATAAATCATTTATTGTTTGAACGTTACATTTCACCAAAGGCGACTTGTCCATTTGTACTTTAAATAAATCTCTTAAAAGATAATTAGACCATTTCTGTTTATCATAAACCATTTACAATGCCTGTAATTTTGGCGGTGACGGCCGCCCATGTCTATGTTTGTGTCTCTTTTGAATAAAAAACGAAAAAATTAAAATACATTTATTGAGCGTCATACCCCGCTATTTTTCCTTGACACTCTACGGTAAAATAGCCCTTTTTACACTGCATTATTCAATACTGTTCAAACTAGCTATAATAAAAATCATTGATCAAATGCTAAGCAGCCTATCGCGAAATTATATGTAACATTTCTGGTTTTCAGTGTGATATAAACTTTGAAAACCCCGCACACTCAAATACTGGTGTCTTTGAGTAAATCGATATCGATTTACTTCCGCTGTAGCAAATTGGGTTAATTTTTACATAAAATATTGGGCGATGTTTCTAAATTTCTAATATGGACACTGCGTTAATTGCTTCCTTGACTTTTATGTTAGCTGAAAAGGAAATACTATATTTAGAACCGGTGTCTCTAGATCTCTCAAAGCTCTTAATATCTGTTGTCTGTTTACCTTTAAATTTACTTATTCACATCGTTTATGTGTTGCATCCTCTTGATTCATTCTACATCGTTAATTTTCTCATTGCTTTTTCCGATCTTTACTCAGAAGTTAACGATTGACTATAACATGTACAGTTAGTTCGTATCCCCAGCCTTAATACTCTCTAAAACAACTGAATTATTACATGCAGTGGAGAGTGTTTCGGCATATCAGGGCGTAAGCATCCCGAAAGTCACGAATCCTTGCACTGTAGATGATGAAGTTCATGGCTGAATTTGAAAGTGCTAAGGATCGGATCCACATGTAAGCAGTCCCATACATCTTAACAAGGGATTTACCTGCAGCAAAGAACACGACAATCATCGGTAGCCAACATGCGGTGAAGATAGCTATTACCATTGCCAGTGTAAACGCCACGCGGCGCTCGATTTTGGAATTGACAACAACTGTGGGTGGTGCTCTGAGTTCATTTTTTCTTCGCTTTTCTTTGACAAGAAAAGTCACGATGGTCGCGTAGCAGATAATTATCAACCCATAACTTACAACAAACATCACGAGAACTAGATAAGATGTCTCCTTGAGGAAGGGAATGCGGCATGAAGCGAAAATGATAGATACGCCCCAGACAACTCCTAACATGATCTTCAAACCGTAACTGTTCATGATCCGTTTGTGCTGGAGAGGGAAGACGACGGCAAGAAAACGGTCCACACTGATGGCTGCCAGGTGCATGACTGATGCAGAGCACGAGAGATTTGAGCTGATAACGTAGGCAAGCTCCAGGCTGGATGCACAATCATGGAGAAACGCTCTCTTAGCGACTATAACAGCTACCAAAGGCTCGCAGATCATTGTCACTACTAAATCAGCAATGGCCAGACTGAGAAGAAGGAAGTTAGAGCTGCGACGAAGACGAGTGCTCGTGAGCACTGCAATACAAACCATAATGTTTCCACAGGTTCCGACCACGGCTGCTATAGAATTAACTATCATAAGAAGCACGCCATGTGTCTGCGGAAGGACGCAATCGTCTGTGGAGTCACTTGAAGTATTCGCGCTGTATTCCAATGAAATATTCTGTATATTCATTATTGATTGATTCTGGAAACAAAGCAAAGCTGATGTGTAAACCTCTATTGTTTACTTCTTCGGGAGCCAAGAAATTATGGCGTGATTTCCAATTACTTGTGTGAACTACCAATTCTGTCGAGATATCTAAATATGTTCTTCGAGTGTCAAGGGAAAACAGATATTGGAGTTTCAGTTGTTTCACTTTTGCATTTGATATACGATCTCGAGGGAGACTGGGGTGGGCTAGATCAATCGAGTCTTCGAATACAAGAAATGATATATTAAGAGGGTGGCAAAGGGGGGGGGGTTGCAATCACACATCACGCGAATTTTTCTATTAAATCACGCATCACGGAGGATTTTTTTAACCAATCACGCGTCACGTAAAAAAGGAGTAAGTACGCTCAGCTAATACTGTAAGGTTTTTATCCTAACGGATGTATTATTAGAAATTGTATTGCATCCGACGTTTTCCTTCTGGTATGAATTGAGTTTCACATGACATATTGCTTTTTGTTAGACAATAAAGACGACTTACTTGTTAAAACTAGACGCTCCGAGAGCGTTTACTCAGGTTTCGTATCGGAATGTTAAATCGTACTTTACAAGTATTGAACACAGTAAAAACGAAGAGTCTTGATTTGTTCAACATCTGAGGTGTTCGTCTGGGCATCATAGTTATCATAGTTCGTTGTTCAAGGAATCAGTAGTCGTAGTTTTGTCCATGTTTCCGTAGTTTGAACTTTTGTATGGTATAATGGTTGTCTCGTGAGAACTAGTATGAACTTTGTCAAATTGGCTATCTTTCAAGCTGTAGAATTCATGGACTGACCCGTGGACTTTACTACCACGACCACGAGATCGACAAAACTAACACAGAAGGTCATAGTCCATGTGTAAATTTTAACTTTATTAACTTATACCTTTTGTGTCACGATTGTTTGGACCTACCGCGAAGATTAAAGACATCCAAGGTCAAGCAAAGCTTAGCAAAGGACGGAAAAAACCAGAAGACAGTGTCACAGCTGCCCTGGTTTATTGATTTTTGTTAAGAGTCTATTTACTTTTAATGTCTGGTATCCTTCTTGGTCAAAGAGCGTTCACTTATCACGGAAATCTGATTAGTAAGTCTTGTAAATCACGCGTCACGGCTTGTAAAAATAGCAAATCACGCTTCATGTTGTGATGTCCGGTCCCGCATCACGCGGATAATTTGGGTACAATCACGCGTCACCCAGCAAATTTTGGGGCCATCACGCGTCACGCAAAAACCCTTTGCCATCCTCCTTCAACGCTCACGAAAAAATAGCCGCGACTGATGTCTTCTCTCTCTTAACCTGAACGAAATTTTAAAAAAGCGATGAGAATGTCAGGTTAGTGCAAGAAAGTATTAAGAAAGATTTCATTCCCTGCACACTGATTTACCTTGTGAAATCCTATTGTTCGTGTCCCTGATTGGACGAACGATGCATTTTCATCGCCGTTCGCTTCGTACTTCAGAGTGTAAACATCATATCAGGGAAAGTGCGCACGAACAGTTTTTAGTCATTCGTTGCGATGCATCAAAAAACTCACTCGTTCGCTGCGCTTAGTCGTTCTTTTTTTTTTATTCAACGCAACTCGTGAATAAGAATCGTTCCTGCGCACTTTCCATGGAATAATCGCTATTTCTGCAACACAAATTGACAGATCACAACAGTTGTCAGTCTTCCCGTGCAACCTCATTGATAAAAACATTTGAATGTTTAATGGATTGGACGAAGCAGATAAGAGAAACTCGAGACCTTTCAAATGACCGATTCAAACATTTTCTAGCCGAGGCTAAGGCATCAATACACCGTGATGTAAAGTTTTGTCACTGTATAAAATATGGAGGCTTTTCCAGCAACTGAACTAATTATGACTACTGGGTACCTGGCACTAGTATTAGGCTTTTTATTGCAACCTGGGAGAATAGGTCTACATCACGGAAAAATTGAAAGTTGAAAAAGCTGCAGAACAGGCGTATTTAATATTTCATTTTATTTTATCTTTACCCTCTGTACACCTTTCCTTTGCATTTGCAAAGACCAGTTTGAAGAAAAATTAAGGTTCTTCTACGTACAACCGGATTGCTTTGACATGTAACAATGCTTCGAATAGAAAAATGCCGAATGGATAAAGTCATTCGGGGTTTTTTATGAGTTCGAATGCAAATTAAGGTTGACTCATTGTGTTCTTTACATTAATCAGTTTCGAGATTTCCAACTATGAATCGAACGTAGGAAAATATTTGGATATAATTCATAAGCTTAACTTAAGCGTATGATTTTTAATATTATTATAATAAATTGATCATTGCAACTGATTCCTTTACCACAGGACATAATATCAGAAGCTCTACCATACAATTGAACCGGTGATTGCATTTTCAACTCAGCAACCGAACATCTTGCGGGATATCGAGATATAGGCATCGCGGAAGTCTCGAATTCTTGCGCTGTAAACAACGAAGTTCATAGCAGAGTTAGAGAGAGCCAAAGATCTAATCCACATGTATGCTGGACCATACTTTTCAACCAGAGATTTTCCTGTGATGAAAAAAACAGCAATCAACGGAAACCAGGTGACAGAAAACAAAATGATCACAATAGCCAGTGTTAGTGCAACACGCCGTTCGACTTTCAAATTGACATCAATGGATGATTGCGCTCCCAGACGGCCCTTTCGTTTCCTTCCCCTGACCAAAGTAAGCAATATCAACAAGTAACAAACGAACATGAGGGAATAACCAACGGCAAACATTACTGCAGCTAAGTAATAAGTTTTTTTCGGGAAGAGCTGTCGAACTATGGCGAATCGAAAAGCGACAACCCACACTGCCGTCAGCATGATTTTTTAGCCGTAGTTCTTCATGATCCGACCGTGACGAAGAGGGAAGGTGACAGCTAAGAAGCGGTCCACACTGATTGCCACAAGATGCATAGGCGACGAGGAACAGCAAAGGTTGGCTAAAAGTGAGTAACTGAGTTCAAGACTAGGCGCACACTCGTGTAGAAAGGTTATTTTACCGACCATTGCCACGACCAAAGGCTCGCAGATCACTGTTATGATCAAGTCAGCAATGGCCAAACTAAGCAATGGGATATTCGAGCATCGGCGAAGACGAGGCTTGGTGAGTACCGCTATGCAAACAAGAAAATTACCAAACGTACCTAACAGGGCAATCAGCGTGTTAACTACAATTATAGCACTGCCATGGTATAGGGACAGGCAACAAACTTCAGCGCTAGGGATTGATGGATTAACTTTGATCACCGAAGAGTTGTTCATAGTTTTGCCTGAAAGAAGACAAGGACTTCGACTTGCACGTTCGATAAATGGACTCAAAGGAGAAAACAAACACGGTAATAGCGCGAGCCTGCAATGCTCATTGGCTTACTGAATAACATTTATAGAATGCCTAAAACTAATTTCTGTTTCGAAAATATGACGGTCCTATTTCCTCTCAAAAATCTAACTTCTTTTTTTTTTTTTAATCATTGGTCGTCTCCCTTTCGCCTATTCTTTTTTGTGCGTTTGTTATATGTTAACAAATCATTTGGGTGTAAGTTGGTAAACGAGCTTAACCCTGTAGGGTTTGTGCAATTTTCACTGATGCTAATTTACTCCAAAATGCACAAGAAATAGTTTCAATAGCACTCATCTTTTTTTTAACTTTCTACACCGAGTTTCCTATTTATTCATTCAGTCATATCGGTAACTCATTGGACTATACGGGATTAACTTTAGTTCTCACAATTAAAGAAAATGATTAAATTTTTGCATCCACTCTATTACCTATTAAATAAGTCGTGAAAAAAATAACCTGTCATTTCCGCAGCCACTTGGCAATCGCTCTAAACCCAGGCTTTCCATTCATCATGGTTTCGATACGAGAATTAAACGCTTAAGTCATTCAACTATTTTGTTTAAATTGGTTTCTTATTATGAAGCGTTATTCAGGAACAGTTAAGAAATCAAAACTACTTGTGAATCACCCGCTGTCAGTTTCATCTTCATAGATAATCCGTTTTCAGTCTTAAGCCAATCAAATAAAATATTTAACCTCCTAGTGAGGATCCATTTCTTCAAAATAACGAACCAAACATAAAAAGGACTCTATAGACCATTTTATTGAAAAATTTCAATTAGTTTAAATAAGCTTTCCATAACTTTAAATTAGATTTTGTTTATACAACACTTGTTCACGCAAAAATTCATTAGTCCTGTAGCGCTTGTCTTCTCGATTCCGTTAGCGAAGGTCTCTCACTATTGCATTGTTTGACTATGCAGCCTCCCCTTCTTCCGAAGATAGATGTGCATTGGGGTCTGAGTCGGAATCAAACATGCCACCTTTTTGACGAACTGTGTCCTTCATTCGCCTGTTATCAGCGGCTGCTGTCTTCCAAACTTTTTCCAGTTCTTTGTCAACGTTCCTGTGGTACAGATGAAACTAATAAGTACTTCAGTATCAACCGACAAAATGAACTGCTATTGAATGACATGACATAAACAGCATCTGCGAAAGACTTGACCATATCGCGAGAGAATCCTATATCTCACCTGTTGTCTCCAATCATTAACTCCAACTGGCGTTGTTTTTGTCTGACCACAGCGCGAAGATTATTAATTTCCCCCTCGTACTGCTCTTTAAGTTTGTTGATTTCGGTTTCTTTCTCTCGCAGCCTGTTTGGATTTGGATGGATAACAAAACGTTGTTTTAACAGGTCATTTCTTGGTCTCAGCGCGTATCTATTTGAATAGTTTGGCTGTCTTCCTAGGCTTTTTGTCAGTTCTCACCAGAATTGCTTCTCAGCTGTGCTATAGAACTTCATAAAAAAGTCAGTTCAAACAGAAAATTTCCTTTTCATATCGTTTTGCTCGGGAGCTTTATCAGTAAATCTCCTCTTTAAACGCTTGTCTGTCCTTTCCTAATTCAGGTCGTAACAAATCACATTTGAGAATTTCCATTTGAAGAACTAAACAACCTGTCACCTACCTTCCCGTTACTATGGCGACTTTATCCGTGGCCTTTCTCCTGTACTCCTGAAACCAATTATAAAATTAATCACACTAAAATAGAAGTAGGGTGTGTTAGGAGGGAAAAGCTTGATTAAGTCGATCGTACTGCGCATGTGCGAGAGTAGTTTTACGGACCTCGTGTCGTAAAATGAGAGCCAGAGTAGAGAGATGAAGATGTACACATAGGACTTTCTTCGTGTCGAATTAAATTGTTATTGCTCCTGTTGCCCATGCGTAGCGTCGTTGTGACATGGTGCAAGATGTGTAGTATTGTTTTTACAAAGATTATTCCTTAAGTAACCACTTAAATATACTCTTCCTAAAGCAAGTTGCTGAATGTATTACCAGATGTTTTTCTATTTTCCGTACCTGGAGTTTTTCCTCGAGTCCTTTGATGTTCTGAGTTCCGGCAAGAATTTTCGAAGCAGCTTTCTGTTGTTCCGCCTTCTGTGTCTTGGCCTGCGATGTATATCCAATTAATAAAATAGCAACATCACGGTATCTGGAAGAATATTTGAAAACGTACATGTACACGGAAAGCACAGTAGTAAACTTACAAATTGTACGTAGTTGTCCCTCTCGGCTGCTGTTTTCTCCGCCTAAGGAAAGAAAATCTCAGTGAAATTCACTGAAAGCATTAAATCTAGGAAGCGTAACACTCGTTTCCTTTATTTTTCAGCCAGGCCGAAGACCCTTTCCCTACCCCCTCCCAACCCCTGTTTGAATTTTTTTGTTTCTTTGGCCCTATGCCTTCGGATGCGCCACGTTCTCTCGCTCATGCTTTTCTCGCTAAAAAAGGAAAAAGAAAAGCAGCAAACGATGCTAAGAGGGTGTGGTCAGGTTGGGACCAGAGGCATCTGGGTAAAGATCGACTAAAATTTAGTAGTAGTCACGCAATTCAGTGACACGTCACACTTACAATGGTTAGAACTTGTGACAGAGTCTCCTGCGCTGTCAGCTCTCGTTCCTGAATGTGCTCTAACTTTCTTTGAAGAAACAGGAACTTCCGCTCCGATTTCCTGTAGATTAAGACAGACGACGGTTCTCAGCCTTCTGGCTATAGAAAGAAATTAATCATTAACCCCTATTTTATGTTTTATGCCAGCAACAGTCAAACCAAATCGCGCTACTTTCGCGCGTACAGTTTGCGCTGAGCTACAGTTGCAAACTGATTTCTGATTTCAATCAGTCGTCTTCAAAGTGGGGCAGCTACCTGAGCAGGATGGGGGCACGGAGCGCGATGTGTAGGGAGAAAGCGAGAGAGGAAGACGACGTCTTCTCCTCCATTTCCTTCTCATGAGCCCTCTCTTCCCCACTTTGGCGCGCACCTTTTGGAGACGACTGGGAACGAGTCAATTACAAGAATGGAGGACGCCTGTCACATGTGTACCAAATGATGGGTTGGCTCGCCATTGATTTCTCTGTTGCTCAGTTGGTAGAGCACTGAAGCAAGAAATCAGAAGGTTTTGGGGATATGGAGTCCTCTCTGGACATTCAGATTTGTCTTGATCCTACGCTGGTAAAAATTTTCCAACTTCCTAAAATTAAACTTGTACTCACTGCAGAGACTTCTTGTAAGCATCAAGCTCTCGTTCAAGTTGTGCGCTCTTAGCTTCGCCATCTGCAATCCAACAGTGGAGACTTTCAGATTTAATACACAAATTAGAATCGATTAGAATTATTGACAACTTATGAACATAGCCTGAAGAACAAGGGCTTTTTTTCCTTTTATTTAAAGGGCGAAGGAAAGCATGAGGCGACAGCGTGGAGACCGCGAACAGCGAGTCACAGGAGTCATGCACCTCTTCTTGCGCGCATGACAAACTTGCGTGAAAAGATGGCGCCTGTTCCGCCAGCCAAAATGCACATGACATATTTTCTATTGTTTTTAAAAATGCATTTACGTACACTACATAAACAACAAATACCTGCAAATTTTATGGCTAAGTTGCTCTTTTCTTTCTGGACTGCCTTTATTTTAACATGAAAAAGGCACCATACATTAGTAACTTTCAACAATGGCCTTCAAAGCAAGAGCGCAGCAGTATATACAAGATGTTGAGCAATCTGAAGTAAAACTGAGGAAAAATTCCTCAAAATTCGAATTTAAGAGCTCCTCGCAGCTAAGAGCACTACTGAACTAGTAGTTGAAAATAGGACCTGAAAAAATTCAGGCCCGTACGGTATTTGAACCCATGACCTCTGCGATACCGGTGCAGCGCTCTACCAACTGAGCTAACAAGCCAACTATTCGTCTCTTCACCGCAGTGCAAATATGTGAATTTCACATATCTAAAATCATTATTCCTCAAAATTTTTGCGCGAGGGCAGACTTCAACTGCAAGGAGAGTAAGAAAACAAACTTGTCTTAAGTTGGTCTTGTGAAATCTTTTTAGTGCCAAAAGTAATTGTCCGTATTGCTTCACTAAGCTTTGTGATTGGTCTAGGAAATTCGCGCCATCCTCTCGACTAATCAGATGCAAAGCTAAAACCAATAAAGATGCGGTAACACGCGTTTTCCCGCACATTAAGAAGTTAGCTTGTTTTCTCTGTGAGTTCTAATTGGGGCCTGGTAAATATTTCGGCTTCTCCTGATTGTCCGTTGTGATAACTTTGGTTTTAGTGATGGAAAAATTAACTTGAATGCTGCTCTATTATTCCTTGTGATGGGTAAAAAAAAAAGACTCGTGCAAACTTTCCTTCTAACCAAACTACCAGTAACCTGTAATTTATATTGACAAACTGTGATGGTTTGTTAATTCACCTGTAACTTCGAATTGTATTCCTCTGTCTCTGATTTCGTTTTCGCCTTCAAGTCTTCAAGTACACTAGAAAAAAGAAAAGCAAGAAAATCAGGTTATTATCCTACGCAGAACGCGCTCAAATTAAGCTGATGAGTAGTAGGCGCAGTAAAGATGAAGGTGCCTTCCCGCTCGTTCATGCCTCCTCCAAGCAATCGTGCCAACGTATTTGGGCGTTACGCTGGGTAAGTTGAGAACACGAAGAGAAAACTGTCAACACTGCTGGGTCTTACAACATTTTCCACGTATGTCATTCACAAAATGGTCTCTAAGTACAGTGGTAAAATCTGTTTCTGGAATGTGCACTTTTCATCGCTGCAATCTTTTGTCACCTTGTAATTTCTAATGCTACTCAACGCATGCAAAATTTAATTCTACGCATTTCCAGTCAAACTGATGGATGTTTTTATCGTTTCTTTCTCCATCACATGAAAGACGTGCTGGTAACCTCTTACCTCCTGCATTCATCCATTATTCTAAGATGCTCTTGAATCAACATCTTGTTTTCCTGATCAGCAACCATGGCCTCATGCTGACGCATTAGGTTGTTATGGGTACGACGCATGTCATCTAGCTCCGTTTCAAGGCGCCGCCGAGTTGACTCTTGACTTGAAATCCGTTTGGACAACTTGGAGACTGAAAAGAAAATAGCGACAATATTCACCAATCAAAAACAGACGAAAAGGAAATATCTAAAACACTTGAATCAATGAAGTTAAAAACTTTGTCAGATTAGCGGTAAAAAACAACATCGTAAGACCACACCGTGTCTCGAATATGAAAAAAATTATAACATTACCACGCTGGACACGCATCACTGACTTGCGTTTTTTCAGTCCAATGAACGCAAGCACGAAGGGGCGAGCCATGCGCGTGTCACGTGTGTCTCTGCCCCTCACGCGCGAGACTTGTCTTTATTCGCGGGAGAAACAAAAAGATACCGTTTGTTTCGCAAGCTCTAAGTAACCTTTCGCGAACCAGCGTATGAAGCATGCGCCTTTAGCATTGCGTGAGAAAGGGAGGTAAAAGTTAGCGATAGCCACCTTCTAATCCGTGGATTCTCTTCATTTCCTTCATTTTTTTGTCTTGTATTTCTTGTTGTTCCATCAACAGAGCGTTCTCCTCAACCACTAGTTTTGCCTGTTCCTGCAGTTGTTGCCTGCAAGAAGATAGAGTCAAACGCCGCTAAGTCAATCTGTTACAGACCTAACAGAACACTTTGCAGCAGTATCACAAAACCAAAACCGAAGAAATCACAACGGCCAATAAAAAAAACAAAGATTGTTGTTTGGAAAACTAAAAGTAAAGGCATGAACACATTGCTAAACGCGAGAAAACGAGAGTAAGCAAGGTGCGATTGGTTGTCAAAGTGGTTCTGCAATTGATTGGTTAAAACGCTGGCAAGCTTTCTACGTTGTAGACTAATCACGAGTCATAGTAAAGTAAAACCAGTGCAATCAATTTGAAATTGCTGAATAAATACGGGCAAAACTTTCAGTTCATCACAGGATCAATAAAAAAAAAATGGTGCTGTCAATACTAACAGTGCTATTTACGATATAAAAAACAGAGGAAAAAATTTTACAGGAAATCAACCAAAACGAACCAGTTTCACGTGGTTTAGACAGCCAGGAAACGATGAAAAAGTAAAAGTCCTTCATTATCAAAACAAAATATTGACGTCTCTTACCATTCATCCGGCCCCAATGCATCAGGACTGACCTTACTGATACTCTGTCATTAACAAATTAAACAAATTTTTATAAGAAACACGGGAAACCAGGTATAGAGGTCGAGATGATGATCAAAATCTAACTTTCTCGCGAACTATGTAGACAAACACAAATCAAAGTTGTATGAAGAATGAAATGCTGAAAAGAAATTATGTCCACAGATGGAAAAATTCTTCAACAGTTACAAATATGACAGCATTAGGAAAGTTGTCAGAGAATCTGTGTGTTGCCTGTTGTTAGCCACGACTGAGACAAACTGAACTTACCATATGAAGCTGCTGATTTTCCTTGACAACTTCCATGACTCGAGCCTTAAAAGAGTTCAACTCTTCCTACAAAGATAAATTGCAGCCAAATTACAATCGCAATTAAGAAGAAAACCGAAAAAAGGGAACTGTAAAAGAACAAAGGAAGGAAAGAGCTCTGGGGCCGGCTGTTCGAAGGCCGACAACCACTAACCCTGGCTTAAATTTTATTCCGGGTTTCTTTATTTCTCTATCCAAGAGCTTTTTTCAAAGTAATTTTCTCTACTCTTTTTAGAGCATGCAATCATCAAATTCGTAGGCAAAAAGAATTAAACTGAATTTTCTTTAACAGCTTTCAGATCTAAAATCAAATTTCACACTGACCCTGGGATTTCTTGACTCAGCTTTGAACAAACCCGGCCCGGCCTGTTGTAGGAGAGAATTCCCAATCGACATTTTTGGACCAAGCCTACATGCCTTTTACCTGTTTGTTGCTTATCCCGTTTATTCTAAGGAAACTCTATTTTCTTTAATCTTACTGAATAGGATGGCCATCATAAACCGAATTAATAATCGATAACGAAGCTTAAAACGACTTACATCGTAAGTTCTGATCATTTGTTCTTTTTCTCTTAATCGATCGTCATACGCCAAGAAAAGCGGCGCCAAGAACTTGGTGTTTACCTGAAGAAAAGAGAGGAAATTACAGCTTACATGAAGCATCATTTAATTCATATATTCGTGACCAGATCCCTAAAGTGAAAAAAAAAACAAGCAAATTTGCTCTACTCCAAACTCGTGGTTCAGTAGGTACAGTAGTTGCGCAGATGCACAGATTGGAGCTTCGTCGAAGGATGGATTTCTTCAAGCTTCTTTTTCTGCATTTTCTTCAATTGCAGTTCACCTTTGACGATTTTGGGATGGGGAAATATTCAGATCGGTTATTTACTATAATGAAGCTATAAAGAAAATTGAACTGTGAATACTTTGATAATTCAATTCACAACGCCCTTTCTTCATTTGTACAGTTATTGTTATACCTACCAGCCACGGAGCTGCCTCCTTCTTGTACGGCAATGCCATGCCTTCTACCTCCTGGAGAGAACAAAGTACGCGAGTTCCGAAACACAATCACAACCGTTTACTAATAAAAATGTTATTTCTGACGTTTGAGTGACATGGTAACGAATTGGTCGGAAATTAATATTCTGATGGCACGTTGAAGAGGTTCGCGTGGCATCATGGAAGTTTCTGATTATTTAAGCGTTTAGCGAGAAAATTAAGTCATTCTAGCTCGGTCGGTCCTATGTTTGACCACTTTCTTTATTGTATTTGTTGTAATTTTGGTATTCCAACTCTCTGTAAAATATCACGACAATCATTGATTTTTCTTTGTGATTAGCAGTGCCATAAGGTTAGTTTACCCTTTCCTCAAAGTATTATGCTACTACATGAGAAGAGGAATACGTTTCCACATATTTTTTGGCCACATCTAAAGAGTGGTTTTTTAGTGGTTTCTCGTGTCTGGCGTAGCACAGGTTCTTTTTGTAGAACCCCTAGTTTCAGGGTGCACATGTTAAGATTGTATCAGGATGCGTATACTAGAAGACTGACTGACTCATCCTAAATAAACTCTTCACATTGAATGTCTCGTATGAGTGTAGTTAGAAAGCAATATCTTTGAGTTCAGTACCCGCTCGTTACCTCAAATGACACAGGGCGATATTTTGCTTGGTATCTGCTGAGTTCCACGTTGAGTCTGTGAACTGCAAGAAAAGCAAAAGCATACATATCCCTCTAAATTTCTGTTCAACAGCTAATTGCTCAACTGAGAGTGTGCCTGTAGTTTGTTATTTCCACTGATCAGAAAAACAGCACGACGTAAAATAAAAAAGATGAAAAAGAAGGACACCAATGTAAGTAAGTAGAGGTCAAAGAAAGCAAAGAGAAAATAAAATTGACAACAACTTTACCAGACCTGTATCACGTAAAACTTTCTGTTCTTGATGCAAGTCCTTGATTTGTTTTTGTAGAACTACAGAAGAGACACCTGGGTAAACAACAAGAAATATTTTTCACTCGTCGTTGTCCACGCATAACACGTATATAACTGCAAAATCAAATACAATCAATAGCCTCTGTTTAGCCCGAAAGTAAGTACAGACAGTTCGAGCAAAATTGAGGCTATTGTGTTTATCATCCTTCAGATATTTTGCAACGCGTGTGAAAAAATGTTAACCAACAGCTTACTGTTTGCTGCGTGGGATGTTTTCTTTTGAGTGCTCTCTGGTACGGCTTATGAACAAACAAATATTTCCCTTCTTCTGTAACAACCACAAAACGCTCAAATTTTGAACGAAAACTTATATCGTAGTGGACGTAAGGTTTGAAAATTGGGGAATATCACTTGGGAATATTCGGCCACGTGATGCGTTTAGACCAATTGCGCGCGAGCAAAAAGATTTGATGGATCCTAAAAAGAGTTCACCCTAACTTAGACGTGCAACCACTTAGTGTAGCAATCTAACCTGTTCCTTTTTGGAGAGAGAGTGATAGCTGCTTTAAAGCCTTGTTTTCTTCTTGTAACGAGGTGTTCAGTTCCATCATAGCCGACTTCTCTGACTCTAGCAGTTCAATTCGTCCTTTGGATAAGCGGTAAACTTCGTCATCTCTCACGACCTGGACTCTGGTTACTTCTGCGTCTGTCTTCGTTATCACTGGTTCAGATTCAGCACTTCTCATTCGGGTTTTCCTTGAGTTTCTTTCCCCTTTTTCCCGCGTTTTCCTCCCGACTCTCTTGCCATGCTTTGGGCTGTCGGCGTCTCCGTCGCTCCATCTTCCTTCTCTATCAACGTGGCGTGAGCTGTCCGCGCTTCGTTGCTTATTTCTGTCTCGTCTTCCTTCTATTTCATCACGATACGACAAGTTCGAGCTTTGACTAGCACTCTGAAGCGCATGCCTGACATCGTCAAATTGAGGAGAATCGTCCGTTGCTCGGTTACTTTTTCTCCCTTTTTTATCTTGGTACGAACTTGCAACATTACCCTGGGTGTTTCTTTCGTCCAGTCTCTTCTCACCGTAACCATGATCATCTCCTCTGTCTAGTCGTTCCCTTCTTTTTCTATCCGACGATTCAACACTCACAGCATTAAGTCTTTTCTTCCACTGCTCTTCAGACTCCACGTGTTTTCGTCGCATTTCCTCGAGTTCCTCCTCCAGTTGCCTCCTCCTTGTTTCCTGTTCTTTAATTTTTCCTTGAAGCATTTCTTGGTTTTGTTCTAGAGCCTAAGAAATCCCCGATATGATGTGTCAGTGAAAAAAAAGCACCTAAAATACCAGAGGGACCATCTTGCTAAAGCTTACCCCACTGTAAGTAGTATGAACCGACTTGGTGTAAACTGTCCCACCCTACCCCCGGAAAAGGATCATCAACCATGAAATTTTTACACCGATATTCTAAACTTCATTTGTGCAACGTGTTCATATTGATATGAAGCTTCCATTAATCATTCGAACCTTTCTTTCATGTGTAAAGCTGTTACTCTGTTCTTCAAGTCTTCGTTGCTGCAACTGATGCAGTCTCTGTAATTCGCTTTCCTGACGCCGTTGCTCATTCAGGAGATTGACAATCTGTTGTTCTTGTTGCTTAATCTCAGCCAGATCTTCACCGGCTGGACTAAGAAGGTTGACACTGGATTGAAGCTGCCTTTGCTGTTCCTCTGGTAAAAAATCATTCGAGGAAAAATGGTGATTAAGTTAATTGTTAATTCAAGGAATATTATAGCCGTTCGTTCTCACATATTTTAAATAAAATTTGATTGATTCACACATAAACTATTTTTTCATCTTCTTTACATAAATTGGTCTATGATAATCTAAGGAAAGAGTTTTACGTTCTCACCAAACTTACAGTCGTGTTCATTCTCTTAACAAACAACATGTGCATAGTGTAGTTAAAAATATTTCATGGTTTAAAAAATTTCAATCGGGTTAATTTTGTCTATTTTTTGGTCATGTTTCATCATAATCCAATACTAGGGAATACTGAAATGAAACTAGTTTAAAGCATTGTGAGCTAAGGAAATGTTTGAGTCAAAAAATATCTATTTACATGTTTACTGGTATGTAAAATTGATGACAGGCGTTATTTCAAACTTCAAATGGAATCAAACAGAGTATGTCACACCTAACTGTCCGATCTGTTCACACAACTTCTCCTGTTGCTCAAGAGCCCTAGCTTGCTGATTTTGAGAATGCTGCAATTGTTCTTGCTGCTTTTGAAGGAATTCTTGTTGCTGCCGCACAAGCTGTTGCTGGAGTCTTACATCAGATTCACTCACAGCCGGTCCTTGCAGTGACAGGTCAGCATTCTGTCAAAATAATAACTAATTCAGTATTTTTGCCTGATTGTAATTACAAACTGAAAGCAATATTACAGTTTATAATATTCACCTTGAATACATAAGATGAGTAATAGGTCTCATTGGAGAAAAACATCCTTCTAAATATAAATTTGTTGAAATATGAACACACACATAAGCTTACCCAGAGGTAAACCATAATTTGGAACTAAAGCATACATGCACCATTTACCGAGCAGCTTGTATCTGTATGTTTGTAATTATTTAATTTTTTCATCAATGATGCAGTCCTCAAGTCCATATCGACACATCTACGTACATACCTCATTAAACTCTTGTTGCATCTTCTCTAATGCCCTAAGCTGTTCTTGTAGTTTCCATTGTTGTCTCACAACTTCCTGCTGTTGTTGCTGTTGGATTTTCTGTTGTTCTAATTGCTCTTGATACAGATTTTGCTGTTGCTCAACAAGTTTTTCCAACTTTTGTTGTCTCTCTAAGAAGGATGTTTCATTTGCTTGCCGAGCTTCCTCAAGTCTCTGGAGATTTAATGGATCCACAAATCCTTGGCTGTCTTTGCTACTACCCCCAGACTGGTTGGGGCTTGGGTCTCTTCGTCCTTTTACTGGTGCATTGGAGGATCGTTCAGCTTGTCTATGCCTTTCTTGTGCATTAAGGAGATTAACAAATGAGGAAACTTTGTTAGCCTTACCAGCCTGGGTTTTAAAACTAAGATGTTTACCTTGCTGTGCTTGTTCATTTGGAGATTGCAGCTCCTCCTGAAGTTCATAACCATCCAGACCAGAAAATGTTTGACCTAAACTTAGGTTTGCTTCCTCGATTGTTGCTTCAGACACTGGGACATTACTTTCTGTCAAAGTATCATTAAACTGCTCTCGCTCAAATGTTGTTTTTCCGTTGAAGTCAATAGTATTCTTGGGCACCACTGGTGTCATATAACTTTCAGAATCTTCCGAGAGATCACTCAGAGCAAGTTTCTGAGATACTCCCTCAAACCCTAACCTCTCCACAACCTTCAGAGCTCTTCTCTGTTCATCCGTGAGCCTGTTCTCAGGTGGATCCCCAGGAATGGGAGGAAGGGGCTCACCTGGACCATCCAACTGATCCAGTGCTGACCTCTGTCTACTCCTACGGCGACGTTCAGGAGCCTCTGGGGATGTGTCTTCCAAGTAAGGTGGAATAGGAGGAGGAGCTGCCCCATCTCCTTCCTCACCAGCATCTTCTGATACCTCCTGAATAGTGTCAGGGGTCTGCCGTTTAGTGCTCCCTTTTTTGCTGTGAGATCCTGGTCCATCAACAATATCCTGACCATCGTGACTTTCCTCTCTGCTGCCTTTCCTACTGCGTCTTCGTCCACCAAAATCGAGAGAACGTTTTGCTCGTGATCCACTAGTTGTGCTCTCTTCATCATGACTGGTAACATCTGTGAGCTCATCGCTACTATAACTGACCTCACTCAGTGATTCTTTCTATCAGTTAGAGAAAAAGAATACAGGAAAACTAATTTTCTACAGACTCAACATCTATATGCATATACACGCATTTACTTTAACATTTTAAACCCAGCAAGTGACCTGTATCTAATTTATCCTTACATTAACACTGCAGAATCATTCAATAAGATCATGAGAATAAAGGAAAAGATCAGGAACAAAGAGCTTTGATTGCTTTACCCTCTAATTCTCAAGATCTAATTGTTTATACTCCCCTCTCACTACAACACATTTCCTTGTAAATATAGTACGAGGTTTTGGTGTTAGATAAAGGTAAAAAATTCTACCGGATAAGTCTGAGTATTCTCATTACCTGTTTGCTGGATAATGTTTGAATACTGTAGGGAGAGGTTACATGTAAATCACTTGTGGGAGTTATAGGGTTAAACAATTTTCTCCTTGTCAGTACCAAAGGAAAGAGTATCAATACTGATAATAGGATGTAAAGGAGTGATAAAAAACTAAATAGTTGTCCTGTAAGAAAACCTGAAAGCCTCAAGAAAATTTCAAATGAGCACATTTTGCAAGTTAATTAAAAAACTGCATTTTGGAATGTGGTATTTTTATTAACTAGAGATAGTTAACATTGACTACAAAAGAACCTTTGATCAGTTTGTGCTTTGTTACAAGACAACTCAGTGCAGTATTTGAGCCACCTTTGCTGTATTTGTTGCATTGAGCATAAAAATTATAGCAGCAAGTGGGTTTATACCGGCATGTGACGTCATCGCAAAGTTATGAAAAATTCAAAACATTATGCTGCTTGCTGTTAAAACCTACTATATTTTGAATGTATCATGCAAGAAAATTTAATACTCATCAGGATCGACTCCATCTCGTACCTCTTCTTTGTCTCCATCAACAGATTGTTTTGCTGCACTTTTTTTCCTCTTGTCAACTCTCGAATATACTGGCTGAACGACCTGACCGCTGTCATGATCTAAAACATGGTAGAAATGTTGCGATGGTTCCCCACCGTTTTCGGCTGTTGCTCCTTCCATCTCCTCAGTTACAGCCAATGTACCTTCCTTAGTCATCCTGTGGTATTTTGTAGTCTTGTCAAACTTTTTGCTGTCATGAACGGTTTCATAGTCATCCTCCCAATCTTCCCTAACCTTTTCGTCACGATCGTGTTCGTTGCCCTGTCGATCAGCTGATGCGCTGCGTTCATCGCCGTTTTCTCCTGGAACTGAAGGTAACTCCGCCCGCGGTCGTTTCGAAAGATCACCAATTAAAACCCTACCGACGTTTCCTGCTTCGCCTATTGCCTGCTCAAGTGGAGATGGCGATCGACGAGGCCATGTTTGCGATAAACTGGATGATGTTCTTGGTACTGCTGCAAAAATGGCGCTTGGCACAAGAGTAGAGGCGATACGACTCTAAGATCAACAAAAATAAAATCAACCTTTCATAATTATATTCATCTCAGAAGGAAACACAAAAATTTTCGCTTACCAGTCCAGACTGGCTGCCTTTAGATTTTTTCGACTTCGTTTTCTTCTGCTTCTTACTACCTGGCGCCATTTTGAAATTCCAGAATATTTATGGAACCTATGCGCTTGCGCCAGCGTCGTTAGTTCAAATCAGTTGTCATGGAAACGCCACTGAACTTTCCTAAAGTAATATATGATAGCTTGCTTCGTAGCCTATATTGGCTGGCGATTTTAAGCACCGTTTATGATTTTTTGTGTGCCAAACGATGAGTGGCAAAATTGCGAGTCAAAAATAAATTATGAATAACCCGTCTCTCTTCCGTTCAAAGCCTCGCACGGCTTCAGTTGCTCTCTGAAAATGCTTGCAGAAGTCCGAAGGGTATATTTTCGCCTTTAGGAAATTTAACACTTTTCCGAAAATCGGCCGTGAATTTTACGGTGAGATACTCATTGTTCATTTTCATAATAATCTCTTTCTTTCTAGGGTCTGGACGTACATAAAGTCTAATCAATTATCTAAACGAGTGGGACGGTATCTCTTTCATGCCGGACTCTATCGTGGAATGTTTAACGTGCTCCACATGTAATCTTCCATGTCCAAATTTTGTAAACTAGAGATTGTAAGTAGAGGCTGGTGTCACCAAAGAAAACAAGAAATGCGTCTGGTGAATATTTTCCCTGCCATAATGATCGATGGACACGATAATGATAGTACCTTTTGAGTCTTTGATGAAACTGATTGTGGAAACTACCGTTTGGTTTCTTTGCTTAGCGTGCCAAGCAAGATTATGCAATCTGAAGTCAATGATAACAGTATGCGACACGCATTCAGAGAGAGCAACCTAGTTTCAGATAGACAATGGTCATACCTTGCCGCGCATTCAACGGAACTATTGCTGATTCATCTGACAGAAACGTGGAGAGCAGCCCTCGACTTTGGGGAGGTACTTTCGAAAAGCATTTGACAGTGTTTCCCACGATATACTGGAAATGAAACTGAGACGTGACTTTGGCATTACGGGCACGCTCCTTGATTGGATTAGAAGTTATCTAAATGGAAGACAGCAATTTACTGTGATGAATGGACCAACTGAGTCAAATTTGCTACCTGTGTCTTTTGGCATTCCTCAGGGATCGGTGCTAGGACCGACTCTTTTCACACTAATCACAAACGACCTTCCATCCTCTTTCAGCTCAGGATAACTGTGTATGTATGCAGACGATACTACGGTCTACTGTATAGGAGTAACTACACACACAGCTACTACGCAGTTAAATGCAGCGTTGCAAGAATTACATGCATGGTGCCTTAGCAACCGTTTAACACCTCAACCAGGCAAGAGTCAGGTTTGTTACTCATCAAAGGAACCCCGGTGGAACCGATAGCTTCTGTGCTATTAGGAACCTCAATTCTTACGTGGGTTACGAATGCACACTTGCTGGGCTTGGCAGTTGATAAGAAACTCAGCTGGGTACCGCACGTACAAGAAAACGAAAAAGAGCTTTGCCAACAAACTGAACTCGCTAAAACGATCCAGATTTCTCCCATGGGATGTATTGAAATAATTTTTTTTAAAGTAATTTTGACCTTTGTTAATATGGTTTAGTTCTGTGGGGATCTTGTAGTAATTCTGATATATTCGGTTCAATAGAAAGACTACACTACAGGGCAGCAAGAATTATATTTGATCTACCTAAAGCTGATGATATTATCCGACGTGAGTAGATACGACTAGTGGCCTACACTTTCTTTGTATTATAAATTAGACATCTTCAAGTTTTTTCTACAAAGGCTATAACTATAATGCCAGTCTCCCCGACTCACTGTCTGAAAACATCCTTAAATGTCGCTCAAATGGTTACTCCTTGAGGGGACGCGACCTTTTAACAGTACCCAGGTTCCAAACAAGATACACTAAAGACTCGCTTACATATCGCGGCGCTGTGTTATGGTACACTGTTTCCTATTGTGAACAAGAAGTTGGACGTTCGAGTCTCAATAATATGAAAAAAGGCCTACTAACCAGAGACTACTTTGAGGAACTCAAATTTTACATACTTTCCGCTTCTACTACTCGCCTTGTATCGACTTATACATACCGATTTTGCTTTAACTTAGAAGTTGTAATATACGTAATTTTCTATTATCAAATTCAAGTTATATTTACATAACGTGTAAGTTTTCTTTTTTCTTCACACGACCCCAAAAGCTTGTAGCATAAAATGTTATCGTGTATAAATAAAGGTCATCTATCTATCTATTTATCTATCTGTCTGTCTGTCTGTCTATCTGTCTATTTGTATATCTATCTATCTGTCTCTGTCTATCTATATATCTGTCTGTCTGTCTGTCCATCTATCTATATATATATATATCTGTCTATCTATCTATTTGTCTGTCTGTCTGTCTGTCTATCTGTCTATCTATCTATCTGTCTGTCTGTCTGTCTATCTATCTATCTATCTATCTGTCTGTCTGTCTATCTATCTATCTGTCTGTCTGTCTGTCTATCTATCTATCTATCTGTCTGTCTGTCTGTCTGTCTGTCTGTCTATCTATCTATCTATCTATCCATCTGTCTATCTATCTGAGATACCGTTCAGTTTTGTCATTTATATAAGTCAGAATTATTACATTTGCTCCCTCTGGTCATTGCGTTCTTGAACCAGACCCCAGTTTGAATTCTTCTGGAAATCTCTCCAATTGTTACTGTGATATATTCTTGATGGTATAGTAACATAACCCGTTGACAGTCCTTTAATTAATTAATGGTAATGAATGGTCAGGACTCTTATTTACGCGTCGTGAGGATCAAAAGTAGTTTTGTCATTACTGAATTTTGATCATCCAACAGTTCTTTCTTTTTTAATTGCGAATCTATATGGTTTTCCTGTGGTGTACTTGTTTTAGGCCATTGGTATTTCTTTTTATAAAATAATTCAAATAGTACGCGCGCTCTGATTGGCCATAAAACCATTTTACATGAGCGTATGTAAACACGGTTTTCGTTCCTCTTTCATTAGTTATTTTAAAAAAGAAATGTAAAATGGTTTCCGTGTTTACATAGCGTAAACACGGAAACCATTTTACATTTCTTCAATGTAACAGCAGTTATTAAGGATAAATTATATAAATAATTTATGACAGTTTAAATTCCTTTATCTCTGGAAAAAAAACAATTTTGGTTATCAAAATAAAAAGTCCAGGGTTCAGTCTGGAGTCCAGTCCAGGGTTTAATATGTTACTCTGTCTGAACTGTCAACAGGTTGTTGTTATAGAAATGTAGCTGTGAGTGACAGCTCTGAAAACCGCGCTCACCGAATGAGGAAAGTCTTTTGGTGTCCTAGGGATAGTGAAAATACTTTGAAAACTCAACGATGGAGTTTCCTTTGGAAAATTGGGTTTTCTGACACACAGAACGACATCGCCGTCTACTTTAGTGCTTAGGAAATGGGTTGTGGCTCGAGTAAATCGGAAAACATACCAGATGATGTAAATATTCACTCACAGCCGTCAACGGCTAATGGCGATACTTCCCATTTCCAACCTGTCACTTGTGAAAAAAATTCAGAGAAGCCATCTGTTGATGTCCCTCAAGGTACAAAAGAAAACGGAATCGGTGCAAAGTCAGTTGAGCAGCGACACGGCTTTGATGGGACAAAAACTACAACCAAGGCATCTCAGATGACAATTTTGCACTTCAATGATGTCTACAACATCGAGCCACGGGACAGGGAGCCGGTTGGCGGTGCGGCTAGGTTTGCTACCAAAGTAGCAAGTTTTAAACATTTGAACCCATTAATTGCTTTCAGTGGGGACTGTTTAAATCCTTCAACGAGTGAGTATGCTCGTAAGTTAGCGTCGCCGTACAATAACTTCAAACAGGGCAGCAGTTCACAAGTAATGGCTCAACAGACCCTTTTAGCTTGCATGTTTTGTTTACCCCATTTCAGATCATGTGATGATACTTTAGAGAACTGTTTCTTTCAAGTTTCCTCTTATTCACGTGCATATTTACGCATAATTTACAAAAGGTAGAGCAGGGAATCTCCAGAAGACCTGAAATGGGTAAACGAAACATACGAGCTAAGGAGGCCCATTACCAGACAGATGAAGGAAATTGCTCCCTTGTCGTATTGCAAGTACACTGTGGCTTTGCAGTTGGTTTGTTGTCGACGTGCATTGTAAAAAATACAATACCTTGTATAGATAAAGGGATTGAACAGGGAAATTTGGGGATTGCCATCTGGGACCCTCTGTTGTAGTGAAGACCTGTGTTGCTGTGTTGTGACATATTGTAGCTGTGTTGTGACATATCTTGGTGGTGGGGAGGGGGAGTGGGGGGCGAAGTTCTGTTGGCCATGTAATTCTAAAAGTAATGGGGACAGCTACTTCTGGAACTCATAATGATGTGGGTTATTTTAACAATTGCTAGACTGTCCTCATGGGAGAGACAAATATAAAAATTAATGCCTCTTTAACCCTTCCTTGTTTATTGAGAGAATTCAGTGGCCAATTTTTTCTTTTTTCCTTATAATTATCAGTGAGCAGTGTGACTGGTGGCAAACAGATGATCCCAATTCTAAATGCATTAAATGTCCATGTTGCTGTATTTGGAAATCATGACTTTGGTAAGTGTTATGTAGGATTGTGGTATTAACTTTAATATTGCTTACTTAACCTGCTAGAGGGATTGTAGTATTTCCATGTGTAATTTGCATGCAGTACATGCAGTTTAAAGGGAGGATAGGCTCACTTTGTAGATACAGTCCTTGTAGGGACCATGTGCTGCTCTCCATGCAGATACTTTTAATTTTACAGGGAGCATCTGAATCTAAAGTTATGTTCAGCCATTGTACTAGAACTCATTACCTACATGTAATGAAGATACAATATCAGTGTACCATTTGTGGACTGCGTTGGTTGATTTTCTTATTTGCCACGCTTTTTCTAGTTAAAATTTTTTCTATGAGTCAAGATATCATTCCTTGAGTTCCTGTTATTTATTTTTTTTTTTTCTACAAGAGAATTTATCCTCTGGTTGACAATTCAAGTAGTCAAGCTTTAAAATAAATATAAGTCAAGTTCCTGGTGGCATTTGTTGTTGGTGACTAAAGTTTATTGACTGCAGCTCTTTTATGCAACATTACTTGAATGAATTTGTCAATTTTTTTTTTCAGATTTTGGTGTAGATGAGTTGATGGAGTTTAGTGCTGCTACCAATTGTCCATGGCTTCTTAGCAATGTGATCGACAATGTGACTGGAAAACAGCTGGCTGGTGGTAAAATCAAACATATTACAGAGTGGGGAGAAAGAAAGGTTGGTGAAGCCTCTTTGATTTATTTCACCATTTGATGATATGATCCTGAGCTAGTTTCTTTTTGATGAAAGGGGGTAAGTTTCTTAAGATACAATGGTGCTGCATCAGTAAGGTGGTACAACTGGATAATTTGGTTCTATCAACTGAGTTGATAATGCAAATAGGCGACTGCAACGAGTTCCTAAGGCTGCCATTTTGTGAGTCAACCAATATTCTTTTTACAAACCCTTCTAGGTGGCTAGTATATATTTTTACCAAATTTTTTTACATTCAGATCTATTTTTCTCAACTTTGCTCAGGAATTCATCTCTGTTTTCAACCAGTCAGATGTAATTATTATTCTAAAACCAGTTGCACCTTTTTTCCCTACATTTTTCTGTATCTTGGGCAGTTTACTTTTTTCAATATAGGTTCAAAGCCCTCCTCGAGTTATTATTTTCCTAGCTTCGTTCTGATTGGCTGTTGGGATCAACCCATTAAAGTTTTGGTTTAGCAAAACTCAGTCAAAATGTGCTCAAATTACAACTCCTGTTTGGTTTAGATTGGTTTTATTGGCTTAGTGGAAGAAGAGTGGCTTGTTACCCTGGCAACAGTTGACAGGGAAGAGGTCACATACTTTGATTTTGTAACAGTAGGTACAAAGTTGGCAAAAGAACTTAGAGAAGAGGTGAGTATTTTCTTTAAAAATTCTTGTGACCAGAGAGACTTCCTTGCCTTTGAAATCCTCAGAATGTAGAGTTGAAAACCATCTTAGTTTCAAGAAAAAGGGTTAGTTTCCTTATATCTCATGGTTGTTGTGACAATGTTGTTGATTGTGGGGTCTACCATAGGAATGTTGCTAATGATGATTAAGAAGAATACTGAAGAAGATCTGACAGGCTTAACCCTTCACTCCTAAGATCTTATTAATAATTCTCCTTACTTCTATACAATTCTTATGATGTATGTCTGGAGAATTTGGTATTGGATTAACTAATAATCTCTTGCTTGGTATTTTCCTTTTTTCCTCATTACCTGTCTGCTTGATACTATAAAAATATTGTAAGGAGAAATTCTGTCATAGTCACTCCTGGGAGTGAAGGGATGATAGACTGTGTTTTTCTCTGTGAAATATTATCTCCAATTATCATCACTTTTTTATTGTTGGTAAATATTCCTAAATAAATGTCACTTTGGAATAAAATTTCTAACTGACAAGAAATATTTCTTTCCCTATATAGGGAGCAGAGTTTGTGGTAGCCTTGACTCACATGCGAGGACCAAATGATCGTCGTCTGGCACAGCAAGCAACTGGCATAGATCTAATTTTGGGTGGTCATGATCATGATTACTTCACCGAGAAGGTTTAACATCTCTTTCCTTTTGTATTTGAGTTTATTATGTACTTATTGACAAATTAAGGGTCCATTTTCAGGCTTTACAAGAGTTAAGTACATCGACTACTGGAAATGACTACGTATGGTTTTTTTTTGTACCTCCTAGATTAATGGTGTTAATGTCATTAAGAGTGGAACAGACTTCAGAGAATTTAGTATTATTACTGTCACCTTTTTTGATAACAACCACAACAAATGCAACAACAGCAGTAGCAGTGGCAACAAATCTTTTTCAATAGATGTTGAAAGAGTGGAAGTCACAAGTGATATACTAGAAGACACTGAAGTGAAATCCACAGTTGATAAATATGTTGGTAAGCTAATTACATTTTTATTCCTAGAAATGTTCAAAACATCTAGATTTTAGTATTTCAGTGATTTAAAACCATCAGTGTTCCTGAGAGGTGTCTCAGAAGACCAGGCATTAACCTCAAGAGTTTATGTTGCTCTGGTGTCTTCTGAGAAGTTGGTTTCTGCATTCAATTTCAATACTAGTCAGTGCATCACAGTACATTTGAATAGATTCATTGTGTTTATTCTGAAGTTCAAACTGGTGCTGTCAATAATCTTATCAATATTCTTAGCCTAACTGAAAAGAGACATGAGACATGAGACCTGAGACTTGTTTGCCCTTAATTTGATGCTGTGCTGAAATTATTTTATCTAACAAGGTGAGATGAACAACTTGATGGAAGAAGTGATTGGTGAAGTGCAAGTAGAGCTTGATGGAAGGTTTTCCAGCATGAGAACAAAGGAGACCAACCTGGGTGAGTTGCCCGTTGATGCCTTACTTTTTGGTGAAACTACACGCTTATTCCACCTTCAAACGCTCACTTTTAACTTCCTACACAGCTACAGAACTCACTTACCTTTAGATGCTGTTTTAACTCATTTAAATGAGGTGATTTTTGGCATTTATGCGAGGGATACTTTTGTTTCCAAATTTTATTTTTTCAAATTAAAATCATTATGGCAAATCATATGTAAAAAAGTTTGTGACACAGAAACTTGTTTTTAGATCCAATTATAGCTCCTTGCTTTTAATATAAATTTACAAGTATGGTGTACTAGATTATTATATAGAATGTAGTGTAATAAATAATATTTTTGATCAACTGTATTTCACTCACAACACTAGTACTTAACTTACAATCCATAACTATTCTCCAAGGCAATACCTACAATAGATTACCTTCTGTACATTAATTACAACAAACTAAACTTCTTAGAATGACTAATGACAATGTCTCTTTCTTTTTGCTTTCTGCTGCACCATAGGAAATTTTATAACAGATATCATACAAAATGTTACTGAAGTGGACTGTGTTATTCTTAACTCCGGCACCCTCCGATCAGATAGCATTCATCCCCCTGGAAAGTTCAAAATGAAGGTGCAAGTGTTAATATTTTCAAGGATGAAAAATCTTGTTTTACAATGTAACATATGGAGATAGTGGAAGCAATGTTTGTTCTGGCAAAAGCCAACCAGTGCAATTAGGCTAGCTTTTGTGATGACCATTCAACAATGACAACTGACTTGTATAGGGTGTCAATCATGGGTTTCTATAAGAGCTGGTTGCCGCCATCTGTTTAGCCTGCAAGCAGGCTCTTGTGTTTGGGTTTGCCACCTTAAGGCACAGCAGCTTATTTCACCATTAGTAGCTGCTTCACCCTTTATACCCTTATATCAGTTTGCATAGTCTCCATACTCTCCTTTACACATTTTGTAAGGTATTGAGAGGGAGAATTTGTGTAGAGCCTCTTAAAGTGGGTTGTTTTTTCTTTTATTCTCATGGTCTAAATGCTTGATTAAGAGATGATACTGTAAGGAGAAAGTAGGAGCCAATCACTCTCAGGGTTTGAAGGGTTAAGGAAAAAGTCATTGAAACCCCTAGTGTTAATTAGGCCTCAGAGAAATATTTGGTTACCATACACAATTCTGTAGCTAGCTTTTGATGGCTTGAGCTGTTTTTTATTCAGATTTGCAGTTGTTTAGATATAATTTACCTTTTCCTTAACACCATTCTTTTGTTATTCATTCCTAACCCTTAAACTCCCAAAATCTGATTGTTAATTCTCCTTTCTTGCTGTTACACATTTCCTTGTAAATCAGTTCTGAGAATTTGGTGTTAGATCAAGATAAAAACTCCTAACTGATGAGTTTGAGTTTTCCTGTTACTGTTTTCTGGATAATGTATGGATGGTATAGGGAGAAGTTACATCTTAATCACCTTAGTGGGAGTTAAAGGGTTAATAAACACTGTATACCATGTATTTTCCAGGACCTCTCAGCCATCCTTCCTATGCCTGATGTGTTGGTGGTGTTGGAATTGACAGGTATGTCAGCTCTACAAAAGTAAAATTGTGATTTTTTTATAATATTGGGTGATTTTCTGATGATGGTAGTCTTGTGAATGATGTTGGCAGAGACAAACTGGTGTTTCAACATTATCTGAGCTGAAGTTGTATTTGATCAAAATCTGTTGCTTTCATTTGATATCATGCACGTGTGTTAGTGAGACAGTTACATGCAAGTTTGGATTTATAAAAGAGCCTTTGTTTTAGGTGATCAGATTTTAGAGGCACTAGAAAATGGAGTCAGCCAGTGGCCTAAACTTGAAGGAAGATTTCCTCAGGTTAGTAAAATATATTTTAAATTTCATACAAAATTTCAGAAGCAATTAGGATCATCGTTTCCACTCTTGATTTTGAAATGGGTGTTGAAAACTGAATTTAAATTTTTGATACATTTATAGATTTTGTCAGTAAGGCCAAATAATAATTTTTTACAATAATGTACAAAATGTTGCATGAAAAAAGTATCAATTTTGTTTGAATGCAAAAGTGATTGTGGATTACTTTGCTTTGCTCATTTATTGGTCTAGAAAACTTGCAACACCATCTCAACCAATCAAATGTAAAACTAATCAACGGTCCATTTTATAATTGCCTGTTTGTCTGCCAAGCCTTTGAACAGAAGTGAGGCTAAGGTTGACCTTGTTATGATACAAATGTTGCTGCTTTTCAAATGTAAATTACTTTGTTATCATGCCAACTAGATATTGGTCTCTATCACAACATGGTCACCTTCAGCCTCACTCCAAATCAAAGGCTTGGCAACTAAGTACACAACTAAGTACTGTAAAATGGCCAATTACCAGCTTGGTTGCTCACATTTTCCTGTGCTTCAAGCTGGTTGCCTGTTTTTACTTTGAGCTCTCATCAGTTAATTATAATGATAACCTTCGTTCTGATTAGTAATTGTGATTACTTTGATTTTGGTTTTTCAACACACAATTTGAAAGTGCTCTCATTAATTGATGAAATTTTCCTTGCTGATGAATTGTAAGGATTTCAAGTTATTACATTGGGTATAGCCTTGAAAAAGTAATTTGGAACCTATGCAGCTAAGATGTAAATTGGGTGCTTAGCAGTACCTGATTCATCTGTATTTCCAAATATATTCGTATGGACTGAATTTATTTTAACACTATTTTAGTAATTTTAGAATTGCTATAATTATGGGGCTAACTGATTCGCTTAATTATTTTATTTTTTTATGTTGTAAGGTGGCAGGAATAAAATTTTCCTTCAATCCTGACAAAGATCCTGGATGCAGAATATTGGAGGACTCTGTGAGCATCAACAATGAGCCACTTGTCAAAGATAAGGTTTGTAAACCTTAAACCTCCTTTGTAAACTGATTTTAGGTTACTGTGGTCTTCAAAACTTCAGATATGTATGAGGAGTTCTGAGTTCATATTTCATTTATAAATGTTTCTGAAATTTTGAATGTGACATAGAGATTGGTCTTCAGTGTGACTTGTGGACATGTGGCTTGTTTGGTTGGTAACTCTAGTATTATTGCATTATCCACATTGTTATCACTGTGATAGACTAAGAGCAGAGCCTCCTTTTCAGCTGAGTCTCATTAGTCCAAAAAAAATCTGTTATAGAAATAAATGATTTTGGTTATTGAACCATGCAGAAGTCTGGGAATGTGTTGCACTTCGCTCCCAGAGTTCTGCATAACATGCTAACATCAACTTTTCTTTTGCTCTTCCTTGCTCTTCCTTACTCTTCCAAAAGTTCATATTGCATTCTTGCTGAATGACAAAATAGAAGAATGGATTATTTTAAATCCTTATAGAGATACAAAGTATCTACAAAGTCATATCTTGCAAAGGGCAAAGATGGTTATCAAGTATTTACCAAGGGCAAAGTTCTGGTGAGTTAAATTTGAGATACCAAACAATTATATTGAGGGAAAAATTTGAACACAGGGTTGTTACTCTATGATAACTTTAAGTTGCAAGTGTTGTAAGCTTATCGTTGGTGTTACAGGGAAAGGGAAGTTAATTTAAAACCTGTTTGTAGCCTAATATCATAATCATTTATCCTTTAATGCCACCAGAATATATGATTTTTTTAAATATTTTGTTGGGGATAAACTATCTGAGGTGGTGGCCAAATGGACATGATTTAACACTTTCACACACAAGATCAAAAAATCGATTCTCTGGACCAGTATCATACATTTCTTTCTTGGTTGGTCTTGAGAATTTGGTGTCTTATCAGGACCAGAGTTCTTAACCCTCTTACTTCTCATTCTCTTTTGGATTTCCTTTTTTGTAACCTTCATTATTTCCATCTAGGTTGATGAAGAGGATGGTTCGATTTTAAACACAATTGTCAGGAACCATTTTCACTCAATCAATATTGTTAGAGGTGCTACAAAATCAAAATCCTCCCACAGACAAAGTCTAGCTATGTGAGTACTTATCAACACATTTCTGTTCATATTAAAGAGAGGTTGCATGTCAAGAACCCTTGGTCAGGTGAAGAAAATAGTGACAGCTTTAGAAGTTTTGGCATGTAGTATTGTTGAATATTTTTATGAGTTGTGTTGCGCCTATTTTGACAAGCCTGTAAGGCAAGTTAATATATAACTTACAACAAGTGAAAATACTCAGCAATACTATGCACTAAAACATCTAAAGAATTATTTATTATCCCAATGTTTTACTCAATGTGCATTTTAAAATGCACATAGAATAAATCATTTGAATAATAAATAATAGGGTGGGGAAAGCAAAGCAGATAAGGAAGCGTAGCACATGCAGCCAAGTGGTTCAACAGGTTTTTTTTACGATATGAAATAACCAACACACCCACTTTGTGATAATTATTCATTTTTAAGCACTCAGGAAATAAAAGATGAAGAGTTTTGCCTGTTAGTCACTAGGTAACCATACCATTACCAACAACTCTCAGCAAAACTCACGGGACACCTAAGAACAAAAGGGTTGAAAATAACCAAATTTAAAAACTGTGTACCAATGGGTACCCTCCTCTCCCTTTGCCATGTTGATTAGAATTCTTGAAATACAGCAGAAGATTTGCAGTTGATATCAACTTTACTAAGGAAAGGCAAGGGGTTTGGAGCACTCTAATGAGATTAATATTTGCAATAGTTTAAGTCTATTTCAAGAAAAGTTTTTCAGCCCTGTAACAAAATGACTTAACCTCTGACAGTGATAATGTTGTCTTAGTTTTCTATTAAGTTACTCAACTGAAATAACTGTAACAAATTTAACTTAAACTTGCCATCACAATGTAAGCATTACACTTTACATTGTAACAAATAACATTGCCTTCAAGATCACTCTTGTACAGTAGAGACAACAGTTAACCCAGAAAACATAAGATTTCAACAACCTAATTCCTTACTACCTTACTACCCGGTATACAACAAGTGCATGAGTGCTATGCTAAGTAAGCAATATAAGTGAATAAACACAAAACACACAAAACTATTCAAACTAAATTGTGCAGACTCTAGCAAAGAATGTGTGGCATTTTACTAAATAGAGTTCTTTGCATGGAGTTTATCTGGTATTTTAATTACATTGAGTAGACAACAATCACCAGATGAAAATAGTTGGCATTAAAACTCTTTCTAATGATGATTTAAAACATTTGGTTAAATAATTAAAAATTAAATAACATATATATGGCTATTAACAATAACAGGCAAAGTAAAGACCCATTAATCAGCAGTGATGAAATGAAAGAAAATGGCTGTGATGCAATTCAACAAGTCAGCTGGTGAGGACAACTGTTAGGGCAGAACCAGGGTAGACAGAAGATTGAAGAAATCATTTGTCTACTCTGGTAACTTTAGCTTAAATTGAAATATGCTATATAATCCTATATCCTATAAGTTTCTTACTGAGTCAAAGTCTCTTGGAATCCGTGGATTGGCTCAGATTTGGGCTTCCTTCTGAAAGGTCTTAGTATTACTATAAGAAATAACTTACACAAATAAGAATAAGTCTTGTGCATACATGCACCAACTGTTACAAGCTTTTGTGTACTAATTTTTTGTTGAATAACCATAAATATAAGTTAAAACATCTTTTAAAAATCTTTTAACAGGCGATGTAGATCATCTGACATTATTGATGATGGAAATAAAAAATCATCATTTCTTAGTCTGGAAAAAGAGCATATCAGCATTTCACCAAAGGTTGGTGTTGTAATAACTTACTAGTAAAGTCATCATACAAGCCAAGAAGGCCACAGCAAAACACATGCAACATTTCATTGAAACATCTTGCAACATTGTTGGATCATGTTGTGAGGGGGTTAGCCAAATGCATGCAACATCTTGCTACATCCAAAAATGTTGCAACAAAAATTTGACTATTTTCAAACTTGATTCAACACTGTCAAACATCTTGCAACATGTTGCTACAGGGTTGCCACACTTATGCAACACGTTGCATGCAACAATGTTACAAGATGTTGCTTTGAAATGTTGAGTGTGTTTGACTGGGCCTTAAGAATACAAATCAATGACCTCATGCAGTGCTTATGATTTAACCAAAAGATTTTGATTTGCTGTCCAGGGCACCAACTATTAGATCACTGCATCAAGGCTTGTGGCTGTAGCTAATAAATGAAGATTTAGATTTACTTCACCATTTGACTGCATGATTGAATTAGTGAAAGCTGTTGAGGCACCTCTAACAAGATAATACAATTAAATTTCAATGCACTCATTGTTAGGTGGAAGGAAGAATTACAATGGTCACAGAAGCAGATAAGGAAGCGAGTAGGACTTGCTTTCCAGAAAATGAGACTGTGCCTCTGAGTGAGCAAGTTAAACAAACACAGAGTCAAGATACTTCACAAGGGGTATGTTTGAGAGGTTTCTCTTCTTTATTGTTTTGTACCATAGATTGTACTTTGAGTGTTTGTTCTGTACATGTCAAACTCGTGAGCTCAGGCAGAGGCTTTTAAGAGGGACTGTTACTTTCAAAATTTGGTCAATGGACTCTAAAATCTGATTTTTAGAGATGTTGATAGATTTAGTAGCACACGCAGTCTTGTATCTCATTTCTCAATAACCTCTTTTTTCATGAATTAGAATGAATGCTTAGAGAAAAGTGATTCTTCAGAACAAATAGCGACTCATCTAAATGGATCAGAAGTGGAAAAGACAGATCAAAATGGATCAGAAGTGGAAAATAGCACACAAGTTGAATTGGGAACACACAAGAAACAAAATAAGGATAATGTTGAGGACACTTCAGATGAAATTTTAGCAGTTGAAAAAGAAGTTACTTTACTGGACAATTTAGCGGGCAAACTGAAAAATGATCAGAATGAGGACATCATGAACAGAAACATTAAAAACACAGCTGATAAACAAGTAAAAGAGGTAGAAAAACAACAAGAAGCAGGCAATGAAGATCAGCTTTTGACAGCTGATGTTAAAACTGAAAAACCTGAGCAAAGGATAGATAATTCTTTGGTAAGTTTTTACACTGATTTCTCATGGACTTTGTCGACCAATTTATCATTGTTTACAGTAACACTCTTTCCCTTTGTGGAAAACACTTCACAATGTACATCAGGACAACTGAGATTAAACTGTATTATTTTTTAAATGCAGTTTGCCAAGACTTACAGTTGAAAGTGATTAATTTCATATTTTGTTATAACATCTTTCCAGGGACCAGATATGGCAACAGAAGATGAGTACTGGGATTTGTGGGAGGCAGTAAAAGAAGATGACATTGATGTGGTACTTGGAACAAGCCAATGTAGCATTTTTTTTGTTTAATTTTTTTGGCAGAAGATGATAAGTGCTTGAGGTTTCTAACTGTCCTTTCTTGCTGAGTTTTATAGGTGGAAAATCTTCGCCAGGAGAAGAACATTAGATTCACTCGATGTCAGGATAACAAAACCATTCTTCATCTTGGAGCAGAGAGAAATGCAGTCAAGGTATTTGAAATTGAGTTGTGTCAGCATATCTGGGAAAATAATCTGCTCTTTTTCAATCCTGTCTTCAAGCTTAAAGCTTCCCTCTTTATTACCAATGCTGAGCACATCTAAAGGAGAAGTAATTTTTTAAGGTCTTGTGTCACCGTCCAAAAAGCTGTATTCAAGGACTTTTATCATTTCATCTACCCAGTGTGGAGACAAAGACAATGAAAATGATAAAGACAATATTAATGATACTGAATGATTAAGTTAATCATTATAATGATAATTATGATCATGACAGTGACATTGACATTGACAGTTAGAGTGATAGTGATTGTGATAATGATAATGCTGATGAAAATGAAACTTTTTAAAGGTAATCCAGTACTTGCTGACTCATGGAAAAATGGATCCAAATGTCAAAGATGAAATATTACAGGTTTTTTCATTAAGCATTTTTAGTAGATTACTTAGTCCTGAAACAATTTTATCAAATGCATGTCATGCCAGGTCATCAGTTTGAATGATTAGGTATTTTTTATTTAGTAATAAATCTTTATAAAGAAAAGATGGAGAATATTGGTAATTTTCAGTGAAGGAGTGCATAATAATGGGAGTTTATTTCAGTCATTTCTTTATGTGTCTTGTTGGGGGCTGGTTCTTGTCCACAATGGACAAGCCAGGCGAGAGTCAACTGTACTTAAGTTCTCAATGAACACACAGCTGACACAAACCAATTGTTTCCTATATTTTCAACAGGGTAGTTTTAAGAAGAAATTCCAGTGATTTGTCTTGTCTATTTAGGGGGTCCCTCTCCATGGCGCAGCAGAATATGGATCAATTGATGCTGCCAGAGTTCTTTTAGAGCATGGAGCAGAGGTAAATCAAGTGAAACTTGCTGGAACTGTTGATAATAGACAATTTGTCCTGACTAGGTTGTTCATTTTCAGTTGAGCCCTTTGTAAATTGAGGATTATTCTTTTTTTTTTTTTTTTTAATTTACATGAAATTGAGTTTGATACCCTTATCTTCATCCAGATCAACAAGCAAGACCTAATTGGGAATACAGCATTACATATTGCTTGCGAACATGAACAGGTGAGATGCCAAGAGGAAAGCAAAAGATTGATAGCCAATGACGTAATGCTACATTCTATTATAGAAAATAACATTAGTTATAAAAACGTTACTGTGACCTGATTGGTTGGATGCTTGTTTTGTATTTAAATTATGATGAAAAGTTAGATTTGTACAAATTATGGAGCAGAAAATCAGTTAAGCAGAGTCTGATGAAATGTGCTGGTATATTGTTTCATTTTTAAAGGTTAAAATGAGAACATTCCTCATTGATCAAGGTGCTGATAAAACTATAAAAAACTCAGGTATGTAATAAACTTATTTTGATTATATGATTGTTTTTTAAGGAGGAATGCTTTTTTAAAAAGTTACACTCAGTATGTTTTGTTGTTCCAACATTGTATACTAAGAATATGATATCTTAAAAACACTTTTTTTATAGACATTTTATCTCTCCAGATGAAAGTATGTCTTATGTCATCACTAGTGCATGATAAGGAGACTGGAAAACAACTCCCAGGAAACCCACAGATGTCCCTTTTCCAACTAATGGTCTTCTCATCCTGCAGGTCACTTTACCCTTTTGGGCTTCTCATCTTGTGTGTCTTCTCATCCAGCAGGTCTTCTCAGCCAGTGCATCTTTTCATTCCATGGGTCCTCTCACCTTGTAGGTCTTCTTGTTCCATGGGTCTTCTTGTTCAGCAGGTCTTCTCATCCAGCAGGTCTTCCTATCCTGCAGTTCTTCTCATCCAGTGGATCTTCTCATTCCATGGGTCTCTTTATCCCACATGTTTTCTCATCTCACATGTCTTCTTATCCAGTAGTTCTTCTCATCCAGCATATCTTCTCATCTCGTAAGTCTTCTCATCCAGTAGGTCTTTTCATTCCTCAGGTCTTCTCAGCCAGTGGGTCTTTTCATTCTTTGGGTCTTTTCATCCTAGGCGTCTTCTCATTCTGTGAGTCTTCTAATCCAGCAAGTATCCTCATTGTGCAGGTTTTCTCATTCTGTGGGCCCTCTAATCTCTTGGGTCTTCTCATTCAATGGGTGTTCTTTATCCTGCAGGTCTTCTCAACAAGCAGGTCTGATCCTGTGCGTGTTCTCATCTTGTGCATCTTCTCATCCTGTGATCACTCTTATCCTGCATATTTTGGTCTACCCTTTCCACAGGTCTTATGATCTATAATCTATAAGCTATAACACAATGCATTTTTTATAGGTGGTTTTTGTCCAGATAGTACTGAGATGATATGTTGTGTTCTTGTATTCCTTTTTTTTTCTTGCAGATGGTGAAACTCCTACTGTTTAGATACAAATTATTAAATATGTATTTTGACTTTTGTGTAGATTACTTGTGAAAATTTATGAAAAATCACTCAAGATTCTCTGAGATGCACAGCTAATCAAAATTTGTATTGAGATAAATTAAAAGTTTAGGGCTACTTCTTTAACATTCTTCTTATGAAAATATAAACAGAAAGGATTTGCCTTTAAGTTGTTGTTAAGTGGTATCCTAGGTTAATGTTTTCCTTCTTTTTTTTTTTTTCCTTAATTTGCTTTCTTAGCTCTGTCATTATCTTTCCAGTGATCAGGAAAGTATTTTGAGGGTGCTGGTGTACTAATAAATTATTTCAACTAGCAAGATGAAAATATTGTTAATTAGTATATACAACACAGGTAAATAGTGCTTTTCGCATGTGCTGATTGGCTAGTTAGGAAGTGATTAGCAAGTACTATTCACTACTAAGCAGCAAAATATACAGAAGTGCACATCTAGAGTTAAATCTCTGACCATATTTTGGTATATTGACAGAAGTAAACTTATTTTTTCGGTTTTGTGTGGCATATGCTAAAACAATTATGCACCTTAGTATTGGGAAAGGTGTGGATGCTTACTTACAAATATTTTTGATGTAAAATAATGGAAATTTGTATTTATAGTAGTTGTATTTAGCACAAAGATTATCCATTATTTGATTGTAAGATTTTGTAATATTTGTTTGAAGGGAGTCTTGAAGAAGTTATTTATTAAATGGGTACTATTTTTTGACATGAAGGAATGTTATTAAGGGCTGTAAACAGTTGAAATTATGAAAGTTTTCTTAATAAATGGTTTCAATAAAGTAATACCTTGAAGGACATAGTGATGTGAATTATACAATATTATATATGACAGAGTGCTTGTACTGAATACTATTGGACACAAATCCCAGTGCAAGAGCAGTATGTGGTGTGAGCAGGGCCTGAAAAGGTCCTGCAAGATGCTAGTCAAAGGAAGAAATAGAAGGGGCGAAAGTCACTGCTGACACATAGTAAAATGCTGATTGATCAAGTGAGGTTAGGCCTGACAGGAACATTTTTGGCTTTTGATCATGTCACATGTACCTTGCTGAGTTTAATCAATTAGCTATTAGTTCAAGCCAAATATTTATCTCTCCAACCCATCCACTTAATCAACAATATCTCACATGAAGTCACAAAATCAGTCTAATAATTTGCCTTCTAGCTGCAATGCACTTCATTGTAAATTGGTTTAAAGAATAGTTGTTTAACTAATTCACAAAGAAAAAAATGAACTGTACCATGGAGTTTGGTTTCAAACCAAATCAAAGAAGTGCATTGTACAAGATTAAAGAGAAGGGAAAGTGCATTGTACAAAATTGAACTGCCTGAAGAGAAAGAACTAACTTTTTATCACACTGATGTGACTTTGACTTTATTTATATTACAAATTAATATAATTTCCTACAAACAGGTAACAAGAACAAGCTGTTGTATAAGCTCTATGGTGTATCTTCATAAACATGGAAATTTTTTTAGGAGGGGTGGGGGGGGGGGAGGAGGAGGAAGGGGAGAGAGGTACAATAGTTGTGAGTCATTTTACTTTATTGCACCTAAATTTTTTAATTAAAAATCTTCTAATTTGCAAGTGTCAAACATTGTGACAGTGTGAGGTAGTGCATAAACTGTATTGCAGAAGTTGCTAAAACCCTTTAAACCCTAAGTAACCAGCATCTAATTTCTCCCTACAGTATTTTTGGTGAATCATTCATTAAGAACTAGAGAATAAAGAAAATGATTGCTAACCTAAGATGCTTTGATAGTTAAACAAATTGTCCCTGTCAGTACCAAAGGTAATGTAGAGAGGAGTATGGAGAATAAGGATTCTGGCTTTAGGGTTTAACCCTTTAACTTTAACTCCCATGAGTGACCAAGACAGAATTTCTCCTTACAAAATTGATATGATATCAATCAGATAAGTGATAAGAACAAAGAAAAATATCAATTTGGGGTTAATTAATTGATCCAATGCTAAATTCTCTGAACTAACATAAGAATTGTATGGTTAACAGTAAGGAGAATTACAAATTTGATCTAGGAGTTAAAGGGTTAAATTATCACGCTAACAAAATTACAACTTCACAATATTTATTTAGCAAATTGGTATACATTTCTTTCACTTTCTTGAGACAATTTTCTCTCCAATATTATTTAACATTAAAAATTTCAGCATAAAGTACTTTGTTGAATTTTATCAAATAAGCTGGACAATCAATTTTGTGCCATTTCATTTCAGTTTGAGAGATTCCAGATAATAAAAAAATATATTCAAATATTAATGAGCCAAAACTGAATGCATAACATCTAATTAACATTACACAAGAATGAAAGGACATTCTCAAATCCTTGTGCATCACTGCCAAAATCTGACAAAGAATTTAGTATACGTAAGCATTTTACAGCAATTTTTTGCAATGCTGACCTAAATCCGTTTGTTTCAAGCTCCTACAGCATGTGCATGCAGCTAATTCTATCATTCTTTGAAGTTGCATCAATGGGTTAGATGTTACACTGCTTCAGTATGACTGCTTAGTTTGATGGGAAAAAGGTATTAACAGCTCTTGAATGAATAACAGATCTTGAATGTGACAATTAAATATTCAGAAGTGAGTCTGGATAAGCAAAAATTCCTTATAATTGAGGTTCAGATAATTTAAGTTTGATTTTATTTAATTTTCATAATCATATCCTTTCCAAAGGTGGAAATAAAATTGTATTGGTTTCTAAAGTGTGCTTTCTTAAGAGTGTCTTCTGAAAATCACAATTTTGAATAAATTGCTGCTGTAGTTCTTCCACATGGATGAAAGACATAAAATGTTGTACATTAAAATAATAAAATGCTTTGGTCAACACACAAAATGTATCCAATGTTATTTACAGTATGTTTTTTCTAGTAAAAAGGTATTAACAGCTCTCGATTTCCTAATAGAATATTTTGCAAAGAAACACCCAAGTATTAAAATCTTAGCCCAACCTTACAGTTTCTTTTGTTACATTGTTGGCTACATGGAAATGTGTTCAAACAACTTTTGAGGTAGACAAGTCTGTCTTTCGCAATATTTCTCTTGTGAAGTTTGCCTTGAAGCCTTGACTTCAAGAGCACAACCCCAGCTCTCTAGCTCATATCCAAACTGTCCAATGTGTACCATTCACCCAGTGAGTTTTTCTGCACACCATAAATACAATGTTACTCAAAATAGTTAATCATACAGTAACATTAAGGTAATAAAGTGAAAAATTGTACCACAATATCATTTCTGTATCTTAAAGTTCCCAGTTGCTTCAGTCAATCAGTTCACTAGTGTCATGATGTTGGATAAGGTTGGCCCTACATTGGAGCTGGAGGCTCCTGTATAAAATGCATTACATTACTGTGAAGCGCAAAGTAAATAAATTAATTAATGATCCCTTATAAATCGTAGTGAATTAGGAATGAAATACAATAAGAATGTAGATATTAAGGTATATCTAAAAATATATAAAAGCTACTACCCATCAATATTAACTATGATAGGCTTTACTTTTAACTGTTGTTGAAAACACACTTGAATCTTGAATGGAAGTAGGTTTATGTCTAAGTGTGCAGAGTATCATATGCAACATACCAGCAAATGTGACCATCAAGTGGTGCCAATCAACCATAACCATGAGATATGTTGAACAAGGCTCAGTTGATCAAAGAGCAGATAAAGCTATCCAGAAGATAAGTGTTAGCAAAACATACTGCCCTTTCAACCAGACAGAGATTTATCCAGTGCATAGTGTTATCCTCTCTTTGAACAACAAGGTACACAGATATTTCTTTGTATACATATATGTGTATTTTCAGATTCTACAATCAACTGTTGTCTTTTTCATCATTTGAAATGTCCCTTGCAGGTACATAAGTTTTCTGTGTTACAGATATTCTTTTGGGAAACACATTGCAAGAAGTTAAATATGTGTAGCCTTCAGGGCTCAGTTGTATTATGGGCCAATAATGCTATCCAATGGATAAATCGCTATCCAGTGGAAAAGGGAAAGCAAAATGTATAACATTATTCACCAGATAGAGTTTTATCCAGTGGATAGTGTTATCCAATCTTCAAAACAACTGAGACCAGGTCTGTATCCCCATTTTTCTCTACCATGGAAGGATGTGTACTTCAGATTACAATGGATTTTAACATCCTTCAAGTACCCCAGCACAACCACTTGAAATGGACTGTCCAAGCTCTCACTTTGCAAGGAGCGTATCAGTTTGGTTGACCAGTTCCCACCAACAAATTCAACTACACCTGGTTAGATGTCAAACTGAAGACTTGACTGACGAAACAGTAACTGGAATAGCCTTGAGCTCAGTTCTCATACAAACAAATTCACCTATCACAGCCATCAATGCCATACATGTTAAGTTCAACATCCACCAGCTACCGGATGATGGAAAACCATCATAAATACAGCAGTTGACCAAGTGTATAAGATGTGCAGTGGCAGCAAAATCCAGACACTAGAGACAGGAAAAGATCAAGTTCTATCAGCTTGGCTTACAGAGCTGTAATTGGGCCTGGGGGGAAAACACCACAATCAGTTCCATGAGATAAGTGTGCCCAGTGATCTTTTTTGTCCTACCAAATTTTGTCCAGCCTTACCAATCTTCAAAAGTGCCATTCTCCTGCCTTGAGGCAGGACAAATTTTACATGTAGCAATAAACTGCAAGGAACCTGCTTCTTTTGAAAACCCTGGGGTAGGGCTTTATCAGAAACTCCTAATATTTCTTCCTTGTAATTTTTTTTTTTTTAAGTTTATGGCATTCAAATTTGAAATACAATGCATATTATACTAATTACATATTGTCTCTGAGTTCTTGAAATACTGGTATTTAAATTTGAAGATAAAAATTCACTTACTTGCTTTGCTCTCCTAACAATCACCCACAATCCACCAGCCCTATGTAAAAATACACTTGGTGGTTGAGATTTGTCCTTGATTCAAATGTTATTTTCCCTTGTTTCCAAACCCATTATGATACATAGTCATACCCAAACAAAGGAAAATAACCGTTACAATTAACCCAGCATTTACCAGGGTATCCAGTTATTTCACACCCACAGATGTTTGGAACTCAGTTGGGATTGTACAAAAAATCTATGGGTACAAAACGACAGATAAGCTATACAAGTTAAGGATTACTAAAAAATAAATTCCAAATTAAAGTTGAACCCCTATGACTCAAACCCTCAATTCCCTTGGCAATTTGAGTAACCAGGGCTCAACTGTGGGTTTGCACCCTTACAATGACACACTCCGACGAGCAACATCTCAAATAGACTAAACGCCCAAGGGGTCAGAAACCTCGGAAAATTCATACATTGTAAAAACATCAAAAGTTTTGGAATCACTTTACATTCCTAAACCAACATTTGATATTTAAAGAATTTCGAAACAAATTTTCAGAGGAAATTCAGTGAAAATCTCTGACTGAGGGGGGATTTCGTCTACTTAGGTGGTTGCCCAGCTGCCGGGCATGAGCGAAAGAGCAGACGCAATCAGGAAATTAGTTAATAAAATACCTCGACAAACGTGTTTCCACTCAAGACATTTTATGGATTGCGGGCAATAACTCAGTATTCAAGGCTTCAACAAACAATTGACACTGGCTGTCATTTTGATTGCGCCTTAATTAATAAATAAATCAAAATTTATTCGACTACAAAAGTGTACTATGTTCATTAGAAATAGACGGAAAAGAAAGTCTACGGTCGGTTACCGTAGAATTGTTTACTGACCCAGTAAGCGTGTTCAGGCAAAAAGCCACCATCGTTATCTTTCCCCTAGAAGAAGTAAATTGAATATCCTGTGGGAAAAGAAGTATTTTTGATTAAAAATATGCTGCTGAAGGACATCTAAGGATGAAGAGGGATAAAAGATGGTATTTACCTCTTCACTAAAAAATTGGTCTAGCGACCGCGAATTTCCCGTCGAAAAGTCAACGAACGCAACCCAGAGAGCTAAGAATAAGTAATACACGCATTGAACGGCAACAATTTGCGAAATAATAAGGCATGGATCCCAAACATAACTCCTAAATCCAGCGGCCATGTTCAGTAAGTTGGAAATACTTGACGTGTCGTGACGTCATTTCTGTAATGGCGACATAATTTTCCCCTTCTATCTCCCCCAAAGAAGAGGGATCAAACTGATGAAACCCAGTAGTGAGACTGATTTCTTTTGCTTATTTCAATGTACAGATATTTTGTAGTATGTTGCAAACCAGCAGTGTAGATTGTCCAGTTTGTGGGCGCTCGTTTTCAGCCTCGTTTGTGAACGAACACGTGAATAAGTGTCTGAACAGTCAAGATATTGAATTGCAAAGCAATGGAGGCAGCGGACAACATGAAAAGGGCATGTTAGCAAATAGTCTTCTCAAAGGGAACACTAAATCTCCAGATGGATCAACAGTCAGAAAATCGAAAAATGAAAAGGCTTCCAACAGCTGGTTTGGTAGTCCTCCGACAAACGCCTTGAAAAGGAGTTCTTCTAATTTGGCGGGAAAAGCAAGTACGGATTCTTCTTCGAAAAGGTTGAAGTTGCACCAAAATGGTCAAGAAACGCAAAATAAAGTAACAGAGGAGCTCCTTTCTCTCCAACACTCTAGTTCACCATCTCTCGGCCAAAAGAAAGGCATAGAACACAACAAGGGGCAAAAATCGAAAAGCAGTCAATTTACTCCATTAGCTGAAAGAATGCGGCCTAAAACATTAGCAGAGTATGTCGGTCAAACCCAGGCTGTTGGAAATAACAGTCTTTTGAGGACTTTACTTGAGGCTGATGAAATTCCATCCATGATCTTTTGGGGACCCCCTGGCTGTGGAAAGGTATTTCAAGAAATATCACAAAAAAGCGTGTTGGAAGGGGGGGGAGGGGGGAGGGGAAGAGATGGAACTCCTCTCTAAAATGACAGAAGTGCCCAATTTGCTCTTGAAGAGACAAATTTTTATTAACTAAGACCCCTCTGCACTTTATTAGAGGAGTGCCTCCCCCCTAATGAAAACGCCTATCTACTCACCCTTCCTTCCCCCCCCCTCCTAGTGAGTGACCATTTGGAAAGGTTGTGAAAAATCCTCACATCGTAAATTGTAAATCATCAAACAAAAATGAACAAATAATATCACAGTTAAGGCTACAATCTAGCAATATGAGCTCACTAACCTTATAAAAATTTAATTCTCTTTATGCACAAAATAATGGGTAAAATCATATTGGTCATATTAATCCAGTGTATAGAATCTAAGCTGTCCTCTTTTTGGTTAACTTTTGTTATGGAGTTGTCTCAAGGTTATCATTAAGACTAGAATATTAGGTTTAAACAGTTTTTTCCCCCCCCTCCTCTCTAGGGTTGGTGCTTTGGTGGATTTTTTATGGCATTTTATATACTTCTTACAGATCACTTTCACCCCTAACAGTGCCATTTGGCAAAAAGTTTCAAAACTTTGGCCTGTTATAATTTTCAGACCACCTTGGCTCATATTATAGCCAACTCTGCTAGAATCAATGGCAAGGCAAGGTTTGTGCAACTGTCTGCAACCACTAGTGGTATAAATGACGTCAAGGAAGTTGTCAAAGTGGCTCGGAATGAACAGCAAATGTTCAAGCGCAAGACAATTTTGTTTGTGGATGAGATACACAGATTCAATAAGTTACAACAAGTATGTAACTATATTTTGATGTTTAAACAATCAATACTAGGAATTGTCCTTATTAACTGCTATAGGAAAAGGCTTTGATTGGCTTTATTATTGCTTGAAAGTGACCTTTATTTGCTCCTAAAAAAAGACAGCACCAAAATACACCATGCAGAATTGAGTGTCCAATCTTTCAAAGTTTTCACGCAGAGGATGTGCAGCCCCCCCTCCTTTCAGGCCCATCTAATATGCCTCTTTTTTGTAGGAGAGTTGAAGAGGTCTTGAACCAACCTTTTTTTTTATAGAAGGCATGAAGCATTTAAAAAAACTGGAATTGGTTAGGATGGGGGGGGGCATTAGGGGCATCCATGCTAAGGTATTGACATTATAGATGTTATAGATGTTACCTGATACTAAGGCTAACATGGGTGTCACAAAGGGGGAGAGAAGGGGGCTCACACTGTGTCAAATAGAGGGTACTCACCAGATTGTCATGTCAACCTCCATGCCATGTTTTACTTATGTGACAAAAAGATTCTTACAAAGTAGGGGGGGGGGGTCATGGGCACCCCAGGATCCCCCTAGCCAGAGAGTTCCATGTAATTTTATAGTGTATAATGTATAATTATCATGGATACATCTTTTCATATTTTAGGACACATTTCTCCCACATGTTGAAAATGGAACCATTACGTTGATAGGAGCAACTACAGAGAATCCTTCATTCCAGCTTAACAATGCACTTCTAAGTCGCTGTAGAGTTATTGTACTTGAAAAGCTTACTGTAGATCATGTGGAACAAATTCTAAGAAATGCTGTAAACTCTCTTGGCATGCTAGTGGGTTCAAGGGACTCACTTGTAACAAACAAGAGACAAGCCTCATCTGAGTAAGTCATTTAATTACTTTCTATATATATGTAATTACATGGTTAGGTTTCTAATTCAAGAGTAATCCAGTCTTGGCAAAGTAAAACTGATGAGTAAATTGGTAATGGTAATAGGACTGGGTGGAGTTAAATCAGTTTGTAATCATATGAGTGATAACAAAATTGGACACACACCAGCAGGAGTCAGATTTGTTTATCACATGTATGATTACAGACCTAATCAAAACTACAACAAAATTCTCAAATGTGATTGGTTATCACCAGACTGATTTGAACACTAATAGGACAGTGTACATGTCATGCTTGTAATTGGACAGTGTAATAGGACTGTTAAAGGGACAGTTAACACATTATGCCCGTGTAAGTGGACAGAACATGTTGTGAGCACGCACTGTTGTCTCACATTTTGCCAAGTTAACTGTTGATATTTTCATGAAAACGTATAACTAATGTCTAGCTTCTTTCTCAAATTTTGTCATCATTTTAATTAATTGGTAACAGGACTTTGTGTCATCCAATTCAGTTTGTAATCATACAAGTGATCAACAAATCGGACTCCCACTTTGTGGCCATCCAATTTTGTCAATCACTTGTATAATTACGGACTGAATTAAATTTCACTCAGTCCTATTACCATTATGAATTGGATGACACAAAGTCTTACAACCAATTAATCATAAAAATTACAGTTTTGGGGAAAAAAAGAATAGCCAAGTCATGAAAGAAAGGGAAAATTTGCATTAAAAGACTAATAAAGAGATTTAAATTGTTTAATGTCGCTCTGAGATTGGTTGTGATTGATTGATTGGTTATTGAACTGTCCAATAGCAAACTGTACAATAACAACTTGGCAAGTGAATTAGTGGAAAATGGAAGTTTTTTAAACAAATCACAATAGAAGAAATTGTAATTTTTATGATTAAGTATGAAACACTGTTGTTGTACAAATTTAGGGATCTGTTGCTTCCCTAGAAAGGATGTAAAATCCTTAGGAGTTTCTCTAGATTGAACACAAACCATTCTAACAAGTACCTCACACATGTCACAGAGTATGTCCTTAAGAATTTTACTCTGTTCTTTTGTATTTATTTTTCTTTTTTACAAAATCGTAATGTCATTTTTTATTATTTTTCCTGATAGTGGTGACTTGCATGTGGTTATAGAAGAAAATGCTATTAAAACTCTAGCCAACTTGTGTGATGGTGATGCTAGGATTGCCCTCAATGGTCTTCAACTTGCAATACAGTCACAAGTGGCCACAGTAAAACAAAAACCAAAGAAGCAGGACACAAAAGAACTAAATGGCTCTCCATCATTGCAACAAAACCGTTCACCTAACATAGATACTGATCCCCATGGAGATGATGAAGAACTAGTTTATATCAATGTATCTCACATCAAAGAAGGTCTTCAAAAGACTCACTTGCTTTACGATAGGAATGGTGAAGAACATTATAACATCATTTCTGCCCTACACAAATCAATAAGGGGGAGTGATGAAAATGCTGCTTTGTACTGGCTGGCAAGAATGCTTGTTGGAGGAGAAGATCCTCTCTATGTTGCCCGCAGATTGGTGAGATTTGCTAGTGAAGATGTTGGTAAGTGAGTGGGTTAATTTTTTTACTGTACCTCAATTTTGTGGGGTGTTTTGTTAATTGTTTAATTTTATACCTTTTCAATTTGGAAAGTAGAAAGTGATGTGAATAATAATTTTGATACCCACCTTGCAAGGAGAAAGTATAGTTGATTGTCAATAAACAAGACAGCACCATTTGCACAATAGCTTCCCACATGGGTAAGCAAGGTCATCAGTAATCCTTCCTGTTAATTCGAGAGTAGCATTCATTTATTTGTCTTTTACATTAACACCACAGACATTCAAAATGCTCAATTACTATTATCACATTTTAACCCTCATCTGTAGGTTTAGCAGACCCACAGGCCTTGAACCAAGCTGTGGCCTCTTATCAAGCCTGCCATTTTATAGGAATGCCAGAGTGTGATGTAAGCTGTGTGTTCAGAAATGTTTAACAGTATCATTCTAATCAAGTGTCAAAAAGGAAAAGGAACTGCGTTGGTTTCACTTGAGTGTGTTCTTTGATTGGTTCAGAAAATCTGTGTGAAAATCAATCAGATGCAAAACTAAATTTGACTGAAGCATATGCATGTAAACAGGCGCTTATTATTAAAGCTTTGGCACAAGACTGCCTTTGCCTGCGGTAAAATATGAGGCCTTGAGCAAGGCAAAGTGTCCAGCACTAATATTAGTGCCAGATCCCCAGAGAAGCTCTCTCTGACTCATCTCAAATCTTCTAGCAGCTAGGCTGAGATATGTACCTCCAGCAGGCAGTTAATGAAGGTCTGCTGGCTGGCTAGTTCAACAGTGACTTATTTGGGCCCTTAGACCTCCTTTCCCCTGATGGTGATTACATTTATTTACTTTCAATTGAGTTTAAATTTGCCTCGTGTAAGTTTTACCCTTATGATTGACTGTGTTATTTTTTATGAATCCAATAAACAAGAATTCTATTAGAGAAAGATGCTTTTCATCTTGTCTCAAGGGTGAGACACAGGAAAAATTTTGAGTCCCATGAGGAATCGAACCTCAGACATTCAGATTCTACACTCCAATGCTCTACCACTGAGCCTCAGAGATTCTATGGCTAGCAAGATCCATTACGAAGTGCATGGTTTAGTTTGTACTTTAACTTAGAAAATTTCAGGAAAAGGCAGTTTTAGTTGTATAATATGTCAATGATTGCCATTGATGTAATGGACTCTGATTCGCTGCTAAAGCAAATAATTATATCCAGAAATTAGTTTATGTGAAAACTCACCACATCTGGTGTGTTTTGGCCCCTTGAAACTGGTTCCAAATTATGATGATCTTATCGTCACTCATTTGATTAGTAGTTATCAACAACATATTCCTTAATCCTTTACACCCTAACATCAGTATGCATATTCTCCCTACTGTTCTCTATATATTTCTTAGGGTGTTGACAAGGAGAATTTGTGTAAAAATCAAGAGTTTCTTCAGTTGGTGATCATTTCCTTTATTCTTATGACATTAATTTGTGATTCAAGGGTGATATTGTAAGGAGAATTAGAAATCAGTCACTCTGAGAGGAAGAAGGGCTAAGTGGCCACCAATGATTTAATAGCAGGTTGCACAGTGAGTCAAAACCCAAACAAGAGAGTATCCTTACAGGCAAAACAGATGATAGTGAGAGTCTTACATGCGGCAGTAGACCACTGGTAACCAGCTTATATTGAAACTCGTCATCATTGTCTTCTGTATGATTTAATATTTGATTTTAATGTTATTTTGTAATCCTTACACAGGTTATATTGGCTCAAGCTGTTGTTTACCTTTCAAGAGCTCCAAAATCCATTGAAATATTTAATGCATACGGTGAAGCCAAGAAGTGTGTGCGCAGTTGGGAGGGTCCACAGCCAACAGTACCCTTGCACATCAGAAATGCCCCAACTAAACTGATGAAAAGTTTGGGTTACAGTGCAGGATACAAGTATAATCCCTCATTTGATGGCCCTGTTGATCAGACTTATTTACCTCCAGAAGTGCAAGGTGTTGATTTCTTTACATGGAGCAAAAACAAATCTGGGGGAAATGATGTTTAAGAAATGCGGTGTTCCACATTCCAACATAGCATTTTTTTTCTCAAGGATAGAGTTACTGGATATTTTGAATAGTTTCATGTTGTGTTTTTTAAATAGAGTAAGACAGATAGGAGTCTTCCTCAAGGAATCAAATTGCAAACATTAAGACTTCCGATGTTCTACCATAGAGATACAAATAATTTTTTTGATTGAGCAGTGTTGAAAGCACTGTGCACCTATAAAGGAGTAGGAAAGATGGTAATTTCTAAGCTTAGTGGTTAAACAAAAAAAGTTAATTCTTCTGTTGTAGGTGTTAGACATGGAAAAAATTTATACTAAGTACATCTCAAGGTATTGTTATATACCTAGACTTACACTAAACAGAACAAGCACTGTGATTGGTTGATTCTTGGTTATGTGCCACTGATGAAATTCAAATGTATCCCGACCAGGATACAATTGCACAGTCGTTGCCTGCGCACAGAATACAACAGCGGGTGATTGCCATATGATTGATTAAGGGAAAGTTTAAATATATAACAAAGCACTTAGTGTATGGTCCCTCGCGAAACTAGTTAATTTTGTTTTCTCTTAAGTCTTGATGTTTTCCTTAACTTTATCTCAGGAAACATCAGGCCTTTCGGGAAAACAAAACTAACTGTTTCCCTGCGACTATACATTAAGTGTATAGTATTTTCATTACCTATTTGCAGGACAGTCTACAGGCATTATAGGGAGAAGTTATCTGTTAATCACTTCCAAGAGTTTAAGGGTTAAATGAATCAAAATGAAAAAATAAATATGAATAAGGGAATATTTTAATTACCTAACATAGAAATGATGTTTAAAATATTTTTCGTAACAGTACTTTTTTTTTTTCACGCGAAAATCACTTCGATAACGTTTCGCGAAAAAATGTATAAAAAATTGTAGTTTGACAGGTCTTGGTAAACCAATACGATGTAAATTTGCCGAGTCATTGAAATGAACTGAAATGTATCTTCTTGACAAATTACTCACGAATCACGCCTTATTCTTACTGAGCAATAATTTTCGGTGGAAACTAGCTGTTTTTTCCAACTTTTTGGACCTTAATATCCTAAATGTTGGAGGTCTCTCGATTACTACTGGTCTCTACTTCTCAAGTTCTCCAAACTCCCGTGTGCGACCATAATATTCCCGCCAACTATAATAATTAAATAATTGTCCAAGAAGAACAATCCAAAATTTTGGAAATTATTTTCAGACTATAGTTGGTTATAATTATTGGGGATCGCTAGCCCTTCAGATCACCATGTTCTCCCGCCATGCGTTCAAGCACGCGAAAAGACAATTACTCGGCCAAGTAATGGTAACTACATTGTTCTTCAAAATGGAGGACGATACCATGCGAGGAAGTCCTTGAGTGTTTATCTCTTCCTGTCGCTGGATTTAGGCATATTTTTTTTTTTTCATTTTATTCTGCCAGCGGTTATTTCCCCGGTCCTCTCAATAATCTAATCAAAATGGTGAGCTTTGCCGATCTGGTCTCTTTGCCTAAGGGTGCTTCGAAGGCGAAGTGGCGAACTCTGTTGTATATTTCGTGACTTTGCATACAAGCACGTCAACAATTCAGTCGTGATTTCAGTATAGTTATTAATTTTTCCTTTTAACATTTGAGACGATATTTTGTTCCCAATGAACGCTTTCTTCGGCCAAATGCCCAGTAAACTTTGCGTGCGTTTAACCCGCTCCGTGGTTGAAACTTTTGATTAAAAATTCCACAATTTCCATTAAACTTTACAGACGACATTCAAGCAACGTCTTGTTCGAAGTTTGGTCAATCACGGTTTAGCTGTTGTGGGCTGCACCACGGTTATAGTCACATATCATTTCTCGACGAGTGGCGACGAGAGATTTTACAGATCCATTGTCATGCCAGTTGTAATGAAGGTTCTTGATGCTGAACGCGCCCATGCATTTGCTGTATGGTTGGCTTCCAAAGGTCTTGTTCCTGTGGACAGAACTGGTGATCCAGAGATCTTGGTAAATGCAAATGTTATTTGAGAAAAAGAAATCGGGTTTGAGGGGGGTAAACTGGCCTGCTTTCTCCACCCTTCTCCCCTACCCCCACTTTCCTCCCCAACCACCCATGTTGCCCATCTTTCCTGAGCAGTTCACCTGTATCCTTTTAAACTCCTGAGGAGAGAGATTCTGGGAGAGTGTCATCAAAGAGCACAATGTAATTCACCATAGCAAGGGCTCCTAACTTTTTAACACCCAAGATCTCATTAGTAATTCTCCTTACTGTCTGTCATACAATTCTTATGATGCTAGTTCTGAGAATTTAATACTGGATCAACTGGGACATCCCCAACCTCATATTTTTCTTTATTCTCATCACCTGTCTGATCGATAATGTAAGGAGGAATTCTGCCTTGGTCACTCACAGGAGTTAGAGGGTTAACAAGATCTTCAAATCTGAAATCCATTACACTTAGGTTGGTGTATCTCTCTTACTTGGGGTATTCAAACAAAAATAGCCTTGAGGGTCAGAGAAAAAGGCTTTGTGAGAACCTTCAGTACAGTGGGTATCTATAACCACTATACTGCTTAATGATTATATTGCACTGTTGAAACAGGATGAGAGTGTTTCCTTGGGAGGGGGGGGTTATTTCTTAACAATAGACTAGTAAGGATGTGCTATTAGGTGTGGTGGTATTTTCTTGACTGGATTGACTATCATGGAGTTTCATTTCCAACAGAGTCACTAGAGTGGGGTCACACATTTTCAGAAATTTTTGGGATAATTGACCATAATGGGAAAAAGGTTCTACCATGCAAATACTCAGCAAAAATTGACCCAAGTATCCCACCCTAGGGTCTTTTCCTCTATTCTTAGAATTTACATCTTAGGGATTTTTCTGTTTTTTTTTAACTTATATTATGTTTTATCACAATTATTTGTGTGAGAACTTACATGATTGACTTGCAACTTCTTATTTGAATCCAGAGAACCACAGTATTTGGTCTTCCATTTCCCAACCCAATTGGATTGGCAGCAGGCTTTGACAAGCATGGAGAAGCAGTTGATGGATTATTAAAAACTGGATTTGGTTTTGTAGAGATTGGAAGTGTAACTCCATTGCCACAGGCTGGTAATGACAAGCCTAGAGTATTCAGACTTATGGAAGATAAAGCTGTTATTAACAGGTAAGGCCATGGAAAGAAAAACTTATTTTAACTCCCTGGAGCCTGAAAAAAAAAATTATGTAAAGCTATGTTATGCACATAGAAAAGGTCAGTCTGTATCTCATACTGTTCACATTTATGTTGATACAGTGCAGTTGAACCTCTCTTTTAATGCACTTCTATTCAGGAGATAACTCTGTTTAGGAGATTGATGGGGCTGTCCTGGTGTACTGGTACACGGGGGAATTCCTATTGTTTTCATATCCATACATGGAGTTGTGACGCAGTTCGTTAATGCTTGTTCCTTTGTGTACCGGTACACGAGGACACAACCAGATTGATGCTGACTGGTCTTAACTGAACAAAATGCTCCAGTAATTACCCTTGTCTCCATTATCCTCATTGAAATTACACCTCCATGTTCCAAGGGTGTCATCTTCATTGGGGCTCTATGGTTTGCTGTCAGAGATTGAGCAATGAATCAGCTGAAATAAGTGTTTAAAAAAGACAATATTATACTTTTTGCTGAACTAAAAATGAAAATAATCTGTATGAAGAGATGTTCAGGTCTCATTTTTCTAACTTATTTCCCACACCTTACTAGAATTGACAACTTTGTTTCATTCTTATTAGATATGGTTTCAACAGTGATGGACATGAGACTGTACGATCACGACTGGAGGAGCAGGTCAAATCTAGGGGGCACCCACCTGGAATCCTTGGAATAAATCTTGGTAAAAATAAAACATCTAACAATGCCGCAGATGACTATGTTAAAGGAGTGCAGTGCTTCAGTGGCTTGGGAGACTATGTGGTTATCAATGTTTCATCTCCAAATACACCAGGCCTGAGATCTCTACAGGGCAGACAAGAATTAGAAAAACTAATTGATAAGGTGAGATGAGTAAGTTACCATATTCGCTTGGGTTGTGCAATAACTTCTTACTAACCAAGTGCGAGGGCAGTACTGTAAGTTATGGGGGAACAGGGACAAAGGTTAGGGAGATAACCTTAGAATTCTGAGCTTCTTGTTTTTTGCTTTTAGGTAATTGAGGCTCGCAGTTCGTTGCCTGTAGATGTACAACATCCTGTATTGGTAAAGATTGCTCCAGATCTGACAGAAGTTGACAAAGAAGATATTGCAGCTGTGGTTACAAGGAAACAGGTCTGTTTTGTTCTATTTTAGCCCATATGGCTTTGTCCTTTTAAATTATGGAAGTTCAGAGTTTGAGAAATATTTCACTTCCGTAGATAAACTATTAGAATGTGATGATTTCTAGGGTGGAGTTGATGGAATTATAGTGACAAACACAACTGTTGCAAGACCAGAAACATTACAGAGTAGTAACAAGAAAGAAACTGGAGGGCTGAGTGGAAAACCTTTGACTGAAATGTCCACACAGACAGTGTCAGACATGTTCAGACTAACAGAAGGTGAGGGTCTGAACTATCATTTTTGGGTTTTACTCTGTCATTGTTTTCAAAGTACAACCCAGAAAAATGAAATTGCAGGTGTTTCAACAAAAGCTGCTAAGCAGTAGTAAGACCTCTCACTACTGTCTTTTTAGTTGCAAAGCACTCTTTTTAATGCCTACAATTTTCGAGATTCTCCATTTCAAATTTTTCTTTGAGGAGAATGCCCCAAGAACCTTAGAGGAAAGGGGCCTCATGGCGTCTTTTCCAGAACAGCTGCACATTACATCATTGGCAGCTTCTTTTGGCTAAAGTTACTAAAACCCCTGGAATTATGATTAATTTTGTTTACTGAACTTTCTCCTAGTTAGGATTTACACTGTAGCTTTTCTTCTGATGGTACACAACTAAACAGCTCATCATCACCTTTGTTATTCTGTCTACCTATGAATTGCTTGCAGCTGATCCTAACAGAATGCAGGATGGCTGTTGCACATGGACCTACAGCTTACTATTAAGTTGGGGCTTTTTCTTCAATTCCTGGTGCTACTTTCTTGATTTATGAATATTAAATGGAATCAGGATGGGTAATGGGTAACCTGAAGGTCATGGAATTTTGCTATATCATTTTCCAGGCTTAGAGAGTCATTCGGTTTTAGTGTTGGTATAAAGAAAGACTGAGAAAATGGCTGAAAGCATTTCTTTCTTTAGTAGAAATTCCTTTGTCTGTGAAAGTTTTAAAATTTTGTAAGTCCAAAAGTGTTCCTGCTAAAGAATGTTAAATCACTCGGTAAGAGTGAAGTTATTCTGACTGGTCTTTCCTATGTACTCCTGACCATGATTTTCTTAATGTTCTAAAGGCAAAATACCAATTATTGGTGTTGGAGGGATTTCTTCAGGTCAAGATGCCTATGACAAAATCAGAGCTGGAGCTTCATTGATTCAGCTATACACAGCCCTTGCTTATGAAGGACCTCCCATTGTGAAGAAAATAAAGAGGGAACTTTCCGAACTCCTGAAGTTAGTTGACATTCTTTTTTTTTTTTTTAATGCTTTAACTTTCTGAAGTGATTCACATGTAACTTCTCCCTACAATATCCATGTACTATCCAGCAAACAGGTAATGAAAATACTCAAATGTATCAGGGAGAAGTTGTCATCTTGATCTTGCACCAAATTCTTGGAACTAATTTACAAGGAAATGTGTAGCAGCTAGAGAGGAGAATTAACAATCAGATCTTGGGAGTTAAAGGGTTGATTGATTCCCCTTATAAGAATATGAGTATCATAATGGTAAAATGTACCTCAAAAACCATCACAGGTTTTGTACAGGTCATGGTAAACCCCAAAGGTCATGAAATTCCATGATCTTCCAGACCTGAAAAGTCATGGAATTTGAGTCTGGGTCATGAAAAAGGAAAAAAAATTATATTTTAAGAGTAGCAAAGAGATGAGTATCCTTTTGATTTGATCATTTCCTCTTTATTTTGGGAGCAACATCTCTATAGTAGGTCATGGAAAATATCAAAGAGGTCCTAGACAACATGGAAAGCAGTAGAATTTTAGGATTTTGAAAGAGTAAAACTCTGTATCATCATTGCTATACAGGTTGTAGCATTGCTAAGTACAGTTAGCGGTGAATAAGGAATTCAGGAAACACACATGAAATGTAACTCATATTTTATTGTGAGCCTTATTTTAGATACTTACACTTCAACTTAAGATATTTTGTTTTGTTGATCTCTCCCAGGAAGGATGGTTTCAAGTCAGTAGAAGAAGCTGTTGGTATTGATCACATCAAACCCATATGACCACTGAGATGCAAGAATGGAAGCTTTCACCTTTTTTTTCCAAAGAGTGTAAATGCCACTTGCTATTTAATCTGCAAAAATGGAAAGCACACAATATAGGTCCTTTTTTGAATTTGTCGATCAATTTAATATCTAATTCCATGATACAATCTGACCAAGTCATTTTTGCAGTAAAATTAGCGTGACCTCCATTAACATATAATTGTCATCTCAACACACAGCATTCTGACCAACAAGCAACTATGCTGATTACAGCATTAACCCTTTCAGTCATCTACAAAACATTTGTTAACTTACACAATCATGTAGTTCAATGGCACTGTTTGATATGATGAGTGAGGAGCTTAAGTGGTATTTTTGAGAAGGGTATTTAAAACTGGTTCATTTGTATTTGAATAAAACATGTCAAGAGTGTTTTGCAAGAATTAATAATTTTGTCATAATTTCTGTTGTTGTCATTGTTGTTAGACTGCAGGTAGACTTCTGGTTACCTTAGCTCACATCCTGAAAACTCCTCTTCATGCCCTTTATAGGGGAGTTGAAATTTGTGTAGAGGTTGCTCTTCAAAGAGCACACTTAAACACAAGGGCATGCAATAAAAGGAGAGGTGCCTGGATCATTTGTAAATCAACTGTAGTGATGTACAGACCTCTATATTTAAAACAGCTTGAGCTGCAGCCAATCCAAAGCCAGAGAACAGAAGGTTGATTTCTCGAAAGCTCTAATAAGTTATGCATTTTCATCAAAATAGAAGAATTTGTTGAGGTTTGTATCTCCTTTGAATCAAAATCATCTTCATTTGTGGCGTTAAATTTGAAATTCCGAATGATTTGCTTACCATCACATAATATTACCACGGCATAATTTGCATTTGAGCTGAAACCAAGGGGCAGAGCCAAGCTATTTATAGTACACCTTTGTGTATAAGGACCACTTTTGCCTTTGTTTCATGCATCCACTATTCCTTTGTGGCCAATTTTAAAAAGTAGGGACTATGAAGATTGTGAGAGATGCCTTGACTAGGCAACAAAAAACATCATTTACCTATCCACATTCAGTCAAGAACTTTTGGTGTCAGATCAAGGAACTATTAAAGGTTATTGATAACAACTTGTAATGAAATAAATTATTTTCAGTAAAATGGATTCCCGTATTGGATACTACTACTAACAGTCAATAGATGAAGTCATTTGGCTGGCATGACAAAAATGAGAAAATAGAAATGAAAATGCAAAATACACCAAGACATCTTCAGCATCTTTTTTGGGTTCACACTCCGTTCTCGACGTCAAAGGAAAAAACTGAAGCTCGCTCTACCCCCATACCGGGTTTCAGTGTCACGTATAAACGTCACGCTAAACTTCACACCATTCATCGAGTCCGAGAAGGCCTGGATCACTGAAAATATGGCGGCCATTTTGAATGGGAGAGGGCTCTTTGCACGAGCTCGTCGGAAAGGATGCTGGAATGTGGAAGTAAGGAACGTGGCAAACACAACACAGACTACTTCTCAATATTGTATCAACTTGGTCAGGTAGCATTGTTCAAAAGTTTATCATTTTTGTGCGGTAAACGAGGCAAATGCAGCGCGCAATATACTAGCACAATCACTCGGAATGGTACACTGCTTACATTTAGAACCTTTGCTTGATATTAACATAGGAATCTGGATTATGAGAACTACCTCTGTTTGTTACTACTGCCTAAAATATCTAGAACATCGGTGTTTGCTGTGAGAGCCTTCAATGTAGAACTAGCCAGGGTGAGTGAACCAATATTTTTTTGTATATCCCCTTCACGAACACTTTTTTGATTCAACGGTTCCCTTGGGATAAAACCGTTCCCCTCCCCCCCCACCCCCCCCCTTGTGCAACCCCATTTAAAATCCCTAACATTACAGTTCATCATACCACTCACGTAGAAAAAAAGACCATTGGGAGAAGCTAGGTGTTTATCACTTCTGGTAGTTAAAGGGTTAACTAGCTCTGCCATAGTTTCTTGTAAGATGAGTAAACTAGAATTTATTAAAAATCTCTCCCTCTTGCCATACACCTCTTTCATACTTCCCACACATTTGACTTTCTGTCACCTGCATTTTGTTGCCGAAAACTTCAGATTAACCCTGAAACTCCCATGAGTGACCAAGATAGAATTTCTCCCCATAATCTCAATACAATATCAAGCAGACCAGTGATGAGAATAAAGAAAATATCAATTAAGGGATTATTAGTTGATTCAATGATAAATTCTTTAAACTATATCACAAGAACTGTGTGGCAGACTGTAAGGAGAATCACTAATGAGATGATGGGATTGAAAAGGTTAACAATTAATATGAATGTGCATCTTCTAATATTTTTATAATGTGTTGGGTGTATTAAAAATCAAAAGAAAATTTGAAACAATTTGTATGTTTCTCCAACATTAAGGTCCAGGATTCTGTTAGTGATCCAGTTATTGGAAGGATGAGGCTCCAGTTCTGGAGAGATACACTTGAAGAGACTTTCCAGGTGAAATTATCCACCTCTTCTCAGTACTGTAATCAATAAGGGTTTATTGTGGTAATTAACAATTATTTGCCAAATTGGAAAATTATTGACTATTTGCTGCCAACAGGAAGCTAACACATGTGTATTGTATGGCTTTTTGTGTTGCATTTCAGGGAAATCCCCCTCAGCAGCCGGTAGCTTTGGAACTAGCAAAGGTCAGGCTTTCTTGAATTGCCCTTTTTGCAACAAAACCACTTTTTTAAATTACCGATATCAAGATTATTTTAGCTGATTTTCCATTGGTAGGTGAATGTTAAACATTCAACTTGGAATTGGATTCACACTTAGTTGAACATTTTTTAACTAAAATGTTACTGTAAACCTCTTTCATAGATGACAAGCCTTAAAGGGAGAAATTCCTATTTGTTTGTGTGCCAAAAATTACCCATCCTGGTGTCATAATCAAATTCTCACACGCAAATCAAGAGGGCTTCTTTGCATGCAAGTCACAGAATGTTGATAAGGCCCATTATTTATTAACCCTTTACATCCTAACATCAGTATGCATGTTCTCCATTCAGTTCTCTATACATTTCCTAATGTGTTGGCAAGGAGAATTTTTTTAACAATCAAGAGGTTCTTCAGTTGATTATCATTTCCTTTATTCTCATGACCTTAATGTTTGATTCATGGATGATTTTGAAAGGATAAATTAAATGCTAGTCACTCTTAGGGATTAAAGGGTTAAAGGGGTCTAAATGGCATTTGGAACTAATATTAGGCCTGTAAGGTTCTAAAATGCTATTAAGATGCTTGTTTTGTCTCTTTCAGGCTGTCACAAAATACAAGCTGACAAAGCAATGGTTTTCACGTCTCATAGATGCACGAGTAAGCATGTCACATACTCTCTTCCGTCTGGGGATTTTTTTTTGACAGATATTGATTTCCAGCAATTGGAATTTCAATTAATTCTCTCATAACATGACAAATGAGTTGATCCAAGAGTAACAGTTAATAATGTAGTGTGATCATCAGGGTTTAGGTGGTCCTCAAAAGAACTTTTAATCTGGTTTAAAGACATCACCTCAAGACTGTGACAATGACTTCCAAGAAGCTTATCAAAATGTCAGTCACTGCTACCATCATCACTCCTTTTAAGGACTTCTTATACCCAGATGATAAGACTTCAATGTCGTTTCTTTTGATAGCTACCCTTGATAGATGGACACCTCACTTATAGGAACACTCAATTTAGTCATGCCTTTTGAAAGAATGTTTTTTCTTTTCCTTTCCAACAATATATCTAACTCTTTAAAAGTCTAAAATGGTGTCCTGGCTCAGTAATTTCTATTTAATGACATCGTACTTTATTGGATAGGAGAGAAGCCTTGACAACAGACCTCATGAGACAGCAAATGCTTTGGAGGAACACAGTGAAAACGCAGTGTCATCAGTGTTATATCTTATCTTAGAGTGTCTTGGTAACCATCTTTTTTCTTTATAATCCAAACAGATCCACTGAGGGTATATTATCTAACATGCGTTCTTGAATACCCCTGGTAACTAAAGCAAAACAAAAGATGATATTGAGAGGGAAATGTTCACACACAGTTTAGAAGTTGAAGCTAAATTCTGAATTACAAACTGCTGCAACAAAGCAGTTGTTGAATTTTATGCACTTTAATATTGTTTGCCTGTAGGGATAAAAGATGTACATGCTGACCACACTGCAAGCCATCTTGGTAAGGCTATCGGTGTGGCAACAGCACTGAGGTCCACACCTTTCCATGGCAGCAAAGGAAAAGTTTACCTACCAAATGACATAATGATAAAGGTGATAAAGAAGTCTCATGTTTTACATTACAAAAATCAAAATTTTAGGTTTTTCTGTGGGGAACTGAAACTTGTCAATGAGAAAATGCTGGAGGGAGTGAAAGGGATTTTCATCTAATTGCAGTACAAGACTAATCAAACTTACTACAAAACCAGAAAGTCATGGAATTCTACAAGATCACTTAATAGGCCTGGAAAGGTAGCAGAATCTGAGTGTGAGCTGTCTTATCAGCTAATAAATTTAAGAACTACGTAGTTGAGTTGAGTTAAGTAGAGGATCAGACTTAAAGATCAGACTTGAAGGTCTGGTGTTCAAGTCCTAATGAGGAACTCACATTTAATTTCATTGTCCAATACTCATGAAAAAAATATATTTTCTTAGAACATTTGTTTTCTCTTATTCACAGCATGGGGTATCACATGAGGATATTATCAGAGGAAGAAAACATCAGCTAGTAAAAGATGTTACTTATGAGCTGGCCAGTTTAGCACACAGCCATCTTTCAAAAGTATGTGTTTAAGTTTCAGTTTTCAAATATTTCATGGAACATCTTATCACCAAATAAATGTTAATTTTTCAATGCTTGTAACCATAGGCACAGTCACTAATATCTGAAGCCCCCAAACCAGCATCAAGAGCATTTTTGCCAATGGTATGTTTAAAAACTAATTTGGAGGATATTGTTTAGCCAGGGATGGATACAAATTTATTTAATCCATATGGTATTTTTAATTTTTTTTTTTTTTCATCTTCAAATGTTTTTAAAAAAAAACTGTGGTCAGTGGACAAAAAATCAAGTGACAATTGGCCCGTATTTAATTAACCAATGATGAGCAACCAGCTTGGTCAAGATGATGGCTGAGATATATCAACTTATGGTATAGCTCCTATGATCCATAAGCTTTAATCCTTACACTTCCAAGCTCTCCAGATTAATTCTCCTTAATGTCTGCAATACAATTGTTGTAATGTTAGCTCTGAGCATTTGATATTGGATCAACTAATAATCCCTAATAGGTCATTTTACAATTGTGTATTTAGTTGCCAAGCCTTTGATTTGGAGTGAGGCTGAAGGTGACTTTGTTGTGATAGATATAGTATCTAGTTAGCATAATAGCAAAGTAATTTATTGATTTAAAGAGCAGCAACGTTTGTTTCATAAAAGATCACCCTTAGCCTTGCTCCTGTCTAAAGGCTTGGCAACAAAGCATGCAACTGTCAAGAGGACCATTTATATTTTTCGTTATTCTCGTCACTCGTCTGCTTGAGACTGTATTGATATTGCAAGGAGAAATTCTGTCTTGATCACTCATGGAAGTGAAAGGGTTGAGTACCTTGACCCAAATTTTAGTCTGCCTCCCTGCTAAAGTAAACTCTTACAAATCTGTCCATGTCATACAGAGGAGCATGCTCTGAAACACACAAGGCACAAAAATCTATTCCTTTCAGAGTGGAAAAAGATGTCCCAATGCATGATTTGTTCTCCAGCATGGCAGGCTTAATTCTTACAATATCATTACTGCAAGGTGCCGAGGACCCAGTTTGTCATTCACTAATTCTCAATTTCTTGATTTAATAGGTTTCATGCCGAACTTATCTTACACAGATCCAAAAGGTGGACTTTGACATCTTTCATCCAACCCTGAGAGAACGAAATCACTTGTTACCTCTGCTCTTGCTTAAACATGCTTGGATAGGGCTATGAAGTTATGTGAAGTTTTCAGTTAATACCAACAAAGGGAAGAATATGTCATAAAAATGGAGGGCTGAGCCCACAGGCTTGTTTACAAGGAGGCCAGGGATTCTTGTTCAGGGATTCTTGTTCACAAGTGAGGTAAAAAAAAAATACAATGCTACGATTTCTCAAAACACCGCGCAATAGGTGTAGACATAATTACAGGTGTCATGGAGGGTGATGTGATTAGGGATTATTATGATTCTGCCACAGTGACCATCCCCAGTATTCTCCTCAAGAAGAAGGAATGCCGACAAACTATAGATAGGACAAACTGCCAAGGGGTTAGGGATAGATGTATTATTTTGTGAAAAGATATTTAGTATTACAATGTCAATTGAATCCTTTCTCTCTTTTCCTACCTTGTCTTCAATAAATATATACTGGTGGTAAAGAAAGAGGAAAACCCTACAGAACTACAAGGTCCCTCGTTATGATTGCAGCTGTGTGAGAGTTTCTCTGCCTGCAAAGAAACACTCGAGTCACAGCCCTTATAAGGACCTGCTCTAAGGTTATTAAACAAAAAGCTGGATACAGTAATTAGGCAAAGTAGTTACACAGGTTTAAGTACCTTAGCCACTTTTGTAAAGGATCCCTGACAACAATTTATTATATATATACTGAACCACAGGTTGCTTTAGTCTGTATCATATGCACCAAAGTTCAATAAAATTTTGATTGCATTTAGTGAAAAATCATTCAGCTCAAACTTGTTTATAGCCAGATCAGTGCTACACACCTAAATGGCTGTCTACAGCCTCCAATCCAATAAGCAATGTTGGAGTTACTGCTTTTAAAGTACATTTGTATGTATGATTATCAACTAATGTTTATTAAAATATGTTTCCCCTTTCTTTTAAATAAGAAAATCAAATCTCACTTTTTGACTGACTTCAATGCAACAGAAACCACCCTATTTAACTCTTTCACTCTCAGAGTGATAATTTCACAAAGTATTGTCACAATTTTATAACACTTGTGAGGAGATACAATCCCAAGGATATTTCCCTCATACCAGTTCTTTTCAAACAGCCTTTCATAGAATGTATGCTTGTATGATGGGAGAATTTGCTGTCTGATTTTGAGGGAGATGATTAAAAAGCATTATTGTTATAGTAAATAGTATTCTGTTTAACTTTTAGCAGACAGAGAGTAAAAAGTCTTGCGCTAAGCACATTTTTTTTGTAGTATTTCCCATTTAAATACAGTGCATCAAACTTAATGTAACTTTGATTAAAAACAAGGCTGTCCAAATTAATTTCCTTAAAAAGAATTTTAAAAATTTAAAACACTTGACTGTAAGTCAGGGAATGCTGTGTTCCAAGAGGTTGAAACCTGAAACTAGGACAGGTCAATGTGACACTAAGCTTAAAGTGACAAGGACAATTCTCTCTATGAGAATTCTGTAGCTTCAAAAGGTCTCTTAAAATCCAACTAGTTTGAATTTATGTCCAAAATTGGGGTGAGAAAATAAATTGTAGTGACTTATTTTGGAAATACTACACAAAAAGCACTAATCGCTTTGTAAAAGCCAACCTTGAAATGTTTACTTACTCTCTCCTCAGAAAAATTCATTTGGTAAAACAAATCCTCAACAGATCTGAGCATTGTTGTCTTTTAACCCTTTAACTCCCATATGACCAGAATTTCTCCTTACAGTATCAAGACAACATCAATACAATATCAAGCACACAAGTGATGAGAATAAAGAAAAATATCAATTAGGGAGATTATTAGTTGATCCAATACCAAATTCTCCAAACTAACATCACAAGAACTATATAGCAGATAGTAAGGAGAATTACTAATGAGATCTTGGGGGTTAAAGGGTTAAGTCAACAAGACATATGCAGCTGTGCATATTTGATGGTCCATTCCTTTGCTACTCTGTCAAACTGTTCTCTGTCATTCTCATATAACTGAGCAATGTCAGACTCCATGCATATATGACAATTAGGATCTGTCAGGAGAGACTGTATACTGACTAGGACCTTTGGAATAGTCAATGCAAGACTCCAGTTTTGTCCAAGCATATCCACTCCTATGTCACCATGGTAACTAATGTTTGGATGAAAAATTTTTGTGATGAATCTGGGAATTGGTGGCCTCATTGGATAACTCTTTGGTATTTCCAAGTGAAGGAAGAAAAGGCCTCCTTCATAAGGACAGTTAGGTGGACCCTTTATTGATGCTTGCCAATATGATAAACTGTTGTCTAATGGGCGTGCCCTGATGCCCTCTGGAGGATCCATAAGAATTCCTCTCAGTTCACTTTTCAACCTTTTATTCCTCCATGAGTTTATGAGGTTATCTTCTGGAGAATGCTGCAATAAAATTGATAACAATTTGTGATACATTTCAATGAATGGTCAACAGCAGTCTGTAAAATTTCCTAGATACTGTAATTAATCAGCTATATTTTGCTCAACCTCATCCAATGGTTGTGCAATTTTCTAATAATTTTAAGGGAAGAAGATCCTAAATATATTGTCCTCCAATGCTAACACCTGACTGGAGCCTTTCAAATACATCACAAGTCAGGGAAACATGACTAGATGAGAACCTGGTATGATGCTCAATACCAGTGCTTTTCATGTCATCATGCCAAAGGCCTTGCTTAACATAATCAGCCCCTTAATGACAACAAAACTCACCTGAACACATCCCTGTTCAAAACACCTTCTACAAGCAACACTTTGTAACCTGGAATGTCAAAAGAAAGTGATATTATCATTGAAATAACTCTATGAAGGATGAAAATGATAATCAAATAAATCAAGTGCAGGAAGAGAGTAGATTCCATAATAAATATACATTACTCTTTGTGCAACCAGCTACAGGATTTGTTTCTTGTCACTTTAATCATGTGTTTTTATGATTAGTTAAAGTCATTATCTTAATTTGATATCCAAAGTAAGTTGTGTTCTTTTTTCTACTTCTCCCTGGCATGAAATCATCAGGGTTAAAGTACAAAATCTTTTTTCTGGTTTGTTTTCCTTTTTCCTATATTATTTTCACAAGCCCTTGCTGCATAGGTCACTATGCACTCAGCTTCAGTTTTAAAATTCATGTTACTCCTATACCTCTGGTAAAAAAAATTCATACTTAAAAACCTTTTGGTCAAGATGCATCTCATTTCAAATCACTTACAGCTTCATGTAGAGTTTCTGCCAAGATTTGACAGAACTCTGTTTGTCACATGACAACAATGGCCATCTGGTGCGAACATGTTTCTCCCATTCATTACGTTCCCCAGCCAGTTCCTGCCACCATTGACAGACTTGCCCCACCATACATAAAGATATATCATCCAAAAAGGAAAATATTATCAGCAGCACTGGAACAAAAAGGAAAACAGTTTACAAAGCTTTTCCTTCATTGTTCAAATTATGGATAGCACTTTCCAATGATGTGGCAATCCTGCAGATATATATTGTAATTACAGTTCATGTTAAAAATGCTTATCTGCAGTCCATATGATTTATAACAAATGTTGAAATGATGGGACTCACAAGGAGACAAGTTACACTGATGGATCTCTACAAGGAGCCACCATGTGTCAATTCCTTCCAAAATAAGCTGCATTTACAGGACAATGACAATACATCCCTAATCTTGTGTTCTTAAAAGAGGGATAGAGATTCTTGTAAAAGGAAAAGAGCTTAGGCTCAACATAACAAATACCACTTAAAAATTGATTTTATATGATTCAATGTTGAAGATTTTCTTTCTGTTTGATGTATGCAAGGCTTTGGGGCAGGTATCATCTCTTTGCATCCAATTCATGGGATATTCCAATCTTCTCCCCATGACCTGGATAACTAGAGGCTCTGGGAATTAGATTGGACACCCCTGGCATAATCAAATCACCCATTTGCAAACCCTGAGAGGACAACAAGCATCCTTGTCCTTCAAAACAGATGCCCTCTCCTAACAGGTCCTCCTCTAAATCAAAACTATAACAAAATTCTCAATGGTGATTGGTTATCACCAACCCAATTTGAGCACTTTTTTTTTTTTTTCATGAAAATGTACAACCAATGACTAATTTCTTTCTTGAATTTTGTCACAGTTTTGATTAATCAGTAGCAGGACTTTGTATGTTCCAATTCTGTTTGTATCATACTCATGATTAACAAACAGGATTCCCGCTTCACAGATGTCTGATTTTGTTAATCACCAGTATGACTGCAGACCAAATTAGACTCCACTCAGTCCTAATACTATTATAAAACTTGCAACAACAAGTTATCAATCCCAACAACAGGTTGTTGTATGACAGCTACCCCCTATTCTTAAACGTAGACTAATAATTCAATCCTAGGGTTTCAATAAAGTTGCTTGGGACTTGTAGGTCTTCCAATTGTGATTCTACAGTGGTCAACTCAGTTGATAAAACGAAATTATCTTTTAAAGCCCTCACAACAGTTTTCTTTAGAAACTCAGTCCCTTGTGTATTCCACCTAGATGTATAAATGTTAAAAATGTAGCGGTTTTTACTAAAAAGTGAGAAACTTTCACTTAATTTTGCAAAATCAAAGGCAGTAAAACAATGCCTCTTGTGTCGCATAGCACAAAATAATCGCAACAAAAGATATTTAACTCCGCAAAACAAAACAAAACAACTCACTTTCAGGAGGTAACTTTCCAAACAAATCTTCCTCGACAAAACTCAGCTCATTCGCAAGCCGCTCTGCGATGAAGTTCTGTGGTCTAATATGTTCATAAAGTGATAAATATGGTAGTTTACTTAGTGACATCGAGGAAGGGTTTAAAGGACGTTCGCTGTTTTCCGGTGACAGTTTCGTTTCGTTTTCACTTTCGCACCCACTATCCTCAGGATCTTCCGATTCTGCGCTTCCTCCGGAACTGATTATTGTTTCACTACTATCACATGTTGCTGATTGTGATGATACACTTTCGCAAGAAGCCGCTAAATGTGAGTCCTCAGTTTCTGTTCCGAGCACAAGTGGTGCATTTGGATACAAGAAGTCGTGACAAACAGCGCAGTAAGGTCCAAATTCTGGACTATTATGCTCAAGTTCACACAAGAAACAATTCTCTGAAGTAAGCTTGAAGTCCACAGCTTTTGGTCGATTTCCTTTCTCAGAATGTTCATCCGGCTGGTAACAGGCTGCGGACGACTCTTGCTCTGAAATTGAGAACAGTACTTCTAGATTTACGTCAAGCTCTGTTGAGCCATCCGCCATGTTGTTTTGGAAGGAGGGGAATGGGGAAAATGGAAAGCAAAATTTTTTATGGGAGATTTCGCCTATTTCAGGGGACCGCTCTAAGGAAGAGTTATAAGAAGAAAAAAATTCAGAATGGTTCAGAAGAATTCCTTCAATAAGTGAAAGGGTTCCCTTTGGATTATAAAATCTTTAAATTCCAAAATGATTGATAATTTTTCTCTCTGGCTGCTGCACAATTCTTTGTAAATTTCTTACAAGAATTTGGTGTTTGATCAGGATAACAACTTCGACAAGTTTCAATATTCTCATCACTTGTTTGTGAATAACTTATGGATCTTACAGGGAGAATTAAGTTAATATTCTTATGGATCTTACAGGGAGACTTGAGTTGCATGTCAATCAGATCTGGGAAAAAAGAGTTGAATTCTTTACTCAATTTCACCTGTTTCCCTTTCCAGAAAATTAGCCAATATGTGCTTAAATCAACTTCCTCTCTCACACAACACAACAGAACAGCTCTACGAAAATGTTTTTCCAGTTTATTTATTTAGCATATTACGAGCAATCCCTCTCTACAAGGCTTATATGCTCTTCTTCCACAATCCATCATTAGGTATAGAATAACCCAAACAATATGGCCATATTTATAAGATATCAACTTCTGTTAATTTATAACTACATGAATGGGATGACTTCTATCTTAGATCACCAATTCATAAACCTAAAACACTGATAGTCTAAAGTTTTGGTAACTCAAAGCAGTTCAATTTATTCAGCTGTGGAGTGCAATTTTCTAGCTAACAGATGTCCTTAAAAAGTTTGCTGTCTGTGACTGTGAACTATACTTCAACAAACTGAGTAAAATTACCAAAGATAGCAAAGTGCTATTTATCTCTCAGATGTTTGACCCTCACAGATCAAAGCTGAACATTGAGCAACTTTTTACATGACTATGATGATAAAAACATCCCACCACCACAAGTAACAAACCTTTTCAGGACAAACACACTCAAAAAGTCTGGCTCCACGCAAGGTAAATGTACACATTTCAAACATACATAAAAACTAGATGAAATCTCACACTTATTGAATGACTGATAACACTCGTAGTAAATGAAATACTTGAACCTTCATTGACCAATACCAGTTTTCATACGTGATGGAGCTAAATTAGTTGTTGCACTTTTGCAGAGAGTTAAACTATTTAATTTTAATGCAGGTCCCTTAGAATACCTTTCCATTGCCCTCTAGGTTAAAAAAAAAGCAACATCTACTACAATTAATCTGTAGTAAGGATTATAATAAGCTTTCCTTTCAAAGAAATTAGAATTTACCTAAAATATTTACAATTTTTCCACTATGTGCTTTATATTCACAAATGTCAATGTAAAACAAGTACCTTTTGGTGAACTGCATGCAGTAACTAGACATATTTCCAAACAAAACTAGAGTGTTCTCTTTAAGTTCTTAAAACAGGTAAATATCAAAACCATGCATCTGCACAGTGTTTTATCCATGTACCAAGACTCTGTTGTATAACAGTCGGATAATGCTACCCTACAGATAAATTGCTTTGCAGCAGATAAGTGATAGCAAAACTTTTAGCATTATCCATCATATTGGGTTTTATCCAGTGTATAGTGTTGTTATTATGTATATTATGATTCGGCAGTTGTTATTTGAATTTAATATATTTCACAGGAATTGTTAATTTGACTTATGATTGGTCCAGGCATTTCTTTTCCTTTTGTTATTCAAACCTTTTTTTTTTTTCAATTAGTATATATATTTTTTGTTTTTTCTCTCTGTTGTAACCGTCTTTTTCGTTTAAGTGGAATAAAAGATGCAAAAGTTGGTTTCAATGGTGTAAAATTATTGATAGCATTATCCAACCTTCAAACAACCAGGGCCAGGATAGTACTTAGATTGTTCCTACCTGTAACTAAAGCACATAGGCTGACAAGGTCAAACAACAGTTATCATTGCAAAGGAGGCTACCACCAGAAAAACTGGGGGCAAAACAGGCATCATTTAAAGTTGTTTCTTAACAATCACATTAAGCATGTTGACTCTGATCTGTCAGTTTCCTCGTTTTGCGCACTCACTGGGTTGCAAGCATCACACGGTCAATAAGGTAAAATCAACACAACCAAAATTCTCCTCACTTAGAACAATTGCAATACAACATTTTGAGGCATTGGGAAGAAACTTTCAGAATCACATTGTCTAGTACTTTTCTTCTAGACTATTTCATAGTGTTATGCACTAAAAGCAGTAAAATAGTTACATTAAAAGAAAAAACAGCACATTAAAATAACAAACTGCGAGCCACTGTGTTAGTAAAAACAAAAAAGGCACCATTTGCTTAAAAACTGTCCAATCCACTGTACAATGCAAATAAAAAACACTTTTAAAACCCAAAAAACTTCTAAATGACTATCTAGCTGTCAAAGGAAATTCTAAATATGGAACAGGGAAACTTACTCTTTATTAGGAGATAGAGAAGATTAGCAGAAACTGCTAGGAATGTAATTGAAAAATTTTGTTCAACATCTCTAAGGGTAGTAAAGGGGGAATTCCGATCCTCTTCCATGGAAAAATTTTAAAAAAATTCCTGCATCTTGTGTTTAAAAGGGAAAACAACAAATCTTTCTTCTTGCATGCAAGTTTCCAGAGAAATCATGAGGTTTACACAAAATGAGACAAAAAAATTAAAGTATCACATCAATTCTTTATTTTTTTTTTTTTTTTTTTTTTAAGGGTTGAGGGCAAATCATGCTGGTTCCTGAATTTGCAAATCATGCTTGCCTTTGTGTAAAATGATAGTCTGCCATGTTGCCACTTCCAAGCTTTATTGCAGCAGTATGGAGTAATGTTTGCAAGGCTTCATCCTGTAGATGCAGACAATCTTTAAGCAAATGTATCATAATCTTAGTCTTGTAACTGAGGCGTGTGATCTTGCTGTAATGTAGATAGAGAATACATCTATGCAGGGCAGTTTCTTGGGTGAGTGGCAAACAAACAGTAGGGTCAAAGCCTAAAAGATCAAATGAAAGATTATTGGGGTATTCATTTATAATAAGCTTAACTATGCAAGCATTTTGATTAATTTTTTCTCATAATCTATGAGAAGACAGATGCATGGATGACATTACCATGGTTGCTTTTTGTCACATAAAAAGTAGATTCTATGTTGCCCTATAAATAATGGTAATATGACTGAGAGGAGTCCAACTCGGTCTGTAATCATACGAGTGATTAACAAAATGGCACGACCACAAAGCAGAAGTCCTATTTGTTAATCAAGAGTATGATTACAGACAGAATTGGACGACAAGAAATCCTGCTACCAATTAATCATAACCATATCAATTTGCAAAAAAACAAATACACCTAGAACAAAAATCTCCAGTGAAGACAATGTCCTTACTGGTTAAATATACCTACATTTTGGAAATTACCTTATTTCTTTTGGATAAGAGGTTGTTGCTATGGTTATTGTGATCAATTCTGTGATTGATGGATTTAGCTGAGTGGACCTAGTATGATTGGTTGCTTCAACTGTTCACTTGAAAGCCAGAGAGCCTGTCCGACTGATGCTTTTCATGGACTGGGAAGATCAATTTCCTCATGAACTCTCGTTAACGGACATCCCGGCTCTCGGTTCGTATAAGGGAATATTTCCCGAATCCCGCTCCTCAATTCCCGAGTCCCGTTCATAACAACAATCCCGCATCTCACTCCATTCGTACCCTAAATTCCCGGACTCGGCCTTTCAATATCCCGAAAAACCTATTGGGGACCCTCTACAAACCCAAAAGATACTTAATGAATTTCGAGTTAATCCCTATATTGGCATCGTTTAGCATTATGAGACTTTAACGATAAGGTGGGGTAACACCAAGCTCCATTTAGCCTAAACAGAGACCACAAAAAACTTGTTTAGCACGACCCTGAGTACCTACCATTTTTAATTAACCATCCACTGCTCTACACTTGCCAAGAAGGCCTGCCCAGTGCAGAAGAGGTAAGCGATAATTCTTTACGGGATCAGGGATTTCTTCTTCTGTCTTCCAGCCTTTCTTTAGAAAAGATGACGGTTTCTTCAAACTCGTCCATTTTCCCGCGTTTGTCCCTGATATCTGGGCACTCTAAAATCGCAACGAGGAGATCGTGGTATTTGAGGCACGGCTTTCCTTTGATGCAGAACGGTGTGCATATTTTCCGAGACATTTTGTACAGCAAAATTAAATATGGACAGCACTTTCTGCACCTTCGTTCCGTCAACAGTGTGAAGAGTTCTTCCTTCCGAAAACGGTTATGCCAACGTAAGCCCGAGGAACACTAGTGACGAGTTTCCGTGTCGGGTGATTATCGGAAATTGCCGACTATTCCAATATGCCGGACTATTTCAGTAACACCATTTGCGATTTACCAACAGTCAAACGGCGTGGTTGAACCACACATGAACATTATAACATGCTTTACATTTGCATAATACATTGTTGATTTTAAATCAAGGAGATTTTGCTAAATTTTGTATGGCTGTTTCCGTCACCCTCGTCAATCTTGAGTTTCTTGTTCAGCAGAGTTTTTGCTTAACACTGTAGCCGCTGAGACCTACGCTTGCAAAGGTAATCAAAACTTATGAATATTATCGCCACTTTAATGCCCTTGTCATAATGCTACTGGTTAGAAAGATCCCCAAGATGAAATTTCTACTGTTTAGTTTTTGTTATTAACTGTAAGCCATAGAATAACAGCCATAAAAATAATAGTTGCCATAGCAACAAGGACAAATGTATATTGGGAAATCATTTGGTCTCATGTTACATCTGTTGCTCCATTATTATTCAAATCTTGTGCTGCAGCCAGTACCCTATTTCACGGTTGTACTTTTGTGACTGCATAGGGAATAGACAAAACTGAGCATGTTGTTTGGGTTCATCCCTGCTATCTCTGGGTTTTAGTTTTTTCTACCTCTACAGCAACTATCACCCAAAAATTCCATTTTGACTTTCAGAAACGTGGAAAAAAACCTGTGTGATGAATGTGGCAGAGTTAATTTTAGTTGTTGTTGTTTTTGACTGTGAATATATGAAAATCATATATGTGAACTGTGGTTTAAGAAATGTATATGAAAGTGATCTTTGCAGTAATAAACACTACTAAAGTAGTGTTGAAAACAAAGACTGAAAAAAAAAAGACTTCGGCCTGTACAGGATTTGAACCCATAACCTCTGTGATCATGGTGTAGTGCTCTACCAACTGAGCCAACAAGCCAGCCAAAAGCTAGTCATTGTGTTGGTTCGTAATAAACCTGTGAGGTGATGAGTCAATAACTGTAAATATATGAAAATCATACATGTGAACTGCTTAAGTAATGTCCATTACTGAGAAAATTGCTCTCATATTCATTTTTTTCCATATATTTGTGCAATCAACTCCTACTTGCCACAGCCAAAAGAAACAAGGAAAAACTATAATGGCCATGTAAATCACAGCATTAAGCAGACTAAACCTTGCTTCCAAAAGAGAACTTCATTTATAATTGCTGACCAAGTATTTATTACAAAGAAAAACAGAGAGTGTAAAACATGAACCATGAGCACTTGAAAGCCTCTTTTGCAACTGTGGAAAGCTTTTTGTCACTTGCATTTAGTAAACTTGTCTTTCGTCTTGCTTTGCTCACTTTCTGTAAATAACAAGCATGCTTTACTTTGCAATTACAGCTCTCTATCCCTTCAAAAACCAAAATTTCTTCCCAAAAATGCATGCGTTCAGAGAACAGAGTGCTAGTGTTGGTGGTTTACTGCTCTTATGCAAGTCATAGAGACTTAGTGAAAACACAGGTGAACATTTTTGGCATCTGACCCCCCATATCTCAGATGGTTCTACATCCTCACGTCTTCCTCTCCACTGAAACACTGGTATTTGTGTTGCAAGAATCCTCCATCATCTTGCTACTTCAATAAAAGGATGTTTCCTCCTCACTTTCCTCTGATGATAGTTGAGTTGAAGACCCCCGTCCAGGTTTATATCTTGGATTGATACTTGGAGCTACCCCTCCAGCCTTCAACCTGATGTATGCATAAAAACCCATCAAAACATTGTGACATTTTGCCTTAAGTTGGGGAAATATGAACTTCTAACCCACAACCATGTATCTGTCTAAAACAATTGGACTTAAGCCCATGGGGGAGAATAAAATTATAACCATAAACATTTCTAAAATACCTTGAGTTTAAGTGTTCCAATTGAACTTTGTAACTGTCAGCAAGCTCTGTTTGTTCATCCAGACTGCGCTGTAGTTTCTTCATATTGCTTGTTTGACAGTCAAGCTAGATGAATGAATTAAACCAAGACAATTAATCACTATCTCCCATCAAATTAATAATTTACCAGATTGATGAATGAAAATTGCTTTGATGTTTTTCTAATCATAAGTGACTCTATCGTGAGACAAACGAACAAAGTTCATCTCCTTAATCTTACACCATGATGAACAATAAGCACATATTTCATTACACTCTTCTAAGCAGTTGTGCACAAGTTTCAAAAACATTTTGCCATTAGTGGCTGCCACAGGTGTGATAGATGGCTGTGGGGTAAGGTGAACCCAAACACAAGAGCCTCAGCTTGTGGGCTAAACAGACAGCAATAAGGTCTTAAAGATGGTGGAAAACTGCCAGTAACTGAATCTTTATTGAAATTGCCTACAGTTGTGTAAGTGATTAAATTTACCAGGTTATGGTTTTTGGTTCAGTATTGTTCACCAGGCTTCCATGACAGCCATATATAACCCCTTTCTTGATCTCAATTTAAAGGCTCCAATTTTACAAAGAAATTCTGTTATGATGGTAATGATAGATACATGAATTTGATTACTCAATCCAAAAATTAGATTGTTTTGACAATTAACATTTGGCCCTTTCCATCGCAACCAACAAAACTAGCTGAATGACTTAGATTTCTACCTCATCTTCAGCTTTGGTCAAATCAACTTTCAACTCTTCCACCCTTGTCCTCAGTTTTCTGACTTCATTCTCATGCTGTTCCACTCGTTTTTTGGCATGACTAAGCTCCTCAGCCTTAACAATGAACAACACAATCATTTTTAATAAACATAAAGGCTGCACACTTGGGATGAGTGAGTGTAGTCTACAACATAAGTGACTAGCAATTTATCCTTTGGGTAGCATTATCCACCCTTTGAAAAATGGCCTCCTGATGCCTATCTCCTGTTTGTATAGCACCAAGCATCTTGGAGTATATTCACTCCTGGATAGGAAGCAACTCAATAGCAAAGAGACTGGAGCTTTTTACAAAAACAAGATGCTCCACACAATGTTCCAGCCTGGGCAAAAAACTAAACCTCTTCATCTAAGACCTGCATGTAGACCACAAGGCTACCATGACTGCCATATCCCACCTGTAACATATTACAACCCTTACAGAAAAGATACTCTTTCAGAAACTCAAAATGCTGACTTATACCTTCTCCTGAAGTTGCTTTCTCATTTTACCATAAGCATGCCTTAATTCTTGCAACTCCTGTGAAAAAAAATCACTTGCAGTCAAACTTAAGCAGGGACATAATGATGACATATATAGAAAACATTGTTCTCTGTACATCATTTCAGCAACCTCTCTAGTGATTTCCCGAATCTGCACCAACTAAATATCTATCACCCTCTGATCATGTGTTATCAAGGTTGCACAATATTTATCACCAGCGACAGTAATCATTCGGACATTAGTGCCTTGACTTTACATGATCTGCTCCATCTAATTTGCAGGAACTTAAGTTGTCACTTAAAAGCCCACTGCTAGCAAAACTTGCTAGATGAAAAAGCAGTGATAGCCAGCTGGGCTTTTGGCTGGCAATAGGTCATTTTACAGTTGTGTACTTAGTTGCTAAGCCTTTGATTTGGAGTGAGGCTGAAGGTGACCTTGCTGTGATAGAGACCAGTATCTAGTTAGCATGATAACAAAGTAATTTACATTTGAAAAGCAGCAAGGTTTGTATCATAACAAGGTCTGGGCCTTTTCCTGTTCAAAGGCAATTGCTCAGCAAAGAATGCTGGGCACTTCTGAGGTTACACACTTATAATCTTTCAATATTGAATGCTGTCTTTCAGCTGCCTTGCTTAAAATTTCAGCTGGCACCCTTATTTCTTAACATAAGCCAAAACATAAAGAAAACCAAAAGCCTCTCTTCATTTGCACATTGTCATCCAAGTAATTTCTCCCAGTGAAATGAAAAAAAAAAGGTTATTTCGATAGACTTACTATGTTCTTCTCATCAAGCTGTGTTTGTAACTGCTTGACATCGGCGCCTAATAAGCCCTTTGATGCTTTGCTGGATTCAGTCAACTGAGATGTCAGGTCCTTAGAGATAAAATTAAAAATTAAATGTGTGTGGGTTTTAAAAGGGAAGAGACACTTCACTGTCTCTAATCTTCTACTGTGGCCTCACTGTCAATGTGCTGGACTCTTGTTTCAAATTTCCAGGTTCAGGACCTGGCTGGGTCAGTGTGTTGTGTTCTTGGGCAAAACACTCTTCTCTCACAATGCTTCTCTCTACCCACAAGTATAAAGGGGTTTTCACAAATTGAGAGGGTAGCCTCACGAAATACTGGGGGATTAACTTTGCAATGGACTAACATCCAATCCACAAGTCAAGTGGGGGGGGGGGGAGAGTAGCAATATTCCTTGTCACTTCATGCAATGAAAACCAAGATAAGCTCAGGCCAGTTGGCCCAAGCACAGACTTTTTGAAGGGGCTGTACTCCCCCTAAAATTAAGGGACCAAAAAATTACAAACCCTAGCTGCCTGAATACATGTGCTGTAATCGCCTTGTTGCAGCAGTGACACTTGCATGTTTTAATGACTTTATTAGCCATGCTAGCCGTGAGTTCAGTCCTAGGCAGATTTCACCATGCCAGATTGGCTGGAGGGTAGAAAGCCCAATGAAGACCCACTTTTGGTTTTCCAAGTCGAGGATTGAACAGTGGGTCAGAAACTTAGCCCATAAAAATATCACTATACTACAGAAACTTTGGACACTTAAAATAAATCATCTCATTTTAAGATCAGTTAGATGTCGATGCATACATTCGAGATGCATGCATTCAGCAGTAATCAAGAGATTACCAATGTCAGTATTAAAAATATTAAGAACCTCAATTTGCAATAGCATCTTCTTGTTTTCTCTTTCCAAAGCCAACTTCTCACTCTCCAGCTTATCGCGTTTGCTCCATTCCTGTGTGTTCTCAGCTTGCAATCTTTCAATCTTTAAACAATTAAAGGAATAAATGTTTTATGAGAAACCATATTTCTACCTATAGAAAGTCATTAAGTCTAAGTATTTTGATTTGTGAATGTTTGTGACGTCATGACAACTGTAACAAGAGTAAAACATTTCCAGATCCTACTAGTGACTACTAACCTCTCCCCTAAGTTCACTAATTTTACGAGCATTTGCAGAATTGTTGGTTGAGTTACAGGCATCTTCCAAGTCAGCATTAAGTTGTCCAACTTCCTTTTCATGTCTGCTTCTTATACTTGCAATCTATAGATCATTATCATCTTTAGTAAATCAGAAAGACCCACTTAGGCAATACACCAACTACTTACAAAAGATCATCAAATAATAACAAGCACCAACGATTTGCAATATTTGCTATATCTTAAGAGCTATCTAACTGCAACTGTATTGCCAGTGCAAAACTAGCTCTTAATGTCATATACGAGGCAAAAGTTCAACAGAGAACTTTTTTTCAGCCAAATCATGCCAGATTTATCAATTGTATTAGTGGTAACTCTTCAATCAAGGTGCCCAAGTTTAAAACATGCAGTCCAGCTTTATTCACAGCAAAACATAAGTAAAACAAACCTCCTGAGCATAATTTTGATGAGACACCATGAGTTCTTCATTTTTTAGCTTCAGAGCAGTGAGATCAGCCTGAAGACCATCCAACTCCTCTACGAGATTCTGTTTGGAACTGAAAAAAAAAAAATACAACTTTGTTAAAAGAATATAGAACTTTGCCACCAGTCTCCTGGTCCTCAAGGAGGAAGTGGTTTGCTGAGACAATCACAGGCAAAAGCTCCGATAATTTATAGTAAATTGAGGATTGGAATAATTTTTCAAAAAATTTAGTGGAAGGATGAAGAAGCAACAGAATATATCATCATCAGTTACAAACTAGGGTCTCAACCATTGATATAGTCACTTTGTGTCTTATGTAAACTGTGTTCACATAAATGGTTCACTTCCTGTCTTGTAAGATGCTGGCAAAAGGTTTATACATGGTGCATATAATAATTGTAATTGAACTGAGTGGTGTGCATTTGGTCTGAAATCATATGCATGATTTCAAAATGCAACAAGCGGGCAAGATTGGTTTGTTCAGATTCCTACTCCCCCCAGTAAAAAATTGTGTTCAAATGCCCCACCTAAGTTTTTTGTAAAAGGCAAAATCAGCAACCATGGCTTTCCCAAGCTTTAAAACCTAGACCTTGTAGACCTTTTCTTCTAAACCATTTGCAAGCAAAGTGAACTATTTACTTGAAGCACCTTCATATTTAAAGATATGACACTATATTCCATTGGAAAGACTTGACACTTCTGGTTCTAATTCCCCTCCCCAGCCTGGCTAGGCTCAAATTCCCCACCCCCCCCCCCAAATACCTGTGAGTTGCCAGTAGGTTGCCGGGGGGGTAGGGATGTGGGAGCTTCAAATTGATCAACAGGTTATTTTATGAAACTGTGGTTGAGTATTATTTGGCTACACTTCAAAAAGTCTACAAAACATCATATTTCCCACGGTAAATTTATCATTTACTAGATTAAAATGTTTGTTATGTCTATTTTCCTAATTTGCCGACCTCAAATTATCTAGTCTTTTGTCATCGTAGCCATCGATAAAGAACTTGACAGTTTAATTAACTAATGGAGATTCCCAAAATAATCCTCATTCTTCAAACCAGCGGGTCTGCACAGTATGACCAATTAAGAGAAGTATCAATTTGTCATCTTAAATGTTAGAAGGTTTACACCGTTTTGTTTACCAAATGTTTTTCCAGTACTTACAACCAAATGTCAGACTTAAGTCCTTTATGCGTTTAACTTCGTAAATAATATATGACCTCGATTACACACAAAGTTTTATGCAGATTATGGCAAAGGAATGTGAGCGCAACCATTATTCCCTCTTGCAAAAAGTAATTAAATGAAATTATCCGAAAATACACGTTTACCTTCTCTCCTCTATGAGCATTTTTTCCGTTTGTTCAAGTTTCATTCGCACGAGGGCAACCTGTTGTGAACTTTCCTCTTCTGCATGCCTTCCATCAATGGATTTCTGATTTTTAGAACTCGCCCGGTTTCTTTTCCGTTCCTCAGCGGGAACAGAATGAGAATGAACGATGGTATTTCCATCTTCGCATTGTCCCTCGTAAAACTCGTTCTTCTGAAGAATTTGTTCAATAAACTGTTTCTCAGCTCCTAATTTCGGCACTGTCGTTTCATAAACGTTAGAGTTTTTGAGACCATCACTATGGTCAGGTGAGTTCTCTTTAAGCGATGGCTCAACTCGAGCAGAAGGAATCGTACGCTTGTCTTTCTTTAATTCCTTCTCCAGTCGTTCGTTTTCCTTCTCAAGTTTCGACTGAAGTTCTTGAGCTGCCAATCTATCACGCTTCAAGTTCGAAATTTCCTTAGCTGCGGCCTCCAGTTTCAGTTTTAACTGTCTATTTTCTTCTCTGGCTTTGTTCCGTTCAGCGCGAACTTTCCCCCACTTCTCTCGCCAGTTTGCGGTGCAGTCTGACCACCATCGCATCGTCTTTTCCATCTGACTGGCTCGTGCTCGAGCTTCTTCCAACTCTCGTTCTCTCAGCTCATCTCTGTCATCAAAATCGTCCTCTAAAAACGCCGAAGGAAGCTCGCCCGGCTGACTCGAAGACTTAACATGCCGTGTAGGATTTACGGTTTGTACCTGAATTTTAGCATTTCCATTCATACTTGACACGAATTAGTCGCGGTAGCTTTTCCAGATAATTCCAATGCCAAAAGGAGACCGGTAACAGCGACTATTTAGTCTGCTCTTCAAAAATACTTTTATTGCATTACACTGATGAATAGAAGCGAAGACCCGATGTACGGAGATGTCGATCGTAACAATGCTGAACGCACAGGATAATTAAACCAGACACCAGCTGAAGAAACTAGGAACAAATTGCGATCTCCACTCAATAGATGAAATGAAGGCGAAAGCGAGGATCATTAACTTCTCATCACATCCCAACGCATTAACTGAATTGTTGTTATTCCTTGGAATCTCCAAAGATTGAATCTCGCCGAAGAATTCACGCAATCTTTGATGATGTACGCTGATATTTATCCCTATTTCCGTTCGATAAATTAGTAATTGGAAGTTTCAAATCTTGTTGCACTGGTTAGAAGATGTGATAAACGAAGAAAGTAAGGAAAACTACTCAGGATTTCACTAAACAAATGACAAACCACAAGTACACAGAACGATGAATCAATTAGTTTCCGTAAGCGCCATTTACAAGAGACGATTGTAATTAGAGGTGTCAATCAAATGATACTGCATAACGGAAGCTGAGTACAAGTTGTCACGGTATTTTCAGGTCTCAAAAATACGTCAGCGAGATAATCTTTTAATGATAACAATAACAAACTCTGTAATGTTGTTTTATTTTCCTGACACCTACTACCAGGTATTCACCTCATTGGATCTTCGAAAATTTTATTTCCAAACTCAAATGTTTGTAGTTCGCGTGCAAGGCTCGTGTCCCCTGCAACGAAAACCTTCACGAATCGCTCGACGAATCCAGCTGGAGACTTTTATTCGCGGTGGATCAAACTTAGGATCTAATATGCACGAAGCAGAAAAAAGAGAAAATTTCAAAACAGAGGAAGATATGATAAGCCAGTGATTTAAATATCTGTACGATATTTCGAAAAGTGCACAAGCGGATATGGGTTTAGATTCGTTTAGATATATATTACACATTTTTTTTAATTCTAAGTAACATATTGATCTAAAAAATATTTACAAAGAAAACTGTCTGTGGAAGTATTTAACCTCAAGCCTTAGTCATCGTGACATCAGACATCATAATTCACTGGGTGCAGTTGTGTGTTTTGGAAATATGATCACGTGTGAAGAAGAAGGTTGTGTGTAACAATAATCGACCGATGCACTGAATTTCTGTACGCGTAAAAATTGAAAGCTTAACGATTAACCGGTCATGGGTGAGTCAATTGTAAACATTAGAAACAAAATTTAGCTGCGCACGAAAAGAAAAACAACTGTTTGCATAATTGTTACTGTTTGGGGTTAATCGATTTTTCAGCAAAATTGTCGTATTACTTGTTTAAAATACCCTACGTATTTTTAACTATTGCTAAAAAGCCCTTCAGTAAATTTCAAGTATGATTTCTATGATTTTTCAAGTATATCACCTTTTTGTGTTTTCAAAAACATCACTACTTAGAAACAATTGTATTCATGTTTTGAGTCTCGTCGGCTTGAAGTTCATTTCCGGTTTGTAACGCACTACTTGTAGCGACTACCGTGACACATCAACTCGAGGCAACACAAATCAAATGGCGGAAGCCTCCAGCCTTCCTGAGGAAATATGGTTTCACATAATTGTGTACCTTGTACATATTCAGGATATTCTTAATTTAGGATGTATATTCAAATCAAAATGGATATTCTTAATTTTAGGATGACGGGAACGTCATTTCAGAACGTAGAAGACTGTTGGTCGCGTTGTGTTGAAAAGTAACAAATCAAAATGTTGGATCATGGAAAACCACTCGAAGGACAACGTTTTTGAGGGTGTAACAAAGAGGATAGTTTACAATTTTTTCTATGATTTGTATCGCTGTCATTTCGTTTCGTGCTTCTAGATTTTAGCACTACTCGTTTTTCTTCATAATTTTGTAAAGTATAATTTGGAATTTAAATCGTCGCGGTTTTTTCCCTTGTTTACTGAATATTCTTCCCAATCATGACGGTACACCTCTTTTGAGCACCACCCTCTTAGAGTTGCAATGCATTTTGAACGGAGTTATCAGAAGTTATGACGAAAACATTTAGAGATCAAGCGACCCAACGATGGAGTTGTTTACAATGAGTTCCCGTTCAACTATGAACAAATGAAATGCACTCAAACTAGTCACCAACGAAACGGTTAGACTGAGGATTCAGACTTCGTTCCTGTTTTATTTTTGTTTTTGTTTAATTTGATTTTTTTTAATGAATAAAGTCGTTCAAGACCGAATCAAATTAATAGATTTAGAAAGCCGTGCCGAAATCAAGTTGATTGTTATTTTCTTTCGTAGATGACTTTCTTGTCTTAGTTTTCACCGGCGCTGATCAAAAACTAAAGACATAAAAAAGTGCAAAACCCGAGCTATTCTCAAATTTTTTTATCTCTGACTTCAATTCGCAGAACAGTTTTTAGTCACGGTTAAAATGACAATGACAACAAATAACACTGAATAATATAGCAGGTAACCTTCGTGTTGTTTCATTTTGATAAACTTCAACATGAAGCAAGCTTAATTTATTGATGACATGATTCACGATAAAATTAACAGCAACCATTCTTGGAGTTTTCATACATGGTTTAAGAAATGTATCAAAGAAAAGCCCTTACTTTGCTTAAAGCCACGCTCAATTACAAAAGGTAACTGAGTCCTAAAATCTTAGATCGCTTGCTGACGATCGTGTTTCCTTTCGGGAATCCAGAATAAATGTAGCGGTAAACTTCCACAAATTCACCGAATAAAATAAAGAAAGTAACCTGGTTATATTGGAAATGAGTTCTGAAATCATTCCAAACAGCATCATCTCGTTTATGAGTACACAATGAACGCAAATACTTGGCGTTTTGATCACGACGGGAAAACCAGCGAAATGACGTCCTGAACTTGATGGGGAGAACGGCAACGCTAACACCGGAAGTCGAAATAGAGTCGTGTCCAGATTATCCGCGCGCTTTCCCGTTCTGAAATGACGTTCCCGTCCTCTTGCTAAACCACTCTAATGATCACTTGCTACAACTTCATCTTAACACACGCTATGACGAAGTCGCCACTTCGAACGAGCTGAACGAGGAAAGCGCAAACTTTGATGTGAAGCCAGGATTCTGGAAGAAGTTGTATCTTAGAGCCAGTCATGCTCTCTCATTTAAAAACAGGAGAAGGGGATGGTTTTCCAGTGTCGAAGGGGAAAGACTGTGCGCGGAATTTGTAACCAATCCGAGAGGACCTGAAAATAGACGTGCGATAAATGGAATTCGATTTGACGACCGAGCACCGAAAAAGCAAAGCATAGAACTATGGGTGAAACTTAACACGAAGAAACCAGATGGGATAATTATTGGATGCCAGAGTGAATCAGTGAGGTAGCGATCTGCTTTGTTTTGTACGTGCTAAACTTCACAACATGTACATACAGGGAGCTTGCGAAAACCACGGCAACGACGCAAAGGAGAGTGTCTTGAAACGAAAGAAGTATAAGAATGAACACACTTGCGTATAAATTTTAGTAGATTTTTGTCCATCATCAGCAAACAGTAATTTGATTTTACCAACGAAGAACGTAGACGGCAAGGGCAAATTTCGTAAGAAATTAATGGATGAGGTTGAGCATGATATCATGAATTATCAAAACCGGTTTGATAATTCATGAAAACGAAAAACCGAAATTCAGTAATTGTTTTGATATACATTCTATAAACAATCTGCTAAAGAAGACGCTTCTCTCTCAGTTTGCCAAAGTTTGAGAGCACTACACGGACGAGGGGCTTGGAAACTAGGCAGACTTTGAACTCGTCATGATAAGTGCATTAGGGCTCCACTTTACAGTATGGGGCTCCTTACTAACCGAGTTTTACTTGTGATACTTACAAATTTTGATCTGGTTTATTCTATTACTTTTGATGTTAATGTTTAAAATCAGTATTTTTCCAGCAAGTCTTCACTTGTACCATATCATGTCAAAACACAAGAAGCATCTTATTAATCTTACCTTAAAATTTAACATATCAAGCTTCTCAAGTCAATGTTAAACCTTGCAGATAAAGTTAAACCTAGCTACTTTAATTATTATGTAATATAATTAACTAAGACGTATGACAAACAGCCTTGGAAGAAAAATTTCCTGGAATATATGTCTGTGGATCTAATTTGTTCAGAAAAACAAACAGTTTTTCAAGAGCAAAGCTCAAGGGAAACAGACAGCTTAGAGAATCAGAAATCGTCAAAGAGAAGAAGCAAATTATTTCTTATTCCCCTAATCCCCCATTGCTATTAGGATAAGCTAATGAGCAGCTATGTAAGGTAGTCTCACAAACATACTTTACCTCATCCACAGGTTAATTAATCTACAAAGGCAAGTTAAAAAGAGCACTTTAATTTATATGTTTTCTTATTGATTTTTCTATTTGTGTTCGTCTTATTCAGGACAAGCAGGTGGCCTCAATATCACTGGCAGATACTTCATGTAGGTCCAGATGGTCACATTAGAGGTTCCCTAGAACCCTACAAGTACATGAAAGGACCTTGCATAAACAATGGAAAGTGGCACCACATTGCACTGGCTGCATCTTCAGACTGGCAGTGCATGTTTGTAAATGGACGCAAGGTTTGCTCAATAAATTTTGGAATTGGACATGAACTTCACAGGTGCAGCTTTAATCCTTTTTTTTTCATATAAACTGTGGTAGATGTGGAGGCAAAGTGGTTTGTTGGAAGGGTGGATAACACTATCCACTGGATAAGTTGGATTGCGTTATCTGCCCTTTGAATGACTGATTCCAGATCATTAAAGCTTGCCCTAACCACTGGCCAAGTTTGGCAAGAGCAGTCTCTCCTTTGGGGTGAAATTGTCTCAACAGTAAAAAAAAAGTAGTGAAAAAAAATTTTAGTAAGCAAGCCATAGTAAACTCAGACTTCTGAGCAGTCCTGCTTCTAACACCACCTCTTCCCACCCAGGAGTGGAATTAGTAGTGGCAAACATTTAGGAAAACCTGTTATAAAGCTGGTGGTTTTCCTAAAAGGGATTACAACAGTGTCAAGAAGAAGTAGTAATACTTAAAGTCAGTAAAGGCCAAGGTCAATATGAGAGAAAATTGCTATGCTAAAATTTAAAATAGATTCACAAAACTTGGTTTTTTATAAAAGGAAATTTGCAAAATAATCACACTAACACTAAAATCCAGGGTAGTAAGCAATCTGGTTGTCACAGGAGTGTAACACAACATACATACTTTATTTAAACACAGGGTGTGAACTCTTTACAGTACTAGGGTTCCACTGAAACAGCTGATTTAAACACATCAAAAAATAAAATACAAACTAGAAATGTAAAATGCTAGGCAACATCAATAGAATATATAATTGAAACTATTAAAATGCAAGATTCAATGAACAAACTATTTGCCCTGTTACCAAAAGCCTCTTACTACTCTGTGGTTTAGCATGTTAACTTCTAAAGAAACATTAATGGGCTTAACTCCGTAATTTATAGAAGGTAGAATTTCTTTCCTTTAGAATGATTTCCTGTGTTTCTCTTAAAGGGAAAATCCTCAGTCACTTTCATTGTTGAAAAATTTCCAATTCAATTTAGACATATACAATGTTGAAATGTATTAGTTGATGGACAAACTGCAACTCAGTTGGAGAGAGCTTGTCAATACTTGATTCCATAGCTGATTCTGCTCCAATATGTTATGTTTATACCCATTGTCTTTCAGACATTACATGAAATATAGTCAGATTGGTAATGGTGTTATCAGTCATGGAGTGTGCACACCTTGGAGTGATGATGCCATGCCTCGAGGCCATTGTGGATGGTATCCTTTCAATGGTTTGGTAAGATCTACTGAATAAGTTTCATTCTTGAAATATTTTTTCTAAGGGCATGAACACAAGTAGACAACTTTGTATTTCAATTTAGCCTCGTTGTAAACCAGGGGTGGGTACTTGTGTATTGGGTGAGTATGTGCTCTAGGGGTCTCTAGATGGAAGTTGCTACATGGAGATGATAAGAACTAAGGAAAAAGAAAACAAAATGGCCCTCTGAAGCATGCAAGAGTATGAGTGCCCAAGAGGATGCTGCAGACTGTAGACCTTAATCTTTGAGGAAAGTAAAGCAAAACTAAAGCAATCCTGAATTTCTTTTTATGCTTGTGTTTTGTAATTTCTATCTACCAAGGTAAGAGAGGTCCGCATCTGGTCTTGCATGCTGTCAGAATCTACAGTGCGTCGAAACATGCATGTACAACGAATTGACCTGGCTCAGTCAACATCACATGGCCACGACAGCAATGCTCTGATTGGCTACTGGCCTATGAACAGACTTATGTCTGGCCCATGGCCATGGCAAGGATCTCTAGTATCTTGTACATCCCACTTGGAACCACACAGGGAGAAGCATGTACAGCTATGTATTGTATGTGCCAGTTTAGTATGACACTGGCCTCACTCAAAATGATTAAATCAATCAGTGAATTTATCTTTATTCACTTTGCCATATTGATACAGTATGGTGAAACGTTGTTGTAATATATTCAGAAAGTGTGTTATTGTATATTAAGAAATTGAGTAGTGGTAAGGAAATTATTTCTTATCTTTATGCTCCATCTACATCAGTTTTAGTTAAAACTTGTAGCATTTCGTATACTTCAAGTGACCGTGATCAGGTTATACTAGATTCTAGTAAAGACTCCATGTAACCTGCTTGTCACCAGAAAGAACACTTTTACTGGTTCATTTGGGATCAGTAGCAGGCAAGGCCTTCTCATAGGCAGCATACGATTCATTCAAATAGAATTCATTGATGTGTGCAAGTCAAGGAAGTGACTTGATGTCTTTGTTCAATCTGAATATCATGTCTTATAGATATATAGTGAATGTGCATTTAGGGCAGAGTCATCATAACAACTTTTAACAGAATAAATTGCACTAATAATTTCACACTCAAATGCACATCTGATCAAATGATATTGATCACTATTTTTAAAAGTATTTGAATCAGTATAATTAATATATGTAATCAACTGGATTTACGCTAACTAAATTAATGCTTAATTACTGTTTTAATTATTTTTTAATGTAGTTAAATATCCTAATTATGATTATACAAAAATAAAAGGCTTTTTCTCACCTATTTAATGTAACATAATTAAAGGAAACGAAATATCCTGCACAAAGTGAGAAAGCCTTCAAATGCGTAGAAATCGCAAAATAACTTTAGTTGTTTCCACTGATTAAAAATTAAAATATCTTTAAAGTTTTTGACATGTATGTATCAGATTACAATCTATTTTCAATAGACGTGTTCGATTTTGCTAGAAGAAAACATCTTTCACAATGATTTATAATCATCCTCTATGAATAGCACATTTTTGCAACATGGAGTTCAATCAAAGGCTAGACCGACTGCGTCGTAGAACAAGAAGGAACCGGCAACTCGATCGGTGAGTAATGGAAGAGGCAGGAACTCAAGTTGGCTAGTTAGGAGAATGTGTTGATAACGAGTTTTTTTAGTTAGTTTTACATGACTGTTTTTATGTTAAAGCGGTTAAAACTTAACCGAAGACTAACATCTGTTGAAGGAACTACGTTACTCTTTGTGCTTCGTGAAACCTTCAGCCCGATCTCTAAAATTTTGTCCTTTGTTATTCTTCCCCATCTTTAACCATCCTTTTTGGCTTATTTTTTAACTCTTTGGTGTTTATTAACATTACAAAACATTTCAAAGTTGCCTTCGATTCTTTCAAGTTTTCTATGACGTAGTTCCGTTAACCTTGTAAGCCCGAAATACTACCAGCGTCGTACTTCTTCTCCCGAAAAAAAAACGCTAATAGTAGAGGTCACGACAATAATTAAACAAAAAGACCGAGGAAGGGAAAACTCCCTTGATCTCCAAAAGGTTGCGGAAAGATGTATAGAGAAAAATGAAGGGAACTCAAATGCTTGATTTCGGGTATAAAAGGTTAAGGGAAAACAAAAGAAAAATTTTACCCTTGACACCCCAATAGACACCTTTTGCAGAGCAAGCGTAATTTTGGCGAACGAGTGCTCAGTATTCTCTTAGCATAAGTTATGACCGCCACCTTTGACTTTCATGGCAGCGGAAGGCTGAGAAGAGAAAGAAATTTGCACCAAGGGAGTGGACGACGGTCAAAAGTGAGGAGAAGGGAAGGTGTCGAGGAGTAAATATTACCTAAATGTATATGAGCATAGTAAGGTGGAACCTAAGCGAACAACCATCCTGTTAATACAACGCTATTATTATGCCCCAGAGATTGTCCTAAAGATTAGGATCCACTGCTTGATGAAAATTAAGTTAAACGTTTGTGTCGCTAAAGTCGTTATCGTGAGATTTCGCCTCAGCTTCCTTTAATGGAACAGGCTCCAACTTTTGATACTTGACTAGGTTAAAGTATCGTGCAATAGCCACGCCAGGAATGAAGAGAACTGACATCAGGACAAGTACAACCACGATGAAGACTGCCCAGTCTGGATAGGGGACCTTCTCGTAAGTGACCTGAGTAGGGAGCACCACAAACGAATTAATACTCAAGAATCACTAGTTCAGATAAACTGTTAAATACCTGAAGAAAAGTACTAGGACGATCGATAAATATGCGTTATTGATAAAGCGTGAGGTCAAGATAGCAAGATATTGGCGGAGTTCTTTTTTTTTTTTTTTGCGTTTTTATGGACCGTGACGAAGTCGAGGTATAAAAAACGGAAAAAATCCGTTCAGCCATCTTGGACGAACGAGCTTAGTCAATAAAGGATTTATGATATAGCAAAAAGCTCAACGCTTTAACCCTTTAACTCCCGAGATCTCATTAGTAATTCTCCTTACAACCTGCCATATAATTCTTGTGATGTTAGTTCAGAGAATTTGGTATTGGATCAACTAATAATCCCCTAATTGATCTTGTTCTTTATTCTCATTGCTCGTATGCTTGAAATTGTACTGATTTTGGTGAGGAGAAATTCTGTTTTGGTCACTCATGGGAGTTAAAGGGTTAAAAAGAATCAAGACCTGTTTAAACATCAGTTGGGCAATCATTAGTTGATCTAATACCAAACTCTACGAACTAACATCCTCAGTGAGAACATGGCAGACACTAAGGAGAGTTACCATGAGATCTGGGTGTGAAACGATTAAAGAGCCTATAGTTTGCTTACCATTTCCTTGTTCCAGGCATAGTAAGAAGCCTTTCCTTGCGACATGAGAACGATGCTGGCGATCAGGATAACCAACATGGCAACTGGGGTGACGAGCATCCAGCAGATTTTCCAAAAGATGTTTGGTCGAGTACCCGTCATGTACTCTATATCATCAGAAAATCTGTCAACGAAGGAGGAATAAAGGTAACTTAGCATTGTCTGTTCCCGGATGTCTTCATTTTTATCTTAGAAAAGCTTGTGTTGTAATCGATACGACAAATTTGAAATCAACTCTACCTTGTTATGCCATAGAAATAGCAAACACCGACACACTCGCAGATTGCGATGAGTAACAGGGGAAGGTTGCCTGCGAAACTGTCAAACATCTGAAGAATATATTCACCAGAATATGTGACCATGGGAAGACCGATACATAGGCCAGTGATGCACAGAAGCCCTGGAATAAAACAGATTTACTACACACGTTGCAACATACAAAAGATTACGCTTGATTATTACCGAATTTAGATTTGACTTGGGCGTTCATGATCTGTCACTCGCATCTGCATATATCTGAATTCACGACGCCTCATTTCAATTTGATTTGTGCAAGTTTCTCTTACTTCAATAATGTAAAGCTTGTATGGGGTATGTTTGTTCTATGCTCCAATTTAAGAGGGAGAGAAGGATTGAAAAGTGTTTCCTCTGACAGTTTTGTTACTAGCCAATTTGCGCTGGTATTTCGTTCCTTTTACCTCGTTGCGAGCGAGGAAACTGAGTCTTCCTGATTCGTGGTGAGTACCCTATGCTCTTATTGGTCAAAATTCCCTCAATAAACAGAAAAGACATTCTACGAATTCCCTTCTTGTATCTGAAAAAAAAAAAAAGACTATGAGACTCCTTACCAGATAGAATTTCGCGTCTTAGTTTTCCAAATCCTCTGACGTCTTGCAAGGCTGTCGTTACACTTTCCAGCGCTCCAAACAAGCTGTCCAGCCCAAGGGTTAGAAGCATGAGGAAGAACAAGATAGACCAGAAGGTTGCCCCAGGCATTTGGTTGATGGCATCGGTGAAAGCAATAAAAACCAATCCTGGACCACTGGCTGCCTATTGGATATCAAAAAATTTAAGGTGGCCTTAGCAATTAGGGTCGTGGCACCAAGAATTTCTCGCTTTGATTTCCACTGAGCTTTGCAAATGGCATTCACGGTATGGTGCAGCAGAAAAGAGACACTCAGCTTATCTAAATCATGACCCAGTCGTAAATTCTATCCTTTCAAGAAAGTGCACCTACCTGACACGATGTTTAGTAAATTACGAAGAAGCGATTCTTCAATACCTAAGATTACTGAGGACTGACACAGGGGCGTAGCCAGGATTTTTCAAAGGGGAAGGGAGGGGTTACACCTGTTAGGGTATTCTCCAGATTGTTGTGCCGACCTCCGCGCCGTGTTTTACTTTTAAAAAGGCTTACAAAAGGGGGAGGGGCACCCCAGGACTCCTCCCCCCCGAGCTACGCCTTTGTGAAGGCTATTGTTCTTTTGGAGCCTTAAACAATTAGTTTTAAAATTACCACTTTCCTTAGGATACTCCAAACCAAACCGATATGTTTTCGCTTTTTTAACACGATATTCAGTTGAGAAACAAAGACGCCAAACGTTATCTAGTTTGACTTGCACTAGATTACAGGACTACTTGAAAAACTGAAGACTAAGCACGCATAACTGTTCACCTACATCGGAAAGGAAAGTTTCCAGATCGCATTTTTGAAGTACATATCCACTTGTGATATTGTTTGTACCATTGCCGTGATGAGCGGACAATCCAGTTGTGTTCAGCTGGTGAGCTGTTGAGTTGAGGCGCTCCAAGAGTTTGGCATTGTTTGCTTCACAGTTTTCCATCATGTAGGTTGCTCTGTGAAAACGTAAACGTATTTCACAAAGGTGCTCAAACAAAGTCTTGTGCTCCCATCCTACTTTTCAAAACAGCCTCCCACCGTTTTAGACGAAACGAAAATTCATGATCAACCCCTTTCCCTTCCATAACAAAGATGAAGTCCAAAACGCGTCCTTTGTTAGATCTTTAAATTTTTGGAGGGTTATTCTAGTTTTTCTATCTATTTTGTCCAAGAATGAACCTCACTTATACTCTGTGGTTCCCTCCTTGTTATTTCCGCTCAAGGGTTAGTGGAATACTGATGAACCCGATCTTGTTCCATTAAACTACCGATATATCTTAAAGTTGTTACATTTTTAAAGTCAAATCCCCACAATTTTTGACTTGAACGAAATAACTCATACCTTTCCTGTGATAGTAAATTATGTATTTGATATTTTAGAAAAAGACCCTGGGAACCTGAATACCCAAACCCCGTTGGCCGGGCCTTTTTTCTTTTGGTCAGTTTAAAGGACTTGCATGCGTCACAATGTTTGGGTCATTTTCAGCTTTCCATAGAGGGTAGACGAAAACACCAGAGATAACCAAGATGGTCAGCGATGGCGGAGACCCGCAACACGGATTTGGCTAAATGTTTCTACTGACCCGGTACTCATATATTAGTTGACACGGTTTTGTACGCTTGGAAACGGCGTGTGCTGTATTTGTAATTCTGTAGAAGAACCTATTGCCAATGATCGATTTGTAAACTCGACAGGCAGACAGTGACACCATGGACTGATCTTCGGTATTTCGTTGAGGTATGGCCTAAAAAACGTGTTTGCGGTAACGACTAATTTGTCACGGCCGGTCTGAAGATCGCGCCAAAACTATCGTCAAACTTCTCGGAGTTATGCACAACCTGTTTTTCGTCGACAACCGGGATTTCCTCGCAAAGGAGAGACCTTATGGCACTTTATTACTCGCCGTGTCTCGGTCAATTTTCGAGCTTAATAGTGGTCTTGCCAGAAATGAATAATCTTGTGAGCTCAGTACCATTAGAATTTGCTGAATTTTGGCAAATTGAGGCGCTAAACTGTAGAAGGAAGCAGTTTTCTCTTGGCTATACTCTATCCAAAATGTGGGTTGAAGGAAAGGGTCGGAGAGTTCTGGTCTAAACTGATTGGATCTTCATATGTTTTTCGATGAAACAGGGATGAGTTCTCTTACCTGAATCCTAAAATGGAGAAAACAACAATCCCAGCGAACAGGGAAGTCATACAGTTAGCGACGGAAATTGTAATGGTATCACGTAGTGTGTTTCCATGAATAGGATTGTAACTGGCATAGGCAATCATTGTGCCAAATGCCAGGCCCAAAGAGAAGAAGATTTGTGTAGCTGCGTCCAGCCAGACCAGTGGGTCCAGAAGTCGATCCCACTGTTGATGAAAACATAAATCAGTGTTTCGAGAACTACTGAGTTCTGCTTTGATCGACACATTTCATCTGGGCTCGAGGCGCAGAGATCAGTGCCAGACAGGTTTTGATGTTGATGTATTCAGTTCTTTTACCTTTAACTAAGAGTTTAACGTTAGTATTCAGTTTATGGTCCATTTAATTGGAGAAATAAGTAAATGATGAGCAATACACTTAGCTCACCAGGTTTAAGTTATCAGATGTTAAATGTTAAATTTGCGGCTATCATGCAGACGACTTCAGTGTTTCGAGAACAACTGTGCAAGCGAATGAGCTCTTCCGCTGAGTGCCGGACACAGCAGAAGATCCAAACATATTTTACATCTTATTTCAGGGTGCTTTAGATGCTTGATCGATAGACCAGAACACCTCAATTTGTCTCTTCTGCCAGTGTTTTGAGAACTACTGGGACTAACTGGTAGCTGAAACTGGGCACAAAGCGCAGTATCCAGCTTTTAAGTATATATTTTGCATCTGTAGAACAACCAGTGTTTTGAGAACTACTGGGTACTTGATCGGCAGCTGTTACTGGGCATTATGGCGCAGCATCAGCATTCAAAGTTTAGAAGTCACCTTAGTATTTAGAGAAAACCAGTGTTTTGAGAACTACTGGGATCTGATTGGCAGCTGTTACTGGGCACCAAGACGCAGCAATCAGCATTTTAGAGATTCAAATCGTTTTTGTGAATAAAAGAACCAGTGTTTTGAGAACTACTGGGTATCCGATTGACAACTGTTACTGGGCACCAAGACGCAGCAATCAGCATTTTAGAATATTAATCGATGTTTTAAATATAGGAACCAGTGTTTTGAGAACGACTGGGTATTTGGTTGGTTACTACCACTGGGCACCATGGCGCAGCGGTCAGCATTCTTTTCTCTTCGCTTAGTTCATTTGGAGAATATTGATTTAAGAGATTGAGAGTTTTTGTGAACTACTGCGTTTAAAAATGATAGTGATTACTGGGCACAGGGCTCAGCAAAAAAACTAACCATATCATTGTGTTTTTGTTGTTCAATCAGTGTTTTGAGAACTACTGCGTTGGTCCGATTGCCGTGACTGGGCACAAGGCGCAGTAAACAGCATTAAGATGTGTTATATCTGATTAAATAAATTTTAAGAATAGCTTAGTTTATCTTTTATAATTGTTTCAGAAAGATGTGCATGTTTCAATGCATAAGACGCGATGTCCAAGTTTCTTTTCCAAAGAATGTCCGCGTTTCGAGAACGCCAAATTTCAGTGATATTCTACGATTTACAGCTGGCACTGAACTCTAAAGGCACAGCACACAGCATTATTCCTTTCACTATAGCAAACAATTTTGTTACTCTGCAGAGAATGGAGATTTATGAAGCTTTATTAATAAATTACATATGTCTTTAATTGTGCATTTGAAATATGTCTACGCGATGCCCACCTCGATTTAAACCTCAGAATCGAGATCCTCACTTTGTACTGATCACATTGTTCCCATCCTGAGTCTCTACATTTGAAGCATGGATGTATGTTAGTGTCTGTTGACTTTTCATTGAATGTTTAATGCATTGGAATTGCACACGTTTGTCTGTAATTGATGGTTTAGGAGTCGCCGGTGTGGTTTGTGAAGCCTCGAACCTCTTCATGGGACGGGAAAAACTGATACACGTAGATGACGTCTTCGTTGCCGAGCCGGCCTACAGTTATTGACAAGAACCGTACCTAGTAGTTAGTTGTAAGCTGCATTGTTAGGGTATATCCTATTTGTTTGGAAAAGTCCCGAGAGATTTAAAACTCTGCATTGGAATTGCCGAGTTATGAAGATAGGAAAAGGTTTCTCCCACTGTTTTGCATTCCTTCCAAACAACGCCGAATCTCTTATCTTGCTCACTGTTTTGACTTAGGGAACTGCATTGGAATTGCAGAAAGGATTTCAGCGTTAAAAGAACTTGCGGAAGTAGCTTAATGTGGTACGATGCGGAATCTGGTGGTGCTCTTTTGAAAGGGTTTAAGACTGAGCGGAAACAACCGATTTTAGCAGCAATGCTCACCAGCAGGCTTGAGACTGCACTGGAATTGCAGATGCCTGGCATGGAGTTGTCGCGACTAATTTGGCCGGTATGAAGTGATTTGAAGTATTATGATAGCGAGGGTGAGTCAAACGAGGGAAAACTGCATTTGAATTGCAGGAAACTAAAAAAACCGTTCTTATGATTATGCTGCATTTGAATTGCAGTTTAAGGGTTCGATACATCTCCGATATGGCACTTTTCTGCATTAGAATTGCAGACATCACATGGTCCATACTTACGCTGTCCAAGTTTGCTGGAGCTACATCATTGGGACCGCAGTGTTAAACTGCATTGGAATCGCAGAAACCTCTACTGCAGTTAGACGTTAGTTATCATCTTGGAGAGGGATTAATGGTTAGACCTTCTCTTTTACTACTCCTTTACATAAACTATCTATCTAAGAAAGCCCTCTCTCAGTAAGCCCTCTCACAGCTTCTAAGTTAAGCGAACCATGGATTGTTCAGTTTAAGCTTAGTTAACAGCAGTTAACTGCGACTTATTGACAATTGTCGTTATGACAAAAGAATTGCAAGGATGCGATGACATCAAGACACCTCTAAACCTTTTTTTGGCTGGGGTTAACTCGTCTCATCCAAAGAATAATTACAGCTAAGAAAGAGCTTACTTTTTTTAGACAATCTGGACCTCCGGGTAGCCGCAAGATGCGAGCACTCCTGCTTCAAAAATTAATATTTTCAGAGCAATCAAATGACCTTTGTAGGAGTCATCACGTTTCAGTTCCTAGCATGCAAAGGTTTTGAAATTGAAAAAGCAGTTAATGCTATCGTGGCATCTACCCTTATTCCTCGGACCTGCGCGACAGCGAAGGTCAAGCAGGTCTATTTTGGTCTACAGTGGCAGCTGGATGATCCCAACTGTGCATAAGCCGATCCTATCAAGCGAGTCTCCTCATAACTTTTCCTAAGATTTTTCCGATTCATATATCAAATGTTTACAATTTTAACAGGCTTGGACACCAGAGGCCCAACTGTCACGCCACACCTAAGTGTCCCTTTATCTTATTACTATCTCCCTAACTCTTCCTCACAATTCCTGGCCTATCTTTAATTTTTTTTTAATTAATCAGCAGAGAGGGATACCTAATTTAGCCTATTTCCCCCAGAAGTACATCATGAGAACTTAACGCAGACTAACGTAACACAACCTCCCTGAGTTTTTTTTTCCTCTTCTAACTTGTCTTCTTTTCCTTTCAGTGCAAAGATCCCGACTTTTAAAGGATATACATACCTTTGGAGTAAACAAATGTATTATTCCCTTTTCAAAGCCTTTCAAAAGTAGACCCCGAATGAAGAATGCAAAGAGGACCAGATATGGAAATGTTGCTGTGAAGTAGACGATCTGCAAGATAACACCATGGCTTACCGTGACATTATTTTAACAGATGGTAAAATATTCCAAAAAAAATCATTTTCGCGTTTATAGCAGGATAGATAAAAGTACCCTCATTTGCTTTTAAAGTGATTCAGCATAGTTTTGAAATTTTCTGTAAGGAATTTGTTAACCGTGGTAGACTGTTGCATGCATTACGAGCCTGAGCTTAATGACAAAGAAATAAGTTGACAATACTTGAAAAATTATCGTACCTTGCCAGACGACTGGATGCTTTTGATGATGCACAGGTAGGCCAACACCCACGCAACTACAAGGGCCACGGCTAACTTCCAGTTGATCTCTGCGCTCTCCTCTATTCTGTTGGCGTGCATCAAAGTCTCTCTGTGGTAAAAGTAAGCAGTTGGACTGCTCTCGGAGCATTCTCTTGGTATTGTTAACTCAGTGCCGTTAGGGCTTGCCACTTGAGGACACTCTGCCCACGGTAGAGGGGACTGGAACGACTGGACGAAGTAGAACAACACCCAACCGATGACCACGTTGTAATAGCTGGCGACCAGTATGCTAACCACCGTTGTTGCAATCCCTACACCTCCCAGGTAGGGACTAACTGTGCTCCAGACGTTGATAGCTCCTTGACGAAGGCGTTGACCGATACTGAGTTCCAAGTAGAAGATCGGTATTCCCTCGAATATCAGCATGACAAAGTAGGGTATCAAAAAAGCGCCTAAGAAAAGGAAAAAAAAGGATTATAGAAAAACTTTGTTAATTATAGTATACTAAGGTAAAAATGAACGCATAGTGGAAGTCAAACTTGACTGGACTGTTGAAACCGAAAAGATACATCTTTCCGTCAAAACGCTCGTATAGATCGGCAGGGTAATGTTTAACTCTGCACGATGAGGACTTTTAGGTCCTTTGATAAACTTCTGTTAATCACTTTGCAGAGGGAGGAATAATCGCCACATTCAGCTGATAGCAGTGGATCTTGTCAGTACTGCTCGCAAACAAAGCCGCCGGTAAAATAGAGACTTTAATGTTATCAGGTGTTTTGGTGGTCTACCTTTCGTCAATTTTTTTCCCTGAGTTATCTAATCATACAATCTTGAGTTACGTCTCGAGATAGAGCATGAGCCAGTTCCGCCATAACCCTAGGCTAAAAATTTTATCAAGTGAAATGGCGAAAGTCTGGATGCATTCATATAAGCTGAAGTATAGACACGAGAAATAATCATCACTCATGATTTCTTAATGTAATTCGTTTAAATGTCGAGATTGATTTTGATTTCCTAAGATCGTGGCCACAAAGAACTGGATGCTTTACTATATTTTATGACTAAGGGCAGGGCCATCGAATCTGAGCAATTGCCGAAAACGGTGTAATGGAAACTGGTCTTAAAATTTACACTCATTGTGAAAAACCGCAAGCATTCGATACCAATCGTTTTTACTGGACCAGCAGCCCTGTATTATCGTCACTAATGTATAGAACGTGTGTTTTACCGCAGTTTTACGTTCATAATCAAAACATCGAAAATCTAATCGCTGTAGAATTGCGGCCTAAGACCAACGCCCTAATTTCCATCAAGTTTAGTTTGTTTCACGTCTTATGCATGTTCTGGACTATTTTATTTTCAAGTTTCTGATGACGTTACGATATTTATCGAGAGATGCACAACTTTTTGAAATTATTACGAGAAAAAGAATAGAAATTTCATTAAAAAATAGTAATAAAACAGAACGACAATGATGCTTGAATTATTTAATATGTGCATAGGTCCTTAATGGTTTACTTTTCGGAGTCCAAATATTTAGGAACGGAAAGGACCCCCTCCATGTCCCTTCCGCTTAAATTCAAAATAAGATGTTTTTAAATGTACATAGATCTAAATAAACTGATCAGTAAAGAAAATATTTGCCCGGTTTCATGTAAATGCACAGAAAGCTTCATTCCAATTACTTTTTCAGCAGAGAGCTGTCAAAACCTAAATTTCCGTACCCTGTCGTGATGAAAAACTCCGTGAACAATGATACGGAAACGTTTCGGACCCTTTCATTACCCTTTCTCGAAAGTTCCATCCTAATAGCGTGATCTTTAAGGTGTTCCTAAATTAAAAATGTCAATTCTCGCCATTAGAAACGTAAGTGTTCGGAACCTGGAATGCAAACATTTTTACCTCGTGCAGGGAAAATGTTTGCTAATTACTTTTATCTGATTCACACAGTGTATAGAAGCATTTCTTCAATGAATAACTTTTCAGCCTCATTTTCAAAGTGTATTCAATTTTACCACCAGGCTATGATTATTTTTGTTTTATTATTTTTTTCCTGAGGCATCCACTTAACCTAGACCTGCTCCACTTCAACTTTGTTTAAAACTGAGACATTTTTCGGTAACTGATCAACCGACGACAACCTGCTGTCTCTTTTCTCAAGAGATCCGGAAAACACTTATACCAAATCTTCCAGACTCCATAAATAAGGTCGTATCCTTGAGATAATCCCAAAGTTACAAAAGAGAATCAAGATTGAGCTCTTAGCGATAACATTTCACCTTAAAAAAAACACCCGTAAAACCCCCCTGCAGCGGGTGCAGAATATTTGCCGCCAAATTTGTGGACTTTGATCTCAGCTTCTAAAAAAAATCATGGAGGAAAGAAAACAAGAACAAAACAGACGAATTGAGCTTGTGTCATATTGCGGTTACAAAAGAAAGCATTCCTTGCTCTCCAAGGCCGTACTCTAAGTTATTTCTTGATTTTGGATATAGGAACTTGGATGAAAAAGATGTCGATAACATCAGATGGCAGGCGTATTCCTCCCATAAATTTTGTTTGACCGATGCGATAACATGTCTCACAGATAAATAAATCCGGCATCGAAAATCGGTTCAAAAGTGGAAAATATCCTACTAAGAAAGTTGATCGCTCTGATTCTGGTTGAACTTTTTTTGGCACGGCTGAAGGACTCCCGACTGAGGGCAGAGAGAAACGCTATTTATTTTTGTTCTCGCGCACATCTGTAAAATTTTGTTTTCCAAAACTTAGTGTTTCATTGTTAATTGTCTCCCAGATTAAGTCCTAACTATTGTGAAGTGTGCTATGGCTATATGATCTTGCCTACCGTATTCAGGGCGTTAGTTTTATTGAGTTAAAAAAAAAAAGGATTGAAAGTTATCGATTGGTTGGAATAAAAAAGAAGCAATGCCTTTTGCTAGAATTTCAATTTTTAATATTTTGTGTAATAGTTTGTGAAATTTTTTGAAATTTTCGAGCACTTTTTCTGTTTCAGTCATTATTCTGTCGTTCAGGGGAGCGAATCATTTTGGTCGGAATTTGACGGCAATGCTAATGTTCCCTCACACTTTGAAGTGTTTTTTATTCATTGTTCCTGTTGAATTTCAAGATACTCCCGAGGGAACGTGAATTTATCGCTGTTTCTTTATTAATTTTAAATCTATTGACAATAGATTTAAAATTCACGGATCCTCAAGGAATCAGAGACGCTCTTTCATTTAAGAGATGAGCCTAGATTGATTTTTCATAAAGTTCGCTCTTATGTTGAGGATTTCACATTCAAATACTTGATAAATGGCAATTACGAGGGGAGTAAATCAACCTTTTCTTATTGTACCTAACTCTAAAATCATATTTTTAGTATTCAAGAAAAACTGATTAGGAAAATTTGATAAAATGAGTATACCTCCTCCATTTTTCTGGCAAAGCCATGGAAACCTCCAAACGTTTCCCAAACCAACCGCAAACCCGATCGCAGAGAGAAGAAATTGGACTTTATTGTCCCATCCAAGTCGTACTTTCTCGGTCTCGATCACTTCCACTCTTGTTTGGGGATCTTCTTCATCAGATGTTAACATTGCCGTAGTTGAAATGTTTTTGTAGGTGGCAGTTTTATCAGCAGACGGATTTTTCTCGGTCATCTTTACTTCAGAGCTGAGAAGCTTCAGCAAAATCTGCCGAAAGATCGAAGCAATATAATTTTTATCACTTTCGATCGATGTATATATTTTTTTCCTCAGACGAAATCAGAGTGCTCTAATTTCCATACTTGCGCTAGTAATATTTTTTTTAGTCTTACTTGTGCGAGACGTTTCCGAGAGAACAGAGAAAGATTAGGATTTGGAATGTCCCAGCGGCTACTCGACTATGAAACGAGCTTCTCTTTCAGGATGTAAAATCGTAAAGCAACCGGTTTCGCGGTATTTCAGCGTAAAGCCGGTCGTTTGCATGTGCTCAGAGCGTGGTATGTAAACAGCTGAATAATTAGCCAATCACAATCGATGTCGTATTCTTAGTATTGTCACCATCGTGTAGCAACAAAAGATATTACTTTACTAATCCTTCATACATAATCAGGATAGCTTACACACAATTACAGGAAACACGATTATTTTTGGCTCGGAATCTCTTCAAAAAAAGCTAGCCGTATTTCAAAATAAAATAAACGGAAATACAATTTTTAAAGGGAAGCTTTCTGATAAAGTATTGTAAAACTTTGACGCTCTTCGCGTGAGCCAATCATTTCTTTTGTTTGAATTGGTTGTCTGAGAAAAACTGTCATGTTGTTGCATCAGCCGTCTCTTGTGGCCTTTTTTGTTATGTTAATTTGAGTTGTGGTTTGATCACTGTTTTGGTACTTAGATGCAAAGGAAAGATTGAGGTTTTGCTTCATAAAACAAAGGTATCGATTTAGTATGAAAAATTTATGAAAATGGTTGTGTGGAATTGTAGAACGATCGAAATCAATATTTTTCTCCTCAGGTACTTTAAAAAAACCGACGGAAACGACACTTGTGAATGTTGGCGCGCCAACGATTATCCACCCACACGTTGTAAATTAATCTTTTTTTCAAAGACATTTTGGTCTCGGTGCCAACAACATTTGATTGAAAAAAACAAATTTTGATTGGTTGGTTAACGAACTGAGCACGAAAGAGGAAGACAGTACTTTCAACTTTGTTCCTTCCACGATATTTTGTTTTTGCATATGATTCGATGTAAAAGCGTGTTATCGGTTGCCGCGATCATCCCCACAGCGCCACATAAATGTGAGCGTTGCTTCCACAAGTTTATTATTTTGATACCATCGTTTCCCAAACGCCCCCCCCCCCCCCCCCCCCACCTCTGTCCTCTGGACAACTGAAACGCGATTTTAATTGGTCAATTCGTTGTGTACGTAAAATTTTGCAACAAGAGATGTAGAGGACAAATATTGGCTGAACGTTTGGAGAACTTTGACAAATATCTGAAGGCTATTATTTATCTCAAGTAAATGTGTGAAAACAATATCTATTCACAATTTACAAAATTATGGATGATTTTCGATTAAATTTAAAGGTGCTATACTTTGAAAAAGCTTGCAGGCAGGTAGCAAAAAGGACAAAGAAAAGATATGGACAGATGCTGTAATTGATGCTGTGGTTGTCACGCTGAGTAATTTTCGAAAGTAATCCGGAATTGCTTTAGTTTTGCATTACCTCGCTATTTGATTGGTTCAAAAAAACTCACACAACTTTCTCGACTGATAAGATTCCAAACTAAATACAACATCACGCGTTTCTCAGCGCTTCAGACAGTTTGCTTCCAGTTCTCATCGGTGCACTTCCTTGTGCTCTTTCCTTCGTTTTTATGGGCAGTTGAAATTACTTTGATTTTGGACAGTTATACTTTTTTAAACTCTATCAAAGATACATCGTATAATGAATTGGTGATCTCTATTAAGAGAGATCCTGTTTCAGAAAATACGGGGCGAAAACAGATTTTCTATGGAATGTTCCAGCGATTTCATGCCAAAATATTCATGGAATAAATCCTTAAAGTTAGTCTACATACTTAGTGTGCAAACTAACTTTTGCAAAATCTTTGGGTCTCTCAAAAGCAATAAAAAGTTCCACGAGACATCCACAAATGTCGAGGTCGTTGTCATCCGCTCGAAAGATCCTCCAGGTGCTGCTAAAATAAAGATGACTGAATTAAATTTATAGGCACGATCATGAATGTTTTATCGAATCTTTCTTCGATTCTCAGTGAAAAATTCAATTTCGCGTAGTCTTTACTGAACTGAACCAGTTTCAGTGAGTTTCGTTTGACCGCAAAACAACAGAAGAGCCTTTTTTAACATGATATATTTGTACATAAATTGAATTAACAAGTTTGATACGAAATCAACAAACTATTGTATTGAAAACAATGATTAGTACAATAACAACCTGTTGATGGAATATTTGTCAATCGCTGAACGAAATGAAAAAAAACCTATGGAAACTGTTCCAAATGGTTCACGAATCAGATTGTGAACAAATACTAAAATTACTTATTGCTGATTGAAAACAACAGCGAAAACAGTTCTAACTTAAGCTTGACCGGACCAGAAGGTTGGCCCGAAAAAAAAACAAGCAACCAACGATTATTAAAATTTGCAGATTCTACGCACCAGCAAGTTCGTTCAGGTGTTTCCTCTATAGCAAAAGGAAACCATTCAATTTCAAACTACCGAACCCTTTTAGAGTTGTAGTAATGGTAAATAACACGTAGTCGTAAATTTGGTCTTTAAAACGATCTCGTATGCACAATTCCCAGAGCAGTTTTCAAGCTTGTTTTTGTTTCGATCCGCAAAGTTGAACCGAAGAGAAAACGCTAAGGGGTTGTGCACAACTGATTACAACATGACGTCACATACTTGACAACAAGAAGCATGTGAACTTTAGATAAGTAGAAGACAGTATAAATTGTCAATTAATTGCCCATTTCATGCTGAGTTCATTTTCTCAAATTTTCTTGCAAGTAATTAATCCTTGATTCAATCTCTTCGAAACCTTTGAAGTTCCCCGAATACGTCGAAAGCTTGATAACCAGGGTATCGATCAAACGTACAGGACAACATCATAAACAAGTTTATGATGTTATGCTCACACAGGGCAATCGACGAGTTGATTGGGTCGTCAGTAATTTTGCCACAGAGGGTGGTTATCAATTAACAGTTGCAGGTTTTAAGTAAACTTGCTTCGCGGCGGGCTAGCATTTTACATTTAGCATCAAGCTAAAGTGTGACGAGGTTGACAGTTTGCATCGGAACACAATTAGTGGTAATTTTTATCCGAATTCTTTGGAGTGAGCACTATGGCTGAAGAGGAACTTGAAGAAATATTTACCCTTTTCGACCGCACTGGAAAGGGAAAGATTGAAATCGCGCAGATAAAAGATGTTCTTCGTTCAGCCGGCTTAAACCCACAAGGTACTGACTTGGAAAAGCTGGAGGCCGACTACAAAGACAAGGAGTTTGTCCAGTTTCCAGAATTCTGCGCTATTCACAAGGAAATGAAAGCTAAACCCCAGCCAGCCATGGAAGACTTCCTGGAGTTCTTCAGCATTTTTGATCGAGAAAAGAGTGGTTTAATTGATTCGTTGCAGCTTCGAGCTTTCCTCTGTATGAAGGGTGATTCCAGACTGACAGAGGATGAGGTGGAGCAAATTGTGAAGTCGCTCGAAGACAAGAAGAAAGAGGTCGTTCCTTACAAAGAACTCATCACTTTGGTTATGAGCGACCCTCCAGCAGCCACTGTTTAGAAACAGACATTGTGCAACTGCCAGCCGGAGGATGTCATTTAATTTGGACTTCTGCTACTAGTTCATTTTCTCAATCGCATTTTGCTGTCAAGACCCTCGATGGCGAAACACTCTATATACTGTTTTCTCTCTGACTGTAAGTACTCAAGTTTTTTGTATTCCGTCAGAAATTTGTTTTTAAGTCAGCTAGCGCACTCAGGATCCTTTCAATTTGATTTTGTAGGATTGAAATCAAAATGTTTAATTGAGACATTATGATACTTTTGTGATACAGAAGTTGAGAATTGAGAATGCCAATAAATTTCTTTTTGATTAATTTTTTGCCTTCTCTCTGCCTTCCAAGAGAAACAGAAGTTTAAAGCTGTTTTCGTGCGGACGATTTCGCCATTTTCAATGGGGTGTTTCGCTTCGGACCCGACACAAAAGATTGATCAATCCGTTTGACCCTCCTTTTATGTAAGCACTATTAACTTTCTTTGTTTATGTTATCTTTTATGTAAGGTCAGGAATTAAAAAAAAAAAAAAACGGCCCAGTTCATCAAGGACAACTTTTCTAGTGAAGCTACTTTTGAAACACTCACTGATTCATTGAATCAAATACTTTTTAGCTTTCTGCTTCGCACACTATCTTGCATTAAGGACTGAGTTATTAGTTCTTTCAGATAATCACATGCAAAATCAATTAGCTTGGTTTTAAATTTCCCTTCACGGAGGCGATTGTTTCTGTAAAGAGAAGCTTTTTCTTTGTATCCACAAAAACAATGTCGTTTGTTTCTAGGACATTTTAAACTCTGTTGGACACACTTTTTCGGCGGTGTCAAAGATATTTCTAGCACCGCGCACAATTCACTCTCTTTAGATCAGACTAAATAGCCTGTATACAAAACCTACCTATACGTTGGACTAAGCTACAAGGTTTTGAGCAAAAGCGAACTATTTAAATTGATCATGAGTCAAAAATAGAGCTGACCTGCTGTTCCTTTGAATTGTAGCATAAAGAGCCTGACATGCTCTTCTCTACCGGCGTGAAACCTCAAGGTTGTTATTGCGTCTTTGACCGATAGGAATGGTTGGAAATCTGTTGTTCTTTTTCTGCTAGAATGAAGGAAACTTTGAATCCAAACACGGAACTATATATTTTGAAACTCTAAACATAATCCGTTTTGAGCTTTCGTGGGCTAATAGGCTTTTCCAAGTCAGAAGTGAAAGTCGGAGTGATGGCTTTTGTTGTTATCCGAGTGTAACCACCCAATTGAGTTCTTTTCTTTACACTTCATACCTTTACAATCTCTTAGTTTCTTTGTATCGGGGCGGTCAATGCGGGCAAAGAAATACGGAAAGGGACTGGGAGCTGAAAGAGTACTTAGAGTGTTCTTGTAACCCCCAGCCCCCCCCCCCCTTGAAAAACATTGGAAAGTGGGGTGGAGAGGGGGAAGGAAGTTTGACGCCCGGGGATCATTTCAAGTACTCGTATTGTGTTTACTACATACAACCTTTGCTGCATCGAAGAGAGAGATCGTCTTGCATTTAGGAGCTGAGGCATGTTACTTTGAGTTTTCTGTTGTTTCTATGAAATAGAACGTTATTGGAACAAACCTTAAAAACAACGAAGAATAAAAAAACAAAAAACAAAAGAGAGCAAGTATGATTATGGATGGAGAATTTATATAGATAGCAAACCAAAAACTTGAAATTTTCCTAAGATAAGTCTAGCTACTTGTGATTTCTTCCTAAAACATTTTTATAAGCAAAAGGAAGACTTGAAAATTTATTTTTCTTTGCTGATTTTAATTGAGTCGCGCGACAGATAAGCTGGATCAGAGGGGCCTCTAGAAGCTCATGGAATTCTCATTTCAACAGGGGTTTATCTTTTATGTGCTGCTCACTTGGAGGAAACATTTTTTAGCTTTCTTACAATGTAGTAGATGGTTTGAACTTATGAAGAACAGTAGATCTTGGGTGCATACTGGTTGTCAGGATGTAGCTAGTCCTGAGAAGGACGTTACTTGTAACTAACGCTCTGACAACTTGACCGGAAGTCAACATCAGACGCAACTGTTGGCTGATAATGGCTTCCGCTTTAGGATGTTGAAACATAAAGGACTGTCCTTTCTAGGATCAGTCTCATCCGGACGATCAGACCACTTCAAATACTTGGCATTAGCTAAGTTTAATTGAGGTTACAAACGGAGCGTGCGGGTTTCAGCCGAAGATCTTCGAGAGTTCTGGCACGAAAATGACAGTAGCCTACGTGTTGCCGTACCCTCCCCCCCAAGGTGAAACGGAAGCTTTCGTTTCACCTTGGGGGAGGGAAAGGTCCGGCTACACGTACGCTAAAATGACAGACCTCTTGTACCCGGCTCAGTCGCCGACCGGCACCTTGTGGGCCTTAGTTGCTTGTTCCGCAGCGCTTATGAGAGGCTGCTCGCGGACTTACTCGGAGTAAGCCCCGAGTAATTATTGAATTCTCGTAAATCCGTATTAATCGGCTCTAATTGAGATTTTGTTTAAGTAACATGCTTTTCAAGGGGCACGCAATCGTTTGTCTGCCTTGGTTCAAAGTAATGGTCCTACACTTCCTATCGACCCTGAAAAAAAATCTGAAATTAAGGCCCCGGTTAGATAGAAGAGCGCAAAAAGAATGCAGCCGCATCTTGCAGCTGAGAATTAGGACATAGGCATACGAATAAAATGAAGCAAAATGGCACAAAGCGGAAAAAGGTGTTTATTGCTAGAACATTTACGATATAATCCCTAGGGTGTAAAAACTGATTAACGCAAAGTTCTGAATAACAAATGAAGGTAAGGGAGAGGAAATGAATCATTTGAACCGTGAAATTACACAGTGTTTTAAACTGAACATAAATGACAAGACTTCAAATAAAAGTCTACGATTAAATTTTGCACTTACATCCGACGAGTGGAAACTCTTAATTGTCTACCACATTTCCATAATAGACGTAATAGACAAAAGGCAATCGAGTTTACAAACGTAAAATTCCTTTGTTTCTAAATAGACGCTTCTTGCGGATGCACAGAGCAGTGAATAATTACTCGGAAAATTTTGATGTAATTGCGATCAAAGGAGCTTCAAACCTGTAAATAAAAAAACAACAAATGAAAGGTTTGTAGCGGTCTCATCGAAAAATCTCTAGTTCGGACCATTTTGAAAATATGCTTTGTCGAGTCACATTAGGCTATTCATACAAGCGGCACACCTTTAGATTTTTTCCCACAGTAGTTTATTCAAGTCGTTCGAGTCTAGTTCGACAAAACTTCCTGCACGAGCTTTTCATAGTCTATCATCCCCTTGGTCTCGAACATCGCGACGATGTGTTCGGCCTGTGCCTCAGTCAGTTTGTCTCCCAGCGCAGTCAACATTCGTCGAAGCTCTGCCGAGCTGATATAACCGTTACCATCGCGATCAAACATCTTTAGCGCCTCAGTAAATTCTTCGGCACTACCAGCTTGCTTCTTGGCGAGCGTTACATAAATGGGCAGGAATTCTTCAAAGGTCACCCGCTTCTCCCTCATCGACTTGAGGTTCTCTTTCACTTTGTCAAGGTCTTGTTTTAGGGGATTCAATCCCACAGACCTTAATAAACCTGGTACTTGGCTCTTGTCAACTTTTCCATCGCCAACCTGATCAAAGAGACTGAAGGCGTCTTTAAATTCTAACATTTGCTCCTCTGTAAGGTCCGTCATCGTGTCTCTGAACCTTTGTTTAAGTATTTTCTAATTAACCAGAAGGTTGCCTCGACTGATTGCGTGTCCAGGTACTTCGCAATTTATTGTAATCAATTATTGCAATTTAATTGATGCGAAAGTTTTTTTTTATTTGCTCGCGGGCGCAAGCTTTGATTAAAAGCAACCCACAGATGAACAAATAGAGCCATAGAGGGTGAGGGTGGATACAGAGGCCTTCATTTAAAACGGCAACTCACAAGCCACCGTTTTTGTAGGCCACCGTTGGGAATAGTTCTCCTTTGTAATGGATCATACACCGGCAGATGCTCTACTAAAAAGCAGAGGTTTCATTAACCCTTTGAACCCCAAGAGTGACAAGCATCTAATTTCTCCTTACAATATCACCCCCAATTCACACATTAGGGTCACAAGAAGAAAGAAAATGATCACCAACTAATGAAGCTCTTGATTAGTAAACGAGTTCTCCTTGTTAGCTCGTTAGAAAATGTATAGAGAACAGTATGGAGAATATGCATACTGATGTTAGAGTAAAGGGTTAAAAAACCTCTTAGCGCCGTCTGTTTAGCTTACAGGCAGGCTCGCGTGTTCCGGGCACAGTAGCCTATTATATCATCAGAAGCTACTTATACAAAAAGTGATTGAAACTTTCAATTGAAAGGCTAAGTGTCACGAGATTATGCAGAGGTCCTTGAGGGGAAGTAAATAAAGGATGATGAAAGCTGCCATTTTGGAGACTGTACAGAGAAAACAACTGATATTATTTTTAAGCTATTTCAGCCGGCTACTCAAAAGGAAAGCAAGGCAGTTTCACTTTTTTTATTGACCATTTCACTTTTGTCCTCATTCCTTACATTATGTATTAAGGTGAGAGAATCATCTTGGCCACAGCTGCAGTCTTCTACGAGTAAGGGGAGGGGGAGGGGGGGGCTGCCGGAGCATTTCTGTATGGAATACACTATGGTGTTGCCTACCTCATCTTTTATTACAATTTTTTTGGTCTCTCCATTTGGAAGAGGATTTTGCTTCAATTTCCTAGACCCATGCATACAGCCTAGAAGCAGAAAAAAAAATCATATCTTGGTACTTGCCACACCACTCACATTTACAGCTCTATTGTGGATGTAACCGTCTCATCCACTCCACAAAAAAGTCCTTTCCTGAGACTCGTTTCCTTTAATATGTGTCATTGAGAACCACTCTCCTGGAAAGTCCTATCCTATGTTTCCTCCGGAAGTAAAGAAGTAAAGAAGTTGTTTCCAAGGTCTGTAATCACCATGCAAGCCTGAGGCCGACAGGAAAACAGGATACAATTTTGTGCACCATTTCAAAGGAAGGGACAATTGTAAGGTAGATGGTGAAAGAGAAAAGGTGAGGGGTAAAGTTACTGGCAATTAAAATCCTGTATGCACAAATGTCTTCTCACCTTTTCACTATTGAAGAGCAGGTAAGAAGGAAGGGATTTGATGATCTGTCACTAAATTATTGCAAATGCTTTTGTTATAAAATGGGATGTCATATGGTGAAGCCTTCCATCGAAGAACACTCCTCTAGGATAGGAAGTGTCTCCTTGTAAGTGTTGAACCTTTACTAGGAATAGTCAAGTTTAAGTGATAGGACTTCTTTATGGGTTCCTTGACCAAGGTATCCACTGAATAATTGTGTCCCTAGAAGCATGTTACATGACTGTAAGTGAAAAACTTCCAACAAAGAGCGCACCCCATGCTATATGGAATGTATGTTCTTTGTCAATTAAGAATCAGTTGACACAGAAAGAGACCACATATTAACCCTAGTCCACAATTAGAATGTCTGGGGACTGTCCGAGATGAGGTTGCAATCTTTGATGACCTAGGTAGTGCACACTGACAGAGCCTATTTGAGTTAATCCTTTAACTCCTAGACCAAATTTATAATTCTCTTTACCGTCAACCATACAATTCTTATAATGCTAGTTCAGAGAATTTAGTATTGGATCAACTAGTTATCCCCAAATTGATAGTTTTCTTTTTGTAGTGGCATTGTCTTTGTCACTCTGTCACTTGTAGGAGTTAAAAGGGTTAAACCACTCCTTCCAGTGCATTACCAGCTCTCACACTGCACAGGAGAGAAGAAGATCTGGGATAAGCATGGTCAAGCCTTAAATCACAGACCACCTCCTACAGAAAAGTGTTAACTTTAATGAAATAGTAACATGAAAAAATTTTTAACTGTAACATCAACTAATCTTAAGTAGCATTCATGTAGATGATGTGTCAAGCAAGCTTTAAAAATACTTAAATTTGCAAAGAGCGTCAGTGTCTCTGGTTGTATTTTTCTGAACATGCTGTTGATATCCTCAAATAGATACAATAACAAAATACTCTCGTAAGTTATAACTTTCAAATATATGCTAGCAAAAATATTCTCTCAGTTATCTTTTTCATACAGTAACCGCCATATTTTCCAACAAGTAAGTTATCAAAAATATATTACATAAGTATTTATGCTTAACTCACTTGTTGACGAGTCATTTCCAAAAAGGTGGATTTAGGTTACATAATAACTTTTTTGTCTTGAAAGTACATTCAATCTCTTGAAAAAAATTTAATAGAAAACAAACTGAAAATTCTACTGTAGGCTGAAAAATTTTAACTACTAAAACAACTTACTGAAATGAGGGCTTCTTCGAATCTGCACTTCATTGCCAAATTCCATTTTTTTTTCTGACCAATTCCAAAATGACCTAATTCCTTAATCACAATTAAATTATCAAAGATGAGAAACTCGTGTTTAGAAGTGCAATTTTTCGAATAAATGTCCAAAAATGTCACATGAAAAAGGAAAGAGGATAGATGCGGCGTATATTCACCATGCACTCTCGTCCTTGGTATTCAATTGTTACGTAATAAGATAGAACCATTCTCCAATCGACGATTTGTAGTCTTCGTTGCTCTCCACACCACAATGACGATACGAACAACAAGCAGAGTGCAAGCAACAGCAAGTAGGACCACCGAAATGACGGAGTTTCGTTTGGCAGCATCCCAGTTCTTGCTAATGCTGGCGGAGAGGGCCCAAATAACAACGGGATAGACAGTCAAGGTGTATCGGGTGTACTTGTCCAAAATCGTGTTCTCCAGCGCAAACCAGACGATTAATTCCACAGCAAGGATGGAGAGGGCAATCGTACAGCCAACATCCTGGGCTACTCCGTGGAAGTAAGAAATCGCCATTGTCATATTTAGGAGCGAGGCGATGGTCGACCATGTAGCGTACATTCCCAAACCATTGTTGACAAGGACTTGTGTGAGAATGAAATCGCGTTTGGAAACGGTCTTTGTTGTAACGTTTACAGTCATGAACGATTTAGTTAAAGCTCCATAGAGTAGGAACGAAATAGCAAAGAGCAGAATCGAACATGACTGAATCATCAAACGACTCCATAGTACTGACCAGGTTACGTTCACGACACTCGTTAGTGTGAAGATGAAAAGCAAGACGGGAGATATGACTTCGAAATTGTCACTTCTGCACAGCAGAGTCAAACTGTAGATTATCCATGATGCTTGCCAAGTGTAGATTAAGCCCCAAATGGAAAATGCCCAACCTGCTGGAGTGATTTCGATGTAGAACTTGTCAGATACATCCCCGGTCGAATAGTTTCCAAACAGATGTTTGAAAGGACCTTCGTTCGGTCTGCTTGCATAGAAGTTGATTACTAACAGGAAGATAAATATTATCACGTTGATTGTGGTTGCTGCTATCTGCAGCGTTTTGCTTCGTCCTACCATGGTCTTCAGATTTTTACGAGAAGGTTTCGAAATGATCTATCGATATAGACGCGAAAGGTTGGTTATATACACCGTGGTGTTACGCAACTCTTTTGTGATGATTCACGTGTCACGGATCGGTGAGTCAGCAGCAGCACATTTCCAACACGCTACGCCTTCATTTGGTCACGTCAATATTTCGAAAATATTCCTAGATAAAAGACCAGCCGTTTTAAAATAAAAATGATAATTTCCATTGAATCTGAGGTAAAAAAAAAACCTAATAAAATCATTTTTTGGAACTATCGGTACCGCAAACACGCTCCTGAGGACCGGGACAGGAATTGCACGTGCGAATTGAGTTACGTAATACCAGAAAAACGTGCACATAGTCTGAAATTTTATGTTCACAAACGTGACAGGCTGCGCAAACCGATACTGTGACATAACCACAATTCAAAAATAGTGATTATGTGTTAAATACTGATGAATCTTTGACCCCACCGAAAGACGCTTTGTTTTGGTTACCGTGATTTAAAACGTCATCGATGTTAACCTTAGATTCTGTCCAGAATGGCAAGAGCTTTTAAAGAAAATATTTTGCTTGTGGCATAGAAATGTTTAGGAAAGCCGAGTGTAGGCGCAGAAAATAGACAGACCATATTATGCGTTCTATTGTCCAGTGCGAAGAAAAAAAGAAAAGAAATCCACTGGCTACCGTTATGAATAACGCCCCTAATGATGAAAATTTCTCGCACCTTTTTCTGAATATCTTGATACGTTGAAAAGAAATGTTAATGGCTTAGAACAGAAGTAATGACTTAAATGGTGACTAATTAACAAAAATTCACCGAGGGCCAAATGACTATTCTTTGGAATAATTCCCGAGGCGAATTCGAAGAGATTATTCAACAATATTCCCTTTGCCTTTGGTGGATACTAGGGAAACGAACATGGTTATGGTATAAGAAGGAACTGCAAAACTGGGAAATGATATCACAACCAAAATTAGAAATTACAGTCGAACCTGTATTAAGGGGCTCCGCATCAAGGGGTCACTCCTGCGGTCGGTTTTCAAGGTCCCGAAATTGCCACCCCTTAATTATTTTAGTGAGTCCCACCAGCCTCTTTTATCGTCTTCTACCTGTGTTGAACGGTTCAGTTAGGGCGGAATCACTTAATAAAACTAAGAATAATCTTTCTAGTAAAATTCAATCCATTTTGTTCTTCCGTTAGTTAGTTCTATTTCTAAGCGAGTTTTTTTTTACATTAAGTGGTCAATTAAGACATAACAAGGCTATTTTTAACGCTCTTTAAATTACCCCTATTCTGTGCAACCTATTGCAAGCGGTCATTCCGAAATTCCCCGTGGGTGACTGCTTGATTTAAGTTCGACTGTACACAAATTGGCCACAAGGACGATAAGGACTGAACAAACTAAGCAGATATGAATAAAGGGGGTAAGTTTCTGCGTCGGTGTGAGAATATAGCAGGTGATTTAATATTATCCACTATGTTGATAACATAAATTGGCCACCGTTAAGTGTTTTAAAGCTGAAGTTTCGAGCGTTAGCCCTTCGTCAATTCTCTCTGACGAAGGGCTAACGCTCGAAAAGTCAGCTTTGAAATTCTTTACGATGGTCAATTTATGTTATTAATTCAGTTGATAATATTAGATACCCTGTTAACTTAACCACCGTAGAGTTCAAACTATTGGTTGAAGTCGCATATCCAATGGAAAAAGCAGCGCAAAACGCAAGGCCGGCACTATCCTAAATGCAGATGGATATGACCTTAAATATGACCAAATATCTGCGGATCGGATTGCCTCTCTGTGTCGATCGCGTTCTATGTACGTCTAAGACGGGTTTTTTTTTTTAAGATTTCAATAGTTAATCCTTAAAAGTGAGGAAGAGTTGGGGAGAACTGGAGTAAAAATACGCTTTCATTTTCAGGCCATTTCTTTTTCCTTACTATCATGCCAGCTGTTTATTTTTTTTTAGTTGTGTTTTTTTAATTTTTTTTTTATTTTTGCGTCATTTAATCTCACTTTCTGCTGGATTCTCCGGCCGCTGGAGATAGTATCCGCGCAATATCACAATAGCTAGAATCTTTAAAGGTTTATTTCTAATCAGTAAAGATATCACGGTAACTGGGGCATTCTCCGATAACAGGCAGTGTTACTCTCTCACAAAAGATTATCCCTTTCTTGCATTGCATATAATTACATAAATAAAATTTCCTCTTGTCAATCAACCAATTTGATTTGTTACACAATCGAAACACGTGAGAACCAGTCCTCAACAACTTTTTATTTCTTTCTTCATCCGTTTTTAAAAGCTTTTTGTTTAGTGGAAATTTTCTAGTATAGTGTAAACATCAGGTTAAAAATCGACGGCTTCAAGGTTATTATATAATAGATCACTCCTGATCATCAAATTGTTGAAAAAGATGATTTTCACTGAATTTTATTTTAAACCTCGGAGGGGCCTGATAACTTAGAGGCGCGGCTACTAAGGCAAAAATGGTTCCCAGTCGTTCCTCGATGAAAGTTTTCTGTCAACAAAACTGATGGTGGGCCTGCTCGACGGCTAGAACATTCAAGGAACAAAAGAACTGTGCTAAGGTAAGAGTGAGAGAATTCTTGACTCATGAAGTTTTACTTTTATTTTTTTTTTTCACAAAAATTGTAAATATGGTATAAGTAAGTCGTGCGTTGAGTGACTGATTGTATCGGTGTGCAATATGTTATTCCCTCTCGTAAACGGCTCGTTGCGAACTTATCACACGTGCGTTCGACAGGTGATTATTTCTTGGTTAAACGGTGTGTACTATTTTTGGAATTAACTTTTTTGAGGCTTAGGAGGTGCTGCACAGAGAAAGTGATCTATTTTCAAGAAGGCCAAAACTTTGTTTTGATGATGTAAGTTTGAGAACAGCTATCGTCAATTAATATGGCGACCACGGTTAAAGGTTGCGGCTTCCTCCTGTCAATGCTATTATGGCGATAAACTTAGAATTCCCTTGGATGTTCTGGTGGTAACTGGCCCTACTACTCAGAGAGAAATACGAGAGGAGCCGCGTACACATTGTGTCAGAATTTTAAAGCGTAGGGTTGGTAATCTTCGAACTTGGATGAAGTATGAACGTACAATGCTTGTAGCATCACGAACTCGTTCCGGTTCGCCGGCATAAATCGATGCCTATCGGTTTCAAAATTTATTGACTACTTTTCGTTTTCTTCGTTGTGCTCAGTTTTTTTTTTTTCACCTATTTTCCTTATCGATCAGCTACAGGAATTTTCTCTTAGTTATTGTTTGTTCAGTTAGGTAATCGTAACGTGTTCATTGTGTGCTGGCTGTTGGAATAGCGCACTAATGAGCGTGAGTCAGCTAAAATGCCCTCCGTTATTTCCTTTTCGTTATTACCAGTGCATAACTTCCTGTCTAACTAAACTGGCTAACCGCGCACTGAGTCTGTTTTAGATATTTGTTCTTCATTCATACTTCTTCGAATGATTTCGCGCCGGCGAGTTACGTAATGCCAATAGATATGCCGTATTGTTTCACAGCTGTACATTGACAAAAATGGTATTTCTAAAATGGGATATTCATCAGAGTTACTCGTTTACACAGTCTGTGATATTTTAGTGTGATGATTTACACAAGGGGAAATAGTCGTGCATGAGTTATTTCGTGTGGAGTGAGATACGCTGCTATGTTACCATTCGTAGATCTGATTCACTTAAAAAAAGTACCTTTACTTTCTATTAACTAAATATTCTCAAAGGGTTTAGTTTTAAACAGTCTGTGGGATTTTAGAGTATGTTAGCATATCTGAGGAATTTTTTTGATATCGTTAAGCATTTATCAAGCAAATATCGATGGGCTAAACTTTGTGCGTCATTAGATGAAGTGGCCGGTGCTTTTAAATGAAAGTATTTGTACGTGCATCAAATCAAGTATTTTCTTACTTTTACAGAGATTTGTGTGATTTAATGCTCTGTTTGATAAACTCCCTCAAAGTTTTATTTTTCCCCTACCCACGTTCATGGATTTGCCAAATTCCATTTCGACATAGGCATTCGATGGGCGTTCTCATTAGGAGCAAACAGATTTAGCCTTAAATAATTTGTATGTTTTGCTTTTGATAACATTTATTGAATCTCTGAATCTTCGCAGGTGGAAATAAATGAAATTTAGAGGCGAACATATTTCGGAGAACATAGGCAACGGTACTATAGATGAATTTGAGATTTAATGTTGTCCTTAGGAAAATAAGAGCAAACATTCTGTAAAGGAAGATATAATCGCAATAGAGATTTGAAAGGAGGCTGAAACAGACGAAGAAAATATAAGTCGCAAATAAAACGTGAACAAAAAAATACACTGCGTCCTAGTAAAGCCGACACAATGAATATTCATAACCTAATGGTCCTCAATGTTCCTTGATTATGCAAATTTTGATAGAATTGTCACGAAAGTGTCATAGCCTGCACAACGGACGTATTTTATTTTTTTGCGTTTTCAGGGCGAACGGGGCAGAACGCTAGGCAAGTGGTAACCGAAAGGGCTTTGATTTATGTTTTGAAAAAAAAAAAATTTACACATATCTGTGGTTGAAATCAGTGTTTCTTGCACCAATCAGATTGCTCCGGGTATTTTTATGTAATGTACGCAATTGACCATTACCCCCTAGGGGGTTTTCAGGGCCAGTAGAAACAAATTGGAAATAAACATGGTAATGAGACATTTTAAGGGCCTAATTACATGAGCTGGGCTGGCTCGGTTTCGCGAAGATCTTGGCACGTTTGGTCAACGCAACAAAAATCAAGTTCGTTTTTACATGATACGATGTAATACTGGGATACCGGGTAACCACGCAGAAATGTTTCCCTGTAAACGCGTTCGCTGGGCCAGCCTGGTTCTAAAGCCAGCAAGAGTGCAATGAATGACACACTACGCACGCGCATTGGATCCATTCCCATGTTAATAAGATACATGAAAAAATTACTCCTTGAA